GTTGCTCAGTTGCTCAGTTGCTCAGTTGCTCAGTTGCTCAGTTGCTCAGTTGCTCAGTTGCTCAGTTGCTCAGTTGCTCAGTTGCTCAGTTGCTCGATCATGACTAACCCGGAGCCAAGACCTGCGACAGGCGGTGGCGTTCGGCCGTCCCTCCTTAGCACTCTGCCGGAGGGCTGCCTCATGCTCTAGTTTCGCTTGCGGGAGTCATGCGATCAACGCTGGCGAGAAGTTGAGAACGACTGGCCTCGATGTAGATTCATGCTAGAAGCGACTGGTGCGATGACAGGTAAGCGTCCAATGCAATAGTGACTCTTCTGCACGCTGGTGAGGGAGCGAGGACGGGCGACTACTGCACGGTACTCATCCGCCAGCTGGATCGGATACCATTGACCAACATACACCTACAATATGGTGCAATGCCAAGAGAAGACTCGCTTGTCTGGACCGCCGGACCCTGCAGAGTCCATACCGTTGTTGCCCGCAAAGACAGAGCCCGATCACCTGAAAGCCGGGGTCATGAGATGGGGAAGGGGAAACAGTGTCCAGGCAGTCCGCTCGTAAAGAGAGACTCAAAGCTGGGGCCCCATTCAGATCTAAATACGCTCCAGGGACCTACAACAAGAGCCGCGTAAGAACTCCGACTGGCATTCACGAGAAGAAATGAGGTCACAAAACAAGGGTATGATACGCGAACTCCTCGTATCCGGCTGAGCGACAAGACGGCCAGCAATCTGCCACATTCCACGGAGAAAGGCGACCAAAACACGGGGCGGGGATGGATGACTCGGAGCCTGGTTCGTCTACTGAGACTCGGCTGGTGCAGGGCGGCGCTCGCCTGACGTTGGATCAATGTTGATCTGCTATTCCCCTTCAACCACTAGGCTGCTCGACTACACTCTATCTGGGCAACAGACGCGGCGCGAAGTCTATATCATTGGCTCCCGCACTTGGGAAAATTTCAAAGCTCAACCATGAAAATTTTCACCTCCACGTGGCGCATACGGAGGTACTCCCATGTCCAATTGAACGCGCAGCCAGCTCACAGCCTCCAATGTCGTTCGATGCTCCAGGATGGAAGAAGAAATTTTCACGGCTGAGACGGCCATGCAACAGCGGCTTCTGAACTACCAGCCTTCCGAGGGGAGGCTTGGAAAACACGCGCATCGTCTCTTTGATCGCTTGCTAGGACGATGATCCCGTAAAGCCTTCATGATCGACCTGTAACTTTGTTGCTTTCTACCATTCCTGGCCCAAGTGCCCTTCCCACTACCTCCGGCTTCCACTGCTCCCGCTCCGACATCTACTTGTATTATTATTTCTTCGCTCCATTTACAAGGCCGAAGTGGGCAGTCCCCGATCCTCAACTCTATCCCAACTGTTATTACCCGCAAGGACGAAAGCAAAAACACAGCCACTAAAGCCTTGTGACTTCCCCTGCCCATCTACGGAAGATCACATCCCGAACCGGGCACCGGGTTTGCTCGTTTCTTTCAGCCTACCATATTCGGACCACCCTCAACCTCCGCACGAGCCCGGTGTTTCGTTCCCCCTCTGAAAATTTGTTAGCTCATCTGATTACCTCACAACATCCCGCCGTGGGCGTGCTCACTGCTTCTTCCTTCTCTTATCTCTGTTTCCAATTGTCAACACTCTATCTCGTTACGTTTCCAATATCCAATCTCTGAGGCGCACGTCTAATCTTGCCATCCCCGGTTGACTATCTTGACCTGTTATTGGCGCGTATGCCAGGAACATTGCATTAGGCTCGCGTGGAGACAGGCATGGGCTCAGTCGCAAACTCCGACCTTACGCTACCCGACGCTGTGGTTCCTAAACGCGAGCCTAGTATAGAGAGATATACTTCCTCCCCAGCCTCATCGCCTGAGCGTGATGATAGTGCTGGCGCCGTCTCGGAGAAGACCAACCAGGAGCCTGCGCCAGCACCGAAACGCAAAGGAGGTCGGAAGCCGGTAAGTATTCTCTTGGGATTCTCCTGGTAAGGTAGCCTTGTAGACTGACCGGGACTCAGATCTATGCCACGTCCGAAGAGCGTAAGCAGAGGAATCGTCAGGCGCAAGCAGCATTCCGTGAACGACGAACAGAGTACATCAAGCAGCTAGAGACAACCATCCAACACCATGAGGAGACGTTGCAAAACCTCCAGCAGAGTCACCGTGCCGCGGCTGATGAATGTCTAATGTTGCGTTATAAGAATTCTCTGCTAGAACGCATTCTTCTGGAGAAAGGTCAGCTCAACCCCATAAGCTTCGCCTTAAACACGTTAGCCAACATATGCAGGCATTGATGTACAGGCCGAACTTGCCCTCAAGGGCAGCCCCAATCTTCGCCCTCACCGTGCGCCTCCGATCACCGGTCAGGCATCGCCCATGCAGAAAGCCATGATGAGTCGTCAGCAGCAAGCGAGACATCGTCCTGCAATGGCACCGCCTATTCAGACTGTAAATTCATCTTCCCAGGTTGGTGGACAAGGGAGTTTCGCAGGCTCACCCAACGTACAGCCCACTCCACCTTCACAGCATTCATCACCCTCAGCAGCACGATCGCCCGGCTTTGCCCTGCAAGGTGGGATGACCTCGCCGGCCGCTGACATGACAAGTCAGCCACAGCAGCAGCAAGCAGGAGGCCGGACACTACCGCCTCCGCAGCACCAAAACTATGCGCAGCAGCGTCGAATTCCAGGACGATCAATGTCGTCGAATTCCAACGCTCCGCAAGGCTTCCCACCTCGCCCCCAGCCGAATCCTACCATGCAAGATAATTACTATCCTCCCTCTTTTCAGAAACATTATTCGCAGCTAGGCAAGTGGTCCCCTTCTTTCTTGTTGACCCTGCTTGTGGAGCTTTGTTCGTCCTAGACTGATTCCGTGAGTACAGAGCAGGAGTACGATGCACAACCCGACATCATGGACGATTTAGACGGCGACGATGTCGATACCGACAGCTTCATTCCTAACTTCCGACTTCCTCCTACGACTGGGCACACCATGCAAATGGGCATGCAAGCATCGCCCCCTATGACGACGAGTGCTGCTAGCGATGGAGGCAGTGGAAACCTCTTAATTGATCCGTACGACCCAATGCTGGACGCAGATCCATTCGGTCTGACGGCAAGCATGCATTTTCCGAACCCTTACACATATCCGCCGTCACAGTCCAGGAGGTAGGTTCCTCCAAGGTATGCAGGCATGAAATGTGGAGTCATATGTCCTCACGGTTTCGTAACGTTCAGGGAAAGCATTGTTAGCGACGGCGCTTCTGTGTTAGCATTTCACAAGGTCGAGGCGCTCTCGCGCAAATCGGAGTTTTTTTCCTCACATTTAAAACCATCCCATAGGAGACTCAGAAGTCTCGGTGTTTATTTAATGCCGTTCAAAGCAAACGTCGCTGAAAGCTGATTGCAGTCCGTCGTACGTCCTGATAGGCACCTGGTTGATTAAGTAGCATCACGTGCAGCCCTAATGCCAAGGCTTTCGCCCCAAGTGGACTAGCGTGACCTCATGCATCACGCTAGCCAATGGCTTTGAGAATTTCATGATGCATTGCGAGAATGCGCCTGTAACTTCAGTCTCTTTTCTGAATCGGACACGACCCCCTACTCGACGCGACAAGATCCTACCTTTCGGGAGCTTGTCTTGGTCGAGATTCCTATTCTTCCACACTCGAGTTGGAGTTTCCATAAAGCAAAGCCTTCACGGAAGGCGCTCGAGAGGAAAACGTCATGGCGGACGTCAAGAGCAAGGTGAGCAACATTTCCATCTCATCAATTCATCCACAGTAGGTGTATACTGACCGTCTTGTGCTACAGAACCTCTACGAGCTATTGGGTACCTTTCATCTCCCGCCTTGTAACGACTCTTTGTCATTGACTCTCGCACCCAGGCAATACCTCGGACCAGGATTCTGACCGCGAACCTGAACCACCGACCAAAGCCGTCGACAAACCGGCAGCGCGAGTTGGCAAACGTGATGCTCCAAAAGCAGCACCAACTGAAGCACCGTCTGCTCGTGGTCGTGGTGGCCGAAGAGGCGGGTTTACCGGCAATGAAGCAGGTATGGAAGCTTGAAACGTCATAGGTGAAAAAGTACATTTTCGCTCACTATCTGAGCAGCATTCCGCGACAGAGCCACTGGCCGTACATACAACCGTGATCAGCCAACTGAAGGAGAAGGTGCAGATGGTTTCGGCAACAAGCCAGGTCGCACCCAGGGTTCTGCCGGCACACGACGAACTGGTCGCGGAGGCCCAACCCAACGTCGGGGTGGTGATCGACATGTGAACCGCACTGGCATTGCGTGAGTGATGTGCTAAACTTACTCCCTTCCCTTGCTGACAATCTGTTACAGTGAACACCCCAAGCAAGCTGGTCATGGATGGGGCGAAGCCACTGGCGAGGGCGAATGGGCGGATGAGAAAGCCGGTGAAGCAATTGCCAAGCAAGAAGAAAAGGAAGGTGGATGGGATGCAGGTGCTCAGGCCGAAGGCTGGAATGAGAACGCCGAGCCAGTCGCCATTCCCGAAGGCGGCGAGGCCATTCCAGACGCTGACGCCGAACCGGAATCCAACCACAAGTCCTATGCCGAGTATCTGGCCGAAAAGGCAGCTCAGAAGCTTCAAGGCCTTGGTCTCAAGGAGGCTCGCGCACCCAACGAGGGCACAAAAGAGGACAAGAAGTGGAAGTCGGCCAAGGAACTAACCAAGGAAGAGAACGCCGACTACTTCAAGGGTGAAGAAAAGGCCAGGCGAGAGCGTGAGCGTGCCACCAAGAAAGAATTCCTCGATATCGACTACTCTTTCAAGGAGCAGCCTCGCGAGTCTCGTGGACGTGGTGGTCGCGGTGGCGGTCGTGGCCGTGGAGGCAGCGATCGTGGCGACTTCCGTGGCCGGGGCCGTGGCCGCGGTGACCGTGGAGAGTATCGTGGACGTGGCCGTGGAGGTCGCGGCGGTGATGCTCCAGGAGTCGCCGTCAACGACGAATCAGCCTTCCCCAGCCTTGGTGGAAAGTAGATTGCCACATCACACAAGCCAACACAGCAACCATACATCACCTTCAGCACCCTCAACACCGACTTTTGTACTAGTGAAAAGCAGACTCATTGACTCGGAATGCCAACCAATAGCGATTTCGAAGGGACGAGCCGTCATTTCCAGGGAAGAACTCGGAGCTTGAATTTAGTCATATCAGAAACACAAAACACTTGTGCAACTCAAAAGCATTTGAGTGCAATAGTTTATGGGTATAGGAGGAGATCTGTTCTACGCTCTCAAGCAGAAACCATGGCTTGGAATCGTGTAACATATGCTTCCTGAATTCATGAGCACTATTGTTCTTGGGAGTGTAATTTCAGTTGATTCTCTACTTGTCCACATTCTCTGCACATGTGTCTACGCATGAATAAATTCGTAATTCGTAATGTCTTCGACTGCTTTAACGCCGTTTCAGTCATCCAAAGGATGACCGGAGTGGGTTTGACGTGACAAACTCGTCCATGATCAACACCACTCACGTCGTATACTTGGTGAGAAGGAGGGGAGTTGCTAACACAGAAGAAACATTGAGAAGAGTAGATGCTACAAGTACTTTTCCTCTTGTTAGCTGTTCCTGCTTGAATTCCTCACCCACGGTTCTTGGGAGACATGGTGACGGCAGTTGTAGCGGGTGCAATTGCCGGGGCCACGCACTTTCTAGAGGTACTGCACGAAGAGTCCACAGGAATAATATGAAATGCCGACCATCTCTTGTGCCTTCTAGGTGCGCAGTGCCGGCAGAGGCAACAAGCGGATCCTAGGATCGCTCACTCAACAACTACCGGTCCTTTTTAATACTCAGCGATACATCCCTCGATGGTCCACATTGCCCTCCCTCACTCCCACTTCGAGCCTACCCCCACCGACCCTCGTATTGGGGTGGCCTCGGCTAGTGTTCTGTCTCAGCCCGAACCAGCACCCCCGGGTTTCTGCCATGGCTCACTCCGCTTGGGTGTTTGTTGATTTATTGTCGCTGTGAGCATATGCCGTCCTTGTGAGCCCAGTGTCGCCTCTCACAATGAAGAGCCGAGCGGTCCACCTTGGGTGTGTCTTCGCGTCCATTCGCGGGCTCGAGTGTCAGCACTCTTTATACTCGTGCCGACTCCGACGTTTGTCTGGCTGAAGATCAACTGCCGAAGAACCTGAGCCACTTGAACATGTCGAGCAGTGGAAGGAGATCTCGTACATTGGACAGATCTCGCCCAAGGCTACGGCATCTAGTCACGGGTACATCGACTTGCTCTGCCCTTGACGGCTTAATATGATTGCAAGTCAAGCACATTCCTTTCTGTCCTGTTTCTTGGTGGTAAGTCTGTCTATACGGTTTGTAGATTCTCCGTGGGTTTCCTTCTCCCCCAGCACTTTTTCCTCTGGTGGAAAATGCTCGAATCAATATTCCCTGTCATTGCCGACAACTGGCCTATCGCGGTATCGATACTGCTAGTAGGCTATCTGCTAAGCAACTACTTCAACCATGGCCTGAACAAGTACCCGGGACCTTTCCTTGCAAAATTCACGAATTGGTGGAGATTCTTTGACGTATATGGACGACGACCGGACATAACTCACCTCAAGTTGCATCGTGAACTGGGAGACGTCGTCCGCCTAGGACCTAACAGCCTCTCTTTCTCCAACCCCAGGGCGTTGAAGACGATCTATGGGCTTAACAAGGGATTCATCAAGGTATGGTTGGACCTCCTGCGCACTGGCACTCGCCTCTTCTGATTCTGTCCGATAGTCCGATTTCTATCCTGTTCAACAAGCCGTGAAGGACGGCAAGCGGCTGCCGTCCTTGTTCTCGACCACCGATGAGGCGTTCCACGCCAATCTGCGACGATCAGTCAACAATGCATTCGCCATGAGCCAGTTGGTCCAGTACGAGCCGGGTGTCAATGAGACTATCGAAATCTTCCTAGATCAGACGGACAAGCTGTACGCGAAGCCGAATAGAAGATGTGACTTTGCAGAGTGGCTACAATTTTTCGCATTTGACGTGAGCGAGCGTACGATTCGGTGTCTTTCGACAGCTGACTAGTGACAGGTCATTGGACAAATTACCTACAGCAAGCGACATGGCTTCTTGGAAAGAAACGAGGATGTCGACGGCATGATTCGCTATCTTGGCAAGCTCTTCTCTTACGTTGCTCCTGTATGTTTACCATGGCAAGGTTGGAGAGACTAGAGTACTGACAGCACTTCTAGGTCGGCCAGATGCCCTGGATCGACCTGCTCTTCCTGAAGAACCCATTAGTCCTTCTTGCCGACAAGCTCGGCGTCAAATTGTTCGCATTTCCAATTACTAAATTCGCGTTGGCGCGTATGAACGAGCGTTTGACCGAGATCAAGGACCAAGGGCGTGAGAAGGGCACCAACAGGCCAGACCTCTTATCCATGTTTCTCAAGGCTCAGACCGACCGTCCAGACTTTATGACAGACCAGCGCGTATTGACCATGGCGGTATCCATGGCCTTCGCTGGATCGGAAACCACGGCCATCAGTCTAGCTGCAGTCTTCTACTACCTCCTCCGCAATCCACGTTGCTATGACAAAATTATGGCCGAGTTGGATGACGCAGTAAAGGAGGGCAGGATCGAGAACCGGCCAAGCGGAACAGTCTCGTGGGCCGAATCACAGAACTTGCCATACCTCGACGCGTGCATCAAGGAGGCTTTCAGAATGCATCCTGCCCCTGGACTGCCTATGGAGAGAGTTACGCCAGCTCAAGGCATCGAGATTGACGGTCATTTCATCCCCGGTGGAACGATAGTCGGATGTAATGCATGGGTAATACATAAACGTGAAGAAATCTTCGGCGCGCAAGTCGACAGCTATATTCCCGAGCGATGGCTGGATGCGAGTAAAGGGCAAGTGAAGGAAATGAACGGGACCCTGTTCCAATTCGGCGCCGGTGCAAGGACCTGCATCGGCAAGAACATCAGCTTGCTGGAGATGTACAAGCTTGTGCCGTCGTTTTTGAGAAGGTTTGAGGTGAGTACTACTACTGGCCATGACAAGTTTCTTTACTGGCGAGGCAATCTGACAATACGATGTGTGTGCTTGCAGATTCGATTTGACGACCCTAGCAGAGACTGGAAGCTGCATAATGGTGAGTAGTTGCTTTCTTATTTGCCGTGCCATAGCGTCACGGAGTGATCTGGACCGAGAAACTTGGCTGACCACCGTTATGTGCTCTTGCAGCATGGTTTGTAAAGGAGCATGACTTTTACTGCCGATTTCGACCCAGGAGTCTAGAAGTTTGAGGGCCGACATCACTCGAATCGGCATGATGTGTTTTTGTTTCTATGATTTGAGCGACGTCGTCATCCGCGGGTGTGGTCTGGGTACGCTGCCGTACATTATAGCTGATTGTCCCAAGATGTCATCGCGGGGTCTTGGATCCTTGATGTATATCGTCAGCACTCGCAGCATGCAGTATATGAGTAGTTATGGGTTAAGAGGAGGACGAACATTAGGGGAGTATATCCCGCTATTTTTTTTTAGAACAAGAAAATTTTGCTCGTTTTTCAGACACAACTTCTTTCTCATTTCCCGTGCCCTGTTCTCCTGTTCACCTGACTGGATAACTTACTCAAGACAGGTGGGAGGATATTGTCATCGGCCCAGGGCATCTACCTCGGTGCTTCAGCTGCATGGTGCTTCAGGCCTGCAGCCTGGCAGTGAGTATCAACAACACCGGTCCAAACAATGAGACGCACGTTCCAATGATCAGAGGCACACAGGGCTGGCTGACTTCGAAGAAAGGATGCTTCTCTGGCGATGTCGCAGGTCACCTTCTCAGACGTCGTCCACAACGAAAGGGGAAGGGGAAACAGCATGTGCTCAATCGTAGAGTGCACCGCTTTGTTTTCGTATCAGGTTCCAGGAGACAATTCAAGTTCTGACCATCGGGGTGAAGTAACACAACTGTGTGGAGTGCCTGTGTCTATGCCCGGGGCGGTGTGGCCCAGAGATAATCATTCACAATCACACAGCTTCAAATGCATGTCTTGGTTGTATTGTATCGCTCGCCATTACCCTCATGATCCACCTTTGCGACGCTGCCGGTCAACCGTGGAAGCAGTTGACCCTCTGGGCCCTGGAGCTCTGAGGGCGATCACGTGACTCGGCCGTGTGAAACGATGTCTCGCCCGAGAAGTATTGGCAACCTTACAGTGGAACAGTGAAGAAGAGCCTGGTGAGCCATTCACAAACATCGGGCGGTGGATACAATCAGATAACGCTACGAAGGTACCTGTGCAAGGGAGGCCCTGATTGTTAATCCGTTCCGCCCTCCCCCAGTCACCCGATGAGAGCGCACGGCCAAGATGGGACAAATATAAGGTCTGGAAAGGTACCTCGCAGCTGTCTTGAGGTTTCTGTGATTCTCCATCAACTCAAGCCATCAAAAGTAACAGACCCTCTTGATTGTAAACCCACCTCCACGACGCAAACATGGGAGCCGCAGACAACTTCCTTGAGCTCACCAAGGCTCGCAGGTCGATCTATGCCTTAGCCAGGGAAAGTACCATCCCAGACTCGAGAGTCGAAGAGATCGTCAAGCATGCTGTGACCTGGGCTCCCTCTACATACAACGTCCAGTCTGCTCGTGCAGTGGTGCTCTTTGGTGCCGAACACGAGAAATTGTGGGCAATTGTCAAGAAGCACATGGACCAAGTTCCCATGGATGAAGGGGTCAAGGGATATGTAAGTGACCCCTTTAGCTTGAGCTTCACCTCTATTCTCCGGACTAGTACTCTGGTGCTTTGTCCCACTTTCTGTGTGTGTCTCTCTTGATTCTCAGCTGACACTTTGAGCTTTCGTCCAGTTGGCCGGTCGCATCAACGGCTTTAACAGCAGTTACGGCACTGTGATGTGGTTTGAGGACCAGGCTGCTCTCGATGCCCTGGGCGAGAAGAACGCGATGGTCGTGCCTCTGTTGACTGAATGTAAGTCGGGGAAAGGACATAGTCCTCCTTCCTTGGTGATTGTTGGTCAGGTATTGATATTAACCTTTCTCATCGCGTAGTCTCTGATCATTCAAGTGGTATGCATCAATTCATCGGTAAGTTCTTCCTCGTATAATTTTGTGGCCTCCTCTTTTTCCCAAAACTGATGGGTTTTGATAGCCTGGACCGCTCTCGAAGCCGAGGGTCTTGGATGCAATCTTCAGCACTTCAACTTTCACCCCGGCATCGTCGCCGATGTAAAATCAACCTGGGATCTTCCTGAAACCTGGAAGCTCAAGGCTCAGTTGGTATTTGGCAAGCCGTCGGCAGGCCCCCATGACAAGACCTTTGAGCCGATCGAGAAGAGAGTGCTGGTAAAGAAGGCGTAAAAATAACGATTTTCATCAAACTCGACCAAGCACTACTACTTTGCACGAGAACCGAAAAGCACTTGCAACACACCTCGCCTTTGAAATGCCAAGAGCAGGGTTGTTGAACAAGGCCACATCGACAGATGCAGGGGCAGATTTGACTGACTAGACATATCGTCACCCCAGGAGGTGAAGGGCCTGCTAACGCGACGCGCGCATTGGGACGATAGACGAGAAACATGAATACAGGTAGATTGACACTAGAAACACGAGAGATCATTATGCCGCACAAACGTCAGGGCAATTCGTGATGCCTTCTTGTCCGAAGGCTGCCTGAACTCTGAGACACGGGCGACATACGGAGTCGTGGGTGACCAAGGATTGTTGGATTCTTTCATGTACTTCCGGAGCCTTAAGTTATCGAGCTTGGAAATCTAGCCAACGCCACGGGTCCCGATGTGGACTAGTGCCACTAGTCTCGCCTTGCCCGGACACGTTTCCTCCCAAGTCCCTCAAATGATCGTGTCCCTTTTCTCTGCTTATCCAGTTCACCTCGTCCCCTCCGTCCTTGTCACCACCACCTCTATCTCTTCCCGACCCTCTTACATTCGTTTCTTATCGTCGTCAAGGAGGGCTTCTTCTCGCCTTCATCTCTTCGTTCCCATTCCATACACGTGTCGGGGTTGGACGACCGCCTGGGGGCAGCACTGTCATTGAACAACCACCCTGCAGCCCGTTAGGGGTTCTTCGGCAGAGCTAGACTTTTGGCGGGGACGTGTACAGCTCCCCCTAATTCAACGTTGGGAACGGCGTGCTACTCAAAGGAATCCTAGCCTGGACATTTCCAAACCCTCACCCAGTGCCATCTCGGAAACGTCCTTCGTGAGGACTTTTTTTTTCGACGAGACACGACCCATACGTCAGGGCTATCGCGATGATGCACCTAACTTCGCTGCCGGCGGTGCTGGCTCTTCTCTTCGCCTGTCTGGCCTCTGCTTATCGACCAGTCCAATTCGTCAAGCACACGGGCGAAGCTGGCCGGGCCGATCAAGCCTTCAGTCTGGTCAACTACTACAATGAGACAACACAGCAATCCGACCTGTACGTCCGCATGTGGGCGTTCCGCTACGAGTCCAGCGCGCTAGGATGGGCGGCTCTGGGTTTGGGCCCTCAGATGAAAGGCTCGCTCATGTTTATTACTTACGGCGACCCGGCGACGAACGAGCTCACTCTGACCGTACGGACCGTCGACGGGCACCACCCTCCGCGCCCAGTACCGGAAATGGCCGACTTCTACTCTGGCGACGTGCCCGTCGTCGACGTCGTCTCGACCCGCTTCGAGCCATACGACGGCGACTTCGTCCTCGAGGAGCTTCAACAGAAGCCCTCGCATCTGGGCATTGCCGAGTTCATCGTGCGTGGCTACGACAAGTGGACGGCTGCCGACCTCGGTGTCCACAACGACACCACCAAGCAGTCGATGATCTGGAGCAGCAACTTCAAGCAAGATTACGATGGTGACTTTTCTCCCGAGCGAAACATCGACATGCACCAGTTTGGCCTGGGCTTCGGTTTCGTCTGGGCGGATCTACTGAACGCTGTGTCGCCCGTACCCTTTTTCGGTCCGATCAATGAGTTGGATGGGCACAAGGGTGTCAATGAGATTGGTGACCCTCTCGAACCCACGGCCGATGAGTTGAAGACCGGTGACGATATCATCGCCGCGCAAGAGGGTGGTGCCGATGGTGGTGACTCTGGAAACGACGCTGACAACGACAGCTCGCCGACTGAGGATACACCCTCGGAGGATACGCCCGCTGATGACACGCCCACCGATGGAACGCCCACCGATGATAAGCCCCCCGAGGATACACCCCCCGTAGACACACCCACCGAGGATACGCCCGCCGAAGAGACGCCCGTACCTCAACCCGACGGCGCCGACGGTGACACTGGAAGCGACGTTGGAGGTGACGGCTCGTCCACCGAGAAGACTCCAGTATCCCAACCGGGCGCTGATGACGGGACCAAGGTCGAGGAGCCCGTCAAGACCGTCAAACAGTGGAACATTCGATCTTTGATGTGGTAAGTGCCTTTTGAGACCTCTCCGTCTAATTTTGTCTTCTTCTTCCTTGTCCTTGTTGCTTTGATCTTGTCACATGGAAATCGATCGGGCGGAAAACTAACGCTATCGTCCCCCACCCCTCTAACAGGCATATCCACGGTTTCTTGATGACGCTGTCCTTCCTCATCCTCTACCCGATGGCGATTTTCTTTTTGCGCTCGTCGCGGCCCGAGGCCTTCAACCTCCACTGGACCATCAACTCGCTTGCCGGCGTGGGTGTCGGCATCGGCGCGGTAGTCGGCTTTATCAATTCCCGCTCGATCTCCATCCCGCACCAGTACGCCGGCATCCTGGTCGTGTGCGCGCTCGCCGTGCAGACGGTGCTCGGCTGGCGCCATCACGTCGTGTACGTGTCCCACCGCGGCGGCGGCGGACGCACCTGGATGTCCAAGGTGCACGTGTGGCTCGGCCGCGTCGTCCTGCCCGTCGGCATGCTCAACGTTGTCTCGGGCCTTCTTCTGCGCCACTACGGCTGGCTGACCATCAGCCTGACCTTGGCGCTGGCCGCCGTCGAGCTCATCGTGCTCACCCTCATCGTCGGCCGCGCCAGGCGGAACCGCAGATCCGGCGGCCCGCTGCAGGCCAAGAGCGCTCCTCCGATCGGCGTCGAGGAGGCCGAAGAGTATTTCCAGCTTGGCGATGACGACGATGCCGAGTTCAGCGACGCCAACGACGAGGAGGCCGCCGGCAACGCCGCGGCCCTCCGCGCGAAGAAGGACGCCGAGCGCCAGGATCAGGCGAAACGCCTAGCACGGTTGGACAAGGTTTGAGGCATGTAACACTGACTTTGGTCTGGTCTGATCCGGTCCGGTCCGGTCTGGCCTGATATGGGTATGGGTATGGGTATGGTATGGTCTGGTGTTGCACATGTGGAATGGGCCTCTGTGGCTATGGCCTTTGCTTCATCATCATCATCATCTTCTTCTTCTTCTCACTCTCCTTCCACCTCTGTTTATTTAGGGACAATTATAGACATACTCAAGTTGGGGGATTGGTAAAGGTCATGCTTGCCTGCATGATTGATTGTATCTAGATTTACATTTTGTCGAGGGCTCACGGTGAGCTGTGAAAGAGGGTGGGTTTTGTTATGATCTTTCTCTATTTACGCTTTTAAAAATTATATCCGGGTAGGTACATAGGGTGGGATCTCAAGCAAATAGGGTGTGTACTCTTTATAAATGACAAGGTTTCCCGTATCTACTATTACAGAGTCCCTTGATTGAACTCTACACCGAGACACCTGAGGCTGTTCTACTCGAGGTGTTGATCAACTCCTTTTCATCATAATGTCCAATGTCATCTCAAGTCGTTCCCTTTTCCCTTCCGCGTCGTGGTCATCATAATCCGCCAACAATCTGCCGCAACTGTGGAACGTGATCTCCCGCGAAATAAAGACCGTACACGGTAAGACCGGCGATCAATAGACCACTGAGCTTCTCCAGCCACGTGTGGAACCAGATGGCAGTCATCATCAGCATCCAGATATCCAACCCCACAACGGTGTAGACGAAATATCTCGACCATATCCGTATCTTTGCAACCGTCTCGGACTCCCATCCTCCGACCGCCTTTCGTTCCTCTTCCGTCATGTCGTGGGCAACTGCGGCCGCGGCTTTGGGGGAGACGTGAGGATGAGCCGAGTCGCGATCGGAGATGTACAGCTCGTAGATGAGCAGGGCCGAGGAGAGGACCAGGATGAAGACGTGGCCGGAAATATCATGCCCTCCTCGCCAACGACCCCCGGCGGCCTTGCACACGAACCCGGAAGAAATGGAGGCCATGTCAACCGCCTCTCTCAGACTGTTTGTATTCATGATGTGCGGTTCACAGTGGCCGCCGGTGATTGTGAAGCTGCGGTCGATGAGCGCAGGCCCGAAAAACCACTGCGTCGTGAGAAACCATGACACCGTGGCTACGGAGTACCGGAGCGCCACTTGGGCGTAGTGTTTGACTTTCAGACCCGGGGCCGGTCGCGCGGTGAGTTGCAGGAGCAGGAGGGCCAACGACGTCCAGAACCAGTCCCGCTTCACAAAGTAGACGTTGAAGATGTTCCTCTTGCCGGAGAAGTAGTTCGTGTCGGGCGCGGTGACGTCGAGCGGCGACAGGATCGAGTAGGCGGACCCCAGAGCAAGGATCACAGGGTAGACGAGGAGGAGGTATGTCGAGGGACGACCCCGTGGTGAGGGCATGGCGAAGGAGGAGTCGGCGAGGTACTGCAGCCGTGGGAGAGAACAGTGTCACCGAGAGAAACAGCTGCAATGTCCGCCTTCAGTTGCTCAGACTCACTGGCAACGTTGCCGCATTCCAAAAGTTGCTACAAATAAGTGTAGACCAATCAGAAGTCGCCTCTAGAGTCTATCGACAGTAGAAATCTGTATTAGCGCGGATGCGAGATGCGAAATGACGTAGACCCTTCGGGTTACCTGGCAATGCCTCATTCCCAAATCCAAACTCCTGTTGTACTGGACACCGTACTGAGTTTCTGGGTTTAGATAGGTATAAGGAGACCCTCTCTCCAAGTAGAACTTTGTAGTTCTGGCATAGTTCTGGCATATCCTCTAGAAGCAATATAGACTCAAGGAAGCAAACCTATGTAATGTACGAGTACAGGTAACTGAGCCGAGGGTCTGAGCTCCTCAGACACCTGCAATATATTTATCTCCCTATAGTCGACGCATGGGACTGGTATCTAATGTCAGATAGATAACCTCAACACCGTCCTCCCTCTGTCCTTGCCATACTTCTCTTACTCGAGAAAAGTTCATCTTACCCCTACCCCATGCCATTCGATGATCAGATCGTTGCCACCATCTGGCAAACGTGGAATCGCGTGTCAGCCTGATTCTGGGTCTTTTGGTTTTGGCCCAATTGACCCAGTCTTCGCCATGAGATCCAATCGTAGTCTGTCATATTAATATGGCCCTCGACGCTTGCCTTCCTAGCGGTCTGCCTGTCCGGATCCCTGCATCATGACCTGGATAGTGGCCACCTGCGATTCACACTCACCACAAATGTTCAAATCCTCTTCTCGGCGGTCTGACTTCCGGCCACGGGGACGAAGCCAGAATTCCCCAGAGACTCTTTTTCTTTGCTCCATCGTTCTCTTGTCCATATACATCACACAGGCACAAGACTCGGAGCGGTAGGGAACCCAGACACGGTGCCACGAGCCCATCATTGCTGTTGCTGTGCGTCTGTTTGTGCTGCATCAACCCGCTTGCGCTCTTCAGCCCGAAGTTAGAACTGTGCAACATTCACATAGAGAACGTCCCCATTTATCTCAGTCGCGCGGATTCCAAACCAGAAAGTCTCGTCTCTGACTGCGACTCCGACCTCACGTCGACCTCTACGCCGTCGGTGTCAGCCTAGAAATCTCTCGGGATGGATATTCAGCGTATGCGCCGCACCGCCACCACCGGCACCAACAGCCTCATTGAACTGCCCGAGTACATCATCACCACCTTCTTTCCCAGCGCCCGGCCATTGCTCGACAAGCATCCCGCCCTCTTCCGCTTTGTCGGCATCTTGCTGGCGTTATATTACTTTGGGCCCGTCACGCGTCTGCAAACCCTCTGGCAGCGCTTCTCGTCTCTGCTGGTTGCCACCGTCACCGTCTCCTCAGACGAAGACCTCTTCAACTATCTGAGCACTTACATCGCAGAGATACGTACTCTGCGTGCCGATCAACTGCTCAATGCCACCCTCAACACCCCCAACGAGTTCATGCCAGGCCGCCGCCGTCGTGCTCCTCACGACATGGACGTCGAAGAGTCGGCTCGCCGCACCGCCGACCCCAAGATCAAGTACGAGCAAGGCCAGGGCGTGCAGTTGTTCATCTACCAACGCCGCCTGTTCTATGTTTCCCGCAAGTATGGCGAGGGCCACACCTACTCCGGCAACCGCTACTCCCGCATCGAAGTCCTCAGCCTCTCGTGCCTAGGCCGCTCCACTGCCCCAATCAAAGATTTTCTCGAGTACATTTACCGCATGAACAAGGAGAAAGAGCGGTCTCTCACCGTCATTCGTCGCCCCTATGACGGCGGATATGGCGGCCGCTCGACCTGGTCGCGGCTAACCAGCAAACCCCGCCGTGCTCTGGACACGGTCATTCTTGATGCAGGTCAAAAGGAGCAGGTGCTGGCCGACGTGGAGGAGTACATGGACGAAACCACCATGAATTTCTACGCGAGCCACGGTATTCCCTACCGCAGAGGTTACCTGTTCCATGGCCCACCGGGCGTGGGAAAGACGTCGTTCGCTTTAGCGCTGGCAAGCAAATTCAATCTCGATGTGTACAATCTGACATTGTTGGACCACAATCTCACCGACTCAGATCTGGTGTCGCTATTGAACCAGTTGCCCGGCCGGTCACTGTTGCTGCTGGAGGATATCGACACGGCAGGATTGAGCCGGAAAGGGAAGAACACGACCTCCCGACGTCGGCGCGGCGCAAGGGGAAAACTGCCCGAGGGCGCAGTGGCGAAGAAGAAAGAAAATAGCAACGATCTTGACATTGACAGTGACGACGACGACTCATCGACGAGCACGAGTCGTGTCACGTTGAGTGGGCTGTTGAATGCGATCGACGGAGTCGCTGCTCCAGAGGGACACATACTAATCATGGTGAGTTACCCTAGTTACAATTGGTGGTTATCTACCAGGTTGGCTGACAAACTGCAATAGACAACGAATAAGCCGCACGATTTGGACGACGCTCTCGTTCGTGCCGGGAGAATCAGCGTGCGAGTTGGCTTCAAGAACGCGTCGAAGAAACAGGCCGAGGAGATTTTCCTGAGGATGTATGTCGACATGCCGAGCGGCAGTCATGTCCAAAACAGGGAAGATGGTGAAAAGAAGGCGCCTTTGGCCACACCTGGACCGGACACTGCACGGCTCTATGAGTTGGCGAGAAAGTTTGCCGATCTGATTCCAGACCACGACTTTTCGCCGGCCGACTTGCAGGACTATCTGCTCGTACACAAGAAAGACGCCGAAAAGGCGCTGGTGGAACTGCCTGCGTGGATGGACGAGGCGTACGAGGAGAGGCGACGCAAAGAAGAAGAGAAGGAAGTCGACCGTGAACTGAGGAAGGAGGCCAAGCTCGAGGAGAGACGGAGATTTCGGGAAGAAGTCAAGGCGGCGGTAAAAGAAACAAAGGAGGGAAGGGACGATGACGAAGAAGGAGAAGACGACGACGACGACGACGTCGGGGGTGATGATGGTGACAAGGTCGAGCTTGAGCACGCGGAAGAAAAGGAAGCTGAAGATGCCAAACCCGCAGAAGGAGAAGGGTCGGCTGGGAATGCCACGCCATAGAGATTAGGTACGTCATTTGAGACGGCACACACACGAGACATGGATGGTAGAAAGAAAGAGAGAGAGAGTCTGTGTGTGTGTGAATTTCGTGCGCCCGGAGTGGAATAGAAACGGGAGACCATGGTGGTAGAATGCGGGCCCACGAAACAGCAAGATTGAATAGATCCGGCACACAGAGACACAGACAGACAGACACACCAGTATCTAAATGCTCTGGAGAGGTGAAACAGGACCATGGTATAGCACCAAGAAGAAGAACGAACAATAACAACGAGAAACTGAAATTCAATGCAATACGCGAACGTTGGTTTGGGAAATTGAGATGAGCTTGCAAGTACTTGATTTTTAGTAATTTCGACGACCAAAGGAGACCCAGCTAGGACCAAAAAAAGGAAGGAACCTCGGGGGCGCCGATGGGTGTGCGTCGTCTCCTCTCTCTCTCTCTCTCTCTACCATACAGCTGGGATCATCCGCCAACGAGCCTCGACTTCCCTCCTCCGTTCGGGAAACTTGGCCATCATCCACCGCCTGGTCCCATCCGCCGTGACGCCCAGGTTGACCGTGACGAACAGCAAGGCGGCAATCAGCGACCAGTTGGTGCCCCCGCGCTCGTCCCGAGCCTGCAGGAGGGCCAGGGAGAGATAGATGCCGCATTCGGCAGTGTAGTGAGGCGCGACGATGGTCCGGAAGATGCCGGTGTCTGGGAGTGTGTATTTTTTCAGGCTCGCCAGGTGGCGGTGGTATTTGTTTTGCTTGTACGAAGTGTAGAGAAAGACGGAGGTGCAGACGAATGTTTTGGGCGTCGTGAGGAAGGATAAGAAACCTCGTGGGATTTGTACTGCTGGTGGTGGTGGTGACGGTGGAGGCTGAAGAAGCCGCTGCTGCTGGTGTTTTGCTACACCCTCGACGAAAATTCCAAGGTTGGTGAAAAAGTAGAATGCCAGGCCGATGGCGTAGTGACCTATCCACATTTGAGAAGTGGCTGGTCTCGAGGTCGTGTTTGTGGTCGTTTTGTCCTTGTCCTCGTCCTTTTTCTTGTTCTTGTTCCTGTTTTTGTTCGTGTTTGTATTTGTGTCCTTGTTCGTAACGTACATACATTCCAGCAGTCGACGACTTCCCTGGATGAGCATCAAGATTGAACAGAACAGATATGACGGTGCTGACGTTGTCATGTCCTCCATGTTCTCAATGTTCGCGTTCATGTTCATGGTCCGGGAGCTCAGAGCATGCTGCGGATCGTTTGATCGTAAGGATGCTGCTATTATCGTCGTCGTCGACAGTACCACCGATAAAATATAGAAGTGAATGAACCATGAATGCGGCACTTTCCAGCTCATGACGTGGTCGAGAACTTGAGAAGGTAACAAGGACAAAGACGACAGTCTGGATCTGGACCCTGTTGTGCCATTGCCGTGTATCCCTGCTTCCTGTACCTGTCCGTGTCCTCCTCCAGAGTCTCGCGCTCCGTAGGATAAGAATCGATTTTTGAGTCCAGGGATCAGACGCACAACGAGGATGACAGCGATGCTGAAGAGGTAGAATGCTCTTGTGCACCACACAATTTGGTCGAGCATTGTGTTGTTTGCAATAAAAAAATTCGAACCTTCATAGTCTGTATTCTTTATCCTGTACGGATTCGATGGTTCACAATGTACACAGTAGGTACGAATGATGGAGTACGTAGCAAGTTGGCTCATAGAAAGAAAAAGGAAAACGTGGTTTGGAAGGCTCAGGCTCAGGCTCAGGCTCGCTAGGCGAAAGAGTTTGGGCGGGAAAAAGTGCAAAAGGTACCTAGGTACTCCCGTATCCGTACACACTGTATGGAGTATGATACAATCTACTGTACCTTTTCTGAGAAGACAATGCAATACAGAGCATCTCACACAGTCACATTGCAATGGAGAGCCGACGAGTGGCACACCAGAATAAAGGAAAAGACAACCTTGTACGGAGTATGAGAAGACTTTCCAAACAACGATCTCACGTGGGTTCACCAATTTTAAGAAGAAACAAGAAAATGCAAAAGAACACACCAACACCAAGGAGAGAACAGAGAAGGGGAAAGAATCTGTACAGGCCAGAAATTACTGCCCTGGAATGAATGGAGAACTAATGAGATTGACTTTGGCGCCCAAGTTTGGAATTGAGATTGATGGCTGATCAGAGCAGGGGCCGCTCTGGGTTTGTACTGTACTGTAGGTGCCTCTTTTTAGAGACCTGGGTCAGGATGGGGTGGAGGAGGACATTGCGGTCAATACAGCAAGTCCAAGCTTGCTTTTATTAGTTGAGCTCGTATTGCGTATCCCTACAGCGGATCAGGGATCAGTGGGAGAGACACAGAAAGACAAACAGGCGAAGGGCCAGGGAAAACGAGCATGTTATTGGCAACGGAGTAATTAACGTACTCACTACCAGCCCCGGAGTGCAACCTTAGGCACCTCTAGGCTGCTCTAGGAGGCACTGACTGGGATGATCTGAAAACGCCCCCTCGAGTCATGACTTTCTCCCCAGCCCGGACAGACGTGATCACGTGAGACCGCCCAATCTGGCCTTGCTGGTCTTCGCTGTCTTTGTCGGTGATGCAGAGTCTCAATTCTACACAGTCCAACTCATCTTCATCAAAAGCCCACCAACCCACTCACAGGCGCATCCTTAGAACCCGCTCTATCATCTTCATCATATTCCACCTGTTAGCCGACTCCATCATCCCTCACCGTAGTCCTTCCGGTCTTGACCACGGCGCCCTCTTCACCGCCATCGACCAACGCCAATCGCTTTTCCCAGCCTCCCACCCTCAACTCGTCCACCACGGTGCCCCGTTCCACCCAACACGGCCGACAGTAATGATCAAACGCAAAATGAAGAGAAAGCCGGCACTGCAATGAGCGAGTCGGTCGGTCCAGATGTGGCTAAAGAGGTCTCGCCCGACAAGGCCGTTGACCATTCAACAGCCAATGGAGCCTCGAGCCACTCTGCGTCCACACCCCCAAAGCCGGAAGAATTGATTTCGTCCAAGGCAGAATCTGCTGCTCCTGTACCAACTGTAGATCAAACCATGGCCGATTCGCCAGACGCTGAAGCAGACGGAGATTCCGAGGCGGAGACACTTATTCAGTCACCCGAAAAACAAAGGACTACTGCAGGATCGACCGCAGATAACGCGTCCGTAGCCGGGTCAGTGCGGCATACGGCAGCAAAAGGTGAACAGTCGTCGAACGGAGCAAGTGCCACTGAGGGCGACAGTAAATCAAGGAAGCGCAAGCGGAGCGTTGACGATGCTCGTGACGAACTCGCCTTTTCCGTGTCGAGTCGCCAAAGCTCACCGTTATCATCGCTCTTGCATCCGCATTCAGAAGCAGATAATGATTCAGACGTATCAAGCCATATTGCATCGACGAGGATAAAGCCATCCCGGAAGAAGCGCGAGAAGAGGTCGGCCGATCCCGACGATGCCGAAGAGAAACCAGTCGAAAACCAAATTCGCAGACGTCGCCCGAGCGACATACTCCCCAAACAACGCACAAAGAATAATTCCAGCGGTGTAGATCCTGGCTCTTCCGAGCGGCGCGAAACGAGGTCTGCTACTTATCCCCGCCACTCTTCACAAGAGCGCTCACCTTCACCACCACCGCCGCCGCACCGTAAGGAACACAGGCGTGGCGTATCCACCCAATTCACTCTTGGCGATGTAGAAAGGAAGAAGCGCGGGCGTCCTCCCGCGATCCAAACGAAGAGGAGCGGTTCTGCGGATCATAGGAGACGTTCCGTGTCATCGGACGAGTCGGATTCGCCGCGACGCGTCCGGCCTGCTTTGCACAAATTCATATCAACAGACCACGAGAACATGTCGCCTGCCAAAACAGCTGGGCCGATGGTTCGCAAATTGAAGGATCGGAATGGTAGGACTCATCTTGCCAGAGCGGCGAACAACAACGATCTGGAAGTGGCAAAGCAGAAATTGGCCGAGAGACCGGAAGATTTGAACGAAGCGGACAATGCTGGAAACACGCCCCTTCAAATCGCCGCGCTCTCGGGATTCACAGAGATTGTCAAGTTTTTGTTGGAGAACGGCTGTGAGGTTGACACGCTGAACATTGATAGGGATACACCACTGATCGATGCTATCGAGAATGGGCATGTAGACGTTGTCAGGTTGCTTCTGGAGTATGGTGCGAATCCTCGACGCGGTAACGCTAAGGGCGAAGAGCCGTACGAGCTTGTCGATAAGAACGACGAGAACTATGACGAGATCCGAGCACTGATCGCAAAGGCAAAAGATAAACCGGTCCGACGAGTATCTAACGAACACACAGAGGTCTCACGCGACGGACACTCTTCTCGAGCGGCTTCAGCCGCCAGTCCACGGGATTCACCTCCGATCAATGGCCCTAGAAGTCCACCAACATATTCATCCTCGAGACGGCGAAAGACTGGTCGTAGTGAATCGACAAGGAACGATCTACTTTGGCAAGCAAATACCCAGGAGAATTTGACTCGTCTCGCTGGCAAGGGCGATGTTCAAGGAGTGGGAAATATTCTCAATATACTGCAGAAAGCCGAAACCGAATCACTCATAGCTGCCGCAAAAGCTGGGCATGAAGAAGTGTTGCAATATCTGTTGGCCATTGGAGATGCAGAACCCGATCCCGACCCAGTGAAGGGCCTCAAGCTCGGGCACAACACCCCTATGCTTGCGGCCATCGGACGAGGCCATCCTGAAGTGGTGAAACTTCTAGTGGAGTTAGACGGTTTCGATCCTACAAGAAAGCTTCTTAAGGGGAAGACATACCACGAGATTGCGGCCGAACGCAAGGGTGAACAATGGCAGAAGGAGTACGACATCTTAAAAGATGCATACGACAAGGCCGTGGGTGGGAAATTGAGAAAGACCACGTCCCCTCGTGCGACGAGAGATAACGAAAAACATCGTTCCCGTCTTGCGCGACGTTCACATTCCCCTCCTGCTAACAAACAGCGGACGTCTTCGAGCCCAACCTTGACTCACAAGCTGAACCCGAACAAATCCCCTCAATCTTCGAGTAAAGATGGGGACCGAGACCGAACCTCTACTGATGTGCTTGAACGACGTAAGAATGCAGCGTTGAGGAAAGAACGCAGCGATGTTGCGGTTTCTTCTGATCAAGACCAAACTGTGTCTGGCCCCAGCAAAGGCCACATGAAGCGCAGAAGTCAGAGCGATGCACAATCGGCTTTCCTCGACGTTGAAGGTACCCACCGACGGAGACGACTGGTCACAGGGAAGGAACACCGCCGGCGCAAGAGTGCCATCACAGAACATTCTTCAGACGACGACGGATCTACAATCCCTGGAAAGACCGAAACTCAACCGACAGCCTTGAAAAGAACTCGAGAGAGTCTCACTCCCGACCAAGATCGTGCTCAAGGTGAGAGTGCTGGTAGCATTGTCAAGAAACGCAGAACAGTGGTGGACAGCAGTCCCGAGGCATCAAGACCCGATTGTCTTACCCAGTCATCTCGCGACGTCCAGCCCAGCATCGAGGACAAGCGGTCTACGCCACGTGAAGGACGGAGGCATGACCATCTTAGCCCTAAATCTCTGGGTACAGAGAAGAACCAGAAGAGCGCGGGCGAGGTGTTAGAGCAGGAGTACGCGCCGATTGCGCCCCCAGCACGTCCAAGTCCTCACGGAAATGATATAAAGATGGAAGAAGTCGATGTCAAACCGACTGTAGCCGAGCTCCAAGCACAACGCGAAGAAGAGGCAAGGAAAGCCGAAGAAGCGAGAAAAGCGGAAGAGGCAAGACACGCAGAAGAGGCCCGAAAGGCAGCAGAGGCAAAGAGGTTGGAAGAGGAAAGAATTGCAGCTGAAAAGGCCGAGGAGGAACGTAGGGTGGCAGAAGAGAACGAGCGTCGTAGACGAGCAGAAGAAGAGGCGGCAGTGGCGCAACGGAAATTGGAAGAAGAAGCAGCACAAAAGAAACGAGAAGAGGAGGAACGGCAAGAGCGTATTAAGCGCGAGCTTGAAGAGCGACAACGACGACAAGAGGAGTACATTCGACAGCAACGCCTGGAGTACGAAAGACGCCGTAGAGAGGCGTTACCCATTGTCCTCAGCATGACAGCCTTGATGATCGACAACAATGACCCTGTCGTGAGGAGTGACGCCTGGCTACGCAAATTCCTACCGCTTTTTACTGTCAAAACCTCTCAGCTGACATCCGAGTCCGTTCCAGTGACCACGGATGATCTTTGGGTGCCGAATTTCCAAGTGGCCGGGCTACTGGCAACGAAAGACCTAAATCTTCGCAACTACACTTCTCTCGAGAAGAGGCCAGTCACACAGAACCAGCGACTTTGCTTGTGGAAAGTATCACGGAACATGCTATCGTTTGAATATGACGCCACTGCGTACAATACCACCATTCAACAAGCGAAGGAGAAGGAAGAAGAGGAGAGACCCAAGTTCTTGAACATGGAGGAACTCTTCTGGGTCAAGGTACGTGGTGTCTCATCGCGATCTGGTGCCTTGGATACTGACTCTTTATACAGTACTCTGATTTCGAAGATCAACTCTTTCGGCATCCTCATTTGGCGGCTCTCCTGCCGCTGAAAAAGCAAGCCATTTCTGTGAGAATCCCTCATGGACAGTTACCGGCAACACCAGGACCTTTTGCGAATGGAATATCCCCCTTCCAAGCCAAACTTACCAACGGCATTACCTCCCATTTACCACCATCACCTTACGGAAATGGATACGCTCGCTAACACACTCGACACTGTCGAATTTCTGTCACCGACACTATCACGACTCTTGATGAGGAGAATTACCATGGCGCATATTGTGATGACAACAATCTCCAATATTATGGGGGTTGAGTATGGCTTTTCTTTGTCTCGATAGTACTGTGGTATATACAGTCGGTCAATACACGAGGTCATGAGATTGTAGAATGGGCTAGATTCCCCTCTACGGATAAATAAACGAATGTGGATAATAACAGCACAACAATTTTTACTCTGTGATTTGTGTCTCGCCAGTCGTACAAGAAGTGTAGTCCTAGACTTATCGAATCTCAAGTGCATGTTTCGACTCGAAAGCGGTTGCCGACAAGGACAACAGAGTCCTCACAGTCAGACTTGTTCTGGAATGGGGGCGGTGTGCAGACTCCGGTCTAGCAGGGTGTCATTTCAACGGTCTTGGCACATCAAATGACGGTCTTGGCATTGTGCGCGAATTCGAAAATCGCACTTGCATTAGCCGGACAGACTTGAACCCTTTGATGTACCTCTTAATTCATTCTCTCAAATCAGTGACTCTTTGAGGATCATCCGACATTGTTGATATCCCATACTTGAACAAGCAAGTACCGAATCGCCAAAATGGTACGTTCCTGACAAACGATTCCTGATTCCACAACGCCCGCCGATCTGTCATATCCTGTCGTCGACTGCGCCTTGAACCAAGGGTTACATTCTTTCGATTCGATTGAGACAGATTGGACTTGTGGAAGATGAGAGAGAGAGAAATGAAAAAAGAAGAAGCTCTTTGCTAACATGACTGTCTTGTCAAATTTCTAGTCGGACGGAGAAGAGCCCACTTCCCCCGTTGTCGCTGCTGCCGATGAAGTCGAAGTCTCTGGCGATGCCGCTGCGTCTTCTGGATCCATGTCTGTCCTTGATGCCCTGAAAGGTGCGTTTATGTTCATTCCTCTTTGGCTTTTAAGACAACGTGATTTGATTGGATGGTGGAAAGTGAGAGAGAAGAAAAATACTGACAATAGGGAAAATTAAACAGGTGTCCTCCGAATCGCCCTCATCCACGATGGTCTCGCCCGGGGTCTGCGCGAAGCCTCCAAGGCTCTCGACCGTCGCCAAGCACACATGTGCGTCCTGAACGAGGCATGCGAGGAGGAAGCTTACAAGAAGCTCGTCATTGCTCTGTGCTCCGAACACAAGATCCCCTTGATCAAGGTCCCTGACGGAAAGATGTTGGGCGAATGGGCCGGTCTCTGTGTCCTGGACCGCGAGGGTAACGCCAGAAAGGTGGTCAACTGCTCGTGCGTCGTTGTCCGTGACTGGGGTGAGGAAAGCCAAGAGCGCAACGTCCTCTTGAACTACTTCCAGACCGAGCAGTAGAGTTGTTGAAAAGGGGAGGAGGTTATGTTGACTATTCTGGCGTGTCGTGGCATGGCATTCGAAACCAGCAAGACGTGTCTTTCTTGTCTGTTTCCATGCCCATGGGATTGAAGACAATGCCCGTGTTTCTCTTCTTTCAGGGGATTTTCTCTATTTTTCAACACACTCGCGACACATACAAACCATCCATTGCGCATTACACATTATGGACACGGTATGGGGTGAGGACCAGAGACAGAAAGGAAAAAAGAAATTGAATCGGAAAGAAAGAAAGGGAACATTGGGGTATTGTCTGCTATGAACGAGCGGCCTGAATTCAGAGTTTATGGACCATTATCTCCTTCGACCTTGTGCCTTTTCGACAACGTTCAAAAATCAATGAAACAAAACGGCGGAAGAAGACTGTTGCCCCATTTTTCCCTTTTGACAGACTCAAAAACTGACAACTTTTGCATGTGAATGGGTTATGCTATTACATCGAATATGCCAGGGCAGAGGAAAAAAAAACCAAAGGGGGTTGTGGGCGTACATACCCCAAAAATGTGATGTCATTCAATCAACCATGCTTTAATTTTTTTGGTATCTCGTTGTGATTTCAAATCCCCATGGTCTTTCATCTCGTGTTGTGGTGGTCGCAGTGATTTATGTCTGTATGGATGTAGGTGTTGGGTTTGCCCGATGCCCGATGACATGCATTTTGACGCTAACCTGGGGAAACTGCGCTAACCGAACTTCGTATTCAGAATACGGCAACCTTGCAAGCGTCTCGTCGTCGGTTCAATCAGTTCGTCCGCTTCGTCTGTTCGACTATTACTCCCTCGGGACTTTCCACGCACGGGACGAGACGAGTAAATCAACGGCGTCAAACGGTTACCTGACGCTTTTCAAAGCTGAGTAATGGGGTTCGTTGAGACCAACAGAGATACGGAAAGTGTTCATATCCTATCCATCCCTCCATCTATTTAAACCTCGTGTGATTTCTCCTCTCTGCAGAGTCTGTGACCTTTTGTTTTGATTCAAGCGAAAAAAAGCATCACTTGGTTGGGCTTGTTTACCTTCGTACAGGAGCCTCGAAGACTTCTCAATTGTCGGACGACCAATACTCAAAACACAGGCAAACAAGCAAGCAATCGAGAAAGCATCCAACTGTCCGTCCGTCCGTCCGTCGTCCGTAGACAACTGGGCCCCCTTTTGACGCAATTAAGCCTGGCTAGGAACCTCTACGATCACAACTCTCGATCTTCACAACCACACATCCTCAATCCTTGACGGGTTTGCACAATGGCGACCACGACAAAGTTCCTCAACAAACTTCAGGACAAGCGCGTCCTCATCATCGGGGGTTCAAGCGGGATCGGCTACGGCGTGGCCGAAGGGTGTCTCGAGTTCGGCGCTGAGGTTGTCATCGCATCGCGCTCGCGGTCCAAGGTCGAGAGCGCGGTCAGCAGCCTCCGGGCGACGTACCCTCAGCACGCGGCCAAGGTCCGGGGGCACGCGATCACGCTGGACGCCTCCCCGGGGGTCGACGTCGAACGGGACCTCGTGGCGTTGTTCGAGTTCGCGACGGAAGGTGGCACGCACCCGCTCGACCACGTCGTCGAGACGGCGGGCGACCTGTCGCTCATGGGCAAGGTGACCCTGGCCACGGCCACACCCGAGACGCTGGCCAAGCTGGCGAGCGTGAGGCAGTTCGGCGTCGGCATGCTCGCCAAGGTCGCGGCGCGGTACGTCGCCAAGTCGGCGCACAGCAGCTTCACCATGACCTCGGGCGTGTTGATCCAGCGGCCGCGCAGGGGCATGGCCTTCACCGCCGCCGTGGGCGCGGCCAAGGAGGGCCTCACCAGGGGACTGGCTGTCGACATGGCCCCCGTCAGGGTCAACACCGTCAGCCCCGGCGCCGTCGAGACGGACCTCCTGTTCGCCCAGGTGGCCCCCGACGCCGGCGAGGAGGCGAAGGATCAAGTGAGAAAGACGTACGCCGCCATGACCCTCGTGGGGAGAACCGCCCTGCCCGGCGATCTCGCCGAGACCTATCTGGCCCTCATGAGAAGTGGCTTCCAGACCGGCACCCTGGTTCAGGTCGAGGGTGGGTACCTGTTGATGTAGTTACTTGAGTAGTTGTGAGGGCGGACGTGGGACACAGATAGTAGTATATATACATTTACATATGATATGAGATTTTGGGATTTGGACTTCGGGGCTCAGGAAACTTGGACTCCCACAATTGTGCTTTGACACTTGAATCACGCATTTTGTCTGCTCGGGGTCGTAAGGTGAACAGGAAGCTCTACACAAGGGACGAGGATGGGTAATTGGGAAACCTGAAGGCACATGAGGTATAGGACACGTAACTAGTTAGAAGCCCCAAGGTCAGCTCACCAGTGACGTGGACTCCCTAGGTTAACACACGTTAGACGTCTCATACTCACACCGTTCGAAATATCTGAGTTTGGCGGTTACATTTCAAACCTCAGGGTTGGCTATCTTGAGACCTTGCATTCGTCACAAAAGGGACAGTGTTCATGAGAATGTAGAAAAAAAAAGCTCATGTATGCCACCCTTCGGGAGGCAGGAATATCTACTGGTGGGTGGTACTTGGGGGACCACCCGTGAGCTATCGATCGTTGAGCACGAACCCTCCTCCAGTCCTATACGTGGTACTGTAGGACTCGATGGTTGAGTCGATGAGTGGACGATTCCATCCGACAAACATACAACCAGAAAGGAGACAGTAAAAAAAAAAACCAAGCTTTCGCCGTCGTTTAAGACTATCATCTCTCAGATCCTCCCAAGATCCTCCGACCCTCCGTGCCCAACGAGATTCTCTAGACAGCAGGCCGCTTCACGCTCAGAGGAACCCTCGTCGTCTAAACCACGCCCATACTCTCGGTACCTTCGTCTCCCCTCCGGACCCCAGCGGTACCCTCTTCCTGCATCTTTCTGATCTTCCTCTTTGCAGACCCGAAACCGTCAATGCCTCGTTCTTGGTTTTCACCGAGCCAGGCCTTCTGGGCCTCTCCCATGACCCCTTTACCAAAGTAATAGACAAAATGACCAGCCATGATGAGCGTGAAAGCGATAGGGTACATCCAGTGCACATGCAGGTGGAACACTCGAAGGCCGATAATGACACCCCAGAAATTGCCCGTCAAGAGCGAAATGTTCTGGAAGGCGGCGCTGGCAAAACGGTACAAGACGGGCACCAAGGAGTAAAAGATGGTGAGAATGAGCGTGTATCCGACAAGGTAGCCAGCGACATCGCCATTCCAAGTCGCAGTGCGGAAGGCATGTCGGTCGAAAATGCCGGCTTGGGCGCCGTTGATGATCATGCCCCAGAATGCGAGTTGGCCAATGACCTCATACAATGGTCGACCAGAGACGAACCACTCCTCGTAGACGTTCGAAAAGCCGTAGAAGGTGGCGCCCAGAAGAGCAAACAAGTCCCCCTTCAATTGGTTGCCAGAAGAAACGTCCCCGCCGTTGGAGCCAGTGATGTGATCGGAAGCGAGCAGCAGGCCCATGCCACCAATGCACACGAAAATACCGAGGACTTGGGCCCAGTGGTAGCGCACCTTGAGCAAGACGAAGGAAAGGATGACGACAACGACAATGGCCCAAAAATTTATGAGCTGGGCAGACAGAATGGTGGTATATCGATAAGCGAGGACGGTAAAATAGTTGCCTTCGACATCGAAAAAGGACAGGATAATGTCTAGCAAGAGTGTCAGTGTTCGGGATCCAACAATCACTCCACCCCCAAAACCACCGCAACTTACACTTCCATCCGTCATGGATGACGAGGTTCAACCACTTTCTGAAGCCGTATTTGTACAGGGTATAGCTGGTGTAGATGATATTAAGCAATACGTAGTTGAAGAGTGTCTGGAACGCAGGGATGCTGGTTCCCTCCATGGCCAGGAGGGTGGTCAAGGTGTTTGTCCCCGTAATGCAGATCGCCAGTATCTGGCCGAGGATCAAGATGAACCAAAAATCTCTTGTCTTGAAGAATGCCAACTTTTGACGCCATGTTTTCTTTTTCGCCGCTTCGTCATCGCCAGGACGTTCGGGGCTCGGCTCGACGAAATGAGGCTCGCCATGTTTCATGGGAGACTGGGAATCAGAAGCACTTGCAGTGGTGCCATAGCCATCGCGGCCGAAGTCGAGGCTGGTGGCTCGCACCGCAGTGTCGATGTCCTTGCTCTCGCTCATGATGACGTCGGTCACGCAGGACGATATCGCGGGCGTGGATCGGGGAGGGCTGGAATTGGAGCTTTATGAAGATTAGCAAGCGCAAAACTCCTGAAGTCGCTCGCTGTGTTGTACGTTTAACGACAACGGTAAAGATGAGGAGGAAAGAAGAGAAGAAGAGGGAAACTGGAAAAGACCGCAGGTTGCATTTTTACTGTTGGACACATGGTGAGTGGGCGAATCGAGGCCCAAAAAAGTGCGATGGTGGGGGAAGCGGGAGTTGGGATGCTGCGGTTGCAAGCGCCGAAGCAGATTTTTCGGTATGTCTATTCGCTCAGCTTATCGATATCGCATCCCGCATCCCACGCACGTCGCGCAGACAGATCTCGACTCTCACTCAGATCTGCGCTGGGTGGGCTCGATCAGGGTCATGCTGGTCACTGGTGCGAGGAGGGGTGCTCACAACTCGAGGAGAAGCGTGAGATGGATTGTTCTGGAGGTGCCGACATGATGGGGTGATACACGAGTCAGAACGGCCAGCAGACGTTGGAGATCGTGGCACGATATTTCTCGAACACCAACTGCACGGACGCCGGGAGGGATGAAGATCCCGGCGGCGGATGCTGACAACCTCGCGTCAAGTGTCACCAATAACACGATTCTTTTGGCCACAGGCGGCGCAGTACGGGTTTCGAGTTGATCAAGGAGGCGGATGAGAGTACGAGTTCTGTATGAGCAGGACGAAGTAGTTGACTAGCGGAGTCGAGACTGGGGGTGAAAAACGAGGACCACGAGAGACATGTAGCACGGACCATTTGGCCGAGGATTTGTTGAGGCCGCTGGTGTTCGTGCTATAGGTCCAGTACGTGCAGTACATTGTCGGTGGCGGAAGTCTTCGATCCTGCGCCAACACAACACGGTGCCTCCCGTCAGCCACGGTGCAGAACTATACACAATAGGACAGAGTATCGAGTATGACTGACAGCACTCCGATTCCCTCAGACACCTATCGGGCCTCGTTCTCGCATGCGGCGTGTTCCTTGCTTTCCGGGCTCCGGGACTATTGCATCTTCAGGCGACTAGAACGCCCGGTGTTGCTTCGACCCGGAATCTTGTCTGTGCCACGTTCGTTCGGCACAATCTCATGGCTTTGGGCCTTGGCTGGTTCCCGCGTCTCTTGGCTGGTGCATCTCGGGCTTGACGTTCCTCTTGGTTGACAGGCGGCTCATGCGGCTCCTTCGGGCCCCCTGGCTCCTTGGGGCGGTGTTTCTTGGGACCGACGAGACTGATGGGATTTTTGGTGACCACTGACCACCACCGACCTGACGTTCAGCCACCAAAGTTTTTCGGTTGCGCCCGTCCAGGCTCAGGGGCCTCGCGAGCCAGTCCGGGTTGCACCTTTGGCGAGCCAAGGCCAACGAGGCGCTTCAGCTCCCGCTAGACAGGGATCGGTGGATCTAATAATGCAGGAGCAAAGGGAAAATGGCAAAAAAAGGGCCACCAGCCTCAATCGCTCTCCGGAGCCTCTGGTGGAAATGGAAGAAGCGAGCAAATCAATCTCTCGTAGAAAGGATGAGGTGATTTATCGTCGATATTGCTCACTTCGCTCCATTCATTCCCATCCCATCGGACACCCTGTTCTGTTGTATGTACTCCGTACTCCGTCCTAGACTCCCACTCGACAATCCCTCCCTTCAGGCTTGGCCCCCGCCGTCTCCCCTTCCAAGTATCGTCCCGTCTCTAACTGCTACTGTACAGTCTGACAGTCTGTACTGAATACGACGGTTCGCAGCCGTCTGTCCTTTTGCATCTTGGCTTGATCAGAAGAAAGAAGGACCCCATTATCAGATTGGACTGGTTTCAGGGCGCGGGCGCGCCTTGCTCTCCCCTCCCTCTCTCACACCTCTTCCTCACACGACCTGAACCAGTTCTGGACGTTTCTTTGTAGATTAACTTTCCATGTGGCAGTGGTGAAGTCTTCTCCGACAAAACTTTGTCTCCTTTGTACATAGGACTCAAGTCGCCATGGGGGCGGAAGATTCACGGACGCTTCAAGAACCACTGCTGGAAAAGGCCCTTTACGAGGACGACGACCACCACCACCACCACGGCCACCAGCAAGTCTCTTTACCCGGCACAGCGTCGCGAATTCTTTCCAAGGCAGCCATGCTTCTCAAACCGCATCACGCCTACCGGCTCGGCAAACGCTTCGCGTACTGCTTCGTCCCTCAGCTCCTGCGATCGCGGATATGGGGAGAGGAAGCGCCCAAACCCAAGCAGTTCTCGACCAGTTACCTGAACGGCCTCCGAGGCATCACCTCCCTCAAAGTCTTCACCTTCCACTGGCTCATGGCCTTCACGGGTGCCGGGTTCATGCCCTGGGGTTGTGACGAGCGCCACAAGTACATCCTCGAATTGCCCATCATCCGATACTTTTACGCCGGCTTCACTGCCCACGTCTTCTTCGGGATAGCAGGCTATCTCACCACCTTACGACTGTTTCAACTAATCGACCGGCACGACCAAGCGTCCAATTCCAAAGTCCTGCTCAATGTCTCGGGCGCTCTCTTTCGCCGCGCCTTCAGACTCTACCTCCCGACCTTTATCATCACGCTGATCACCGCCCACTACATCTACTTTGGCTTCTACGAAGCGAACCGTCCGTTCCTGCTCGACCACGGCAAGCTCTTCCCGGGAGACTGGAACGAGCCCAAACCAATACGCTTCGACTCGTACTGGGGCCAAATGCACTTTTGGGGCCGTGAGATGTTCGACCTCTCCAACATCTTCACCTATGGCGCCGTGTATCCGTGGCACGACCAACACCTGTGGTCGATCCTCGCCGAGCTCAAGGGGTCCCTGTTCTTGTACATGATCTTGATCGCCACCGCGCAGTGCAGAGTCTACGTCCGTTTCGCCGTCATGTGCGCCATGACATACCTGTACTTCCTCTGGAATCATTGGGAAATTTGGGTGTACATTCTCGGAGCGATCGTGGCGCAGATCGATCTCCTCTTGACCGAGCGCGACGAGAAGAACAAACAGGTCCTGCCGACTCCGGACCGTCTGCCACCATCGCCTCCTCGCTCGCCGGCGCCAGAGATGGAAAAGCGCGAAGATAGAGGCGGCACATTGCAGCAGTACAGACAAACCTACCTGCCGTCCTCGAGACGTTCGTGGCTGCGCTTCTTCGGATTCTTTGTCGCCTTTTACTTCCTGTCGTATCCCATCCACGGCTCTCGAGACTATGCTCCCGGATACATGTGGCTGAACAAGCTGATTCCAGAATGGATGGATCGAAAAGACAAGTTTTACGCCAACATCGGCACCGCGATTCTCCTGTTGCTGCTCGCCCGCTCGGACCCACAGACGTCCAAATGGCGACGGATCCTCAACAGCAGCCGCGCGCAGTACTTTGGCAAGATCAGCTTCGGCCTGTACCTGACCCACGGACCGGTGTTGCACGCTTTCGGTTACATGATCCCTCAGAGAATCTGGTGGATGATGGGCACCCAGGGTGTCGACACGACTGACGCAGTCTGGGCCGCCGTGCTCTTTGTCGGCTGGGCCATCAACCTCACTTGTTGTCTCTGGGTGGCTGACGTCTGGACTCGCGAAGTCGAAAGCCGATGTGTAAAGGCGGTGAAGAAGTTGGAGGATTTCTGCTTCGTCAAGACCAAATAAAATAATTGCAACAAGGAAGAATTTTCAGACTTCAGACTTGAGAGAATTGTTGTTTCTCTTGAATAAAAAGACACCAGAAGAGAATTTCCCTATTTGTCTGTCAGATGTTGTTCTCTTAGCGATGGGGGTTTTTGGGCTCGGCGTCCCTCTTTTTTTTTAAACTATCATAATGAATGGCATGGTCTGGCGTGTTATGGGGTGGAAAGGAAATGGGGAATGGCATTAGATCTTTGCCTCGAGCTTTGCATAGAACAGCACAGCGCAGCGCAGCACAGCACAGTACAGCACAGCACAGCATAGCCTATGCGTGTTTTCCATGGCATCTTGATTGTTTTGTTTTTCTTTTCTTTTTGATAACCCATTCAAGAACGGGAGTCAACATAGAATCAAGAATTGGATGTGTCCTGGGGCCTTTTCTTTTTTTGAACTGAGGAGGTGAGATGAAGAGGTCAAGAGTTGAAGGAGTCCTTCGAAGGCCATCGTCATTCATCACGATCCTTGATGTCCCTCTCTCTATTCCCCCTTCCCCCCTCTCTCTCTCTTCTTGTTTCGCTTTGGAGCGTCGATCGAACAAAGAAAAGATTGCAATCATAAGAACCAGAGACTAGAGACAAGAGACAAGAGACAGAACCACAATACAGATAGATACAAGCTTGATTCGGAAAAGAAACCCGGAAACGGACAAAAAACAAAGACAGAAACAAACCGATACACACCGTTCGAAACCACGGCGCACCTTGAAACTTTCAACAGTAGAGCAAGGGACGTCACGACATCTTTTGATCCGTAGCTGCAGCCCGGCAGGCCGTCCGAGACTCGTACAAGATACATACTTGGGGGCCTCCTGTGTAGTCAGACGTCGACGACACCTGAAAGAAAAGCGTCGAGATTGGGGGGGTTTTTTTTGATCGACAGGGACGGAAGGAACCTTTTTTGTGGAGCGAGCAGGCAAAGTATGTACAGTAGGTATCGTAGGTAGGTAGGTAGGTAGGTAGGAGTATCGTAGCGGTAGACGTAACACGGGGTGGGCGGGAGCTGTCTGTTATGTATGTGTCATACGCACCAAAGCAAGGGGGCGTCGACGACATTGTCCGTGTAGATTGCGTGATTTGAATCTTTTGAATACGAGGTTCGAATCACTCACTACCCAGGCACATTTATCGAAACAACGCTAACAAATAAACACACACACACACACACACACACACACACACACACACACGGTCCAATTCAAAGAAAACCAAAAATACAACCGGGACGGTGCAGCGACGGCGAAGCCGAACCCGAGGTAGGTTGGGTTAGTCCGAGTATGACCACCTACTAAAAGTAAACAGGTGCGCTTTGAACAGCTAACTGAGGTATCTGAGATCCATCTGCCTACTACCAGTAGAATGACTGGTTAGGTGGTTCCTGTAGATACAGGTACATAGGTAGATAGGTAGGGAAAGGTACTTGGTTCCACGTACTGTCGAGGTAGGCTCTGCTCTTAGCTCTCCAACACAACCCTACCTACCAGAGGGGAAGCAAAGGAGCTCATTCACCCCCTCTCAAAAGCAATTATGTCCTCGACCGTCTCCTTGATCGACTGTCTCGCAGACTTCCACTGCTTTCCAAACACCTTCTCGGCCTTGGTCGCGTCCGACTTGATCAGGTTCGGATGGAGCCCGGGCCCCTCTTCGTCAGGAGGTTTGACGACACGGTGCTGCAGTTGCGGAAAGTCTCCGCGTACGATCTTCGCGGCCGTGTTGCTCGACATGACTTCTCCCGTGTGGTGGAAGACGTAGCGCTCATTCCCCGGCACGTCGGGCGAGAGGGCCTTGACGTGGACTTTGGCAACATCTTCGACGTCCCTGTAGAGGCGAAACATGTCAGACCAGGATAATTGATCATCACTTACAGGCTGTCAAGGCGCGGGGGGAAACAACAACACAACACAACACAACAAAGACTTTTTTCGTCTCCGAGAACGATATACTCACATGAAATAAGGATACAAGAACCCAGGCTTCTCCACGTCAAACAATTCACTGTAAATGCCTGCCTGACCGCCCAATCTGCTCTTGGAAGGCTTGAATCCTTCTTGGAGCGCTTTGCCCGTGACCGACGGCGCAAGCAAGAAGACCAGATCGAACTTTCGCGCACCAGGCTTTGCACGCATAAATTCCCACGCGCCCCTCTCGGCGTGCACTTTGGAGAATTGATATGCCGTGCTGGGACTCTGGCCTGCCTCTTCCAACGTGATGTCGTTCCAGGTGTCGGACGACATGGTCCCGCCAGAGAATAGCTTGTCGACACGGCACACCGACACCATGCTGCCTGTCACGACGACTCTCTTGACACGCGACGACGGCAGGTCGGCGGCTGAGAGGACGTTCTGCACCATGTCCCGGCTCGGTTTGACCATGTGGTCCATCATCAGCGCCGGGTCAAAGGCCAGGGGCGTCGCCACGTGGATGATGAAGTCGACCTTGCTTGCCGCTTCGTCGAATGAGCCCGCCACAGCCATGTCGGGGATCTCGATGAACGAAAGACGGCCGGACGAGACTTGGGGTGCGTACTTTGTGCGCAGGAATGCTTCGGAACGCGCACGTGATCGCAATACCGTGATGACATTGTAGTTGGTGTTGTTCAGCAGTTCGGAAAGGACCGACGCGCCAACAGTGCCAGTTGCTCCTGTGAGGAGGACCGTCTGGGGTGTAGATGCCATCTTGGCAATGTGCTCCCTATTCCTCACTAGTGGTGATCAAATACAATCATTCATAAGTTGTGGCGACAGGTGTAGAAAAGGCGTATGGTATAACCTTGCAGAGTGGTTTGCGAGAGAACCCATTCATCAATAGTCGTTTCATAAATCCATCGTTAGAGGATTCTGCAGAGACCGTGGGTGGTTATGGTGTCCTGTGGTGTGGTGGAAGTATACGGGGGTCTTTGGGGATGTTGGGGAAGAAATGTGGGGAGACGGATACCCACGGGCCCCCGACATGACTGCAAGTGCTAGCCTCTAGGTAGGTACTTTGTACCCGGACTCTCCTCGAGCTGTACAAGTGGCGGCTCTTTTGTTTTTCTCTTCTTGTCATACAATCAGTCCAAAAGTTGCACTCACACGCTTCGCTCTCTTTATCTTCTTCTTCCCATTTGGTAAAGTGACAACGTACTCGTTCAAGCCTGGGAGACGACCGAGTTCGGCCTGCTTCTTCGCCGCCATCTTCTCAGCTGCCTTCTCAGCCGCTGTCGGCGGTCGCGTTGGAAGAGATAGCCCACGACGCCGTGCGCGTTCGACTGCCTTGTAGAACCCCAGATCATCCTGTATTGAATAAAGCTGTTCTGAGGATAGCGACGAGATCAGAGAAACGTCGTAAGCTGGAGCAGACGCTGGCGCGGACTTGTCATAGCTGAAAGAAGATATCTCGTCACGAATGCGCTCACAGGTCCAGCACAAGCACTCTGAAGGGAGACGCGTAGATCCATTACTTAGCGAGTCGGTGCTGCATCGAGGTGAAGGTGGTGTCTTTGAATCCGTACAAGACAACATCGACGACAGCGACGATGACGAAGACGACGAAGAAGAAGTAATCCCCTTGCGAAACAGTTGGTACTGCAGAGGATAGAGCCTGTGGGTTCTCCAGATCAAGTCGACACCAAAAGGGATCGGCACGTCGTCGTAAGCAATCGAAGAAGAGGAGAGCTGGAGTTCTAGATATTCGACGCTGGCTCGTTCCAGAGAACCCTTCAATGCGGGAGAGCGGATCCATAAGAGATCGTGGGCCATGTCCATGAATTTCTCCTGTTGCTTGACGTGGTCGAAGAGGTCGATCTTGACGGGTAACTCGGGACATTCGACGTATGCCGGGGGACTTTCAATGTATGTGAAAATGTCCGCGGATTGAGTCGACAAGGTCGAGAAGAGGTTCTCTGCGGCGCGTGGGAGCGTGAAGGTCATGGTGTTCAAGTCTAGCACGTCGCGTATGGCGGGCCATGGGAAGCAGATGTCTCCCACCTTTGATGATGAAGAAGAAGGTGCTCGAGTGGAAGACATGGCTGTCTGATAACTCTCGGAGTCGAGCATGAAGGCGTACCAGACGAGAAGCACGTCCAAGGGAGGCAGGTAGTCCTTGGTCAACTGTACCGCAGACTTGTCTCCGGCGTGGTGAGTAAAGGCCGTGGCATGATATAGGACTCTGTCGACGTTCATCCACCAGGCCGTGAAGCGGGTGATGGCAAGTCGGAGTAGTAAATCCCATCGTTCGGATTCCGGTAGTCGGGTAGGCGAGGCAGCAGTAGCATCTTCATCGTCATGGTGGTGCCCTGTTGCTGCTGCGCCTGCATCAACGGGTGGCTTCTCAGAATATGCTGCGAGCTGTTCCACCTCGACGTCCAGTTTACTCGCGGTAAGCCTCAACTTCCGGAAGCATTCAAGTAGGGCCAGGTGCAGTGCGGCATGGCCTATGTCCGGGTAGACGAGGCTCGCCTCCATTAACCCAAGCGAGGGGTCACTAGGTACGAAGACATTTCTGAAGATTGTTGGGTTGGGAATGACTGTCGTGCCTTTGTCCCGATTACCTGATGCAGAGGTCGTGGAGTAAGATGACGGAAGTCGCCATTCATGTGGATCTACGTTTGCCCGAGATCCAGAGAGTCGCCCTCGAACATTGTTGATGATTGACATCAAGCAGTCTTGTGGTTCTTGTGATATGGTGTGTATAGGATGAGGGTGTGTTTGTGGGTGTTTGCCTGGGCCTTGGTAAGATGGCTGTGAAGACGCAAGAGATGACACAGATAGAGACAACAGATCTCCAGCTGTAGGGGATCTGTTTAGTAACCTGTACTTTGTTAAAAGGGCTTGATCTCTCGACAACCGTTACGATTGTTGCCCAGGGATCTGCCCTCCCCCTGGGCATGCACACGCGGCAGTCGTTGAAAATAGTATAGGGCTCTTAGGCGGTTGGCTCTAGGCAGTGCTGGGCGCTGTTCTGGGCATCTTGGCAGCCTCCCCACAATGAGCCGCATGCCCGTAGTCACCTATAGGGACTCGCACCTATAACCGAAATGAAGGATGGAGCGTTGAAGTAAGTCAGGCGACTCAACGACGCTCCCAAGCTACGAGTGCAAGAACCCAAGGCAGTACCAAAAGTCCCTCAGGTACGGACAGTTGCCAAAAAGCTCTTCACGCGAGCTTTTGCTGAGCTGAGCATGACTTGACTACCTTAGGCTTGAGCTCCATCAAGGCGGCGATTACTCGATTGCTCACCTGGTTACGGAGTAGCAGGTCCAAGTACCTTGCATGCACGGCCTTTATATATATCCAGAACAGAAATATGGTCTGTACCCTACTCGCCGTTTCCGAGATTCCCGGGAATAGAATGCGTACTTATGTAGACCAACTCCTCCCTCACAAGGACACAAAATCCGCGGTACCGTATTCACAATTACCTACGTACTGATACCGTGAAAAGGCCAGAGCATCCACAATCTTGTACGAGTGCGCCGTACGCAGTATTCGATATACAAGCGGCAGTTCAGATAGCTCAATGAAGCCATGGGCGACCACCACGACCACCACCATCACATGCCGTCGATCAAGCACACCCACCAGCCAAGAAACGCGGCTACAAATCTAGCACCGCTGTATCTCCTGATGCTGGTCGTCGGCGGCATCATACTAGTAACCAAGCCTCTGCTGGTCCTATTGGTTATCCTGCTCGTCGGGTATGGTCGCGTCTATCATGTCGAACCGGCCAAAAAGTCACGGACGCCATGGTGGTCTCCCTCTCCTTCTCATCACCACGAAACGACTCCAGGGTACGTCATTCAATTGGGACCCCAGCACCAAGGCAAGCAACACCATGACAACTTGAGCTTGCGTGATTTGGGTTTCGGGAAGAACCTGAAGGGTCTCGATTCACATTTCGGTGGTGGTGGAGAGAAGAAAAAGGCGCGGTTTTCCATGTGACTTGACTGCCTCATCTTGCCTGCCTACTACTTACCTTAAGGTACGTACTGCTGGTTCTGGGACTGGGGTTCTATCAGGCACTTATAATCTGGACCTGCGACGGAGACTCAACCTGATTGTTAGACTTCAATATCAGAATCAGAACAAAGGAATATCGGGTCTAATCGACTGCGGCGCGACAACAAAGAGGAGGTGTATGCTAACAGTGTATATCTCTTCTGTATGTGAGGGTATATGTAGGTCATTATCACGGTCGTAACAAAGATGTAGAGGTGCAGACACATACAGCTACTCTCTCAGTAGATGACAGTATTATGTTCGAAGTATAAGCCATCCAGCAAGTGTCGTTCCTAGTTTCAACAATTCTCGAGGTCGATGTTGGCTTCAGCATTGACGGGTTTACCAGTCTGCAGCGAACACTCTGCGTTGTCTTGTGGTTGACCCCTAAGAACAAGGATTGTTTGGGAAAATCGGATATCTCCTTCGCAATGACACAATATACACCAGTTCTGATATTCAGGATGTAGTTTTGACGTCGGATATCTTTGGTGAGCAAAGTGTATGGCCTGGTCCAACTTCGTTCAAGATGATCGGAAAAATATTGCTTTCCATGTGCAACGCGGGCCGCCCGGACTCCCTCCCTTCGGTATCGTCACCTCCTCAACACCCTTTGACAATCGACGCTCTTTACCAGTAGTCCGTCATCGTCAAATGTCATCATATCGACAGACTCTTTCCTCATGCCTCCGGGGAGACCTGTGATTTCGCTAAGCACCCACACCTTGTGCTGTTGTTCGTCGACACATGCCTCCTTGATGTTGAGCTGAAACCCCGGCATCCGCTGCAAAATGTCCACCCAGTCTTGGATGAAAGCGTCTCTAGAAAAGATCGGAGGCTCGTCCTCATGCTGCGACGTGACATTTGCTGAAATAAAGCGGTTCAATGACGTGAAATCTCTTGCACTGCTGAGCGTCGTCAGGATAGTGCGCGCCCTAGCGGACAGGTCGCCATACGTTTCAGACGACATCCTCGACGAGAACTCCATGTTGTGCGAGTCTTTGATGTTTGCTGTATGATTGTATTGGAATTTGGGAGTGTGATTTTCCCCAAGGTTATTTGTCTCTGTCGATGTTTCGGTGTTCTGCATATCTAATTATAGTGTTCGGGGGCAGTATGTCGAAACCTAACGTATGTGTCAAGAGTTGGTGGTGGGCGTTGTCCAGTGTCACTCGACAATCATGAGATGCGAGAGATACATGCCCAGATATACACGCCTAGGCATGCCCGGGATTCAACACCCCCGTATGAAAGGCTCGTTGACGCGGTGTTTATGGCCCGAGACGTCCGAGCCATCATAAAAGAGTCATAGTAATCCGGATATTCACAGATTACTTTCTCAATGCTCCAATGTCGTCCTTCGGTCTGGCTGTGTCGGGCCTTCGACAGGGCCGAGATCGTTGATAACGGCCCGTGGGGTCTCGATTTGGAGGGACCGGAGATAAGTAGCGATCATGGCCTATCAAAGCCCGGACTTAACGAGACTCACCCTTTCTTAGGCCGAAGCCCGCTCATTTGAGGCCGGAATTGATATGGCTTATCGCTCGGTCTTTAGGCACCAGCGACTTCTCGGTTTTGTCCTTGTTCTTGCATGCTCATCGAAGGACCTTCAGTCTCTCGTTGCAGCCTGGAAGTGTTGACGTACAATTCTCCAACCTCTGAGATCGAACACAATAACTCGAACCTGGTAGAGGTGAACAGATATCTGATGCTCATGCTGTGTTGCGGAGTCCTGCTTTATGCGCGTATGGACGGCAAAATCCCGGTATGCTTCTTAGCTCGCATGGAAGATGTTCAAAGGCAAACTGGCTGACACGGCAAAGTTAGGCATATCCACCACTTCAGCCAGCTTCAGGTCAACTGCCACACTTGCCAGCATGTATGCTTCGACCCGAGTCAGGTCTTTCGTTCTTGTAAGGTAGTTGATGATGCCACGGACAGCTTTGCGTGTGGCCTCATACAGGTCTGAGTCAATTCCAAGGGCAGCATAGCACCCGCGATCCTCAAAGCCAGGTATGGCTACTAACGGAGGAGAGAAATAGTGAGGTGATGCCACCCAGTCATGGTTTTTGCGCACGGTGAAGCGGAGAGTCGCGCGCATTGGAGTCTCAATGGCAGATCCGCAAATCTCGCCATCACCCTGCGCTGCATGACCGTCACCGCAGCTGAATAGCGCCCCTGGTGTTTGAACAGGTAAGAAAAGCTTCGAGCCGACCGTGAGGTGGCGGCAATCAATGTTTCCGCCGGTGTCGAGGGGTGGGATGGTCGAAAATTCACCGTCCGCTCCGGGAGCAACGCCCATTTCGCCCAGGAATGGCCGCGTAGGAATTCGAATGCCTTCTTTGAACAACGCATACGGTCTGTCCTCAAACTTGGACAGTTCCCATATCTTGAGCTGGGCGTCTGGGAACTCATCGGAGAGCAAGCCAAATTTGGGTACAACGGCAGTCCAACCCCAATCTGCGGTTTCCAAGTCCAAGACTTCGATCTCCAGTGCATCGCCGGGCTCGGCTCCATTGACATAGATAGGGCCGAACACAGGATCTGCAAATTCCACCTTGAAGTTGTAGACATCGGCAGAGGTCGAGGTTTGGGTGATTTGGCCTCCGCTTCCATCGATAGTGTCGAAGCTCACGGTTGCACCCGAGTCGACAGTCAAGGCAGGAGGGACTGTTTTGGACCACTTGAGGTGATTTTGTGTTCGGTTGATGTGAAAAGACGATCCCATAGTGGCACGAGTGGTGTGGTAGTTTGACAGTTTTTGATCTGGCTGAGAGCAGTTTGTATAGTACTTCTCGTAGCGTAGTGGATGGTTTGTATGTGGTGGCAGTGACGACGCATTCGAGACTAGGAGATAGAGCAGAATGATAAAGGATAAATGAAAGCAAATCTCAAGGCACCCATGATGAGCAGTCATCTGGAGGTCGTCCATTCTGCTGTAAGGTATGGGGTTCGCTAGTGCCAGCCAGCCGCATCGGGCAGGTGAACGAGCCACGGGAGGGTCAGTCGAGAACCACATCCGGACTATGACTGGTATAGGCAGGAGCTTACCATGGGTGTGGGAGATAACATCCAACCACTGAACGAGGGCTTTTAAGTGACCCAATCACTGCAGATTGATCCCTTTGGCAGATGCTGGCCTCGAAGTCTCTCAGCATCTGTTTACACTATGCGAGTCCGAATACGAGTGGTGCATGGACACGCCCGAGCCCATCCATAAGCGTTTCAAAGCTACCGCAGATCGCAAGATCAACTCCTCATCCTTTCTACTAGCCAGCCTGACTGTATTGCGTCTGACTGTATTTGTGTCATCGTATGCGCCTTCAAAGTTGCTCACTGATGCAGGATTCGTCATCAGAAGCAGACACGTCTGCGTGTAGACACCATCATGTCGTCCCATTATGTATGGGCCTCCGCGAGATATCCCGCCTGCATCTTGGTGAGCGACAGTCCAGTATTGAAGACAGATACCATGCCCAACGAACATCCATCCGGGGCCCCATCGCACTGCACGAAACACCTGGTTCCCTCGATCGTCGAAGAGGTTGACGCGGTTGAAGATTGATCTTACTAAGAACTTTGGCGGCTAGCTAGGATAGATGCATACGAAAGTGTGAAGCTTGCTGAGAACCAAACCTGAAATTGACATCTTGAAAGCGAAATAACCAGGCGCTGTTGTCGTTTTGACCCATAGTATTGCCAATTAGCCTACGTGCTTGCCAGACGCCTGTGCCTTAAAACGAGAACAGCGCCTTGTTATTGCGGCCAAAGGGATAGATGACAAGTGCGCTGATCAAGAGGCCCACTGAAAGGCCAACGGCAACTTGAATCATCTGCGCTCCCACACTAAACGACTGATACTGATTGTCGGCGTAGATTTGTTGCGCATTCACCGTCTCGTTGCTGAAAAGGGGTACTGTGATACCCGAGATCAAGCCACCCTGAGCAGCTATGCCGCCCGGGACGAGCACCATAATCCCAGCAACTATAGAGGCGAAGGCAAAGCCGTGCCGCGATCGCGAATACAAGTGGCCCAAGACCCCCAAGGTGAAGGACGAGGCAGTGTCTGCTATCTGTGCCGTGGCTCGCTGGCTCACGAAATAATCCACCGTGTACGCCGCGGAGCCAAACAAGACCTGCAGAGGGATTTGCGCTGGTCGGCTCCGGATCAATATGGCCTGAACCATCAGGTAGGTCGGGACCAGGACAATCTTCCAGTGCGGATCTACCATTCTTGGACACACTGCGGAAGTAGGTGCATTCGGATAAATGACTGCCCACAGCTGAGAGCCTACATTGATGCCGTAGCCCAGGAAGAGAGAGTATATGACTGCATAGAACAGCCTTGTCGAGCCGGCGGTGACGGACTTTGACTGCAACTCCAGAGCGCCGCAGAGGACAATATACCCGGGCAGCAGAGTGGCGATGGAACTCTCTGCGATCGCCGCGAAGCAAAAATACTTCTGGTCGGAACCCCCGATGGACGCAACCGCTCGAGCACCAAAGGAGGTGATTACGGCGGCAGTCACCTCGAGGACGTTGGTGTACAAAGGGTTCCGAGACGTTACAACAATTTGGAGGAGCCCGACGATGCATCCCAGAACGAACGATGCCGACATGTCCGTCCAGTACCCTTTGAAAGCCCACACGCAGACCAGGGCGCTGGCCACCCCGTACAGAGGCACCAGGAACCACGGCTTGTAGAACGAGGGAGCGTCAATCAGCTCGACCAGACCCTTCTCAGCATCCTCGAGCGCGACTTCCCCGTGGATGACGTCCTTGTACGTGCGGAATGCACGGTCGAGGGATCCAACGTCCAGGCCCTGTGCTTTGACGAGAGTCGTGTACGAGTACCGGATGGTGGGATCCGAATGGTGAGGCGCATTGATGAAACATATCTCGGTGCACCCGACAATATAGTTGACGCGTCCGTCCAGACCCAGGACCTCGAAGAGGTGCAGGACATAGTCTTCGATCCGGTGCGAGGGTGCACCGTACAGCATGAAGCAATACGTCAGGAGGAGAACGACGGAACGTCGAACTGCCAGGTCGCTCTTGATCTGGGTGTCTTTGGCTGCTCTGTTAGTGTCCTTGGAATGGCTGATCTTGTCTTTCAACCTATGAAGCGTCCGCGACACGTCTCCGGAGTCGACGCTGTGGTCACGTCGCCGCCAGGAGGATGACGATGTCGTTCCAGCTGCTGGTACTTCAAAGCCGCTTTCCGACCCAGATGGCGAATGTGGCGTCGAGACATCGTGTCCAAAGGCAGGCGTGGAAAGTTGAAGCGACGACCCGATTAGATTGGAGATCTTGTTGTGTCGCTGCAGCCTCCGCAGGACCTGGAGGTCAATACCCGTGTCGCCTATCGAGTTTGTCCGTTCGAGACTTTTGTCCGGAGCGCCAAAGTCACTCCTGAGATCGTGCCAGTAGTCGCTTAGGTATTTCCAAAAGCCGCGCTGATGGTACCGCTGCGGATATTGCCTTTCAAAATTTGCCATTGTTGGTGGTGTTGATGGATTTGGCTTCTCTGGATAGTCCTCGACATCGCGGTCTGGGTGGATTAGCTCATCGCTCGCGTCCATCAATCGCGACTGTTGAATTGGTCTTGAAACTCCGTTGCGCTCGGGTGATCCATATCGCAATGTTGATGCCAGTGTGTCTGGAGCCTGCAAAGAGGGTTCGAAGGCCCGTATGCTCCGTCGGATTTGCGGTCCAACACCGTCCGGTCCCCTAATGGCCTCGGGTTGATCGAAATGAGATGGACCTTGAGCAAGGGGGCTGGGCGCAAGATGACGATGAATGTCATCGCTTTTGGGTAGACTCTGCATCGTGCTATGTTTGCTGCTGTACCTTCCCTTCAAAGTGAAATTGTGCACAGAACGAAAAATACTGCCCTCGAGGACTCTAGTTATCATCTTGTGCACATCGCGTTGAATGACGGCAGCCAGCTGAAAAGGAGTGCATGATGTCGAAATTGTTGATTGTTGAATGGAATGCTCTGGATACGCTCCCCAATGGGTTGATGGGTTGGAATGCATGGAGACCCACTGTCCGAGAATTCGTTCACAATCAACGTATTCTTTGGGACTTTATCACACACCGTACAGCGGTGAGGTATCTGTTCTGTGAGATATATCCCCTTGACTGTTGGATATGGTTCAACGCATGTCTGAAACATTATGAACTTTCAGGGTTCTCCCTGACGGGAAACGCCCTGGCCTGGGAGATAAATGGCGACCACCCGATATTCTCTTTGGAGTTCCTCGTTCATCATCATCAATGGAACTGTGAAGAATCGTTGTCGGTAGTATGAAGAAAGATGATTTGTTCTTTACCTTGGCCGGATATTTCGTAGAACATCTTGCATTCGCCCAACGTGGATAGATTGAGGCCAGCTATAGTGTCCGCCTATGAAGCTATCGTTGCGTCCCTTTCTATCTTCGTCTTCTTGGGAGCTGACTTGAAAGTTCTGCTTTCTCACCTACCAAGCTTTGAGCAGGGTTCATAGTTAGCGAATATCTAAACAGGCTTCACAGCAAGTGTAATCGACATCTTGGCCATCAAGTGGAGTCATTTCTCCGTGTTCTTCTACTCGCAGATCGTACCTGACCTTGGTGAGAGTGAATGAAAAACCGACCCCGCTTGGGGTGATAGCTCGGATGTGTTCGAATATCTTGTGTAAATTCTTCAAACCTGATCATCACTACCGACTGCGCGTCTGTCGAAATGTGAACACTAGGTCACATCCGGAGTGCGAGGGAGTGCTTAGATCTCTCATGACAGCGAGTCACAACGTTTGATGGTCCATCGCGGCTGTCGGACGATCAAAGTCAAAGAAAGTAGGGGGGATATTCCGTATTCGAACAGAGCCGTGAAGAATAGCGGCTGCGCAATGTCGGTGACGGGTTGACATGTCTTGATGGTGCGAATGGCATATGGCACATAACACCCTCTCGACAGAGCACGGAGTATGTCCGCTGCACCATGTCCGCGTGCGGTATATCCTTCTTTTGGGCAAGAGAACCTAATGCCCCGTAGTCAACGGGGGCATTCTGCTGTCTCGGGCAAAGAAATTCGATATATTTCGAATACAAAGGACCTGGCCAGCCAGTCAAAGCCTGGCGGCAAGGTAAGACCAGGCTGCGACTATAAGAACAGGGTGGAGATAGGCGCAGAGTAGCATTGTACTCCGTACCGCATGGCTCCTCGGTAGTGGTCAAGGCAGATTGAGATGTTTGAAGAAGTTTTGTGGAGTAACTGTACTGTACACTGCTCCGTCGATAGTGTGGACAATAAAATACTAACGTAGGTCCATCTCAAAGCACGGTGTTCCGTAAATAGCATCGTATGCCTGGTGTGTGTGCGAGCAGAAAAGCCGGTATACGCCCAACTGACTGGTCTGCCCGTGCATTTCCGGACGGAGCTTTCTTCCACGAGATCGAAGAACGCTGCACAGTTTGCTCGTCAAGTTGAGATTTGATGGAGAGAATTTTCAGAGGACCAAATCTCTTAGGTTGACGGCGACCTGCGTCTCATTCGACAGTTGGTGAAAGGCGTCGGACGGTTCATTTCCGACCCTCAGACGCCGATGCGTGAACCGCCAGCTTAAACGGCCACTAAAGGCGGCCTAAGCATCGCTAATGAAGGCCAAGCATCATTAAGCGGCCTCGGCCCAATTGGAAGCCCCGACCCCTGGAACTAGTGTCTGCGCCCAGGATTAGAGGGTCGCCCTAAGCGGCTTCGGGTGCCATCAGAAGAGGCATCAGAGACATCAGTGCCTCTTCTCATCACCAGTCACTCCCTTTGCAGTGCCTCTGTCACTCCCATGTCCATGTCCTTTTTGTCGCGTCGTTTACATCCTCTAACTGCCTACTCGAGCCTCTCGCTGCTTCAGCCTTCTTCCTTCTCCTTGTCCTGGCCTCGTCCACGTACTCCATACACCTGCGTCCACCCTTTGTTGTCCTCGTCGCCTTTGCAATAATGTCGCGTGTCTGTCGTTACACCCATCCCTCCTGTTAAAAACCCTGTCGACTCCCTATCGAATCCTTGTCCGATACCCATCGACCCGCCGACATCCCTTTCTTAATTGTTTGCTCAAGGCCGGGGGACAAAAGCGTCGGTGCATAGAAATCCATTGTATTTCGATCGCGGCACGATCGCAGTTCTCGCCTCAACTCTTGCGACGACGTCTTCTGGCAATCTGCTTTCATCTGCCGCCTCGCGAGATGCTATAGCATCTTGAAATCGAGGTGAGTTGCAATACCACAAGGTCTCTAACGAAATGTCTCACAAGTCCTCTAACACCGCATTTGTCCTGTAACAGGTCTTTCTCCATACCCTGTTCCACCTGCTGCGCTTCGCGCCAGCTGCCATTCGTTTCCACCAGTCGCTCATTTTGTCACCATCTCGTGTTCCGCATTGTATACCTACCCTGTCAGCCGCTCGTTCAATAGGATCACAACAACAAAAGTCGGAAATATACGCTCCCCAACACAAGGCATATAATCGAGATTAACCAAAGAGTCTCGAATAAAGTACCAGGAAAATACATCCATCCAAACCCCAACTAATATCAACAAATATATGAACCTTATAGCCCATTCGACAAAATGGAAAGACCCGCGAAGCGCATGAGAATATCTAATCCTGAAGTGCGGAACCCCCGAGACACGGGTTCAAGAATGACCGAGGGCCTCTTCACATCGGAGCTTGGTATTCGAAGCGACGACTCGGACGAACCCGTTCATGCAACTCGAACAATTAGCTTATCGGATTTCCAAAGACGAAACATCTATGGTGAATACCAACGTGTACCACGACAAGTCTTGCCCCGGGGGGATCAGGGCATATACCTCCGGCCCCGAGCCCCAGATGCGACCGTCACTGCGAGCGTGGTTGAAATCAATGTCAATGACGGTACTTCAGTGTCCAAAGTGACGGAGATAACGGCTGCTCCATCTGGAACCGTTGTCTCCCTATCAAACATGGGGACAGCCGCTGTTTCTCTTACCGTTCCTGGGAATGAAGCAACAGACAGTAGCAACACCGCATCTGAGACCTCTACATCGACCACCGATGACCCTTCGTCGACCTCTTCTTCGACAACTTCAGGGACTGTGGAGGTGACTACCACCTCAACAGGGTCCAGCACGACAGCCAGCACAACAGGTTCCATAATTCCTAACGGTCCGACCAACGGCACTACAACCTCTGCCACAATCACAGAGCTCACAGTTACTGTTACAGCCACGTCTACTTACGAGATCTCGCTCATTAATGGGACCTTCATAACACCAAATGTAACTGCATTCGTCACAGCCACCGACTACAGCCAAACGGGGCTCATCACTGATATCGACACAGCTACCACTTCGGCAACCTTCACATTTGGAGATCTAACCAGCACACCCTCACCGACCTATTCCTCTGATTACTTCGATTCAGGTGCAGCTTCGACGGGGTACCTTCCAGGGGGTATCGTACAGACGGGCTCGCCTACGGAAACGTCTGGCTCTGCATCCAGTTCAAGTCCCTCGTCAAAGTCTGATTCTGGAGGTGACGGTCCTGGGCTAAGTCCCACACAGCAACAAGTCGTTGGCGGTGTGGTCGGAGGCATCGCTGGGATTGCGGTGGCTTTGGCTATCTTGCTTGTCGTTCTTCGTTGGTATCGGCGTCGACTCAAGGCGCGTGGCCAACTACCGGAACAGATTGCTGCAAGGCAGCTTGGGAGTGATTCGGACAACCGCTATCCCATGTCTATGCGATCATCTAATACACCGTTTACTGCCGCCGTTGCTCACAATCTCAGAAGACTTCGACCTCACAGCCTGCAGACAAATGCCACCACGGCAACCGGTGGGACGGATTTTAGCGCGAAGGATTCCGAACGCGGCTTCCAAAGGATTGCCGGTCGAAAGATTGCGCCGGTGTTGAGCAGTGGAGGTGACCCGTATGGTGGCAACTATGGTGCGTTTGAGAAGGAGGCCGAGGCTGGTCCATCCGACCCTCTGCACGGCGCAGAAAGGAGCCTTGCCGGTGCTTCTTTCTATCGTGATCATGATGGGTTTTACGGAGGCAAAGGCAACCACTCGCCCACTTTCCCACCTTCACCAACAACTGCTGCATCGGGTGGAAAAGCCGGCGAGCTACCTTTTGGGCTCGCGGGGCTAGGCTCAACTGTGAGGGATTTTGCCGGTACCATCGGTAGTGATAGTCAGACATCCCTGAACGCACCAAGCCGACCTGAAGGCATTGCAGTGATGCGGCCCAGTCCCGCTCGAACTCCCGTCACGCTGAGTCCTGCTGCGAGCTCGATCAGGCTGCCCATTCAACCACCACCGACCTTGGACGAAGATGCTCCTCCCTTGCCCACCGGACTAAACATACCTGGCCAGATGCAGAGAGATGGAGTTGGTCGAAGTCTGGCGAGTCAAGATGGTAGTCATATCAGCAGAAGCAGTGGAAGAAGTGGCACGAGATTTGTGGAGAATATATGAGGGCATCGCACTGGTGTCGTGCAGTCTCATTTTGTCCTTTGTTTTGATGCGTTCTTTGAGCGTGGTGTGTGGCGTTTATATGCATCAGCATTGGGAACAGTTTGATAGGCTGTCATTTATGCCTCAAACTTGGACTGGACTGGATATTGCCCAGTGTTTTGATATGATACCCGCCCATTTATCTGATGTAGCGAAGTCTCGATTTATGCATATTCATTTCGACGTTTCTTCCTAGATTCACTTTTTGACAACGACAAGGGTATTCAAAGGGTTCAAGCTGACCATGGAGCGCAGATATGTACCTGATTAGGTACTACGGCAAGAGAGTTTTTATTGGGTATGTACTATTATTGAAGCGTGTATGTACGGGCATAGTCCATCTTCCCCAGGTACTGAGTTTGGCCTCGACTACTAAATTAGTACGCTCACTGGCTTCAGTATCCAGTCTCCCCACGCTGACCACCCACACGAGGATGTTTCATGGTTGCGGTCTTAATACTCATACGGACTCTCCTCCTCGGCCTCGTAGACGTACAAGGTCGAGTTGCGCTGGTCGGGCAAAAAATACAGACGCATTCTCCCGTTCACAAGCGCGACGTCGAAAGGATTCTGGGTGATCGGCGTCCCCAGATCGCTGACCAGGGTCACGGGCACCTCGGAGTACGGCACCATTGTCTCTGTGTCGACGATGGCGATGCCCCCGACGGTCACGTTGTTCGAGTACGTCGCGACACCCGAGCACATCATGGTCGGACGGCCGGCGTATACCTGGGAATAACCTAGGAACTTGCAGTCCTATTGCCAAAAAGATTTGTGAGAAGTGTCAGTCAGCGGATGTGTTCGAGTGGACCAGAGCAACAGGAGCGTGCGTTTCTGGGTTCAAGATTCAAGTTGAATCAATCATTCGCTTACGGCGTGCGTGGTTGCTTGCTTGTTTGCTTACCTGATAGTCGACAAAGTAAGTCGGATTCCTGGCCACGGATTTCGGCTGGCTGAATGCCGGGTACGGGCAGGCTGCTCCGGGGGCGGTCTTCAAGTCCCAGACTGAAGCGTTGCGCGCGCCCCAGTTCAACGTGCTGAGTTCCAGTTTCTGGGTGTCGTGCACGATGCCACCGAGGTGGTCTGCATAGTGGAAGACGTTCTGGTCTTCCAGCGTCGTGGGGTCCACGGAGACAATGGTCGCGGTGGTGTTGGGTCGGTACTGGGCGATGGTGGCCCAGATCTTCTCGCCGTCGTACTCGATGCCGCCGATGTGGTATTCGATGGCGCCCGGCTCGGTCAGGGTCGCGTCGGCGATGCGCTTGCCTTGCCCGTCGTACACGGTCAAGTGCGCGTAGCCAGATCCAGGCGTGCGGTCGGTGCCGTTGATGATGACGTTTTTGCCGTACGAGACCGTCTTGTTGGTCCATTGGCCGCCGCCGAGGATGTAGCGCTCCTCGCCCAGGTTGACCATGCCCTCGGGCTCGCCGGTGTCGCCTTCAAACTTGATCTTCTTGACCAGGTTCCATGCCGTTGTGCGTCCGAGCAGGTTGAACTGTTCGATGATGGCTTCGAAGTTGCTGGCTGGACCTGGAGCCGGGAGTGGTGTTGGTACAAATGCGACGCTGGGTTGGTAAATGGTGACGTTGGCGGCGAGTCCGCCCACAAAGGTGCTGCTTGCTGACAAGACAGCTGCAATGGCGGAGTAGGGAAAGGCTTTCATTTCGCTGGACTTCCACTGTATTTTTTTGCACTGAGCAGAGGTTCTCCCTATTTCGTGTGGTTGGCAACAGACACTTTGCGTGCTCTGTCTGGCCTTAGATCTGGTGAGCCTTTAAGTAGGTTTTCCCTACATGGTCTGTCTTGTGCGCTAGGCGGCTTCTCTCGTGCCGTGTCGTGCTCCATCACGCTCGCTTGAATCGATCCGGTGTAGATAATGGAGTCTGATGTCGCTGCGAGGATGCTGTAAGAGTCTCGTACATCACTGGAACCCCGTATGATGGCTGTCACGTGCGACGAGTGGCGCTGGTATTGGCTGCATTATCTCCTGGCCTGCCGACACTTCCATCTTCTTCTCTACTTCCTCTTCTGACAACTCAGTGAGTAAAGCGAACGCTCGCTCTCACCTGCTGGCCAAGTGACCACCTTTGATGGAACAAGGAGGTGTATTATCCCACGTGGCCCCCCTGTCGACAGGCTTCATGGTTCTCGTGTGTCTAGCTACTGGCTGGTGGCTCGACTCAGTATTTTCGGTGCGTCCCGAGAATCAGGTAGGCCTCCAGCGTACCTCGAATGGCTTCATCAGGGATTTTAGAATCTCCGCCGATTATTGGCGCAGAGATATTCAGCCTGACTTCTTTCTCGCTCTTCGCAAACCTTACCCGAAGCCCATCAGGGTGTCATCGAGCACCGGGCTCTCGCATTCCGTGCCCTAGCAGATAATGTCACAGTGCTGCGGTGTCCGGAACATGCCCGACTAAACCGCTTGCTAGCCCATGTCGCTGTCCTAGCACGCACAAACGCCGACTCAGAGACTTTGTTTATCCTGGGATAGACAATGCTCCTGCTTACCTAGCAGCGACTTTCCCCCCGAACCAACCCAAAATTGACAGCGAAATTCTCGAGTGATAGGTTATCCTGAGAACTTGTCCAAGAAAGGAGCTGATCAGCAGCTTTGGGCAGAATCTGGAACCGAGTGCCAGGTCGGTATACTGACTAAGAACAGCCACACTCCAGGCTTTCCATCTTAGGGATACTCTGACAATGCGAGCTGTCTGAACATCCATCTGGCTGGACTGCCAAACGCTGGGGTGTTTCATAGCAGCGAGATCATGCTCGTCCATGGCACTTATTCCCAGGAAGGTGCTACGGAAAACGAGAAATTGCTGGGCTTGTCTATTCAGGCGACTCTGCTTGGGCTGGTTCGCAAAGCATCCCTGACAAAGGAACTAGGACGCAACACGGTGCCAGGTGTTGGAGAAGTAGGGACTGACGGAACCTTCTCACAGTGACCGCTGCCGTGGAGTCGGATAGGAAATGCGATTCCTCTAATATCAGGCAGCTTTGGTGGGAGCTGGATTGGCCCCTTAGCAGGAATAGCAAGACCATTCAAGTGTATCGCCCAGGGTCAGCATATTCATGACTTGAGAATATCATCCAAATTGCTGCAACAGTGGACGAACAATGCGGCATTAGATCTCGGAGTTGTAATGCCCTAATGTCCCAATAAGCATGTCACGTGCAGTACTTTTGATCTGTACAACCTCGGCAGAGGGCAGTGGACGAGCAGTATCTCCCCTACAAGTACGGAGTAGGTATTTCTCATCCACCAGCAGTGAGCATTGGAAATCCGGAATTGGTCAGGGAGCGCACAGTTAATGACAATGACAACAGTCCCTAAGAAATGGCGAAATTGTGCCTGACGCGACGTGGGATGTTCCACGTAAGGTTGGCCTCGAACTGCATGTGCCCCTGGAATTGCGTGATGATCGGGCGAGATGAGCAATGTCGTCTTATCCCTTCAGCCACCGCGCGCTCTCCTTGTCTTATGTCTCAGGCCGTGCAATGGATCGACACGGCTCATATGGTCTTGGAACCAGCCTTCTGAGTCCTCGTACATCATTCATGCCCTGGTGATCGCGTCTTCTCTCAGTTTGTCAGCATGTACACCACTTCGGCCTGCTGAAAGACACATGCTTGTATTGCGTCCCGATGCCGAAATATATGCGTGTGTTCGTCCTTGAACAAGCTGATGCATCTATCAGGCACCGAAACAAATCAAGAGAGTGAACCATTCAACGTCGACTACCACGCTACCAGTGAAGCTTCCATCAATCGTCAAGACACCTTCGCGATGCGTGACCTCGAAACCTCGCCCTTGCTATCAGCCAGGTCGTCCACTGACGAGTCGACCACCGCAGGTGAGCGACAGTTACGGGATGCCGCTATTGAGCGCAAGATCGAGAACGATGTCCTCCCTGAGACAGCCACTTCTGGTCGCAATATCGGCTGGGCAAGCGCGTATGTGCTTGTGATCTCAAGAGTGATCGGGAGTGGTATATTTGCGATGCCAGGCACGATTGTTCAGAATGTCGGCAGCCCTGGCCTCGCATTGGCCCTCTGGATCGTAGGGGCGTTGGTGGCATGGGCAGGCCTGGCCATTGACATGGAATATGGATGCATGCTGCCTCGATCTGGCGGTGTCAAGGTGTACCTGGAATACACGTACCGGAAGCCGCGGTTCCTGACGTCGACCCTTGTCGCTGTGCAAGCTGTTCTCCTGGGCTTCACGGCCAGCAACTGCATCGTGTTCGCAAAGTACGTCCTGTTTGCCACCGGAGTCGAGCCGGGAGATCTGAACACAAAGCTACTTGCAGTCGGCCTTTTGACATGGATCACTATCGTGCATGGGTGCTTCTACAAGACTGGCATATGGATACAAAATGTCCTCGGTTGGGTCAAGATAGGTTTGATCGTCTTCATGATCCTGACGGGTCTGTTTGTCATCATCTTTCGACCAGAGACATCTCCGACTGACCCCTCGGCCATTACTACGGCCACCAGCTGGGATGACCTCTGGTCAGGCTCAGTATGGGACTTTAACACTCTGTCTACCGCCTGCTTCAAAATCTTGTACTCGTACGCCGGGCTCAGCAATGTCAACAATGTTCTTAACGAGGTCAAGAACCCTGTTCGGACTCTGAAGACAGTAGGCCCGGTTGCTCTACTGACCGCCTGTATCATGTACATCTTGGTCAACATCGCCTATCTCGCTGTCGTACCTCTGGAGGAGGTGAAGCGCAGCAGAGAGCTGATCGCCGCCTTGTTCTTCGAGCGGGTATTTGGAGCTGGCTTTGGCAACAAGTTCTTGCCGATAGGTATCGCATTGAGTGCGGCCGGTAATGTCATGGTGGTGACATTCAGTTTGGTATGTGTTTCAATCTACCTGGTGTGCCTGCGCCGTCTACTTGTAGTAGCTATCTGACACACCACTCGCCAGGCCCGGGTCAACCAGGAAGTTGCGCGGCAGGGGTTTTTGCCTTATCCTGAAGTTCTTGCTTCGTCGAAACCGTTCGGCTCGCCAATGGGAGGCCTCATAGTGCACTACATACCATCAGTCCTGGTCATTGCACTCCCCCCCTCTGCCACGGTATACTCTTTCATCGCCGACGTCGAGGGATATGCAGGCCAATTTTTTGCGTTTGCCGTGGCATCAGGCCTGATCCTTTTGCGACACCAGAAACCTGATTTGCTGCGACCGTTCAAGGCATGGCTGCCGGCCGTCTGGCTCCGGATCCTGCTCAGCGTGTCGCTGATCGTAGCACCACTCTTCCCTCCAAAAGGCGGTTCATCCGATGTCAATTTCTTCTACGCGACTTATGCGTTGGTGGGTCTTGCTGTGTAAGTGGTATCCCGCCCTTGCTGGAAGAGCATCACCCGATGACTGATTACTTTTCTGCTAGCTTGTTCTTTGGCATCGCGTATTGGTTTGTCTGGACTATTGCGTTACCCCGGTACAAGGGCTACGTGCTCGAGGAAGAAGCCGATGTCCTCGGTGACGGTACGACAATCACGAAGCTGACACGCAAGGAATTATAATCAAGAGCGTTTTGGATTGATAAGCACTCATAGAAATGATAAACGCGTCGTGTAGATGCCGTGTCATGCCTCGATTGTTTCGACACAAGACATAGGTCCAAGGGCACGTCATTCAATAACCTCGACTTCTATTGGCGGATGACTTGGTGTATAGACCCTCGTCCATGTCTTACCCCACACATTGTATATGGATGGTGTGTATGACGGGACAGATTGCGTGCTGTCTGACAAATCAGGCATGGCTTGTGTGGTATGGTTCATAAGGATGAAAGTGTCGCGCCTCCTCATTGTCGGTCGTTACCCGAGGATATCAACGAGCTCAGGTGCACCGATAGTACTCACGACATCATACAGCAGAAACCCCCAACAATGGCATCAGCGGCGGTCCAGCAACCCGGCGGACACTCTACTTCCTTCGAGCCTCTGACGACTCAGTTGAAAGGCACATCGGCTGCTCAGACCGAGAAGCACCATGTTCGCACATCTTTGAACTATTACAAGGACCCTGGTGACGGAAGCCCTCCTCCTCCAAGCTACGTCGGCAAGCCCGAGACGTACGAGAGGCCCTATGAGCCGTTGGACGTGACAATCCACGACATCCGAGGCGAAGAGGGCGGGTATACCCTGGACAAGAACGGATTCCAGATCTTCCGCCGCGAGAGCGTCGAGAAGGACTTTGTCGACGACGAGCAGATCAAGGCCCAGTATTACCCTGAGACGGAGCAATTGTTGAAAGACGCGTGAGTATTTCCCCGAAACCCCGTTCTTTTTTGGTATGGATTTGTTTTGCCGGTGAATAATTTTGGCTGACGTGAGCCCCCGGGGGTGGGAAACAACAGGACGGGAGCTTCTCGTATCTTCATCTTTGACCATACCATCCGTCGAGCGCCCAAGGACGGAAGAGCAGCAGGGGCGTCTCCTGCCGCCATCAACCTCCGAGGACCCGTCAACCGAGTCCACATCGACCAGAGCTACAGTGCGGCCAAGAACCGCGTGCCTCACCACCTACCCGAGGACGCCGAGCGGCTGCTCACGACCCGGTACCAGATCATCAACGTCTGGCGGCCGATCAAGAAGATTCTGAAAGATCCCTTGGCGGTCGCCGACGCCCACTCCGTCCCGGACTCGGACCTCATCGGCGTCGGGCTCATATACCCTGACAGGAGGGGGGAGACGTACACCGTGCGACCCAACCCGGAACACAAGTGGTACTATCGCTACGGGCAGGCGCCCGAGGAGACGTTGCTGATCAAGTGCTTTGACTCCAAGTTGGACGGGAGGGCGAGGAGAGTCCCGCATACTGCGTTTGTGAATCCGGAGACGGTCAACGAAAGCTCGCGAGAGAGTATCGAGGTCAGAGCGCTGGTCTTTTACGAGGATCAGCCTGCAGAGTGATGGTCGACCCCGGCCAAGGTGTTCTTGATGTCCATTGAGTCGAGCTAGTGGCGATGGTTGAACTCGAGAGTGCCGTGAGTCTGTTTGTTGTACTGTAGTTGTTGACGATGATACGATATGATGTAGTGTATGGCAATGTGATTGTGTCTCTCCGCGACAACAATGAATGGTTCTCCAATACTGTACGAATTGCGGGTACGCCTTGCTCGCATACAAATCTCAAGGAGGAATACTAGTACGAGTACGAGTACGAGCAGAGAGTCCCTCTCTTGGGCACAACGGAAGTGGAATGCCGACCACGTGATTTGCCAAGGCTGCCTTCTTTCGCTAGACGCCACGCCAACGATGCTGCGCCATGTGGCGGTGTCCCCCGCATTCGATGATGATAGGCTGCTGTCCGCTCGGTTGCGGCTGTGTAGGTACAAGTGCGCTCGTCACTGCCCACCTGGTACTACCGCGCTGCAGCAACTCGTTCCCGCGTCATCTTGCGAATGGCCCAGCAGCCTTGGCTGTCAGATAGAAATACACCATTAATACCTTGCCGTGCTTGGGAAAAAGGCAAACATCCTGCTTCGTATCTGCCTACCTACCTGACTCTACTTCTCCGTAACTCTTCCCGAGCTTCACATTACCCCTCTACATCCCACTTGTTTCCTCGATTATCCCATAGACCTTTCTCACAACCACAACAGCGGATGTCATACGGTCCTCCTCAAGGTCAGCCTCCGTACGGAGGGGGATACCCTCCTCAAGGTCCAGGCTACGGCCAAGGCCCCCCTCAGCACGGTGGCTATCCTCCCCCACCACAAGGAGGTTATGGTGGTCCACCGCCGCAACAACATTGGGGCGCACCGCAAGGTGGTTATGGCGGACCACCTCCAGGACAATTCCCTCCTCCACAACAGCACGGCGGATACGGGCCACCGCAGGGCGGTTTCCCTCCGCCACAGCAGCAATGGGCTCCTCCACCGGCAATGCCCTCGCTAGGCTACGACCCCAGAGCGCAGGCACCAGGTGACGCTTCGCGCGACGCCGATGCGTTGAGAGCAGCGATGAAGGGATTCGGCACGGATGAGAACGCCCTCATTCGGATCTTGGCAAAACCAGATCCTCTACAAATAGCGTTGCTGAGAAATACATACAATCAACGGCATCGTCGTGATCTGGAAAGAGACATAAAGTCAGAGACGTCGAGATACTTTTGCGATGGATTGGTCGCCATCGTCCAGGGCCCACTCATGCACGATGTGCACTCGGTCCACGACGCAATCAAAGGAATAGGAACAAGAGAGGAGACGCTGAATGACGTACTCCTCGGCCGCTCAAACGCAGACATGCGCGCCATCAAACAAGCGTACCACCAGACATTCAGACGCACCCTCGAAGACGACGTAAAGGGTGATCTTTCGATGAAGACAGAGAGGCTGTTCAGCATGGTCATGGCAGCCACGAGGCAGGAAGAGTCCGCTCCCGTGATTCCACACGAACTCGAACGAGACGTGAATGAACTGCACCGCGCCATGGACGCACGCATCGGCACCGATCAAATCACGGTCTGCAGCATCCTCGCGAACCGAAGCGATGGCCAAATCCGAGCGCTGAACCACCACTGGCAACAGAAATATCACAGCCAGCTTGAAAAGGTTATTGCGTCCGAGTTTTCCGGCCACATGAAGGATGCTCTGTTGCTTATGGTGCGTCGCGCGACTGACCGTGCCATGTCGGATGCAGAGCAACTGGAAGCTGCAATGGCTGGCCTCGGGACCAAAGATGTCCTTCTCGTTCAACGCGTGGTGCGTGTTCACTGGGACAGAGCTCATTTGGACCAGGTGAAGCGCGCTTATGCTCATCGCTACAAGAAGGATTTGATCCAGCGTGTCAAGGGAGAGACTCGAGGTCACTACGAGGCTTTGATGGTTGCATGTCTGTCATGATTTGACTGGGTTGATATTGGAGGTTTATGACGGAACTGACGATTTTCGTTACTTTTCTTTGATCAAGTAATTGTTTCTTCAAAGAGTGGTGGCTTCACGGCAGGGATGGAGGTACCTTTGTGTGAAAAGGAACAGCGGCCGGAAATGGTGGTTGTTTGATATTGTATAGTCACGATATTGCCTACCCAGGAAGGGCGAGTGGCGGCGTCATTAGGATGTGCAAAGTACCTTACTAATACCAACCTAAGGTCAGGTAGGTAGTAAGAGCCTACCTTTCCTGCACCTGACACTCTCATCTTTGTCTCTGCTGTGGTTCGCTTCACCTCGAATACTCCAAAATTGTTTGCTCGACCAGTGTTGTCCTCGCTTGGATGAGGTAACGGGTATCCTTTATAAGCCCACCGAGGTATGTTGTAAAGTCCTACTAGTTAGGATAGAGTGACTCTCCTTTGATTCCCAAAACAACAGCAATTTATTTATGAGTCAATCAACATAGGTTAAGGGGGATCCGAGGTTCACGTTCGGATAAGTACAATCAATCATACGGACGTTCCTTCAACGCCACACGAGGCCTTCTGATGGCTCGGGAGGATTCGGAAAAGGCTGCGGCTGACGGACCCAGAACGTATTGCACCACGGTCGGGTGTCCGGTAATTGTTCGGTCTGGGCTCCGGAACGGTGACTGGAGCTGGCCGAAGACGGAGCCATGTGTTGACTGACTAGAGCCGGGGTTGAGGGACGACGGGACTAACCTTGGAGGGGGGAAAAGACCACAGAGAGTCGTCGGCAATAAAGAAGTAAAGAATGAGCCTACTCGAGGTTGCAGTTTGTATTGTTGTAGGCATCTGGAAGGGACCTGGAATAACTATTTTGCCGACAGTACAGAAAGCAAACTCCATCACATGCTCGGCTTGGCTGCGCTGCTGCTTCACTTCCCCCGCAATTTGCAAGGGAGGAAGAGAGAGACGACAGAAAAGTCAACAAACCGATGACATGAATTATTCTCTCGGATGACATCGACCCTCCACCGGAAGCGAGTCGACCACCGTGGCCACCAAAGATGCCTAGGGAATTCTTCTCCATTATTCTCCATTCACCCCTCGCATGCTCAAGGCCCTGCACGGCCTTCTCCCAATGATCCTCCCGCGGCGAGATGGGGCCCCTGGCCTCTCTGTACCTCGGCCGAAAGGACGTGCTCTTTTTCTGATGCACAAAGATTTGCGGCAACGCGTGCCCATCTACCAAAGTTATTCTCGACTCAGCCCTGGAACTCGGATTGGAACGGCTTGCCATGGATTGACATGACTGGATTCTTGGTTTTCTCTGCTTGTAGAAGAAGTGACCTCACCCTTCCCCGTGCTTTGTGTTTCTCTGTCTGGCAGCTCTCCTCTCACTTGCCTTTTTTTTTCGAGATCATCCTCTCCTCTCCTCTCCCCAGAGTCCTTCCTGTCACTCTCCTGGTTTCCGGCTTGGGTATTCGTACTGTTTGTAGCTATAGAGAGCTCGCTGATTTGCCTACCTCCCTACCATCATACCTGGGACTGTCAGACGTCCATTTCGCAAAGGTCTGCTGCTGGTGAAGCGCGCATTTGTCGAATCGTATACCTATCTGCCTCTGAACGGTCGAGCAAGCGAGCAAACGTTGACGGAGCTCTATTACCATACCATATCATTGTATCACACGGATATAAAAATCGAAGCTCACAATGTCTGCCAAAAGTGTAAAAGGCGAGCATGGCAAGAAACCGGCGTCTGCGGCCGTCAACCTGATAGCCGGAGGCGGCGCGGGTATGATGGAAGCCCTCGTGTGCCATCCGCTCGACACAATCAAGGTGCGAATGCAACTGTCAAGAAGGGGCCGGGTGCCAGGGCAGAAGAAGCGTGGCTTCATCGCGACGGGAAGAGACATCGTCAAGCGGGAAACCGCGTTTGGGCTGTACAAGGGTCTCGGAGCCGTCTTGACGGGCATCGTACCGAAGATGGCCATCCGCTTCACGTCATACGAGTGGTACAAGCAATTATTAGCGGACAAGGATGGGATCGTAACATCCAGGGCGACTTTTCTAGGTACGTGAGAAAAGGCGAAGAAACTGTTTCGGAGCCCAACCTGCCGCGCGGTGGGTGGCAGCCTTTGCGTTTCGCCAACTGACACTTTGCACAGCTGGACTGAGCGCCGGTGTAACGGAAGCCGTGGCAGTCGTAACGCCGATGGAAGTGGTCAAGATTCGCATGCAAGCGCAATACCACAGCTTAAGCGACCCTCTCGACGTCCCGAAATATCGAAGCGCGCCGCACGCGCTGTTGACCGTGGTTCGCGAGGAAGGACTCGGGGCCCTGTACCGGGGTGTGTCGCTGACGGCGCTGCGACAGGGAACGAACCAGGCCGTCAACTTCACCGCGTACACAGAGTTCAAGGAGATCCTGCAGCGGTGGCAGCCCGAGTACCAGGGCCAGAACCTGCCGAGTTACCAGACCACCGTGATCGGGCTGATCAGTGGCGCCATGGGACCTTTCTCCAACGCACCCATCGATACCATCAAGACGAGGTTACAGAAGACACCTGCCGAGCCTGGCCAGACGGCCGTGTCGAGAATCGTGGCCATATCAAGGGACATGTTCAAGCAGGAGGGCTTCCGCGCGTTTTACAAGGGTATCACGCCGCGAGTGATGAGAGTGGCCCCCGGTCAGGCCGTGACGTTCACCGTGTATGAGTTTTTGAAGAGTCATATCGAAGATAGTAACTGGTTGAAGCTAGGGACTGGGAAATATGAAGAGTGAGAGTGCAATCTCTTCTTCTTGTTGTTGGGAACCTGGTGAGAAGAGTTGGATAATCAAGCGGAAGCATTGAAAAGAAAGAGTTGGGAGCTGAACAGAAGGTCGTCGTCTATCGACCTACCCACCTACCCACCTACCCACCTATACCTAGGTACTCAAGACCGGGTAGCTTTTGCATTTTCCGGAGCGAGGATATAAAAAGCCAGCACCAGTTTCGTTTCTGACGGGTGGGAGATACCGCTGCGGTGTTATTCCCGAACAATCTGTACATATCCTTGGTCTAAGACCACAGCAAACATTGTACCGTTCGAGGGTCAGGCAAAGACAAGGGAGAGGAGAGTAATGGCGCAAGGCATCATTAATTTCGAATGAATACTATGCTGATGCCTGGTGACGGTCCCTCAGTCCTGGTCATGTTTTGAATCCTGATACGTGCCTGTCTGCGATATTAGGGAGCGTAAATATTGCAGGTAAATAGAGCCCCGCTTGTTTCGGCCCCAAAGTCCACCATGAGCCCGAATGAGCCTCGTCGTCGTCGTCAACAACACCAACTCTCCTCTCTCGGCCGATATGCTACTCGTACACAACCAGTATTCCACTGCAATCCAAAGTATCGTCCAGTACAGTGATACTGTCACAAGGAAGTCTTTTGCACGTATAAGAGCCGGCTCGCCCTCAAAAGTGATGAGCTTCAATCCAGCAATCCCTACGAGTACACTGTCCTAGATCATCCCACCTCTACCACCACCACCACCACCACCACCACTAGCTCACTCACTCACCACAAGCGACCAAGTCACCCTTCCTCTGTCCTAGACATCTAGGAACTGACACTATGCAGTCCGGAATATCAGGTACTTATTTCTCCGCCCTTCTTCCTCTTGGCTGTTACCGCCTTGGTGGCACAGCACGTACTGTTCTACTGAGAAGACCCGACGCTGACATCTAACTGCCATTGACACATCACAGCGTCTGCGCAACTGCACGATGCATTCACACGCTTCACCTCGGACACGGCGTCCCTCTTCGCGCTCCCGATCACGATCACCCAAGAGTCCCTGACTCCTCTCGACGCCGTCCCGTTTTCTTCCTCGTCGGCGACATTCTCCTCCAGCCTATCTAGTCTCGACTCGCTGCTCACGCCGACGACGCCGCTCTTCCTCCTCCTCCGCCGGGCGCCGTCGTCCCCGTCCCTCGTCGCGGTGACGTACATACCCTCTCGGGCGGCGGTGCGGCAGAAGACGCTGTTCGCGTCGACGCGCGCCACGCTGGTCCGGGAACTCGGCGGCGAAAAGTTCGACGAGACCGTCTTCCTCACGGAGCGGGAAGAGATTCTCGACCCGGCGCAGTGGGGCGAGAGGGCCGCACCGCCTGCGTCTGCCTCCTCAGCCGACGGTGGGGGTGGCGGCGGCGGCGGCGACGTCGGCCTGCTGAGCACCGAGGAGCGAGAACTCCAGGCCGTCAAGCGCGCCGAAGAGGAAGAGCGCCACGGCACGCGAGGCCGGGATCTCATGGGCGAAGGCGGCAGCGGGGGCGTGATCGGCTCTCGCGGCGGCCGCGACATGTTCATGAACATCACCGACGACGCGCGCGATGCCCTGCGTGCCGCGGCGGACGGCGCCGAAGGGTACACCGTGCAACTGGGCATCGAGGTCGCCACCGAAACCATCACGTTGATCGCGAGGCACGACGCCGTGGGTGTGCCGGCGCAGGTCGTCGCGCTGATCCCGACCGACCGTCCGAGTTACACCTTTTACTCGGTCCCCGGCGGCGCCGTGTTCATCTACGTCTGTCCTGGCGTGAGCAAGGTCAAGGAGCGCATGGTCTACGCCAGCTCGCGGAGGGGCTTGCTGCACATCGCCGAGGGCAACGGCGTCAAGGTCTTGAAGAGGCTCGAGGCCGGGGACCCAGATGAGTTGGACGGCCGGCTGGAGGAGGAAGTCAGGAGTTTGAGGGTCGGCGCTGGAGAAGCGGGTGACGCCGACGATGATAACGCCGCGGCCTCGGCGCCAGGCTCTGGCACCGCTACGCCTAGAGGTGGTGGTTTCGCGAGGCCGAAGAGGCCAGGTAGAAGATGAGACGAGGGGACCAGCCCATCTCAGACCCTCCACACATCATTATCGCACTGGGGAGTCGAAGAGGTGAAGGTCTCGAGTACGACATTAACAATAAAAGGAGACGAACTTTAGCATAGCGATGGGGGAAGACGGATCACAAACTCAACACTCGCATGAAGGATTGGCTCACACATTGCACCAAAAAGGAAATGTGGGATGTGGAAATTTCATTCATTGCAGGAAGCCTGATATGCTTTCGGCTCTGCAGGTATCGAGAATAGATCAATTCGTTCCATTCTTCGTCACAGTCTGACTGGGCATTGCGTGACTTTGCGATCTTCCACCGCAAAAATCGATAAACCTCCTTCCCTAGTCTCAGAATGCTAAAGCCCCTGCTCATGTTGCTGATCCCCTAGCCTCCTTTCCGAAACACCAGACGTCACATTCGTTCTGGCGCCGCAGTGTTCAACAGATGCATCGAGAATGATGTTGTCCGACGGATAGCGACAATCGGGCAGCATGTCCGAGGCGAGGGAGTGCGCTTGGTGTAGCTGGACGCTTGTGTGACCACCGACACTTCTTCGTTGGAGCGTGGCAGCGGTGGCTGGCACCAGTCGTCTGAAAGTAATTGCTACTGGAATGGATCTTCCATTTCTACAACCGTGTGACTTCTCCGACGTTGCCAATATTCAGCTTGGCTTGAACAGTCAAAGAGGAGGTCAATTGAGGCTTGGTGATTGAATGGCTGTAGCCGGGGAAAAAGGAGGGGGGCCAGCTCGCCGCGTGAGTAGGATTGGTAAAATCGATGGAATCGTCCCCGGATCTTTTGTGGGAAATACGGCTTGGTCTGTCTGATGTGTGCGGACGTCGTTGGGGCCCCCGTGTTCAACGACTGATTGTGCTGATCATGGCCCCGAGGGGGGAAAAATGTATCCCCATATGTTCTCAATATTGTTGATTCCTGAAATTTTTCTTTTGGTAAAACAGATCCGTCCTCGATGAACCCAGATTGATGATCTTGGGACACCCGTCTCGATCTTTCTCCAGCCTGGTACATTCGAAGCAGTAGAATGCGTCGCTGATTCCTTCGCCGCCGCACACGACGCACTTGTTCTGGTAGTTGCCGAAGGAGCACTCGTCGCAGATGCGGACCAGGGTCGTCGGCCGGACGTACGAGTCGCAGACGGGACATTTGCCGTCGCATTTGTCGCAGAGACGGCCGAGTGAGATGCCAGGTGCTTTGCGGCACATGACGAGATCGGGATGATGGCGAGACATTGTGGCAAGAAGCTATAACCGTGCGATCGAGTCGAGTCGAGTTGAGTTGGGGCCTGGAGGTACGGGAGATTGACAGAGGGAGGTACAGGTGTTTTATGTGTCGGACGAGGGTCGTAGTTGAGATAAATGTCGCGTAGAAAAGGATGGAAAGACGGTAGCGTGCAGTATAAGCACCTCGTAGGCCCCTCAGAGCCTCGCGGGAGAATTTCTAAGCCTTGTTGTGCTAACATACTGTACCTCGTATTAGTCACTTGCTGGAGGCAAATTTCTCCGCAAAACTAGTCCCGAGTTCTCAGTAACACGTGCTGCGCGGCTCAGCCTCCAGCAGCACCACCCACTGCCAGCTAAAGGTTCCCATCGGACTACCGAGTACGAGTCCTCCGTGCCCAAGTTACCGGTTCAGCTAGACTTGTATACTGTACCCCGAACTTCATTTTTCCGTGACGCAGATTTCCCCCCAGTTCCAAGGCTGTATGTGGTCCTGAGAGTATGCATAAGTGTCGGAGCGATATGTGAATATCAACAAATTCATCATCAAGATAACATTTACCCCGTCTTTCGCGCCCATCGTCTTGAGCACCTCACCAAGAAACACCACTCTTCAACATGATTTCCTCCGCCGTCGTCATCCCGGACGAGCCTCAACCCCAGCCCGAAAGTCCTACGGAGACCCCATCTCTGAAGCGGCGCCAGTCGTCCATCTCCTCGGAAACAAGCAAACGGCCTCGCTTGGATGCGCAGCCCTCGTCGAACGAGCGAGCAGATTCTCCCACGACCCAATCGCCAACGACGAGTCGCAATGGCGCAGGCGGTGCGTCGTCTCCTCCGCGCCAGGCGGACTCGGGGCGCAGAAAGTCCTCGCTGAACAACGTCGAACAAGACAAGTCGCGCAACCGCAGACTCTTCGGCTCGTTGCTGGGAACACTGGCGCAATCGTCGAGACCGCCCAAGTCGGGCGTGGGGGCCACGAACGCCGCATCCGCGGCGGCGGCGCGCAACTCGCGGCGCGAAGAGATCGAGAACCGACAGCGGGAGCGACTAAAGCGGGAGAAGGAGGAGCTGGCAGACACGGCTCGTAGGAAAAAGGAGGAATTGGATCGTGTGCGACGGATCGAGCAGCGCAGGTGGGACGAGGGTGGCATGAGAATCCGACACAGGAATCTGAGGGCAGTTGCTCGGTCGTTGAAGACCAAGACAGATCCTCCATTGGTATGTTCATTGAACTACTGAACTGTCTTGTATTTTTTTCTTTCTTCTTCTTTTTTTTCTGTTTCTGCGTCAACTATAATCGAATGCTTACTGATGTTGTTGTGACGCAGTACTATAAGCCGTGGGAACTAAGGGAGCACGAAGAAGAAATCATCAAGCGCCAAATAGACGAGGCAGAGGAAACCATCCGGCGAGAACTGGACGAGCACCGATCGAAACGGCCACATGAGTCCCCGAGTCCCGAGAGCAAGCGTGATCAGGAGGATGTGACTAAGCGCGCCGAAGGCGATGGAGATCGACTACGGAACGGGTCCAGCCTCCCTCTGGCAACTGATGACGGTGATCGAGACGAGTCTAATGGGCGTGGAAAGGCGGACGTCGACATGACTTTGAATGCGGAAGGGCCATCTAAACACGAGGCGAAAGAAGACGATGAGCAACGGCCCACTAGCGCTAGCAAAGATGATGACCATGGCGGTGAAGAGCTGGAGAGGGGTCAAGAAGACGATGTTATTTACTGAACCCTCTCTACCTGTACGTGTAGGAGTGGTAGCCTTCAGTCTTGGACGGGTTCAATCGTGGCCCTTACGATGGAACATGCGTCTGTATTGGTGTGAAAGTCTGCCCTGCCGTCTATCCTGGAAAGCCTTTTGGATGGAGATGAATCAGGTAGGACGACGGGGTGCTACCTGGAGCTAGGCACCACCAATGTCATGGGCTACGCCTGACATACTCTGTTAAAAGTCATCGACCGCCTCCACTGGACCAGGACTCTTGATTACCTAGGTACATATCCCGAAAACGCACAAGCGTTCTAGCAGCATACTTACTGACAAATCACAACTACATTATGTATGTTTGATTGATGGTTTCTTGGAGGGCGGGTCTAAGGCAAAGCGACTTATCTTGAGATGGCAAGCGTGGACAAAGCATCCTTAAAGCAGTGTTCAATGTGTAAACAGTGGCCGTTGAGATCAGTGACTATCTTACCATGAGAACGATTCTTCGACGAGCCTGATTGAGACCTTGTTTCCTCGCTTCGCAATCGCACAGACCGCGTTCCTCACATCGTCAGCCAGACTATCGGGGCCGCTGACCACGACCACGGGGTGCTGCCTGGGACCAGCAAAAGACACTTCCTTCTCCAGTTCGTCCCGCACGTTCATCCGTTTCCCAATAAAGACCTCTTTCTCGACACTGACGAGTTCATTCGCAAGAGCGTCAACGAGGCTACGCGTGCGGACACCCCAGAGTAGCTTACTCCGGCCCGGGTGGGAACGCAACAGTGGGAGAACCGTCGTGATGCCGACTCCACCTGCGACGCAGATCAATGTTGGATGCTCGGAAAAGGTCGAGTGCTGTCCATATGGTGATTCGACGAGCACCGGCAGCCGTGAAGAGGAACGGAGCAACGATGTCAGACCGCCGCGGCCGCGGAGCAGAAATGTCATGGCCAGCCCTGGTTGCTGTTGCTGTTGCCGTTGCTGTGCTTGCTCCGTGTTTGAATCTCCATCACTCGAATGGGCGGACGTGGCGACAACGTTGCTCGTGATGCCCTCGTTCTTTTCAATGTCGATTGAAGTCTGCGTCGGCGTGGTACGTTGTGTAGTCGACAGCACGGTCGACGCCACGGAGAAGGGATGGTTCTCCCAAACACGCCACGTCAGCGTAGGGAAGTACAGATACGCATGGCCATCGCCTCCCACTCCAGCAATGTCGACGCGAAGGTAGTCGTCGTCAATGATGGTGATGTTTGCCCACCGAAGGCCGTTACGAGCAAGGCGGCCAAGTCGTAGCAGGCGGTCGAACCCCCAGACCGCGATGGCGACATATATCCAGACTTCATAACCCCATTGGTGCGCGAACCGGTCGTAAATGTGAAGGTAGCAGCCGACCACGACCAAGACAGCAACAGCAATGTGCCAGAGGAGGAAGGCTTCATAGAACAGGCGTCGAAGGGGCAACATTGACAAGGGGAGTAAGATCGACATGCCGATCGTTGCAATCACTCCCCAGTACCAGTATGAAAGCTTGCTCTCGCTGCTGTGCTCACCGTCCACGACATAGATGTGGAGGTAGATAAGAGAGTGGATGATGGCCTGTAAGCTGGCAATAGTCGCGATGTAGCGGTGCAGCAAAAGGAAGGTCTCATGGCTCCAGTTGGTCAGCCACAACAGGACGTTGTTTCTTCCAGCATACAAGATGAGTAATGGGATATTGGCAAAACTCAAGACACCACAACGATTTGCAATATAGGTCAATATTTCTCGGCCTGGATTATCGGGGAACCAGGCGTTTGGCTGCCTCGAGGAGTACCCGACGCAACAAAGAAGGACATTGATCACGGCCAGATACAGGATGAAGAAGGCTTGACCCCTTGTTGGCATGTTGGTCAGACCCCACAGAATTGGCACTTTGTGGCGGTGTCCGATAGCTGGAGGGTCGACAATGACAGCATTGAAGAGACTCGTCCAGTGGGCTGGGAAAGGCAAAAATCGAAAGAGCGAAAATCCGACAGGAATGACAACCCCAGAGAGGAAAACGACGAGCCTATATGAGGTGTTGTCAGATACATCAGCCGTTGTAGAAAGGCACGAGGAGATGTTCGGCAGAACTTACCCATACCGCTCATGGAGAATCTCGCCATGTTCAAAGGCATTGTTAGCATTCCAGTTTGGCTGATAGTCGTCGTCGGAGACAAGCATCGTCCGATTCAGAGGGTTCCCTGATATGATGGTGTCCTCCGGTGTGGTCTGTACTTTGGCCAGAGCCTCTTGGTAGGTCTCTTTGGGGTCGGGCTGCACCGCGGCGGTGCCAGGAATGTTCATCTGCCACCACTGTTCGATCTGCCAGTCTCGTAGGTTCTTGGCACTAGGGTCTTTGGGGCACTTCTCACTGATACACACAGCCATCGATTGGAGAAAGGCATCATCTGTGGCGTAGCAGTCGGATGATGTACTGAAATCGGACCCGCCCATGTCCATTCCTGCCATGCCTTCCATGTCCATGGTTTCAGAGCAGTTCAACTGAGCGCCAGACAGGACACTTCGACATGAACTGCAGCAATTCGGGTAGTACATCTTGATCCCATACCCGATAAGACCGTGCCGGGCACGCCCATTAGAGGTCATGCATTGAGACAGGACAACGAGAGCGCTCAAGGCAACGAGTCGAGTTGCAGCAAGAAAAACCATTGCTGCTGTATAGTTGCACTCAACAGATGACACGAGTTCTACCAAGAGTCAGGGGCGTCCAAGGCAGTCCTTAAGTAGGGCCAGTATCTTTTCACAGTAATTGCAGAATCGTTACTGGGCCGGTCGCAACCGCAGTAGCCAAGGCCATACAAGCTGCAGGGCAATATCTCAATGTTCTAGCCATGCACATCTTTGCAATGCTCTAGCATGACTGGTGCGGCGTATACAGCTGTCCCTATCGCCAGGGGTTGGCTCCACAGTCAGTTCCGGAGGAAATGTGCTCAATCCGCCAAGATCCCGCCAGCATGGCGCATGAGCATGTTTTCTTCGGGCTACCGCTTGTTCATCTCGTGGCAGAAGCTAAAAATCAGCTCTCAGAGAACCAAGAAAGAGGTAGGAAACTTCCACAGATGCCCCTCAGAGACTTCCAGCTCGTATGCTTATCGGAATGCCAAGGACTGGTTGAAGTGAGAAGGGATGGCTCTCACTTGTGTGTGGTGCGCATGATTTTTCTTACTTGCGCACGGCGCGTGTCTGTCTTAGTGGTATTTGGCGCGATGGAATTGATCATTGCCAGCATGGATGTGTCCATTCGAGCAACTTCCAGGGTTCCCTTCACTCCTGTACTTTGTTGCCCAGTTGTGTCGACTTCGCGCAAAAACGTGCAAACTTACAGGTATCCAATGCAATGATCCCTTGAAAGGAAAAAATGACCGTAGCAGTGGACTTACCTCCTACGCGAGACTCTGGTTTTCGAGATGAGCGGTCTCCTTACAATACCATGCTCTTGATGCTGAAGTGATTCCTCGTTTGCGTGAGAAAGATTGCATGATTCTTGAGGCGCTGGCTCCTTTTCTCCTGGCATTGGTCCATCAACCATTCGACCTTGCGCACCGGCACTAGTCGAACGTGTTCCACGCAGTTGGCGTAGACAAGCCGCGACTCTTGTAGCTTGTCAAGGAAGCACTCATGTCCTAAGTTAAGGTGCAGTACTGCGGAGCGATACTCAGGTAAACAACGAGCCCTGGATTGGGACACTAGACTAAAAGAGGCTAGTGGGAGCCCGTATTATGTCAGCCATTCCTCGTCATTATTAGGTACTTCTTCGATCCGTCCTTCGTATTCATTCTTCCTTCCGACAGCAGCGAGAGTAGCGTTCACCCTGTTTCATGATACCGTCCTCTTTTATTAGTGTTTGTTGCGTCTATGATTTCTTCTCCCTTGAAATGCTACTCGCTTTCATAACCTTTCGCAATCTTCTGTTTTTGCTCTACTTCTAATATAAGTTTTTGCCTCCAGCAAGCTTGGCAAAATCTGTTGGCCAGACAAATCCGCGACATCACGATCAGGTCTGTCAAATGGAGACCATTGTGCAATCCGGGGCCAAAGAGTCCACTCCCAGCTCTATCAACGTTCTTACCCTTAATTGCTGGGGCCTCAAGTACCTCTCGAAATTTCGGACAGAAAGACTTTCCGAAATAGGCAATCGTATTGCCAACTACACGCCCGAGCTTGATATTGTTGGTTTACAGGAATGCTGGACATTTGCTGACTATTTGAATATTCGAAACCGAACGAGATCAATATTACCGTATGCGAAATACTATCACTCAGGTATCTTTGGAGGAGGACTAGCTATTTTCAGCCGTTGGCCGATCAGAGATTCGTCTATGTTTCGATATCCTCTGAATGGTCGTCCTACAGCATTCTTCAGGGGCGATTGGTTCGTCGGCAAAGGTGTTGCTTGTGCTCAGATACAAATGCCCGATGGACAGATGATCGAGGTCTTCAATACCCATTTGCATGCCCCGTACGAGCGTGAACCCAATGACAGCTACATCTGCCATCGAACAGCACAAGCATGGGAGATCGCGAAGCTCATGCGGGCAGCGTCTGAGAGAGGAAGTCTCGTCCTGGGCATGGGCGACTTCAATATGGTACCGCTGAGTTTCGCGCACGTGCTCATCGAAAGTCGCGGTGGCGTCAAGGATGTTTGGCGAGTGGTCAAGCCAGGGAGCAGTGTGGGAAAAAGCCATCACCTACCCGAAATCGAACGCCGGAAGCGGATGAATGAAGACCCAGTTCCAGATGTGAACAGCAGTCTACAAGATCATGGGCATACTTGTGATTCGGTGCTCAACACCTGGCGCTGGCCCAAGGAGGATCGCAAACGCCTTGAAAAGGGTCACGACAGGAATATCGTGGGGACTGACCCTGATCCCAACTCATATCGGCTGGATTATATTTTCTTTAACGGTATATCGAGGGGATGGAAGGTCAGAGACGTCAAAGTGGCACTTACTGAGAGACATCCTGAGCTTCGCTGCTCTTTAAGTGACCACTTTGCAGTTCATGCCACCGTCGAGAGGTCCGACACACAATCTACCACACCAATGACGATCGAAGTGAATGGTGTGCTCCGGGGTGACATGAGCGACGACCCGAACATTGCATCGGCTGGTTTTGAGGCCAATGATTTCGATGCGGCAATCTCCAAACTGCCGACGCACAAACACATCGGCAAAGACTTTTACCATGATATCCTGGCTATGATACACAAGTACAATCTACGAGAGAGAAAGCAACGACGATGGCGATGCCTACATTTTGTTGGATCTGCATTTATTTCGATTGGCTGTTTTGTGGCAATCTGGTGGTCTCCAAGGAATTTCGTTGCCTTTCTTCTCATCTTGCTGAGCAGTTTAGGACTGATGGCTGGGACCGTAGATGGGCTCATCGGATTTCTTTTCGTTGGATCCGAGCTCCGAGCGCTGGCAGAGTTTGAGTGGGAAGTCCGAAACGCCTTGCAGTTGGCCGGCGGCCCTGTCCTGGACGATCGAGCTCTCAAAGACTGGTACGATTAATGGCAGAGCAGACCAGGGCCTTCGTTGAACGTTGACACATAAATCACATGTGTTTGTCTGCAATCCAAATGCAACACAAGCAATGGTGTTGCTTGCCTGACAAGCGCCACTATTCCCGGCGCTTAGCCGGCATTACCTTGCAGGGCATGCTGGCCTATTGCGCAAGAAGTATAGATATATCAGAGACAACCGCGCTGTCCTTCTTGGGTGATGGAAAGATGCAGCCCACAGGAGATGATGGCAAGTATTATGGTGGCTGACAAAGGGGAAGAGTAGGAGGTGCTGGTGTTTCGAATGTGATCGTCCCTGCTGAGTTGGCGGCTTTTGGCTCAAAAGAGCCCAAACTTCCACCCGACCTCAGCTGTCTCAACAATTCTCACAACAACCGCACCACAACACCTCCTTCTACTCTGCATATCGCTGGAAGTCGGTCGCATAGGTGTTAATTAGCTGTCATCCAATTCTTGCGATACAGCGACATCTCAATCACAAGGTAAGTACATATCATCCACCCTCCCATCACCGTGCTCGACGACCACCTCCCGCCTTGTTGCCTGTTTATCACCTCCCACACGCGTCTTTTCATCAATCTCATGACTTATCTGTCGTCGCGGGTATTTAAACTCTCCCACAAAGTTGTTCTGCTTTATTTCACCTATTTTGTGGAAAGCTATGCCCATATCCCAGCCTCACTGACCGTGTTAACCTGCCCCGCGCTGCCGAAGTCGACCAGCGTTTTTGAATAAGGAGCACCAAAGCTGACCTTTTTAACGCTGTCGCAGTCGACTAGTCTCTCTTATACGGCCTACGAAGCATAAAATCTGAAGCGAACATGGCCCAAACACGCGGCGCAACTGGCAACGCGAAGCCTCGCATCTTCACCACCCCATCTACCGAACCAGTGCAAAAGCGCAAAGCTGGAACCACCACCAAGAAGCGCACTACCAAGCCCAAGAGTGCCACTGGTGCAGGTATCACCAAGAAAAGCGCGCCGGCAGCTCACAAGAGAAAGCCGAGTATCAAGGACAAGGTCGAGGGCGCAGTTGAGAAAGTGGTCGGAACTCTCGAGGGCAAACCCGGCAAGAAGGCTGCAGGCACGAAGAAGATCAAAGGCACAGACAGCAAGGTCAGCAAGACGGTAAAGGTCTAGACCTGTCTAAATGTCAGGTGTCATGTCCATCTTACTGTTTCTTGTTTTCTCTCCGGTTTTGAAGAAATCGTCTTCTCGGTACAGGTTTTGCGTCTTTGAAGGGTATGACGCGATGCGAGATGACGATGTGCCTCGTATTTGATTCGGTTTTGGAGTTAGTTTTGAAATCTCGAAGAATGGAAAACGACGGGACTTTGGTCTGCTTCTGGTTTTTGCCCTTTTTCGTTGCGTATCCCTCAGCAATACAAACCAGTGCTGAACGCACACATACACACTCTCTCCCCGATCTCTCACTTTTCACACACACACACACACACACACACACACACACACACACACACACACACACACACACTATCTCTCTCCCCCCCACTCTGCGAACAGGTTTCAGCAGGTGTAGCTGGCGCATCTGTGGTCGGTAGTTGTCGTAGCTCTTGTGAGAAAACAGACCTCTCGCCCCAGTCCCAGTCCCAAGGTTGATGACTTCTACTTTTTTTTTTTTGACATTGACATGTGCGGTTTCTGGCTCAGCCACGAAAAGAGACGAGACAGGTATGACGAGCCTTGATTGATTGATCGATTGGGTCGGTCTAGGTCTCCCCAGGAGGTTCATATCCTCTGCGTGTACTCCGTACAAGAGCGGCTATTCTGCGACGTAGATTCGTACCGTGTGGGAAGGACTTCTCATTCCTTTTGGGAGACCCCGTTACCCTGCAGATACCTAGGTACCTGACACGATCAGGCTATTACAACACCTACTGTAGGTACCTACGGTAGTCAGGCAGGTACCCTTATCAGGGTATCTGATACTCCGGTCGGCCCCATAAGGGACCCAGCCTGTAGGCCCCGTAGCACGCCAAGAATGCGGGTACCGGTGGGCTCACCAGGCTGAGGGCCAGGGGGAGGGGGGTGTGGCCCACCAACGTTAACCGTAACCTGGTGGAACTGCCCTGGAGTTTTACACAGGTATTGACCCTCACTCTACAGTACAGGAGACACCTACTAATACCGTGTACACATACAGTCTGCTCGTACATAAGCACCTAATCAATAAGGCTATTGAGGCCGAGGTAGCAGCTCTTATGGCTACTATAGAACAAGGTAGGTGCTGTACAGGGGTAGGTACCTGAGGCAAGTGAACGAGTAGGTGGTGGCTTTGACGACAATACCTAGAAGACAGACAAGTTGGAAGGACGCCCCGAGAAGAAGGTTGTGTATTCGTAGCATTGATTGATTCATGCTATCTACATAGTACAGAGTGTCCGGATGCCAGCGTCCTCTTAATGGACCTCATTCCGATCGATTCTTTTCTTCTCTTTGCACGATATCATTATCCTCAAAAGACTCAGTACGCCCCAAGTCGCCATGCCCCTTTAATGCGCTTTCAATTTACAATCTGATCATCATCACGGTTCGTTCCTGTTCCTGTTCCCGTTCCACTGTTCTTCTTTCCCCTTTAAAGAACTCACTGGCCTCGGTTCATGGTCATGTTCAAGCTTCAGAAGTCGTCAAGGTAGCTCCATACTATGCATCACTGCTTCAGTCGTCCAAGCTATCCCTCCTATCTCGGCGGTAGCCGCCAGTCCTACCACCCTGCAAGCCGGAGATTGGATGGTGGTAGGTTTTGGTGTTCTGGCTCTGCACGTCAAAGTCCAAGGGCGATGTATAGGAGCCTGGGACAGTGCGGATCGGCCTCTGTGACTCTGTGTTCTTGTTGGGTGAACCGTAACGCGTAGGGCGGGTTGCACCTGTCTGTGCGTCTGACGCGCCTACGCTGAACCCATCTTCCTGCCCGTATGAAAAATCCCGCCGAAACTGTCGCTTTTCTGGACTGGATTGTCTGGATCGATGAGCAGGGGGTGGAGGAGGATGAGCGGCAGATGCATTGGAACTATACTCGCTGTTGCTGTGCATGTCACTTGTGCTACGCTCGGTTGCAGTGTAGTCGGTGCCGTAGAATTGTGCGTCAGAGTCCTTGTTCAAGCCACCGACGCGAGCTGGTTTCTCATGACGATAAGCGCGGACATCATTGTCATGGCCTCCTTCCCAGGTTGCTTCTTTGATTTCTCGCAGTTTGCGTTCCTTGGCTGTTTCCTTCTTGGTTTTATTGGATTGCTTCTCCTTGACGATGGGGGCCTCGGAGGACATGTCTGTCACCGTCATAGTTTCAGTCATGCGGTCTGTGTCTGCGTTGGTGTAGGCATCTTTGTCAGAGTACCCATCTCCGACAACGCTTCCACCACCTAGAATTGTCGACTTCGTGGCGTTGCTTAGTGTGGTACCGTTAGGGCCTTTTCGACGAAGGACGGTAGATTTGTATTCTTCCCAGTCTCCTTTGCGAAATTTGAATCCTCCGTTTTTGGCCCAGAAGAAGAACCAGATCGCTCCTAGAACGAAAGCCGCCCCAATGATAGCGAAGAGAGCTTGAAGACCTTTCATGTTGATGTCGTCTGGAGAAACAGATCCAGCTCCTGGATTGAAATGGTCAGTAGACTTTGAATCCCGTGCAGTAAGGACTTTGAAGGTGTCCATCGGGGAGAGTATGTTGGAGGCATCTCGTTTTCTGAAAGCGCTTGTGCTGAGTTCTGCTGCCGAGCGGGCGTCAAGTTCAAGGGAAGAGAATTTCAGGTCATCGAGGTCGAGGTATTTGGAAAGAGAGGATGCTGGCGCCATGATGATGGTGTTGGAGCACAAAGCTCCTGGAGCAATACGTTGATCAGTGCGAGGACGTTTGAGTGGTGCACAGATGGGGTCGAGGTGATAAGGGCAGAATGGGCCGTAGCGCTCGCGGGCCTGGGTCTGTGTTCTCTAGGTTCGTTTTGACAGTTATTAGAGAGATGTGCAGGGAATGAGTTTGGAAAGAGTTACACTGACAGCAAGCAGAAAATATCAACGCCTTTGTTTGTATTCACCATTTGTTTCCTGGAGGTTGGTGAAGTGGCTGGGAGACATTAACCAACATGCGAGCGGCAGAAAACGGAGTGGGAGAGAAATGACGTTGTCTTATTTACATTCCATTTCAAGCTTAGTACAGTCACCACGACAACAGCCAGCGACATTGCTGCGACTCATCAGGCCTGATGCTCCCTGGTACTTCTAGAGGATGTTATGGCGATAAAAAGACTCAAGTTCTTCGCCGAAGTCGAACGCGCTAGGTTATCGCAGATTATCTGTAGGCCATCATCTCAGCAAAGCTAGCGACCAACTTATGCGTTGATCAACCAGATCAGGGTTCCGGGAACAACAAATCTTTCTCTCTTACGTGGACAGCAACATTCCATTCCAATGCCAGGATCGAATCGTCTGAACGCCCAGGAACAATATGGAGAGTAGCCGCTGGTCAGTGACATGATGCCGTGAGCCACTCTCTTTGACTAGGCAATCTCTGCCAATCAAGACATTCTTGAAGCATCGGTCAAGATCATTGCGGAACGCATCGTCACTGCCCGGTAGGCCCAGCATCTGGGATCTCCTGTGGCCTAGTTCTTCACCTCGGGTGCTCAACAACAACCTAAAATGGCTTTATCTCATTCATGCTAGACACTCTGATAAGTGCTGTAGTTAAATCAGCCACAATCCGCCACCTCTGCAAATCAAGTCAGAAGTCTCTCGAGTCTATCAGGACCATCAAGAAATCGGGTGAGCAGGGGACATGTTCAGCAAGGTCCAAGCTAGCCAACTTGACCAAGAAACTGCGATTCGAAGCAGGTAAGGACACTGTTAGCAATACTATGGATCCGAACACGAGTTCCCCATGTTCGAATTCCACCGATATAAGTGCAACAGTTGCTCGTTTGAGGACATCTAGAATGGTGGTACCATGGCGTGGATTCGAGGCTTGCTCTCATCAGCGCTACTTTTGGCTTACCTCAACTAGCAGAGAGTTAGAAGGAGAAGAGTCATAATGGCCTGAAGGTATGCTTGAGCGTACGAACTCGAGACAAGTGTGGGCATTACTTGGAGGCTCCGTCCCCAGAGATAGTAACTTTCGGCTAGTCTGCGGGAGGCGTACGATGTTATGCCTGAAACCAATGCTGATTCTCTCGTTATGGGATCTCAGCGATGGCCATAATTTGAAGTGTATTATCCAGCGTATATGCTCTGGTAAAAAGAACATGGAGCTCGAATGCAAGTTGTTGAGATGATCCAGAGATGAGTTTCGTGCATGGCGTACACTTCTGCCGGGGACACAAGAGAATCATGTTCGTCTCTGACGGAAGAAATTGCCGCTTTGAAATGAGGCGTTTCGTATCTGAGCTTTCTGATCACCCCGAGCCCTGGTGAAGACTTACGGAGTAAGAGAGGTATTCGTACGAAATACACTGGGCGAGGAGAGCGCAGCCTCGTGAAAACTACGCTAGCCTATAACAGTTAGTGGTTGATGCCAAGCTCAGCCTCGTGCCGCGTCTCTGAGATGCATTGCGCATCGTGAAGCTGCCTTCGCTCCAGCCAGGCCTTCATCTTCAATCACGCATCCTTGTCTGCCACACACCTTCAAACCTTCTATACCTACTTCACAAATCTCTCACCGAACATTTGGGAACTACAACCCTTCGCACTTCTTCGCACAGACACATCAGACTCCGGCATCGTTCCCCTGCCACAACAATGCCCGGCTTCGATTTCAGCAATTACAACCGCAATGCTGCGCTCCATGTTCGAGGAGTTCCTTTACCAAAAGCGACTAGCACAGGCACAACTATCGTAGGATGCATATATGACAATGGCGTTGTCGTATGTCGATGCTATCCTCAGTTGCCCGCTCACCGTACTAATACTCGTTGTCATAGATTGCGGCAGACACAAGAGCCACCAGTGGACCTATCGTCGCCGACAAGGTACGTCTTATCTTTTAGCTACCGTGAAATTCCTTAATTGACCCTTTTGTAATAGAACTGCGAGAAACTCCATTATATCTCCCCCAATATCTGGTGCGCAGGTGCCGGTACCGCCGCAGATACAGAGTTCACGACCGCCCTCATATCGTCCAACCTCGAGCTACATTCTCTATCCACAGGCCGAACGCCTCGAGTGGTGACCGTGATGACGCTGCTAAAACAACATCTGTTCAGGTACCAAGGCCATATCGGCGCATATCTGGTGGTCGCAGGTGTCGATCCAACAGGAGTAGGGTTGTTCACAGTTCATGCACACGGATCAACAGACAAGCTTCCCTACGTAACGATGGGTTCTGGCTCATTGGCTGCAATGGCGGTGTTTGAGTCGACGTGGAAGAAGAACATGACCAAGGACGAGGCCGTCAAAATCTGCTCTGAGGCAATTCTGGCTGGTATCTTCAACGATTTGGGATCAGGAAGTAACGTGGACGTTTGCGTCATTGAGAAAGACAAGCCAACGCAGCTGCTGAGGAACTACATCAAGCCGAATGAGAGGGTCAAGAAGGAACGGAACTACCGATTCGCCAGGGGCACGACTGCAGTATTGAACGAGAAGGTTATCACGAAAGAGGATATCGGGCGTTATGTGACGGTGCATGAGATTGGTAGTGGCAGTGACTCTGACAGTTTGGTTGTGGTGGAGAAGATGGACGTGGATGAAGTGTAGCGGCAAGCACACAGGACAATCTTGAGAGAGTCCTCTTCGTCAATGTAATATCAAAATGGCGGGCGGGCGTGATATGGGAAATGGAAAGCATCCTGGGCCAGGACCATGTTCGGTGTACCAGGCTTCATTATGGCAGCATATTGCACTTTTAGACTTGGGCGCTCCGAGAAAGGAAGAATGCGCCAATTGATGGTAATTGCCTTCACGTTTTGCCCTTGCAGCCCTCACATTTGGATATTTAGTAGTGGCGTTATGGGCAATGCCGTTATCCCGACTTGGAAACATCGAAGTGCTGCGAAACATCGAAGTGCTGTAGAGATCTCTTTTCCTCGCCCCTCACTCAGCCTTTGAACCGCAGAACACTTCGTCCAATAGTTATCTGCCGCAGGCGTTCCCGGCACAGTGGAAGCATCAGGTATGTCTCTGACACATCGGCGATGGCAGGAAATAAGCTGTGCTTCGTGAACAGCGACTTGTCTGCCGGATTGTAGACAAGTGCTACTGAGATCGACACGTGGCCTCCTTCGAGCAGCTCCACAAACCTGACTTTCTTTGGATATGAATTCGCTTTGAGCTTTGGACATTGAAGAGCGACGACGTCCTACGGTCCAGGACTAAGTGTCTGCGAGAACCCGGGCAAGGCTGGGAAAAGGACACGAACCTCCCGTCGCGTGGTGCCCAAACTCAAACGCACTCCCACGAGCTTCGGAGGGATATTGGTCAGATCAAATCGACAGAAGACTCAGGGATCTCTAAAAAAGTCCTTCTCTCCAAGCAAAGCTGCATTCATAATGGCAGACGCCGGTGAGAGTCCGCCGACCGGCAGCGGCACGATGCTCCTCATCTTGATCCAGGTGGCGTCACGAGCACTTACATTCATCGGCAATCAGTTCCTACTACGCTTCCTGTCGCCATCACTACTCGGCATCGCTGTCCAAGTCGAGCTTGTCTCTGTGACTAGCCTCTACTTTGCTCGCGAGAGTCTTCGAGTAGCACTGCAGAGGCAACCTGCCGCCTCCTCGGGGTTGAGTACAGGCGAGGGCCAGGGTCCGGGAAGAGCAACGCAGACAGTCATCAACCTGGCTTATCTTGCTGTCCTGCTGGGCTTTCTCATCTCAACAGCTTTTGGCTACTCATATCTCCGTGGGGCACCTTCAGAAGTCCTTGAAAGCCCCTATTTCATCCTTTCATCCCAGATCTATGCTCTTGCAACATGGACTGAACTTCTTGCTGAACCGGCGTTCGTGGTCATCCAGCAGAAAGCACTGTATGCCAATCGAGCTCGTGCAGAGACGCTCGCGGCCATCGCACGTTGTTTCGCAGCATGCAGTACGGCCGTGGCAGCTCACAAGCAGCGTCTCGAGCCATCTATCTTGCCATTCGCCGTTGGTCAGTCGGCATATGCCCTTGTGTTGCTGACATTGTACTTCCTCCCTATCTTCCATCTCTCAAGGGACGCGAAGTTTAGCCTCACTCCACGCGAGATCGTAATTTCTCCCGCAAGAGGAGAATCTGGCAATGAAGATGCCGGATACTATGGGCGGCGATTTCACAAGGCGATCCTCGGTCTCGCTGCGACGATGTACTTACAATCTCTTTTCAAACTCCTCCTCACACAAGGAGATGCCTTGATACTGTCATTTCTCTCCTCGCTATCAGACCAGGGGGCATTCGCCCTGGCGTCGAACTATGGTGGATTGCTGGCTCGTTTGGTCTTCCAGCCCGTTGAAGAGAGTAGTCGGAATACCTTTGGCCGGTTACTATCTTCGACCAACACGGTATCCTCCTTCTCATCGGGGCACGATTCTGTCCATACGCACTCCCAGCACACCAGAACCAAGCAACAATTTACGGCGGAAAATGAGTCGACGAAAGCCAACAATCGAGAAGCACTCGCCTATCTATCCAAGACGCTACACTTCTATAGCATCCTTGCGCTTCCTCTACTTAGTATCGCGCCACATGTCCTTCCTCTTGTCGTTACCTACATCATCGGGGCAAAGTGGTCCAGCACGTCTACGGCTTCACTGCTATCAACTTATTGTTATTACATCCCTCTCATGGCTGTGAATGGCATCTTGGACGCATTTGTCACATCCGTGGCCAGTCCAGCACAATTACGCTCTCAGTCTGTATGGATGCTGTTCTTCACCGGCCTTTACGGAGTCGCTGCATGGACAATGCTCAATCGCTTCGACCTTGGTGCCGCGGGCCTGGTGGGCGCGAATATGGTCAACATGGCCCTGAGGATTGCGTGGAGCATAGTCTTTGTGCGGCAATGGGTGCAAGAGCGCGAAACTCCCGGCGACAACGGACTACTCAGGACGATGGTCAAGGAAAGCTTGCCTGCGCCTGCGTCAATTGCAGTCGCCGGACTTGTCGCTTTAATACTCAAAATCCATCCTGCAACTGGAGGAAGGACTTGGGACAACAATATGCTGAATGGAGAATCTCTAGGCTTACTCAGTGCAGGAACTACTATATTGGGATCGACCATGTGAGTCACTCAATTCTATGTCGTGCATTCGTTCTAGATGGAATCTAACTCTTACTGTAGACTTTTGACCGAACGGAAGTTCCTACTTCAACTTCTTGAGTCAATCATCCCACAACGCCTTGCTCGAAAGATACCAGGTCTGACTAGACATGAATCAAAACGCTAGGCATCGGCCCATACTCCAACACCAGGTCATGCGGCCAAATTTCAGCAATCCACAAACGCATCAATCATCAAAGGTGATTTTGGTGGCAGTCTTGCCATCCTCGGCTTCACGATAGAAAGCACCATACGAATCGTGTTGCTTCTTCTTCACTGTTGTTCCAAACTTCAATAAGTCCTCGGGAACATCTTGCTTCGCCGCCTTTAAAACATTAACCAAAGCACCTGCTAGAGGCTTGTCCTGTTCGGTGAACATGGTAATAGCCAGACCGTCCTTACCGGCCCGACCAGTTCGACCGATTCTGTGGACGTAATCCTCTGCAGTCAAGGGGAAGGTGACGTTGATCACGACCTTAACCTCGGGAATATCCAGACCTCTCGCGGCAACATCCGTTGCGACGAGCAGGCTGACAGACCCAGACTTGAACGACTCCAGACTGGCAATGCGAGCGGACTGAGACATGTCACCATGAATGCCGGCAACCTTGAAGCCTCGACCGCGGATGAAGTTTTCGATGCGTAAAGCCTCCTTCTTGTACAAACAAAAGACGAGAATGCGATCATTACGCTTCTGACCAGCGGTGTGCTCTTTCAAGAGCTGTAGCAAGCGCTGTTGCTTCAGGGCTCCATCCATTACTTCGACCTTCTGGACGATCCTCGTATTGGCGCGAAGTTCACCGGAGTCATCAGAATCATCCCGGCCAATGGTGATCTTTACAGGCTCCTTCATGAATGTCGCAGCCAATTCCCGAATGGATTTTGGCCATGTGGCTGTGAACATGGCTGTCTGCCGCTTGCTTGAGGAGGGCATATGTGAGATTATGTGCTTGATGTCGTCCTCGAAACCCTTGTCAAGCATGCGGTCGGCCTCGTCAAGAACCAGATAGCGGCATTTTGACACATCTACTGTACCGTCGGACATGAAGTCCTTCAGTCTCCCGGGAGTCGCAACAACAATGTTGGCTCCCTGGAGTGTCCGCCTCTGTTCATCCTTGTTTGTTCCTCCATACACACAAACAGGCTTTAACTTGTGGGCAGTCTTACACAGCTTGTCGATCTGTTCAAACACTTGAATTGCCAGCTCTCTTGTTGGTGCGACAATTACCGCTTTTACTCCCTTCTTTTTCTTCAACGCTGAAAGGCGGACAACAAGAGGCAGACCGAAAGCGATAGTCTTGCCACTCCCGGTCTCTGCCACGCCTACAAGGTCTCTTCCAGACAGAAGAAACGGCCAAGCGGCGGATTGGATAGACGAGGGCTTCTCGAAAGACGAGAACACACTGGAGAACTGGGTGGTCAATTCGGTGGGTAGATGTGAGAACGAGAGAATGGGTCTTAGGTTGGTGTTCTGAGGATCTGCGATCTTGACGGACTGCGACGAGAAAAACTCGTCGACATCCGATTGAGGAAGGGAACCAAGCGCGGCGTTTTGCGTGTATGTCGCTCCCTCGATATCGTCTTCTGGAGCCGGTGTAGAGTTTGCTGTAGCATCGGTGGAAGAGGGAGTGATATCCTCGAGGCGAAGGGCCTCTTTTCTCTCCTTCTTTCTTCGCTTTTTGTCCTGCTTGGCTACTTGAGCCGCGGAATCGTCGAGCCTGTGTTTGCTCATGATGACGGACTATTCTGAGCGTATCCAAGGAAGAGAACGGGTGCTTAGATGTAGTTCTGTAGTGAAGGTTCGCAAGAACGAGGCACAAAATTTGGTGGCACCAGGAACCACTAACTTTGGGCGGTCTCCCGTGAACTTTTTTCTGCCGGGCAAGTCGGAGGCGGTGAGCGGAGAAATTCTGCACAGTTGCTGAAATCCTCCTTGGTAACTGCGTACAAGGTCGAGTTCTCCATGAGATCCATTTCCATTTACAATTGAATCTCGGATCGCTCTCACTCTTTCGCCGTCTCTCGTGTCGTTGTCGTCCTCTAGGGTTTGTCTCTTGTCTAGCCTCACCCTCCCTAACTGCTTCCACGTTTGTCCTCCTCGCTCATTAGCTTAATTGCGAACTCACCACGGCCTCTCACAATGGGCTCGACCAAAACTCCTCTCGAAAGCGTGCAGGCATGCTGGGCTCGAATCTCTCAGGCCTCCCCTATCTACCAGCTCACCCTCTCTGATGTTGTACTTGAGAGTGCCACAGAAGGATCTATGGTTGCAAAGCTCACGGTCACTGAAAACCACATCAATTCTAAAAAAGGTCTGCACGGCTCTGTCTCTGCGACCATAGTCGACTGGGCGGGCGGCATGGCGATAGCCTCCACCGGCCTGGAACAGACTGGCGTCAGCACAGATATACATGTGTCGTACGTTTCGTCTGCAAAGGTTGGCGATTCTCTGACCATCGAGGCCAAGGTATCAAGAGTGGGAACGAATATGGGGTTTACCACGGTAACCATTTACAAAGGAGAAGGAGATAACAAGAGCGTTGTCGTTCATGGCACTCATTCCAAGTACATTCTGCGTGATCGCCAGGCGAGTAAGACTAGCTGAGAGTGGCCTCGCTACCTGAAGTGCTTTTTTTTTGGTTGGCAAGGGCTCCGCGAGCATCATGTCCAAGAACCCGGAATCTTCTTTGCATCAAGCACGGCTCTCCTCCATCGTGCTATCTGATTCACTCGGATACCGGAGAACAGCATCACACCTATTGCTTTAGATCTCTATCGATTGCCCCTTCTCCCGGGTTAGATAGAGAATTATGGCGTGAGACAAATCCATGTCACAAGCGGCTACCGCCTTGGGTACTCCATCGCCGCTCATAGGACTGCAGTGATCCGTAGTGAGGAAAGACTGAATCGCGAATGCAGCCAGTTTCTCCAGCAACGAGTTAAGCGATTCCTCTCCCGGTTCAAGGTGACAAGCGTCCTTGGTCGAGCCACTCTGTCCACGGTCCTCCGACCTCTTTGGCCAAGTCGAGTGGCGTTTTCCCTTCACTGTCCTTGAGACTTCGGATGTCTGGGTTGGCGTTTCGGTCTTCCTTCTGCAGTCCAAGGCCCTCCATCGCCTGCAAAACGATGGAAGGGAATTTTTCCCAGGGGAGCTGTGATCCCATAGCCAGCAACAACCAGGCCACTTCTTGTTGTTGATAGCGAATCGCAACATGGAGACCAGACCCCTCGATGCCTTCGAATGTCCCGCGGTATCTTAAGATATCCGAGTGCTCATCTGGCTCATCGTCCTCGTCGACATCCTTGATCATATGGACAATGGCGTCGACGTCACCTTCCCTGCAGAATTCCAGGTAGGCATGGCCTTTTCTTTCTTCCGGATAGGCTCTGAGGTATGCTTCTTCTGTGGCAGCCGGTAGGATATCATAACCTTCCTGGACACCGCCTTCGTTGCGAAGAGTAACAAGCACTTGTTGCGACCCGTTTGGAGACAGAGAGGAGATATCTTTGGAGCAATTCGGGCATTCCGTGATTGTGTAGGCTTCCAAAAAGCATTCCCTTAGTAGTGTTAGTGTGCATACAGCACTAGTACCAAACCGCCTCGTGAAGACATACCAGTGATAGTGACAACCACAACTGAGTTCTACATCGTCCGGTACGCTTGCAACTTGCGCTGCGGCTTTGGAGTCCTCTACATCGCTGTCGGGCTCGATCTCAATGAAGAGGGATTCTTGACAACTTGAGCAGATCTGGTCTGCCATCTTCAGAGAGGTCCGGGGGTAATTGACTTTTGCAACGGACCAGCCTGCGTGGGTTTTGGAGGTCGCTAGTTTGGTGAATAGTTATCGATAAATTATTGATCCAGCAACTATTTTTGACAGGGATCCCGGATCTGGAGAGTCTGGACTCGCCGACCCGGACCCGCCCCTGGCTTCACATGGCGGGAATTCTTGAAGAGGACAAGCTTCAGGACACCCTTCACTTTACGATCCGACCCCGGCTGACGCCGACGAACATATCAAGGCAACCTGGCGACCTTGCGATCATCTTCAAGACTGCAAGGCACCGTCGACCTGGTCACACGTCGGGGCCAGGATGCGCCATGTCAACGATGGAGGAACAACCTGACCCTGTCAAAACTCCTGAAGACACTCTGGCCGGTCCCATCCCTATCACCCCGGTGAATCCTCCAACGACGCAGGCATTGACTACCACGTCCGCGATTGATGCTACGCTGCGATTCTTCGCGAATGCAAGTAATGAAACACTGGGGGCCTGCGCGGTTGGTCTGTGCGCCTCTACCTACCTCGTCCTTGGGCGTGTTGGACTCGTCTTGATCGGCGCAGTTGGCGGCATCGTGCTCCATGCAACCTGGGACAGCCAACAAAGCGAAGGGCCGAATTCAGAGAAAGGCGAGGCAGCTCGCAGGAAGAAAGAGCTCGGGATTGAGGTGGCACACAGGCTCCTGGATTGGCGGGACAAAAGGAAGACTGGCGACAAAGCTGAGGATATCTCTGACGACGGCGAGATCGATACCGTTGCAGATGCTCCAACATTGGACTTTTCAGAACTTCCTCCAGAAACAAGCAAATCCCTCACGAGCCTGGCCGACGCTGTTATCCGGGACTATGTAAACTACTGGTACACGCCTTTACTGCCGAAGGAGCAGTCGTTCCCGCTCATTTGCAGGCAAACTTTGACAAGCTTCATCATATCATTCTCGCGGCATCTCTCGCGTAAACGCGCCGCGGACCCATTCTTGGACTTCCTGTCCAACTCGACATCCATTGTGATCGTCTTCCTGAGCGAGCTTTCCAGTGCCCTAAAGGCTTCTCCCAGCCGCGAGGCCGAAACGGCCGTCAAAACGTATCTGCAGTCCCAGCCCGACAGCAACCTTGCAAATGTTCTGAGCAGAGATCAGCAAGACAGGAAATTGACGCTTGTAGCCGATGATATCCTGCACAATTTTCTGGACTCAAAATCGTACAATTGTCCCCCTGTCAAGACATTTCTTCGGCAAATATTGGCGGGTTTGGTGTTGGAATCTACCATCGAAGCGTGTTCAAAGCCGGAATGGATTAATCAATGGATTGTATATTTATTGGAAGACGGCGAACCCGAGATTTTGAAGGAAATCGATGCTGGTGTTGAGGACATGGGTGAGGCCATGGCGAAAGCACCACAGGATCAGAAGTCCCCTCAGAGTCACAAGCGACGAGTCAGCAGAGCAGAAGAGGCAATGCAAGAAGCAATGCGGCAAGCTCAACGACTCAATGAGATGATTGCCGAAGACGAGGCCCGACGCAAACGAGGGTTACCTCCCAATGAGCCCGAAGAGACCAGCTCCGTGGCGACGACCGATGCTGGCATGGTCACACCCACGTCTTCGGACAGCGATCGTAACCGACCTAAGTCATTGCTTGATACATCGCTGGTCTTCGATATCGACGGTAATGTAGTTCAATCCACCCTTCCGAGCCCGAACAAGTCAGCGCCAGAGACCCCAAATAGGTCAACGCCGGTAACCCCAAACAAAGAACTTTCGCAATTCACAGACTTTGCACAACTAGGCGAAAACGTCCTGGCTCCGCCGCAGACCGTTTCAAGTGCTCCCACACCAGTTGAGGTTATGGTTGCTGTGCCGCTGACCCTCCAGAACGCTTCCATAGCCATCCTCGACCTAGGCAATGGCAATGAGAAGGCTAAACTGAAACAGAGACCCAATAACGAGTATCTGCTACAAATTGAACCTGCGTCGCACCGTTATCCGGGGTGGATGGTCACACGCCGCTATGCCGATTTTGAGCGCCTTCACCAGACGTTGACCATAATTGCTCGGATATCTGGCGTCCCGGAGTTCGGACAAATTTATTCGACACTCCCTGCGTGGAAAGGGGAGACAAGTGCCGCTCTACTTCGGAGTTTGGAGCAATATCTCAGCTTCTGTCTGAAATTCGAACCTCTGGCTGAGACTGAGGTCATGAAGAAGTTTCTGGATAAGGAGACCGGTCTACAGAAAGCCCCTGCTCAGAGTAAGAACGTCTTGGTTCAAGGGGGTGCGGCTCTGGAAAACGTTGGCAAGAACTTCATCAACGTCTTGGGTCAAGGTGGTAAAGGCATCGCTGGCGGTGGTAAGGCTGTTCTGGGTGGAGTGCAGGGCGTCTTTGGCGCCGTGGCGACAGGTGTCGGTGGAGGGCCTAAAAGACCACGCAGGCCCTCACGGCAACCATCTCGGACCGACTCCCCTTCGACGCCAAACCATCAATCTACCCAGGAAATTGTCAGTGGCAGCTCGGAAAGTCTTGACCTCAAGGGTCCTCCGCTTCCACCCCGACCCAGGACAGATTCCGTCTGTACGGACCAGCAGTCCGTGCCAGCACCTGCTCCAGAGCCGAGTCCTCTTCGGGAGAAGAACATGGACCTCCCACCACCTCCGAGCGTGATTCCGGACGACTACTCACCTGTCACGCCGTTCAAGCCCGAGACGCCGCCGACGTCGCCCCGTCCCCGGCAGGATACGATTGTCGCCAAACCTGTCACACCATCTCCTGCACGAATCGTGGAAGAGCCGGAGCTAGAACCGGAACCAGAGCCGGAGCCAGAGCCAGAGCCAGAGCCCGAACCGGCTCCGGAACGAGCACCAGAACCAGAACCAGCGCCGGCGCCCGAGCCCGAGCCCGAGCCCGAGCCCGAGCCAGAGCCAGAGCAAGAATCAGTGCCAGAACCAGAACTAGAGCCAGAGCTAACGCCAGAGCCCGCGCCGGAGGCAGAGGCTCCCGCCACGCCCAGCCTTTCCCAAACGCCCTCAAGGAGACCGAGGCAAGAAGATGCGCCGATTTCAGGGGAAGAGACCCGTATATGCATCGAGCTCCTTTTTGCCGTCCTTACGGAGTTGTACTCGCTTGCGGGTGCGTGGTCTTTACGGTTGTCGTTGCTAGGCGCCGCGAAGACATTTCTCCTCCGACCCAATAACCCACAACTCGAGTCAATTCGGGTCTTACTGCAAGAGGGAGTCCTTGAAACCCATTTTTCAGACAAAGGTCTCGCAGCACATATCGATAAATTAAGAAAGAATACACTGCCAACCCCAGAGGAGAGGGAGAAATGGCCAAAGGAGCTAACGGCGGAGGAAAAAGAGAAGTTACGGGTCAAGGCGCGCAAATTGCTCGTGGAGCGAGGTATGCCACAAGCATTGACGAGCGTTATGGGTGCAGCGGCCAGTGGTGAAGCTCTTGGAAGAGTATTTGATTGTCTTCAATTCCAGCATGTTGCACGCGGTCTTGTTTTTGCCCTGATGCTGCAAGCCATCAGGGCGACAACGCAATGAGTGTGAGTTCTCGTGCTCAGGTGGGATTAGCTGTGAGCAACTAAGCCGCGTGAGTGACCGCGATGGATCACGATGGCGACGAATGGCTGGGTTTCCTGTGTATTATAACGGCAGATTTTGAGAAGCCTGATGGAGGTGCTAGGTTCGGTTCTCGTTTTCGGGGCTAGCTTTGCCTTTTCTGTGGAAAGAGACTTTTTACAATATGTACCAATAAATGGATCACTATACGGCGCAGATGGAACGAGACCGTAACATCTAGATGATGATGATTAGGTAGTCAAGTCGTAGCGGCAGAGTAGGGAACGAGGTCGCCCCCCCTTGAGGATGATGTGTGGGTGTGGGCGACGAGGCTGACCAATCACACAGAATGACTCACATTGTGAACAATAAAAATATTTCGATCCGCCGTCATGGAAGACGATGAGCGCGAAACCCGACCATATTGGTCCCACCACACGAGAGATAATCAGTACGACAAGAAGCAGCGTTTCCTCGACCATGGAGTCGCCCTGAACTCGCATAGAAGGTTATCTTTTGGTCGAAGTGCTGGCTCGATCTCCGGAAAACCTGGTCGTCCGACACCATGCCAAAGGTCCACCTCCTCGACTATGTCGCGGGCAATATCCGGTCGCTGGTGAATGCCGTTGAGAAGTGCGGGTACGAGGTCGAATGGATCAAGAGTCCAGAAGACGTCAAGAATGCAGATGTAAGTGCGTCGTGGTTGTGCGTGAGCTTTTCTCCCGGCGGAGAGGGTTGTGGAATGGTCGAGGGAGAACGACGACACGAGCTGCGATTTTCTCGGACTCTGAAGACTCGACAGTGATTGCTTTGGCGGTCATCGTGCAAGATTGTCCTTCCTCGATGAAGCCTCGACTGTTACCGTTTGTTGAATGTGTTTCCTCCATTGACTGCCTCTCCTGTACGACGCAGCCCACTGACCGAGACGTGTCTCAATTGCTCGCAGAAAATCATACTCCCCGGCGTCGGCCATTTCGGCCACTGTCTCTCGTCACTCTCGTCGGCAGGCTACCTCCCGGCCATCCAGGAACACATTTCGTCGGGGAAACCGTTCTTCGGCATCTGCGTGGGCCTCCAGGCTCTCTTCTCCGGATCCGAAGAGGCCCCCTCGGTGCCAGGTCTCAATCTGATCCCGACGTCCCTGAAACGCTTCAGCGCCACCAATGCGGACGGCACTCGAAAATCCGTCCCTTGTATAGGATGGAACGACGCATCCACGTCCACATCTGCGTCCGCGGCCGGCGCGTCCACCGAGTCCATGTATGGCCTGAACCCGTCGTCCAAGTATTACTACGTCCACAGCTACTTTGCACCCTACACGCCGGGCCACCTAGAGCGGGAAGGCTGGACGGTCGCGACGGCGCGCTACGGCGACGAAACGTACATCGGAGCCATCGCGCGCGGCAACACCTTCGCCACACAATTCCACCCCGAGAAATCCGGCGCGGCGGGTCTCCGCGTGATCAGGGCCTTTCTCGAGGGCAAGAAAGTGACACCCTCAATACCCGCGTCTGTTCCGGGGACGAGCACGAGCGCGAGCGGCACCGCGACCGACGCGACGAGTAAGGGTGCGAGTGCGAGAGACGGACAGGTCAAGGCATCCACGAACGGGCTGACGCGTCGCATCATCGCGTGCCTCGACGTGCGGACCAACGACGCCGGCGACCTCGTCGTCACCAAGGGCGACCAGTACGACGTGCGCGAAAAGTCCGAGGGCGGCAACGTCAGGAACCTCGGGAAGCCCGTCGAGATGGCGCGCCGGTACTACGCGCAGGGGGCGGACGAGGTGACGTTTCTCAACATCACGAGCTTCCGCGACTGCCCCATCACCGACTTGCCCATGCTCGAGATCCTGCGGCGGACGAGCGAGACGGTCTTCGTGCCGCTCACCATCGGCGGCGGCATCAGGGACATGGTCGACCCCGTGAGCGGACGCCCGGTGAGCGCGCTCGACGTGGCCAAGCTCTATTTCGCGAGCGGCGCCGACAAGGTGTCGATCGGGAGCGACGCGGTCGTGGCCGCCGAGGCGTTCTGGAGTCGCGGCGGGCAAGGCGACGGCAGGACGAGCATCGAGACCATCTCGGCCGCGTACGGCGCCCAGGCCGTCGTGGTCAGCGTCGACCCGAAGAGGGTGTACGTCGGTGGCGCCGACGGCGTGGAGTCCGCAAAGGCAAGGGGCCACACCGTCATCGAGACCACCGACAGGGACGGCGAGGGCAGAGACCACGTGTGGTTCGCCTGCACCGTCAAGGGGGGCAGGGAGGTGAGGGATTTCGACGTCGTCAGGCTCGTCACGGCGTGCGAGAAGCTGGGCGCCGGCGAGATCCTGTTGAACGCCATTGATCGCGACGGCTCGAACAGGGGTTTCGATCTCGAGCTGGTCGCCCTGGTCAAGAGCGTCGTCGAGATTCCCGTCATTGCGAGCTCGGGTGCTGGGAAGCCCGCGCATTTTGAAGAGGTCTTTGATGCCACCGACGTCGATGCTGCTCTTGGAGCGGGAATGGTGAGTCTCTCTCTCTCTCTCTCTCTCTTACACACACACACACACACACATTTCTTTTCGTTTCCTTTAATCTATGTTTTCTCTGCTGACTGATGATGGTTGTGATTCCCAGTTTCATCGAGGAGAGTATACAGTTGCACAGGTCAAGGAGCACCTCGGCCAGGCAGGCTTGCTCGTCAGGCCCTTTGAGGAGTTCTGAACCATGGTTTCAGCAGGCAGTTACCCACTCGCTACCTGTGCAGGGGTTTTTGTCGAGCTCGACCCTTGGTTTTTAATCTAGGTTGGATTCATTCTCCAACAAACAAACGATGAAATCAATACGTGTGAAAATCAAATTCGAGATTAAAACTCACAAAGAAAGATACAACTACTAGACCGAAGAAAGACTCTGGCTGCAACGAAAATTGTATCTCGTCATTCAATGGCTGCGCAACAAGCAGACTTACATATTGACATTCTATTCTCGAGGGGTATATGTGAATGATGTGACATGTCTTTCATGCTCAATAATCAGCTCGTTCTTCAGCAACGCCACACCACTCATCAACGTATTAGTAAATCGGTCATTTATCATTTGGTTCGTAGCATCCTCGGATGTCAGTGCACTTGTGCTCGCCGCGACCATTTACATCAAGGTAATGCTTTACTGTTCGAGCGCACTTTCATTCCATCCGGGCTGCTCCAAAGACGCATTTCCTTCATACAGCATTTCGTCTCGTATTGGTGTCCCGAGAAACCTAGAGTAGTCAAGTCGATACTCGGCGCATGACCTTGCGAGAAGCGCAGAGGATGCTTGGTCTCTGTTCAGACAGGTCGTCCAGGGGAAGAACTGTTGTCAAGAGGACCATTCTGGTCGGCGATTGATACCGGTGCGAATCCGTATCCCGGTGATAGTCTTGCGACACTTTCACTTTCTAGACGAGATCTTTCTGATGGTTCCAAGTCTAGCCACTACCCTGGTGCAGGCTAGACGGTCCAAGCGACAATCAAGCCGTCTTTTTCGCTGCCAGAGACGCTTTATCCTGGCCAAGAGAGACGATGGTATTCAACATTTTCTCTCGTGTATCCCGTGTGAGAGCGTCGACGTCAGCGGCCGTGAGACCCTTAGTGTCAATGGGGTCAAGCACTAAATTTTGTAACAGGTTTAGTAAGTGGTTCAACTTCTTCGTTGGGGGAAAAAGGCACAGAACATACCCTTTACTCGTATCGTTCCACTGTTGAATCTTCTGGCCTTGATGTTCAGCACGTGGCTGTAGTTTTCCGCCACGACAGGCACGATGGGCACACCGGCCTGAACTGCTAGGTGGAAAGCGCCCTTTTTAAAAGGCAGCAACATGGGTTCCGACGAGTAGCTTCTGGTTCCTTCGGGGAATATGAGAACGCTCTGTCTCTTGTCCTTCATGGCACTCGCGGCACCTTCGAACGCCTTCATTGCCTGAGTTCGGTCGACACGGTCGATAAAGACGGCCCCGGCCAGTGTCATGAACCAGCCGAGGAAAGGGATGTTGCGCAGAGACTTCTTGGCCGTCACGGAGCAGTGCTTGGGCCAGATCCAGCCGAGAAGAAGCACGTCAAGTTCCGTCTGGTGGTTCGTGATGAAGACAGCCGGACGGGTGCGGTTCAAAATCTCTTCGCCGTTGTCCAAGATGTCGAACTTGATGCCCATGGTATACATGCCCAGATGCTTGAACGCCCTGGCCGTTGTCCACTGGCCGTAGGCATAGTGCAGACCCATCAACTTCAACACCCCCGAAGCAATTGTTCCGTAGCTTGCGCAGATGATCAGCGTGAGGTAGGCGGATAATACGCGGGCGATGAACCCTAGAATTTGCGGAGGGTTTGGTAGGAACGTGTAGAGGCCAAAAAAGGTCAGCATGGTGGTGATGTAGCCGCCGAGGAAGTACAGCGTCCACCGGAAGAGGATGAACATGGCTGCGAGAGACGATAGCTATCGTACCCTAGCTGCTGGAGAGAACGTGGTGCTCGCAAACGTTGAATTGTCGGCGATCTGCTTCACACGCAGGTGAGACAGGCCTGGGCAACGACGAAACAAAACAGAGAGAGGATCGCAGGTCGTCAGGACTTCGACTTGCGGACAATCGCGTCTAGTTAGAGAGTGGCTGGGTCACACGGTACAGAGGATCTTTCGCAGCGTCTGTCGTGGTATTGTTGGCGAGACTCGCTGCCCCCCACACAATTTGCTTCAAGCCTTCAACGTGCCCCAAACGCACTCAGCATTTTCCGATTGGGAGCGACGTCATTCGTATCTCGTATACCGAGGCTGCTGGCTATGGCTGGTCACGTGCACCAGCGAGACATTTACGGTCATTACAGGGGCCACCTGGGCAGCGACGTGGACGTGGACGTGGACGGGAGCAGTGAGGACGGAGCCCAAGCAAGATCATGGCACAGCGGGTTCATATTCTGAAATCTATGGCTCTTGTATAGTCTCATAGCAGATCTTGATTGTTGCAGTAAACCCAGCGACATCGGCCTCCGTTCGTCTCTATGCATTGCTTCCACACCACTGATGAACCTGAAATGCTTTTAGTTCTAGTCATAATTCGTTCCAATTCTTTTTTCAACCGTCCCATACACACTGTCAATCATGGCAGCAAGGAGAAAAAGTAGACATACGCAGTCTTCTTCATCTCCTCTGCATCCACCGCCTTAACAACCTTTTCGTCGTTAAACAGTACCCACTGCTTCTCTGGACCCTCGCCCGGAATTGGCTTGCGAACAAACGCAACGTAATGTCCTGCATGCACACTGGCTCCTTTGTGACATGCGATGCTTTGTAACTCGTACCGGGCTGGTAGAGAATCTGATCCAGGCAGTGCTTTGGGCTGTACTGGAACAGAGGAGCTGTCTTCGCCGAAATCTCCTTGGTCGTCTGGATGACTGAAGACCCAGTCGAGAGCTCGATTGACGTCGCCACCACATTCCCGAAGTGCTTTGCGTGCCTGAGGGGCGCTTATGCCCATATCACCAAGTTGGGCAATTTTGTCTGCATCGTCGCCAGCACCCCCTCCGACGTCACCACCCAGGTTCAATGGTTCGTCAATATCTGGGTCTTCCATGTGCGCAAACAACCAGTTCATGGCTGCATCTACATCTGAGTTGCCCGTTGCATGGAGTGCTTTCTCACAACGAACTCGAGGAAAGCCCATACCTTCCAACATGCTCAGAGCGCCTTCGTTGGGTACAAATGATGCAGCAGAGGTCGAGCCTCCCACGTCGGTATCTTCAGGCAACTCCTCCTCATCAGGCTGCAAACCGAGGGATTTGTACTTGCTGAGGTCTATGGGTTGATCCGAAACCTGAACAGGAATATCAAGTTTCGTAGGCACCCAATTGATAATCTCGAAGCGGAGCGGATTGATAGCAAGGTTCTTGGGGAAGGTCTTGAATTTGGATGATTTGGAGAAACCAGCTTTCGAGCCACAGGCAGGACAAGTCAAGTCTACCTGAACAGTTCCAGTGAAAATGTCTAAGCATTCTTCCAACGGTACTGCTTCGAATTCGGTCTGCTTCTGAGCATCACCTCCATGCTGAACAAGCGGTTTTCGTCGGGCGGGTACGGGGATTGAAATATTGTCTTGCTCATCGGTGTGATATCGAACCCGGTGACAGTTAAGGCATGCTAGACGTTGTTCGAGGACAAAGCGGAAAGACTGAACTGGATCTTGTGCCGGATTCGAGCTGTTCGAAAGACTAATGAGTTTGAACATATGAAGGAGGAACTCAAAGGCATCTTGTTGTCTCATCGTTGAGAATTCTTCGTGGCCCCTGCCAATGAGATGTTTGAACATAGCAGGAGATAGTCCTTTCTGATGTGGAACTTCGGGAGTGTCTGGAGTCGCATGGACGCTGTTGTCGGGATGTGAATATCTGCCAGAGAGGATCCCATCAGCCAATTTTCGCAGCTGTGTCTCAAGATCTTCTGCTGGTAGGCTAGTAGTAGGCAATGGCTGGTCAGGATGGTAGTATCGTTGTTGCAGTTCCGGCAAGGAGAACAGACATTGCATGGTACTCGCGAGGTAGCAGCTGTTTCCGATGTTCTTTAGCCCAGTGAAGCCCGGTCCGAACAGAAGGTTTAGCTCTTTACCATCTTCAGTAGTCATTGAAAAGTCCCACTTGAGGTTCTGTTCGACTTGCATTTCCATGAGGCTCTTCTCAGTCTTCTGTCGATCTGCAATGTTGATGCCCCAATGGGCCAGATGCTTCGCAAGCTCTGTGTCAACCCTCTCTTCATCACAAGAGTAGCAGTATACGTCGGCGTTTCCCTCTGGAGTGATCGAGCCCAGTTTGACAGCGACAGGATGGTTCGACTCTGTAGCATGTGCCAGTCCGTGGGAATGTCCGCCCACGCCTCCAAACTGCGCCCGACCGCAACCAAGATTGCCACAGGTTAAGCAGAGCCACAGATTCTCTTTGAGATCGCATTTCGAGCATGAACCAAGGTCTTGAGATGCAATCTTCCTGCTCTCCTGTTGCTCGAGACATAATGTGTGCTCACAGGGTGTAAACTCCTGTTCCCAGGCCTTGACCTCTTCCATTTTGGCAAAGGTCATAGCATTCAACACTCCATGAACGACTTCTGGTAGTTTTCCCGAGCTCTTGTCCACGTCATCGATTTGACAGGAGTAGCACTTGACTCTGGTAGCCGTGTCATATTTGTCTTCTTCCGTTTCGGCCGCTATGGCGAGTTTTGTCAGCTTCGGTGGAGGTTCATCCCGCTGGACCTGTTTCCGAGTGCGTTTGATGTTCAAGACGAGTGGATGACCTGTGGAGGAGTAGTGCAGTAGAGAGTGGTTCCGTTCACCAGCACAGCCTCCGTTGAAGCAGAACAGGCACACATCGAGCCCGGCGGCGTCGTCAATGGAATCAAAGCACTGTGTACAGTCCTCCCGGTAGACACTCTGGCTGGGACCCGGAGGTCGCAGGTCTGGAGACTGAACATGTGGACACGCCATGTTTGCCCGTAGAGAGAGGGGGGAGGATTCGCATTCAAGAGGTAGAGGATGGCGAGATATGAAGGTGGGAAGAAAGGCGTAAGGATAGTGTGTAAGGCGAGGACGGACAAGGCTGTATATGATGTATTGCGCCGCAGGCAGAAGACGCCATTAACTGCTAATAACTTACTTAATGACTTGCTTAGTCCATCTCCATGCATGAGGCTAATGCCGCTATGTCCGTCGCATCCCCTCGACTTCGCCTCATCAAGCGCCCCATTCATCGAACACCACAGCTTCTATCTCAATCATCCCCCTCTCATCGCCATCTAGAAACGGCCAGCATCTGGAAGAGTCACCGTGGAGATCCGTCAATGTCAACAGCCTAGAGAAGCCGCAGCTGGCCTTGCTTACGAAGCCACGACCCAGTCAATCGAACAGCGGCATCTCACTTGAACCGTCTTGACAGGCTCATTTGCGACGCAAATGGCTCTCCTACAGAATGAAGAGTACGTTCCCAGAATCAGCAGTCCTCTACGAGCACCGTAACTTGAAGGCTACCTTTTCTGTCCGTTTGTTATCACTGACTACATACCAACAAACAGATTTGCTACATGGTACTTGCGGACTTCATATTTGGCGAGTGTCAAAGACGGGATTGCCGAGCGTCTAATCAGTGTCAACAACTCGATACTGAACTCTCCGGGCTTCCGAGCCGCTGGCTGGTCTGCGGACCCTGTTCAGCGAACATATTCCCCGCCAATTCCGACGTCCATCAACACTGAATACTTTCAGACAGGAGCCGAACTTCAGCTCACTAACTCTCAGGGCGACGAGGATGAGGAAGGTGGCCTAGTAACTGGCAGGACCAGTAATGACACGATCGGCCCTGGATTCAATGCGAGGCGACGAAGGAGAAAAGAACACGTCGAGGACGACGACAGTAGTGACCTTACAGATGAATCCGAGGAGGAAGCTGAGGGCGCACAACGTGCCGCTCAACAGATTCGCTTTGCGAAGATGCCTGCTAGAAACAGGGCAGACTCGTCTCCTATCGGAGGTGCTGGGCCAGACATCATAACGACGTCCCCTTCCAAGCCGAGAACGGACAACAGGAGGAGGACTGGATCTCTTGGAGCTGTCGAAGCCGTCAAGGCTCGTGCGAGAGCCGATACCACTACAAGCAGTGAACTATCTTCCGAAAACGAAGTAGACCCCGCCTACTTTCAGCGGCGCCAGGTCAATACTGGTCAAACGCCCTTATCGGCACCACTTCTTAATGAGAATGTTATGAAATCAGGAGCAGGACATCCGCACCAGGTGCACGATGATTCGGACGCAGAGTCAGTGGGCTCAGCATTGTCCTCAGAACTTGGCGAAACTGTCGATTCCACATCTCTACTAGACACCATAGCAGAGTCAAATCTGCCCTCCTCGCCGCCTATGCTGAACAGTTTTACCGCTTCGGGATCCTCCGTTGCACGAATGCCTGTTTCAGAATCACCTAGAAAACAGAGAACGCTTCCAGTCCTCCACGAACTACCGCCTCCGCGACCGATCAGCTTCATTCAGCCCAAGAGTCTCCTTTCAGCAGCCTTGAATGCGCAGAAAAAGGCCCCCAGTAATCCGCTTCAGGCTTTTGCTGGCCTGTCTGGCAAGGGCAACCCCAATCCTTTGTGGATAAAAATATATGTGCCTTTCTCAGAAGATGCGGACGAACCCATCGAGATGCCGCTGGCACGAACTTCCAGAGATGGTAATCCTGTCATTGTTGCGGAAGCCATCGGCCTCAGCCTCTGGCGTTATCAGCAGGAGAAGCTAGAGCCTCCTCTTCCCCCAGAACAGCTGGATGTTAATAAGTGGACACTGAGAATGGTCGAGGACGGCGAGATTGATGATGATTTTCCACCCCTTGTTCGTACACGTCCGATTACTGACTTCACATACAACAACAATCGAGGAGGGCGAGCTAGGTCCAGAGAACGCCCTTTCGACGAATTTGCTCTGGTCGAAGCATCTCCTGCTCAGTTCGAGTCCAACAAAAGAGACACGCCGCAGTTCGCAATCACGCCGGAGGAGGATCCTGCACCACTCCCAACACTCGAACCAGTCGTGACACAGTCACAGGTTTACACGGCGCCAAAGCAAACACTGGCCAGGAATAACCTTCTTCTCGCAGGACAGCCTTTTGCCTCAGCGTTGGCCAACTCATCTTTAACACCAGCAGACTTGCCTGCCCCTTCTGCTTCACATGCGACCCCACGTATGGGCAGGACGAAGACAATCCGAATACGGTATTTCGACGTCGATGTTGCCGCTCAGACCATGACGATGGAAGTGTCTACAGACAGTTATATTGCTGAAATACTCGACCATGTATGCAAGAGATGGAATTTCGAGAAGGCTGGCTTCGTGTTGAAAGTCGCGGGAACGAACACTGTTGCACCCTTGGATCGAACGGTTGAAGCGCTAGGGACTCGATCCGATTTGGATCTTGTGCGAAGACGCTTCGGAGCCGGTGTGGCGGCTTTGACAGGCTCTCCAGGCAGTTCCTCGCCAAATGCACCGCTCCTGCTGGACATTCAAGGGCCAAAGAAGACCAAGAAAGGCCAGCTACATCACCCGCTGGCAAACAAGCAGGACCTGGTGTCGAGCGCCAGCAATTTCAAGAAATACTACGTGATCCGGAAGCAAATGGCCCCATTTGCGCAAGGCAGCCAAAGGACACTGGTTTTCGATGGAGATCTGATGCACGTCATGCATACCGACGCCGGGTCGAACTCCAAGTTCACCTCGTTTCCCTTCAGCGACATACTACGGTGTAAAGTCAGCACCAAACACTCCAAGTTGATCCGGGTCTTTGTTCGCAGGCCGAACGAGAACAAGAGATATGACTTTGAGGCCAGGACAGCAGCTGAGGCCCAGGAAATAGTGGACGAGATTCTCCGTGAAATGAGGCAGACACGGGCATGATATAGAGATTCCCCGTGGAGTTCGAGTACCCTTTACTCGCTCATGAACACCACCAGTGACTTGACTTTCCCAATTGCCGGAACTGCTACATTGCATTGTATGAGCGCCCCGTGCAAGACTTAGGTAGAGATGACAATTATCCCCATCCCGAGGGTAACCAGAAGCCCCTGCTGGTCTGTGCCGGCCCGTATTTGGAGGGGTTTGGCCAGGTTGGCCCACCTACGGCTGCGGATGCAATAGTGCAATCTGCGATCAGGTCAAGAGTGACGGTCACAGTGACATACGTGGCTGAAGAGGTGACGGTGAGTGGATGGATCGGTCGCATCTTGTTGTGTGCAGGCACTGAAGAGCTTCCCCGCGTCCACGACCAAAGGACGAGGTGTTGAGCGCCGGCGAGCTGATTGAGTGCGAGCAAGAGAGGCCCAGCTGTTCGCCAACTGCCAGTATTGATAATTGCGTGCCGCTATCAGTGTGTGTCTTACTGTACGGATCCCCCGTGCTGTATGTAAGTCTAGCTGCTTCTCTCTGGAGGTCGACCAGTGGCTGTTCGCCATCGCCAATCATTGCATCTCAACTCGGGCCTCTTGAGGGCTCCCGTCCCAGCTGTGAAAGGGCTCGACTGACGGCTCGACAAGCTTTCAGTTGCATCTGCTGCGTCTGCTGCAGCTGCTACTCCTGCTACTCAACCCGGCCTGCCCTCGCAGCTTCACTCTTGCTACCACTCCGTATCGATCTCTTTGTATGTGGTGCCCTTCGCACTGATTAACATTCTGCTGCATTCTCCACCCTTGGACTGGCAAGCTTATCGGCGTGAAACTGCAGCTTCCCATCCCAACGAAGCGAATCACCTCAGTCGATCTGTCCCTGCTACCCCTCCTCTCCACCGTCGCCGCCCTCGTCAATTTCGAGCCCAACCGCGCGTAGGCCTGTCCGAAGGGGTCTGCCATCACCACAGCGAATAACACCCATTCTCTGCATACCAATAGAAGGGAACGTGCGCTTCCCCCGGGCGTCCAAATGCCAACCTTTGGAGGCCTCCTCAAGAAGAAGAAGACCAAGGAGTCGCCGGAGGATAAGACGGCAAACAGCGGAGGCACTCATTCATCCGCTCAGTACAAGTCCTCCCAGAAAGCCGATGCATCGCCATCTGCACCTGCACCTGCGCAAACCACCTCAAATGCTCCCGCGCAAGCCACTTCAGCAACCACCACACAAGTCACCTCGACTCCCGAGCCTACCACCCAAGAGCCTGCAAGCAACGGCACGAACAACATGAACGTAGCTAATCTCGTTAGTCCCCCAGCGAGCGGCGTGGTGGATGGCAAAGGAGCTATCCGGCAGACCAAGGGCAAATATACCTTGACCGACTTTGAGATCAAGAGAACACTAGGCACCGGTTCCTTTGGACGGGTTCATCTGGTACAATCGAAACACAACACCCGGTTCTATGCTATCAAGGTCTTGAAAAAGGCCCAGGTGGTCAAGATGAAACAAATCGAGCATACAAACGACGAGAGAAGGATGCTGTCGCGGGTCAAACACCCTTTCCTGATCACTCTGTGGGGCACCTTCCAGGATTCTAAGAATCTGTACATGGTCATGGATTTCATTGAAGGTGGTGAATTGTTCAGTCTCCTGCGCAAGTCACAGGTAATGTCCCGCGTCTCCGCTGTGCGGACCATCGTTAACAGACTCTAGCGTTTTCCGAATCCAGTCGCCAAATTCTATGCCGCCGAAGTGACACTGGCTCTGGAATACCTGCACGCACAGAATATCATCTACCGGGATTTGAAGCCCGAGAACTTGCTGCTGGATAGACATGGACACATCAAAATCACGGATTTTGGCTTTGCAAAAGACGTACCAGACATCACCTGGACGCTGTGTGGTACTCCGGATTACCTTGCGCCAGAAGTGGTGGCGTCCAAAGGTTACAACAAGTCTGTGGATTGGTAAGTCCGTCGCCTTCGTCACCCATTCGTTACTCACAACTCGCTAGGTGGTCACTGGGAATCCTAATCTTCGAAATGCTTTGTGGCTTCACTCCGTTTTGGGATGGAGGCTCTCCGGTGAAAATTTATGAAAACATTCTGAAGGGACGTGTCAAATATCCCCCCTACATCCACCACGACGCTCAAGATCTCCTGGTTCAGCTGATTACAGCTGATCTGACAAAGCGCCTGGGGAACTTGCACGGTGGCCCATCTGACATCAAGAACCATGCCTGGTTCGCCGAGGTAACGTGGGAGAGGCTGGTCAAGAAAGATATTGACGCACCCTACGTGCCTCCAGTGAAAGGAGGTGCGGGAGATGCTAGCCAGTTCGACAAGTATCCAGAGGAAACAGAACAATATGGCTCGCGGGGAGAAGATCCGTAAGTCATACATCATATCTGCACTGTTGCAGAGGTGGAAATTGCTGACGACCGTTCTTAGTTTTGGACATTATTTCACCGACTTCTAATGATGAATTGCAAAGCAAACCAAAACGATGAAACCCGAATGATCCATGGGCATCCGCTTTGTTAGAAAACGCCGGGCTAAGCGAGCTGATGCAGGATCGGTGGGGGAACCATGCCCACATTGAAGCATGATCACTGCTGCGGCCACCGCAACAACATGTATGTTTTTGGACTGGCATTGGGCTTATGATTGGAGTTTATTTGCCGGTCATGCACCTTATGGTTGAAGTATTGCGATATTCTCAGTCACTGGAGGTGTTGCTGTTTTGACCGGCTTCTTCTTGGTGGAAAGGAGAAAGAAGGTCTTTGCAGAAGGGGCCACATCCAGAGACGGACTGGGATGGATCAGTATCGAAGAGATCCGGGGTACCTCCAACTAGTGTCTATGATGAGACGACGAGATGAGACCGAGACGGGGCAGGCAGACTGATGGACAACGGTTGGTAGCAGATGTATGTGTTTGCTCTCAAGGAGTGACTTGCTCAGTGAGTGCTCGTATACCTTCTCATTATCCACCTACCTTAGCTACCTTGGTCCGTTTTGTAGCGGCCTTGCCATGGGCAAAATATCAGGTCTTGATTCTTTGTTCAAACGGAGCTCCAAATAGCGTCCGTCCTCGGTTTATTGTATTTTCATGATCTAGTGGATGAAAGGACAAGGTTTGTTTCAGCGTCACTGACAGCGCTATGCTGTCTCTTGGACTTTAGGCAGACGGGAGGAAATGGTCTAGAGACAGTGTCTGATGGGTGTATTTTGGTTTCTCATGTGGTCAGGTATAGTACATATCATAACCCCCCCCCCCCCCCCCCCCCCCCCCCCCCCCCCCCCCCGAGGACTCTGCCTTGCAACAACGACTTGCCTTGTGCATTTTCTCATTAAAAACAAAAAAAATTGCCACGCAAGGCCCAATTGTATGGTTGGAAGTAGTGGTGGTACAAGGTACAAAAAGATTGGTATTCTCCAACAGATCAGATCATGAGTGTAGGGTAGGAGAGGAGGTCGTTTTGTTATTCATGTATTTTTGCTCTTGCCTATTTCCCAAAATCGTACATTGGAGCCATTGTCCACTGTCCAGTGTCAACTGGTCAACCATGAAAGAGAAGTGATCGTACAGGGTCGCGGGTCTGCACCAGGCGCAAATGTCCAGGCCGGCCAGTCAGTCAGTCAGTCGCTCTGGGCAGACGCAGACACCCGGGCTTTGTTCGACACCGACAATATGCTCACAACCACACAGCCCAGAGTTGGTGAGTGAGGGGGGTACTCATCAGTGGTTCGTGTTAAAGCTGTGAAACAATGTGAAGGGGGTTTGCCTTTTGTCCTGTGGATTGGTTTGTCTCTCCCTTTGGGTTGCTGAACCAGGTGAACCAACTTCGACTATCCGTAGCTACCTTGTCGTGTTCATCCGGACGATCCACGCTGACTGAAAACCCTGCTTCGTAAAGAACCGGCCTGGAGGGGGGTTGGAATAATCAGAACAACTCCTTTCCTCCGCCACCACCGGTCGTGTTTGCCATCAGAGCGCCTTCTTTCTGCACACGGGTCACGTAGCTTCGGTTCACAACGTTCCAGGCGTCAAAGTACTTTTCCATACAGGCCGTCAGGCACTTGTGTTCGCCGGACGAGAGGGTGGAGCCGGGCGGGTTGGACACGCAGTGTTCAAAGCAGTTCTCGTTGACTTTCGAAATGAGGTAGCGCGCGTTGGCGACATTGGATTGCTGGCTGATGGCGGTTTGGAGTCGTTGGAGCGTGGCGCTGCCGCTGCCGGAGCCTGAAGGGGACGATTGACTCAATGGGGAAGAGAATGCGGTTTGATCTCCGGATGTGGACGATGAAGAGGAGTCTGAAGAAGACGAGGAGCCGCCGAAGAGGCCGCCGAATGCCATTGTGATGTGAGGTTGGTTTGCTGGAATAGAATAAAGAACAGAGAGAAAGAGAGAGATGTAGGCCCGACGTGCGGAGGGAGTAGCTTTGAGAGATCTGAGATCGGGGTTATCAGAATACCGAGTGTCTGCACTCCAGAGGTGTGAGGTTGGATAGAGTGCTAGTTCCGAGAGAGACAGGCGAATACTAAGGCGTTCAGGACACCAGTCGAAATGCAAAGGACCTGGGGTGATGGTGGTTTAATTCCTTGAAAGCTCGAGTTAGTAGGGCATTGCCGAGCATAAGATTTCTTAACTTTCGTCAACGCCTGGAACGGCAGGTTGTGCGGGCGCTGGCTCCCTAACTTAAGGCTCACTAGGCTGCTCGTACGGTACTATAGTGAGGCTGACTATCCAACTTAGGCAGCGAATAGGCGCTCACAGAGGCGTCGGAGGCGCGCAGCCCAGGGGAAGAGAAGCGTGCGCCACCAACACTCTCTCCGCACAGCCTGGCCGTGTTTTATTTGTTCCACCTGCGTGTGTCTACTCACCCAAACCTGCAGTGGACACGCTGGTGGTAACCATACAACTCCTGGGTTTCACCAAGTCGACCATTGGCAGAGTCCCGACTGATTGACTAGGACGAACGTGCCATGCAGTGCCGGTGATCTTCCAATTTTCGTCGTCATTTTTCCCTCTCTGATCCCCCATCCATTGAGTTGTTGCTCGCAAGATGTGGCTCTCTCAAGCCTTGCCGTCAATATGCCTGCTGGTTGCATGTGCAGTTGGCACACGGGCAGCAGTCGAGGCTGATGCGTCCATGAAAAGTATCCCTGTATGTGCACCTTCTTGTTGCCATGTCCCGTTCCTGTTTCTAAATCATGATGCTCCGTTTAGCTGCGCACCCATAGTCTGGCTCCTCCATACCTCGACTCTGACATGTCAAGTCGGTGGTTCGACTTTGGCGGCGACACCATCATACGAGCGGACCAGTATATCCGACTGGCTTCCGACGTGCCCTCTCAGTCAGGATGGCTGTTCTCGAGAATACCGCTCACCGCGACAAATTGGGAGGTGGAATTCGAGTTCTCCATCCAAGGGAAGGGACATTTGCACGGCGACGGGTTCGCGCTGTGGATTACCAAAGAGAGAGGCCAGCCAGGTCCGGTATTTGGACACGCCGATCGATTCGAAGGGCTTGGGATTTTCTTCGACACGTACAAGAACAACAGGCCCGGCGTTGTGTTCCCCTACGTGATGGCTATGCTGGGAGATGGGCAAACAACCTACGACTCAGCCAACGATGGCAAGGCGAATGAGATTGGAGGGTGCTCGGTAAGGATGAACATGAAGAGTAGGGAATACTACTGCTAACGGTGTTCCTTCATTCACAGGCACGAGGATTGCGTGGTGCTTCGATCCCGACCAAAGCCAAACTGACATACTTCCAAGACAAGTCACTGTCGCTGCAGTTACAGTATAAGGCGACTGATTCGTGGATCGACTGTTTCAGCCTGGAGCCAACACCAAACATGCCTCTGAAGCTCCCCAACACTGCTTATTTAGGCTTCAGCGCGCATACTGGAGAACTTACGGACAACTTTGATATCATCAGCGTCGAGACCAGGAACTTGTACAATCCAGTTGCCGCAAACTCTGCGATGAATGCGGCCGCGGCCAACAGAGCGAGTGCGCGTGGACGGCCTGAGAAGAAGAGTGGTGGTGGCTGGGGTTGGTTCTTCTTCAAGCTGATCTTGTTTGGTGGAGTTGTTGGCGGCGGTTATGTGGGCTACAACAGGTATAAGCAGAAGCAGCGATACACAGGATTCTAGCAGACTCCATTGTAGCACGTGAAGCCAGACCAAACGTATAGTAAATGACCAAAAGTTTCCCAGTGGCCTTTTGTTGATGGTCGGGGGGTGGGTGAGAAGTATCGACACTCATCAGATCTCAAACTATGTGGGGGTTAGAGCTATACCCTACAGGGATTTGCCTGATCTCTATACATGCATGGAACTTGTCTTGGTGAGAAGTCGTCGTGCAAACCATGTGATCTGCAACAGGAATTCTCTTGTTTGGTACTGTCCCTTGTGCCTGGTGAGCTCCGGGCGCAGGCATGGTGTGTCTGCATACCTAGGTATCTCTGCATATCTCAGCCTTGTCCCTTGGCCGAAGTTCACCCCGCAAGGCTGTCGGGATTATCGGTCACGTGAGATCATCAATGGCTATTGATCTTGCAAGTTTCATCACCGCCAATCACAGGCGCGGATTGTTGTCTTGTTAAAAGTGCTGGAATTGCGACGCTCCAAATCATGATCCGCAGTCTGTGATCCAACGCTGCCCGTGTTTGCCTTGCAAATCACTGCTATTTGCCGCTATTCCCGATCCATCGTTCACTGTCTCTCTGCCTTTTTCCCCTTATATCTCTCATCCCTCCATCCGCTCTAATTCTCTCTCTTCTTCTCTACTTTTACCTCTCTCTCCCCCACCAATTTGCTCGTCGCGTACCATCAACGTCCATCAACCAACCATCAACAACTCATCCAATCTAACACTTTTCATCTCTCAAACACCTCAATCAACATGACTGGACGTAAGTAATTCCCTCACAACACTCAACAATCGATTATTGGGCATGTTGGCGTCGTTGCACCTCACCTTCGCTTCCGCTGTGCTGACGCCACTTCACGTCGACACCCACCCACACATACCCAGACACAGACATAGACCACAACAACGCTAACATGTCTTCTACGCAGGCGGCAAAGGTGGCAAGGGCCTCGGAAAGGGAGGTGCTAAGCGTCATCGAAAGATTCTTCGCGACAACATCCAGGGCATCACCAAGCCTGCCATCCGACGTCTCGCTCGCCGTGGTGGTGTCAAGCGTATCTCTGCCATGATCTACGAAGAGACTCGCGGTGTCCTCAAGTCCTTCCTCGAATCAGTCATCCGTGATGCTGTCACCTACACTGAGCACGCAAAGAGAAAGACCGTCACTTCTCTCGGTAAGTCTGACACATTATAGCGTGTTGAGAGCTGCGAAACTAACAAATCCTCCAGATGTCGTCTACGCCCTCAAACGTCAAGGCAGAACCCTCTACGGTTTCGGTGGCTAGGCTCATTCGCCTGCCTAGATGCTCGCATCGAGTCGTCTGACCGCACCTTGCTGTGTTTTTATGGAGCTAACGGAATGATGAAAAGGCGTATGGGTATTGGATTCACGAAGACATTTGACACTGGGGGTTTCAAGGGGGTTTCTTTCACAGAGGGGAATTGTATTATTGCTGCTCAAGAAAGGAAAGATATCGAACTCATCGTGCCCACCCGTTGATAGACCTTCGGCTATCAAGACACATAGTCAAGTGTAACAGAAGCAAACTTCAATTGAATTGAATTGAATTGATCACGTTCAGTAAAGAAGCTCCTTTTGCTGTTCACTTGACCGGTTTTCCCGTAAGATGAAAAGGTGTAACCGCGACTCTGCCGACACGAGCAAGCATTCGAGAATTTCTCAGCTAGACAGGCACCTACGGGTGGTGGGAGGCTTCAGAAGCAAATCTCTTCAACTAATACAAACAGGGAATAGAAGCGCGAGACACTGCAAATACTCGACATGATGCATCGCCGTCGTGGTCCGGACATCTGACCCCGGCGGCAATGCGGTGCAAGGCAGCAGGAATTCTTCAGGGAGGGCCAGACACAGCGAGGCGTGGCTGAGGCCAGTCGGGACAGGCGCTGGGATCCAGTTCTAGGCGCCCTCGTTTAGGGAGAGTCAGTACCCAGCACTGTCGTCGTAGGCGGGACTCGATAGGCTGGAGGAGCCGGGGATCTAGTTGCGAGTGCCAGTCGTAATCCACGTCCAGCAATAATAGTGCGGGTGTGGCGAAGCTTGCCTCGAATAGGAACCCAGGCAACAGGATTCTCAAGGACTTCGATATACGCTGCACACCCCGCCCCTCGCTCAGCTCCAATTATATGGCTCAACATCACGTCGACTACGACCACAGCTGGGACAGTCTCGTCTACTGCGTCGCCCTGTGAGATACACCACAGTTCACCTCTTGCATGGAGTGACACGCCAGAGAGGAAGCATCTCGTTGGAAGTCCTTGGCGTCCTTATCAGCCCTCGACATGTTTGCACGACGCGGCAATCGTCTTCAAGGCCTGTCGAAATTGTATTCCGACGCCAAACAGTCATACGAGAACACCAGAGTCAGTCCGGCCGTTGCGTCTATCACCGAGTCACCAGAACTCAAGGAACTGAGGCGCGGCTTCCAGATTCAACAGGATCGATTATTGGCCTGGGGCTTACATTGGGCCGACAACGGTCCGCCAGACTCTAAACACGCCGATGTCGACATCGACAAGAAAATCAACGAAGCTGGACTGGGCGATGTCGTCAGTAGTGTAATTACCGAGATCCAGGGCATCACCGACGAAATTAGGCGGATGGGGGATCCCATGAAAAGATCCGAGAAGAACTTGGCCGCTCTCAGAGACCCTGAATGGACCGTCCACGAAATCCGGACTCGCAAGGACTTACTAAACAGACTAACAGAATGCTTGGATTTGTTATACAGCCTCGAAGAGACGAGAGCCGCAGACGAGAAGAGCGATGTAAAAAGACAAAAGCACGCTCATGACTCCTCTGAAGCGAGGTCGAATTCGGATATCTACGATCACCCTCTTCACATCGACTTTGGGAGCCTGGAATTCAACGAGTATGCGGCACAAGCGGCAGACCCTCCACCATATGATCCCTCGAGTGGTGCCGCTTCGATCAAGGAGAGATCCACCGCATATTATCGAACTGCTTCTCAGCCTGTCCTGGTCGACTACTTGCCCGCAGACACACCCTTGTACATTATCGGAAGTGCTGACGATGTGTTCGAGGTGCAGGAGCTGGGCGAAGAGCTGTGCAACAACATCTCGTTGTCGTGGTGCGGCCATCTGAGACTATTGGGATTTACAATCAACCCTGCTGGACCACGTTGCGCCATGGTCTATGCCCTGCCAGAAGGCCACGACCACCAGACCTTGCAACACCATCGAACACTGAGCTCGCTCATCACCGCCACTGCAAGCGATCTGAGCCACGATGCCGCTCAGCCGCCGTTAGAAGATCGATTTCGACTGGCGTATAACTTGGCCTTGTCCATCATGGGCTACTTTGCACGAGGAGAGACTCACCAGCATATCAATGGCAGCAACTTCCTCGTCCTGGGCTCCAGTGAACATAACCCTCGGTCAAAATTATCCACAGAAATGAGATCGCCATACCTGCTCCAGTCTTGTCAGGACTTTTTGTCGCGGTCTGAAGCGCCAGAGCCATTCGCAACACATATTTATAGACACCCCGAGCATGACTCTCGTCTTTCGGAGGTGGTCCCCGCCTACGACATCTACAGCCTTGGACTACTCTTACTCGAAATCGGTCTCTGGATGCCACTTTCTCGATTTTGGAAACCGAAATACAACCGTGCCTTGTTCATGGACAGAATGCAAAGGGTTTACTCGCCGAAGCTCGCTTCCAAGTGTGGAAGTAGGTATATGCGCGTAGCGAAGCGGTGTTTGGAGGCGCCGACCGAATTGCAGTATCGGAACAACTACGAGGATGCGGGATCGTTTATGTTACAAGTGCTAAAAGACCTCCAACAATGCTGTGCTTTGGATGAGGATGCACCTCCGCCCTCTGACATTGAAACCTTTGAGCTCTTGTTGATCGAGCAGATGTATAAGGCTGAAACAAAGGCTGACGAGCAGAAATCCAAGGCCAAGATGGTGGACGACGAATACAGACCACCTCTCCCGAGAAGAGCACTTTCAAAACGAAAAATAGACGCTATTCAGCAGCCCGTCCCGGTTGAAACACCTTTGCGAAAATGGCCCCAAGTCGATATTCCTCAGGAAGATCTTGACACATGGAACACGACTCTAATGCCGAAGCTGGGTAGAATGCTCCAAAATGCACTAAAGGATTGCTCGGAGTCTTGTAGTCTGAGTCTTATGATGTTTGGATCGGCACCCGAAAAGGCTAGGACCACAATCTGCGTGCAGTGTCCACAAGTCGCCAAAGTTCGTGATGTTCTTCGACAAGGCTTGAAACTGAAGAAGGGCTGGGGTCTTGTCCTCCTGAACGGCGAGGTACGAAGAAGCGGCAAGGGAAGAACCACCAAGTGCTCCCACAGATCACGACGACAAAGCTCAAGACCCGGGACAAGAAGACGCCGGGAGCAAAAGTTTGAGCAATGCCCAACGAATGGCGCGAGTATTGGCGCATACAAGGACGATGAACATCTCCCGCCCGTCTCTTTCGGTGGCACCATTCTCGTGGATGGCGAACCATATGGAATGACGGTGCATCACATGCTAGATCCTCCCAGCGATGACGAAGAAGAGGAAGATGCACGGGGCACACTCGAACACCCCAGAAGGTCCGCTGGTGATCGCCAAATTCCCAGCCAGTTCCCATCAACCGACGACCTGCGTTACATGCACTCTGGGGACGACCTTTCACGCTTCTCCGATCTGGAAATCTCTGACGAGGATTTTGATGACAGTGACGATGAAAGTCAGGCAAGCACCATTCGACCAGACTATTCGATTATGGACGCCGACGGCAATGAATTCTGGTTCTTGGAAGATTCGACCCCTGAACTTGATGAAGACGATGGTTCTGACAGAGATGATGCCTCGTCTTCGTCCAGCGATGATATAGATGACGCCGCCAGCATCGGTGACAAGATTGGTATTGCACCTTACGGTGACGACGAATTCTGCGTGACACAGCCTGCCATGGATGATGTCGACGAGGACTTTTTTCCTAGTGAGGAAGACCGCGACGACGACCACCTAGCGAGCCACACATTCGGCTATGTCTTTGCGAGCAGTGGTATACGCCGAGTTGTCCGAGGCGAGATGAAACACGAAGTGGATTGGGCGCTGATCAGAATTCAAGAGGATAGGCTCAAGGCCGAAAATGCAATGCTCGAAAAGACCACCGTCACCGCATTGTCGGCAAAAGGTCGAAAACAGATTTCTCGAGGGCAGCCGCAGCCGCAGCCGCAGCATCCCGTCTTGACCAAGATCACACCCCTTTCAAAACTGTCTGGATTGCAAGTCCATTGTCGTGGGCGGAGCAGTGGGCTCAAAAAGGGCAGGATATCCCAAGCCATGGCTTTGGTCAAGATGCACGGTCGCGAGAGCTTCAGTATATCATGGTGCGTCGAGGGCGGCTTTGGTGTCCCGGGAGACAGCGGCGCCTGGGTTTACGATCCTGTTTCGGGCGCGTTGTGTGGCCACGTATTAGCGTGGGGCGATCGAAGTCGCACGGCGTACATTGCGCCGATGGAGGTGTTGTTTGATGACATCAAAGGGCGATTAGGTGCACAGTGCGTTGAATTGCCGGTTCCCGAGGGTCAAGAGGTTGAGAAGGACATTGCTTCATCAAGCCACCTTGCTGCCGCTGCAAAGGGCGTCACTGTCTGCGTTGAGAGTGGTGGTACCACCACCACCACCACGGGAGCAGGTGGAGGAGAAGATGTCGTGGAGAAACTGAGACGGTTGAAGATTGAGTCGTCAAAGGAACCAACTACGTCGCTTAGGACACTTGTCGTTGCACCGCCTGTGTCGTGATTGAGAGGTTTGTTTTGTTTTGTTTTGTTTTGTTTTTAGAGTCTATGTTAAAAATCACAGCGACCGGGGTTAGTCTGATGTTTGTTGAAGGGGAGCGAGCCAGTTTTTGAAGAGTGACACTCTATCTGAGAAATACATATGTAGTATTCACTTATGCGAGACTTGTTCACCTCCTCAATTTCATCCATGGGTTTCTAGTTTTGGCTGAGATATCTCCTTGCGATACCATTTTATTATCGATTGTTGGTCGTTTTTGGTGGTTAGGGTGAGGTAGGTAAAGGTAAGTGACTCCTTCTCTCGGTTCGATACTGAGTCAGGCCGGACAGAATCACAAACGGTTGTCCAAGGCTAAATTAAATAGTCCAGGCAGACGACGAAAGGAAAAGCACAAGCAAAAGGATAAGGACAAGGAATATCACCAAGTCACCTTGGCTACTTGCCTAAACTACATACAGTATCCATCTCACTTTGTACCGACTGTCGGGTACATCGGAAAAGAATGCCACTGTACGGTATCTACGGTATAACATATAGTACACGGTACACGACTCACTCCTCCATCAATCGAGTACCTTGGGGTTGGCTGTAGACAAGCAAGATCGATGGACGAAAGAGGGTCTGCAAGATTGAAATCGTACATCCATACCCATCGATTTTCGTCTTAATTCCTTTTCCCTAGGCCGCTGCTCCAAGTTCCCGATCCTGAGGGTCTTCTAACCTGACAGGACGGAATCACTGGCCTACCAAGGCTTCACCCAAGGTCCCATATCGACCGGCCACCGCAGCTTCAAACTAGAGTATCTTTCCCCTTTGTACGCTTTGCCTGGGCAGGTTGCACTGGCGCGCGGTGTGGAACTCACGCCCGGATCAAGACTATCCTTTGATAGCCTGATACCCATTTACCACCTGCTGGGAGCATAAGAAAAGGTAGTCGAGGGATATTTGAGGGGCCGTCGAGGGCCTTGTCGGATTTGGGTTTGAGCCTTCCGAGCCTCCATTGCTAGAACAAGTGCTCGCCTTGCCTTTCATGCAGCGACCGTTTGCCGTCTGTCTGTATGGTTTCTTTGATGCTATGATTCCCAGCATGAGGAAAACTTCTGCGCCGGACTCCCCAAGCTTTATCTCCGGATATGAGCCCAGGTCTTCATCTCTGTCAGATCGACACAGGCCTCACTTGCACTCCACCACATGTTGGAGCAGGTCGTGCTAGCATTTGTCTTTCATTCTGAGATTTGGCTCACGGTTGATCTGTCCTTGAACGTCACTTAGAGATCAATTGGGGGCATGCCCTTATAAATGCCGAGGCAAATGGGTAAACGTTCGGCATCGACGCCAGGAATCTCAGGGTGCCGTCCGAGTACGACTTTGAATTTGTCATTTGGCTCGTTGAATCCTTCAAGAAGGATTTTCTGGAGGATTTTCTGGCCGTGGTGGGGGGCTGGGTGGTGAAGTAGATGATCGGTTCTTCGGTTTGATCAATAATAGGATGAACATACCGACAACGAGGAGGATAAGCAACAGCAGAATTTTCCGCTTTGTGTTGCGTCGTTGGTAGTTGGTGGCAACAACGAGCTCCTTCTCGGCCCCCTTAACATCGACCGCCATCCTCTCCACGTTGTAGTCTATTCGATCCAGCATCGTGCCCTGGTCGATCACCATGGCTTGGAGATCGCGGAAGATGTCGGCCAGCTCAATAATGCCCTTCGCGATATCGTTGATTTCTTGTTCCCTCTGTGCAATGGCAGTGTCGTTTCTTCCCAAGCGCTTCTGTGCGGTCTGCTGTAGCGTTGACTGACTGAGCCGTTTATCCACTTCTGACTCCATAAGAGCTGGATCCGTATAGGGATTCTGTACGGGAGTCACTGACCGGCCGATTGGCGACTCGAAGCCCCCAAGCGCGCGAAGTTTGTTCAAATAACTGCTTTGCTTCTTTCTGAAGGTCGCGCTGACTTCTTGAACTCTGGAGGCCAGAGCGGTTTGAATGTTCTGGGCCATGACCTCGTCTCCCCTTTGTAAGTTTCCTGTCTGCCTGGACTCTCCAACCATCTTCTCGATACGCTTGATTGCTCTCTGACATTCCTGAAAGCCTCTTGTAATCTCGGTCGTCAGACTCTCGATCTCTCTCTCCTCCTGCTGCTTAACTGACTCATCGTCGAAGCCGGGGAGAACGTGCTTGGAATGGAGCTTGTCCAATTTGGCGGCTTTGAGAGTGATGTCTTTGAGGATGTCGGAAACTTCATCTTGCACGTCAATCCACCGAGGCGGCAGCAGATCCATCTCTATCACAGCGTCTCCATCGTTGTCGAATGCGCCAGCGGACATGAGGCCCCTGGTCTCTTCGGACCCTTGGTCGGCGAAGCCATTGGAGCTAGCTGGGTACCTGGACCTCTTGGCCGGATGGTGTGTATAGGACTGGCGGTAGGAGATGTACCTGGGCCTTGTCAGTGTAGTCCATCATGCGATGGAGAAGCATACAGATTAGTGCGATCTCTCCACATCTTCAGTCCTTAGAAAGTCCAGCACCTCATAGGCGCGAGTCGAGTGAATCGACAGGAGTAAATCGCATGCTGGTGATAAAAGAGCAAATAACGAATAGCAGCAATAATCAAAGAAGCCGTGAATGCACGAGAGCGACAGGATATCGCAATGACAAGTGGTTGTTTCTCCCAAGCATTGGCTACTGCGCAGGCAACGGACATGCCAACTCCATACAAGGTCTTGGTGGGACGGAAAAACAATACGCCGAGTGCCCCGAGATCCTACGACAGTTGTGAGTTGATTGCTTGCCTGCACCCACTCACTGTAAGGGGCCAAGTCCAGGATCAGGTTCACTGCATTTCACCTTCAGCTACTGTCATAATCCAGTCTTTCTCAACGAACCCCCTCCCTGATACCTCACGACACGTTTTTACCCATCAGTGGCCCTCTACCACTCTATCGCGACAACTGATTCTTCCTTTGCAAGACTCCCCAATATGGTACGCGTGGCTTGTTGACTACCCCCCAGCTTGCGGCTGCAATTGTGCAACTTAACATGTGTTGTCATACACTGATGCCGTGGTTTTGCAGGCGGATTCTCTCACCGAAGAGCAGGTCTCTGAGTTCAAGGAGGCCTTTTCTCTGTTCGTAAGTGCAAATTCTTGTTTGGTCTATGTGGCCAATACTGACGGTGCTTTGCAGGACAAAGATGGCGATGGTGCGATGCGCTGCTGACACTCCTGGCGTGCCCCCCACGAGGACTGACCAAGGCCGCAGGACAAATCACCACAAAAGAGCTAGGCACCGTCATGAGGTCTCTGGGCCAGAATCCTTCCGAGTCGGAACTACAAGACATGATCAACGAAGTGGATGCAGACAACAATGGCACCATTGATTTTCCAGGTACGCGACAAGACATAATAGTTCGAAGGTGGCATCGGCTTATACGAGACAGAATTCCTCACAATGATGGCTCGCAAGATGAAGGACACCGACTCTGAGGAAGAAATCCGAGAAGCCTTCAAGGTGTTCGATCGCGACAACAACGGTTTCATCTCGGCGGCTGAGCTTCGTCATGTCATGACCTCAATTGGCGAAAAGCTCACAGATGATGAAGTCGACGAGATGATCCGAGAGGCTGACCAGGACGGTGACGGTCGCATTGATTGTTAGTATCCTAGGGTCGAATATATCCCCGGAGCTTGGACTTGCTAACATTTTTCCTGTTCAGACAACGAATTTGTACAGCTGATGATGCAGAAATGAATGATGACAAGCAAACAAGTATGCGCAGCACGAATCTTTGAGAAGTTTTAGAGCGGCTAAATGGATCGAGTGTCTCTCCTCCAATACCACGGGCCGAGGAGTAGCGCATCTTTCATTGCCATAGAGCCGAGTAGTTTCCCAGCAGAGAACTTGCAACGCAAGAAGAAAACAATCAGAGCTATTCCCATTCCTATCTACGTTCGCCCTTCCGAGCCCAATCCCTGTGAAGCTAGAATTATTCGTGGGTATCATAGGTTGTCGTCAATTGAGCAGTCCATGGTCGCACCAATGGACCCGATGTGAGAAAGTGTGTACGCGTCGAACGGTCCTCAATGTGACTGTAGCCAGTTGAGCATCTGTTGGAATGCCAAAGTTTGAGCTTCTTTGATGGAAGGTGAGTCGTAGTCTCCGTACACGGCGAAGCCTGGAACGGTTAGCTACACAACCTTTCAGTCAGAACATCTTCGCGACCTACCATGTGGCACCGCTGAGTACATCTTAACCTCGTGCTCAACATTGCTCGTTGCAAAATCTTTCTTGCCATCTTCCAAGATTTCTGCTGGGAAGAGTGGATCGTTTTCTGCAAGCCGTCAGTCTAACTTACATGTTCTAGAGGTACATCAGCACCACTTACCGACACAGACCATCGTCAGAGGAGCCTTGACAGCCTTCAAGTCTTCACGAGTCACGAGTGTTGCGTGTGCCACCGCACCTGCTTTGATCAAGGGCGCTTTCTTGAGCATACCTGCTTCTTCATCTTGGGTAGTTGCCCCGACCTTCACAGTATCCTCATGCTCTGCTGCAAGGATGACAGTATACTTTCCACCGAAGCAGTACCCAACACAATAGATGCCATCACCGTGTGCTATTGCGTCTGCGTACTCGTCTTTGGCTGACTCAATGACCTTGCGCAGGATCGGCAAAACCTTTTCTGGAGTCTGTCTGGCGAGCCACATATCGACCAGGAAGGACTTGGCAGTTTCTGCGGCTTTCAGTTTGAACTGCTCAAGGAGCCCAATGTGTTCCTCAGCAGGAATAGCTGTCGAGTTTGGTGCCGGGTCACCATTGAACTGGTCGGGCATGATTACCACGAACCCCTCTGATGCAAACATGTCTGCTTGCACCTGATTGTTGGTGGAGTGTACGCCGGTCCCAGCGGTGAGAAGAAGGAGTAACTTAGCTGGAGAGTTGGGATAGTCCGGTGGTTTCGAAATGTAGACATCGATATCACCAAACTTTGACATCTCACCAGACGGTTGGCGATTATCTGGATTCGGTCTATCCGTGACACAGTGCTCGCCCATGCTAGCTCCCGTTTGAGCCTTGGAGTCTTCGTTCGATATCATGGATGGCTCCATGGCATCGGTTTCAGGAGCCTTGGTTGCAAGCTCGGGATCAGACATTACGACTGTAGTCTTGTGTTCGTCGCTTAGATATTTGCTTCCTTTAGCACCCTTTTGGTTTACCTGAATATTGGTCAAGTCCAGAAGCAACAAATCTGCGAATTTCACAGATGTGCACACCTAAGGATAGTGCAGGCGTGGAAAAGTGTCCTGAGTTTCTTTGGTGGCGTTTCTTCCAAGGCGAATAACTCGCTGTTTTAGTAGCATTCCTCTCGACGACTTCTGGTGCCTGGCTGTATCGAGGTACGATCAATTTTCAGGCTCAAGGGAATCAGCTTCGGTGACGAGGAGGTCTAAAGTAGAGACGCATACCGTTTCTTATGCTCAGCAATAGTTCCGTGGTTATTGAGCACGCCGATGACAATTGCGAGGACAAGATCAAAATGCCACTAGGCCTAATTCAGCAGCACTTTACACGCGACGCGTCGCGCGGGGATTTCCAGGCAAACGCAGCCTACCGTATGTCGCCACAGCCATAACACACGAGTGTCTTCGTCCTCTTCAACGTGCGACAACAACCATCCGGCAACCCGACACTATCTACAACCATGAGCTCGAATCCCGCTGCTGCGCTTGCGCGCATCGACGCCGGCTCACTTCAGGACATCTTTGAGGAGAAGCCCGGCCGAATCCAACAACCTGTCATGCAATGCGTCCAGATCAAACCCATCGCCGCCAGTGCTGGGGGGCAAGAGAGACACAGAGTGATATTCAATGACACAAGAAATTACATCCAGACCATGCTGGCAGTGCATCAGAATCATCTCGTCGAAGAGAAGATTCTGCGTCGTGGCGTCCTCGTTCAATTGCTCGGGTATACTGCGAACAAAGTCAAGTCGAAGCGGTAGGTGTGGCCTTCCTCGTTCTACTTCCGTGCTGACAGAAGCTGTAGTATTCTTATCGTCACGGAGATCAAAGTCCTAGAAGAGTTCGGTGAACACGAGAAACTCGGAGACCCCAAGCCCTTAGAAGTCAAACCCGAAGATGAAGAGAAGCCCTTTCCTACCGCCATCTCAAGCAATGGCTTCTACGGTGCCAAACAAGAGACACCAAAACCAAGCAGACCTATGCCCAGCCACCCGAAGCCGTCTTCATCGAGTGCTCACGCCAACATCTACCCCATCGAAGCAATCTCCCCGTACTCTAACAAGTGGACTATCAAAGCTCGCTGCACAAGCAAGTCGGACATCAAAACATGGCACAACCGTAATGGTGAAGGCAAGCTGTTCAGCGTCAATCTTCTAGATGAGAGTGGCGAGATTCGTGCTACTGGATTCAACGATCAGTGCGATATGTTGTTTGACCTGTTCCAGGAAGGAAATGTCTACTATATTTCCAGCCCCTGCCGAGTGACATTTGCAAAGAAGCAGTTTTCGAATCTGCCCAACGACTATGAACTACACTTCGAGAAGGACACTACCGTTGAAAAAGCAGAGGAGCAGGATGGAGTGCCTCAAATTCGATACAATTTTACCAGCATTTCCGATCTTCAATCTGTGGAGAAAGACACCACAATCGATGTTATCGGAGTATTGAAAGACATTGGTGAGACGTCACAAATCACTTCCAAGACAACCAGCAAACCCTACGACAAGCGAGAACTTACCTTGGTTGATAACACTGGATATTCAGTGCGTCTGACGGTCTGGGGCAAGGTTGCTGCAAATTTCGATGTTCCACCTGAATCGGTGGTGGCCTTCAAGGGTGTCAAAGTCTCCGACTTCGGTGGACGGAGTCTCAGTCTGCTCAGTTCAGGTTCTGTGACACCGAATCCTGACATGGAAGAAGCACACAGACTCAAAGGCTGGTACGATTCACAGGGCCGTTCGGGCAATTTTGCAACACACGCCAATGTTCAGGGTGCTTCTGCTGGGACCGGCGGTCGTAGTGACCCCTTCAAAACCATTTCGCAGGTGAAGGAAGAGCAACTAGGAATGTCAGACAACCCAGACTTCTTCTCCGTGAAGGCATCAATACAATACATCAAGCAAGAGAACTTCTGCTACCCATCGTGCTTGTCCGAAGGCTGCAACAAAAAGGTCGTTGAGATCGATCCCGGTCAGTGGCGATGCGAAAGATGCGATAAGACGTGGGAAAGGCCAGAATACCGCTACATCATGTCCGTCAATGTCAGCGACCACACTGGCCAATTGTGGGTGAGCTGCTTCGACGAGACGGGTAGGATGATTATGGGAAAAACAGCAGATGAGTTGATGGAGATCAAGGAGGTGGATGAAAAGGCCTTGGGCGACATCTTTTCTGAAGCGAACTGTAGAACTTGGAATTGGAAGTGCAAGGCCAAGCTGGACAGTTTCCAAGAGCAACAACGGTAAGCGGTTTTCATAACCACCCATCCATGTTTGTCAAGCAATATTCTGACTTTGAGACCAGGGTTCGCTATCAAATCAACTCGGCGTCGCCCTTGAACTATGTGACTGAGTCGCAGAAACTTATCGACTTGATCAAGCAGTATGGAACGGACTAAGAAGATATGTGCTGCCACGAACGAAGCGTGTGTCTGGCATTGGGGGGAGTGCGTTGTGGCGCCATGCACTGGACATCGATACCTATTGATGCCATAGAATGAAGAAGAATCCCTGGCTCTGGACGAAGCCCACATGCTGGCTCAGTCAGTTGTATGTATGGAATGAAGTACAATCAGTAATGGAGCTGTACAATATGAGCACCGAGAATTTGAATTAGTCATCCAGTGCAGAGATGGCAGTCACGTGCGTCGATGCTAGCCGACGTGACGGCATCGTTGCCGGTGCTGTCCTGGGTCGCTGATTTCGTTCTGTTTTGCAAATACCAAATCTTTTGTTGCATTGCTATGCTTCCTTCATACGTTGCTTTGCCTCATTCAAATCGTAACGCAACTAGATATCATTGACCTGCGCGGCTCGACTCGGGACCAATACAGGCACGATCTCACCTCCATTAGCAATCAAGACTCTTCGGCTAAATACCCGATTCGTCTCCGCATCACTAAGCTCAGGGTCGCCATCGTTATTCCGTTTATTTGTTCCTCTTCCAATCCTTGCAAGCAGCGAGACAAGCAGCATTTCCCATCCCAGCAGCCTCCAAAATGGCCACTATGCGCGCGGTCGATATCAAAGGCGGAAAGGGCGGCATTGACGCGCTGTTCATCAATGCTGAGACGCCAAAGCCGACACCGAAGGGAAGCCAGGCGCTGGTAAAGGTCAAGTACTTCGGTCTGAACCGCATGGACTTGCTCCAACGCGAGGGCTATTACCCGGTGCCTCCCCAGGCGGGACCCATCATGGGAGTCGAGTTCTCCGGCGTGATCGAATCTTTCGGGAGCGCCCCTGAGAGGGGATTCAACGTCGGTGACGAGGTGTTCGGCCTCGCGTACGGTGGTGCATACGCCGAGTACATTGCCGTCAGCACACATATGCTCGTGCACAAGCCCAAGGAACTCAGCTGGGAGGAGGCCGCGGGGATTCCCGAGACGTGGATCACCGCGACCCAGGCGCTGTACCTCGTCGGCGAATTCAAGCCTGGCATGAGCGTCCTGTGGCACGCGGGCGCGAGCAGCGTCAGCATCGCCGGCATCCAGCTTGCGAAGGCCGATGGTGCGAGCGCCGTGTACGTGACGGCCAGCACCCAGGAGAAGATCGACTTCTGCAAGACTCTCGGCGCGACCGAGGGGTTCAGCTACAAGGAGGGGAACTGGGCCGAAGCTCTGCTCAAGTACACGGATGGCAAGGGCGTGGGCTTGATTGTCGATTTTATCGGGGCCGGGTATTTCAACCAGAACCTCGATGCCGCGGCGCAAGATGGCCATATCGTCCTTCTGGGCATGATGGGAGGTGGCGTCGTCAAGGGAGACGTGGACGTCAGTAGACTCTTGAGAAAGCGGCTGCGGATCGAGGGAAGTACTTTACGCAGTCGCGATGAGAAGTACCAGGGCCGTCTGAGGGATATGCTGGTCGAGCATGCTTTGCCGAGATTCGTCAAGGGCGAGTTCAAGGTGCCCGTGCAAAAGGTGTTCAAGATGGAAGAGATCAAGGAGGCTCATGCTCTGCTTGAATCGAACCAGACCATGGGGAAGGTCATTTGTAAGGTGGAGTAGGGAGGAGTGTGTGTGTGTGTGTGCTCGGATGAAGTCACGAAGACGGCCGTTTCTATGTCTATGACAGCAAACATGTAAACGCCACCGCTGACTGATCCGCGGTAAGGATCGAAAATGAAACGACACATGTTCCAGTTATACATACATCTTTTGGAAGCCGAACGTTGTATTTCCCGTAATCTGCGCCACCGGTTTATATGCCACCGTCGAGAATCTCCGAAGCTACACGCGCGGGGAGGAGTAAGTAGCAAGCGCCTAATAGGGCAATTCTCCAAGAGCCAATCGCCTCGACGATGGCGGTGGCCGATGCCGTCGAAGGATGCTAGACAAGGCTGGCTGATTACAAAGATGATTTCTATGCCATGGCACCCAATAGCGTCGTGTTCTGCGAGTGAATAAAAAATGTCGGATGTCTCGTATGCTTGTACTACCATTGCCTCGAACGAGACAAATCGAATTCCACGACGGTCCATCAGATCAGCGAACATGCAAGGACCGCTGAGTAAATTGTGGTTTGTAATTAAGGTAGGAACATACTGAAGACACACAAACTCTGTCTATCTTTGTGACTCTGGTCCTATAAAAGTATCCAATCTGTCTGTCGAAGTTGAAGAGTGTCCTCATTCTACTCCAAGACACCGACCAGAATACTACTTCCAATTTCATAACAAGAGACCAAGTACCTAGCCGAAGCAGCATGCCATCGATCCTGCTCTTTGGTGTCACGGGCCTTGTAGGCTGTAAGTACCGTCCCTCCAAGGCATAACGCAAACCGCCGTCGCCTCCTGGTGACGGATGACACTGATGTGTGAATTGTTCTGACAAACATTGAAGCTCACCTTGTGCTCGCCCTGAGAGACAAACACCCCGAGTTACCAGTGACGGTGTTCCTGCGAAACAAGAGCATCGACACCTATCTGTCCGAAACCGCTCGCGTGAACAGAATCGTCCACGGCACGTTCGACGAAAAGGACAAGATCTCTGAGTTGTCTCGGGAGCACGATATTGTTATCAACGTCGGATCTTCGTGGGATGTCGGACTCAGCGAAGCAATCGTTGACGGGCTGAAGAAGCAACCCGACGACAAGAAACCCATCCTGATTCACATGAGTGGTACGGGCAATTTCGTGGACAAGACGTGGACAGATGGTGCGACCCATGAAGGTGTCAAGGTCTGGAATGTATGTTCTTTTTCGGTTTTCGGTTTTCATCTTCTTGTTTTCCCCCCTCTATTCAATCAGTACTTGTGATTATTGGCCGACAAATTCTGACATGAAACGTTGCCGATGTAGGACGATAATCCCGAGGATATGAAGCTTATCAATCCTGACATGCTGAACGGTGGCCCCGATACTGTGTGAGTGTTCCTTATTCCTCCAGCTGGGTATCATGTTACTCAGGCACCATCACTGTCATCCCGAGAGGAGATTGTTTTGCCTTGAATTGACTTATCTTTTCCTTTAGCGTCTTGAATGCCGGCAAGGAAGGCAAGATCACAACTTACATCGTTTTCCCCTCCGGAATTTACGGCGACGCCGCTGGTCCCATCCCAGCTCTCGGTGTAATTCAGCTGATCTTCCGCGAAAAGGCCGAAGAGCTCGGATTCGTGCCGTACGTTGGCGAAGGGAGCGCCGTGTTTAACTGCCTCCACGTCAATGCGATTGCGCCGTTTATGCTCCTGGTTCTCGATGCGGCAATCCACGACGCATCCCCGCGCGGATCAGTCTACGAGCGATGTTTCCTGATAAGTGGCCAGAAGATATCGTGGAAGGATACCGCTGCGGCTTTTGCAAAGTCGTTACACGCGGAAGGGGTCATTGTGAGTCCAGAGGCTAGAAGTGTGACGTTGGAAGAGGCCGGCGGAGGCGAGCTGCCTATGCTCATGGCGAGCAATATGAGCTTTGTATTGCCCAGGTCAGAGAGACTAGGATACAAGCATGAGGAATTGGGGATCGTGGAATATCTGGAGGGGCAGAGGAACAACAAATGATGTGCAATTGCGTCGTGTCTATAGAGATAGCTATACTGTGGGAAAAGTGCCTTGTGTTGCTAAATTCAAGTGCGAGTGAATAACTCTGCCACGCTGACTGGACATGGTTCTGCGCGTGCAGCTTGTTGTATTTGAAGTTGCGGCTCGGACTTAATTAGGGGTTCTCAGCCTTGTCGCCAAGGTCAACAAGGCCGCAGCAAAAGTTAGGCAGCTTTGACAGCAACCAACCCGCGGAGTGTTGGTATACGGCTTGAGAAAATAATGTGTCCTCAAGCATGTGCTTTGATATGCAGGAATTTTCTTTGTTGGTTCATGACCGCTCAGCCGTGCCCGTCTCTGGAAATAGTCCACCTAAGAAGTCCCTCATAGCCTGTTGGACATCTTTCAGCTCCTGATCTTCTTCGGTCACGACATCATCGTTCAAGCACATCTGTCCGGGAAGCTCTCTCTTCTCTTTGATATAATGTCGGTGTAGGGTGCTATCTATCTGATCGGCATCTGTGACCATGACGAAAAGAGAATTGGAGGGGTCCACAACTATGTACTGGTACCGCATGATGGCTTTGACCACGATTTCCCGGTCAGTTTGCTGAGTCTCCGCGTGAGGCAGGAGCGGTCCAAGCCCCGCCTGAGTCTGTTGAAGGAGGTTCTTGAGCAGACAGTCGCCGCACTTGGGGTTTTGGCGTGACAGCCGGTCATGGATCACTGCTGCGTTGAATGTAGGATTGGGATTGGAAGTTTCCGAGTCATCAATGTCAAATCCTGGTGCGAGACATTCGGACACCGAGAATTGTGAGCAGTCTGCGTCTCTGATAGCATGAGGGCCATCTAGAGACGTCCAGAGGGAGTCGGTGTTCACAGCGGGAGCCTCAAGGCCGGCCTTGGTGAGCGCCGCAGGTACATGGTAGAAGATCTTGCGTCGGAAGGATACTTTATTCGCATTCTCTGCCCCGGCCGCCAGATCGGCCATGACCTGCTGTCTTTCCGACCAAGACAAAACTCCACCGCGGTTGACATCACTTCTCAACATGATGTAGCTCCAGATCAGAGCCTCGCGATGCCGCTCGATCAAGTAGTGATTGGTGACGTACCAGGAGTAAAGCTGAAACCCGGGTTCTCCTCGAAAACGCCGATACACGCTCCTCAACTCGGGCCCGGGGAACGCTTCGATCGCCTCTCGCATAACGCTGCGAGATAGAGAGTGCCCGAAGTGGCTTTGACCTTTGCGTTTTCTGGTACCAAAGCGCTTATTGAGCAGCCATGAAGTGTAGATAAGATAGGGCTACAACAGAGAACGTATATTAGCAGGATAATTAAAGAGTTACCAGGCTTTACATACCTTCTCCCCAAAACGCTTCGCATCCACGTCAGTAGGCTGTGAAACAGTGTTATAACCATTGGTCTTGAAACTAAGCACTGGCCCAAATAGAGGAGAATATATGTCGGCAGGTGCGTGCTTCTGTGTGAGCAGCATATCATCCGACATGGCAAAGAACTTAATTCACGTGTCAGTTTCAAATCCCAAGCTCAGTATTTATCAAGAACCGGACTTGCCTGGTCAATATCGGACTCAGTATTAAAAATTTGGTTCTCCATTGTCAGAGAATTAAAGGTAGGCAGGCAGGCCTTCTTGTCTGCTTCAAATAACTCCTCTTGGGCAATAACCTGGACAAGCTTGGACACTTTAGGGTCCTCAAGATCGAGCCATGTGGGTTGCTGTTTTCGAACCGGTGAATCATTATCGTAGATCGCATTCACTAAGACCTTGATGTTGTTCATGAAATGGCCGGCATTTTTTTCGATGCTGCGAAACGAATAGCGGAGCTCATCCCAGTCGCGGTATCGATTTACACCATGGGATTTGATCCATTCCCCCACGGGATCATTTAATACAGAGTTCTCTTCCCATGGTCTGATGGTCTTCTGAAACTCATCCTCCGAACCGTTGACCCCTATAGTGTCGTGTTAGTAAACCTCATCTCCTCAATATCTCGCCTCAAAAGCCAACTCACATAAATAGACAAAATCGACTTTGGGTTCTTTGAGTTTGCCCCATTTCTCATCATCATATTCACCTGTACTGACCCAGTCATCCTCCCAGCCATGCAAGACCTCGTTTTCGACAGCCTTTTCAAAGGGTACGAAGGTGAAGTCCGGAAGAGTTTCGGCCAGCGCTTCAAGGGACATGTGCTCCTCACTTTCATGTGACTCGGAAGAGCTGGCGTCATTCTCAGAAGGTTTGTCGCGCAAAGCGTCCTGCTCTGTGACAACATCTTTCTGTGTTTCCAAGGCTGTGGTCTTTTCCAAGGCATGAACGGTCTCCGTAATTGCCGTGCCGTTTGAAGATTCTGCTTCAAATGGAGGATTAAGTTCTTGTGTCTCGTCCTCGATGAACTGAGGCGCTTCTTGTGGTTCCGGGTTTTCACCAGCCCGAGGTGATTGCTCAACTGGCTCAACTGGAACAGCGGGATCGGGTTCGTTGTTCCAAGCTTGGCTGGGAGCGTCTGTTGATTTCAGGATAGGTGAATCTCCAGGCTTAAATTCGAAGTCATCAACTGAGGGCCTTTCTTCTCCCAAGGAGAACGCCCTTTTTCCAGACTGCTCTAAGAACCCAAGACTAGAGGATAGGCCTTTGCCGTGCAAGATGTGTCTGTTGTCGGCCCGTGAGGCTATTCAGGTGCTGACTCCGACAACCACTATAATTATGAGTAGAACATTTCGCCGTGCCCTCGCTTTTTTCCATTGCGGCTTCTGTAGAGTTTTTGAGAATGATCTGTCCCCCGTATACTTTCCGAAAGCTGGATTCATGGTTAGATCTCCTAGCCGAGGCATCATCCCTGAATAAATGTTATACCCGGGGATAACAATATTCTCTTCACACCGTCGTGAGTCTTTCCAACTCTTCGAGAAGAACGTACTTTAAGTCCAGACTCTTGGGACGCTCGTAAGGGTGATGGCGAGACTCTTTGCTCGTCTCATCGCAGTTGTATCATTTACCTTGCTATTGGATACTCTTAATCCCTTCCTGAAGCCTTAGGCAGCATTTATCAATCGGAGTTCCTCGCATGGGAAAGGCCCAGTACGATGCATGGAGTCGTAGATTCATTCTCAACAAATTCTGAGTGGAGCCTGTCTAGTTTTGGTGGCTATTGATGTAGAGTCCTAGAAAGTCCGCTCCTAAGATAGGCTCACGCAAGAACTATAGCCTGTAGGTGGTACATCAGACCCACTGTCTTCATCGAAAATCCCAAGAGGTACCCTTTCTTGACTTCAGAGCACACGACACGAGCTGAACACGCGACACCTGCTGAAATGGTATGTACGGCTTGAAACTTCTCCCAGGAACCTTTCATTAGTTCCACATCGATCCCACCGCCATTGACATATACGAGAAAGTCAATAGCAGACTATCATTTGAGGCTTGAAGACTCTGTCTCGTTGCCCATTCGGACACCAGTTTCCCCATTCAGTGTGGTACAGTGGATCACATTTGGGCGCTGGCAAAGAACACAACACTTTCCAGGGATCCAAGAGTCCTCAAAGACCCAATTTCATAGTACGCTCCACCTGATGGAAGATCGCAGTACCATTTCTGAACATTGGCAAACCGGAGCTGCAAGGTAAGCCCTAAATGAAGTGCCACCACAGTACGGACACGGCATGCACATGCTGTGGCTCCAGCTGGCAATCAAATGCAATCGTCGGTGAGAGGTCTTCCTAGTCCGGTCGTTCTTGCAAGGGCAGAAGGAAATTGCCGCCGAATCGAGAATCTCACGCTGCCTCGTGAGGATATCTAGCTTCGCGTTTCTCCCTTGACCAGAATCCCATTGTTCTTCTTTAGTTGTTCATTCTTTCCTAAGATTTTCCTCCCTCGTTTCGTGTCACCAATCAATATGAGGTTGAGTGCACTTAATAGTCCTCTGGGACTATCATGGATCTTGCTGCTGTCCCTCATTACAAGCACCATCGCCGTCGGTCCTCCTGTACCCCGGGGTTTTAGAGGGTTTAGGGATTTTGGCGCTTTGGGGCGCCGAGTGCGACCAAAGTATTTCCACACATTCAATTCTACTACACCAACCAGAGATACCAGAGTGCCAAGCCCAAATGGATAGCGTTGAAGGAAGGAGATGGCTACATGGTCACCGATGTGACTGAAGCTGCCCAGTTCTACTTACAGAGGGGCCAACTGATAACGAAGCAAGGGCAATTCGTCCATCTAGACGTTGCCAACGGTTATGCAATCTTCAAGTCGGAGAAGACTCCCCAGGACAAAGGTGTCTCGTGGAGAGTGGATGGCCAATACTTGGAAGTTTTTGGACCTCGCTTCAACGCATGCGGGAGACGGAAGGGATGCACCTGTCTTAGTCAAGATGAGAACATCTTTGTAGAGGCTTCGAGACACCCACCATTTCCATGCCGTCAATTCGTCATGAGGCCGAATCCTGGTATGATATTATTCAGCACAACATGCTTTCGGGTGTATCATGCTGACTTTTCACAGGCACAAGATCTCTTCCCTCACCGACTCGGCCAACGCCGGCTCAGCCAGTTTCTACGGCTCCATCAACTGCTGTCTCTCCCATTTCTACACAAAATACGACGCCTCCTCCAACGACCAGGACGTTCCCCAGTACTACTGGAGAGCCCACGCCAAACCCTTCCTACGATCCTGACCCAGAGCTACTTCCGCGCACTGTTGGTTCATACGTGGATGACATGGATGAGATTTGACGTACAATCTTGCAACTAAGGGTCTTGGGATTATCGATTGCCAACTGGTCGGAGTATGGCCGAAAATTAGTAATGTCTCAGATAGTATGCTGCAATCGGAGTTGACAATATTCTCCAGGAGGGTTGGGCGTTTCCGGACAAAGAAATAGACTGGTCGAGAACTAGACTTCGACAATGCAGTAATTGGGGATTCAAGTAGACTGTATCAGCCAGGAAGGGAAAGCAGGCACACGAACTTAACATGTGTTGATCTTTTGCCATCCAGAAACGGAAAGTAGTCAAGTGCTTTTCACATGTGTTGTTCTTTTGCCGTGCAGAAGAGGAAGGTGGTCAAGTGCTTTTCATGCACATGTGTTGTTGATTCCTTGCCGTGCCCACGTCGTAGGCGCCACGGTGGTGGCCGCCTGAGGCTGAGGTCTCCCAACATTTCGCACATAGACTTTGCACTTGAAGAGGGAAGCATGGAAAAACTTGTTTGCCATCCACTTCTTCTGCAAGCCCATCAATAGTGCGCATGGTAGTCCACGAGACATCAAAAGCTGAGGATTTGATAGATGGGAGCTGGTTAACTTTGGCTTCAAGGGGTTCATGATGGTCTAACCGCATTAGGTAGGGAAGAAACCTGGGATCCACCCCGCGGTACCAACGGGCTCCACCAAGTAATGGCCACCGTCTTTTGAACCGCTACCGGTTCTAAAGGTCACACCAATTCGCTGGTCCAGCACCAAGCAATAGGTGTGAATCTTCCCTCCCTCTCTCCTGCATACAATCTCGGCACAGTATTTGTCGCCTTTTCGGAGGTCCTCAACCCATGTAAGATCGACTTATCCCGGCCAATTCACCCAGGGCGATTTTATTATTGTCTTCCCGGGCCATTAGTCGGGCAACGAGCTTGAGTCCTTGCACCTCTCGATGAGATTCAAACACCCAACTGCCAGATCTTCCCAAGATGTATCGACGAGATTTTGAAAAGCAGGCTGCCCTGGATGTGCATTTGACCAGTAAGGAGCGTTTCCCCTCGGCGCCTGATCGAATACCCAAGGTGCTCCTTCGAATCACCCTCACCAGAGAAAATGTCATAAACTTTCTCTGTGTTATTCTCAACGACTGGTGCCGGTGTTGGACAGTCTATGAGTGCCGGCGACGACAGTCACCTCTACAGCATGGAGACTCCAAAGACGATGGCGTCTGGCCTTGCGGGAGAACCCGTCACGCCTGGATCGCTGATAGCAACAAATTTCTCCTTCTTCCCACCAACCACTCTCGCGGGATCTATGCATTCTATACAGAATCCTTTCGAAAACAATCTTCACATCGGCACCGCCCAGTCCTGGATGCCAGATACGATACCGTTGCCTTCTTCAGCCCCATCACCCTTTCCAGCTACACCACTGAGCACTTTTCCAACTTGAAATGTCCCTTTAATGAATGAACCAAATGTCTCGAGCGTACGCTAACTACCACGTGGGTGAATCGCCAAAGATTGTGTAATAGATAGACACCGAAGCGCTAGACGCGCAATAAACTGTACTTTAATCTAAGAATGCATTACGATGACCATCTCTGATTTATGGGGAATACTTCAGATGCGGACCTTGAGCTTTCCATATTACGGCAAAGAAGGAATCATGTCCTCGACTTCTCATCTTGGACGATGTTTCTATAGACGGAGGAAGGCGAAATGGTACCCAGTGATTGAAACATCTATCGCTTTGGCATGACAATCCAGTTGTGATCAGAAGGCAGGCTTTCATTCTTCGAATTGTATGTTCCACAAGTTCTCACAAAACGACTTGACCCTGGCGACTGTCATCTGTGCGTTTGTTCTTTTGGTGCCTCTCTGGGCCTGGCTCCCTAGTTGAATCCAGGATCATCCAAGATCCTCAATGGTCGCGCGAGTGAGGATTATGTCCCCTCTTTAGTTTCTTCACATACACCTCCCCGTGGTTCCAACACTCGCCTTCAAAAGGGAGTTTGGACGCTGTGAGAACCAGCTGTGGCTACGGACCAGACATGGTATGCGGATATTCTCGACACTTCCTGCTCTCAAGACGCCTCATCACACAACCTAGCATGATAGTACTCCATGGCTGGTGCTAATTTTCCTCGAGGATCTTCCGGGGCCGTGGTTCGTCGAGACTCGCTGCGGCTCCCTCAGTCTCCTGAAAATCCAGAAATCCGGCAAAAGAATTCACTGACCCTTTCCCTTCCGGTGAACATCGCCCATTCCATTAACCGAGAATCGGTATTTTCGATCAAACCCTTCGGCGCTTCCGTCCCTGATTTGCGGGTACCAAATTTCACGTCTGCGACATTATGTTCACACTTCCATAAAACCCTTTTGCATCGCCCCGTGCCCAACATATCCAACGTCTCCCGGGCCACGCCGTATCCTCGAGCTCGGTAGCCTCCGCTGTAGAACAGGAGTTGAGCATGACCACCGACTCCAGGCGTTAAGACTGACGTGCGGTGTTCACCAAGATCCAACCCGAAAAGAATGGACAAACGTCAAAAGGTGTTGGATTGAAGGTCCGAATAAAGAAAGTGAAACTCTACCGTGCAGGCGAGTAGAAGATCGGCCCGCTGGAAACTCAGCTCCAAGTCACTATATACAGCTATATGGAACTGTCTACCTGGTGTCGAGGATTCAATTCTATTATAGTACATAGGTAAAGAAGGCAATCACAGGTGCAGCGCATACTGGGCAACCAAATCTTTATTGTCCACACACCTCCATGAGGACTCTCAGACCTACAGTCAAGCAAGGCAGAAGGAGACGATGAGAATCAATCACTTGGATTGACGTCGTTCGTTAGAGTAGGTAGATCTAGAATACACCACCTTCAACTTCATCTCCAATATCTCACAACTGTACAGGCAAGCTTGTATCTCTCCAAACGTTGACCCGTCATTTTCACTGTTTGCCAGGCTCCAAGATCGCCCCCAAATCCCTGGGATAGATCCTTTAGATCAGTATCATTGCTTAGTACCAGATCGTCTTCTCTTTTCTTTTAGGACTGTTTTCAGTAACCCTGCAGCCTCCTTCCTACGCTGTGCTTGTGCCCTCCAACGCTCCTTGTCTTCGTTTGAGATTAATGATAGGCCGCCATTCTGGCTTGCTCGGAAGTTTCTAGTTGACCGAGTACTGCCGCTGAATGCCGATCCGGGAGTGTGATAGACAGTGCCGGTACTGCCCGGAGTGGAAGCACCATTCACTGATCGTCGACCATGCACTGGGGTAGCAGGATTCTTGACTGCCTCTCCGGTGCTGATCGTCGAGGACGCTAGTCCAAGATCCAATTTCTTCAATTGGGATTCGAGCACATCGATATCCGCACTCTTTTGTTCAGCCATTGACATCATCTTGCCAACTGTCTTCGCCACAGCTTCCACGGTGGGCTTCTTCTGTGAAGATGCTCTCCCCAACATACTATTTCGCCTGCTGACTGTCTCCGTGGGCGTTGCTTGAGCAATCTTCGCTCTCAATACAGAGATGCAATCTTCAACCTGTACTAGTTTGGTCTGCACAGCGGTGAATGCTTTGCGAAGATCATGTTGGAGAGTGGCTTGTTCAGCGGACAGAGGCGCAGTGATTCCATGTTCGGAGGACGAAAGAGCGTGAATAGTCTTCCTGATCGAGGTTAGTTTTGTCCGCAACTCGAACAGATCCCTCCCGATAAGGTTCTGGCACTGTTGAACTTTGCCATTGAAATCGTCGACCTGGCTTTCAGAAAGCAGTTGTGCGAGGACGGTCTGTCCTTCGTGAAGTCGTGAGATGTCGGTCAAAAACCACTCATCATTGAGAGCATCCATGGGAGTTTCAGATTGCAACACAGCAGGCCAAGATTTGTTTGTTGCTTCGGGTTGTTGATATTTCAGAAAGGCGGAGAGTGATCGATGATTTATGCCCAAAGTGAAAACCATTGAATTGATATCAGAGTAGAGTCGTTCGATCTGTGCAGGAATGCCAGTCTTGGACGTCTCTTCCGACGGTTTGGGCTGATAAGTGATGAAATCGTCGAGGTTCGAGCTAGGTGAGATTGGTCGCTCAAGTTCCTCTCTCAACCTCTCATCTTCATCGTCCTCGAGTTGCTGGAGCTGTTCTGCCTCTGCCTGCGCTTTCTGACGAGCGATGGCTTCGCGGCGTGCTTGCTCTTTTGCTGCTTCCTCCTCTCTTGTCTTGGCCGCCTGGGCAGCAAGAGTGGACTGCTGATATGCGGCCTTACGTTGGTCAACGATAGACCTAGGATGCGCAGGTGCACTGACAGACCGCGAAGACTCTGCCCTGAGCTTCTCGCTAGGGGGAAGATGTCTTACTGGGCTGGGTGACCGAGGACTCTCTTGAGGCTTCGGAGGAGCAAAGATGGGTCCAGTGCCGACCTCGCCAAAAAGTGGTCGACTTGATGTTTGTGGCAAAGCTTTGGATGTTACCTTGGTAAACAAACCGCCTGTCGGGCTTGTCTCTAAACTGCCACCGCCACTCTTGAACGAACTTTCCGGAGAAGTCTGCAACTGTTCGTGTTGCTCTTCTGTCATCTCCTCTCCGGGACTAAGCTCGCCCGTAACTTCTTCGCCACTACCTTCAAAGTCAGAGCTGAAGTCATCGTCACTGTCCTCATCGCCCTCATCACTTGGCAGCTCCGGTTGATCCTCATCACTTTGACCAGCTTTTGGTACAGGCAGAAAATCAGGGGGCAATGGTGCCTCATCAGGAGAGCCTTTGGAGACGTTTGAGGAGGCCGAGGTATCTCCGGAAGCATAACGAGGTTTGCTCACCGGATCTGGGGGAAGCGGGGCCTCTGGAATATTCTCCATATCGACGGATTCCTCGTCGCTTGGAGGTTCTTCTTTGATCCGGGGTGCTTCCTCCTTTTGCTCAAAAGTCTTCATCGGTTGACTCTTTTGGACAGCAGCAGGTGTCTCGTTCGTTGTTGTGGTCGTCCCAAACAATGTCTTGTGAACGGCCGGTGTTTCCTTCGGGGTCGTAGAGGAGTTGAGTCCGAATGACCACCCTGGTGTAGATGTAGGGGCTTGCGGAGTTGTGGAGTCTCTGGAAGGTTGACCGAATAGGTTGGAAAGCGGCGGAGCAGGCGTTGCTTTCGACTGACTCAGGGTGGAAGGGGGTGTCACCAGCGTCTGTGATAGTGCAGGTCCCGGCTGCGCGGTTACACTGCGACTCGGTGCTTTCTCTGACCCAGCTTCACTAACCGCACTTTGTTCATCCATCTCAGCCTCTTGGTCATGCGTCGGTGACAGAGCATTGGTAGGTTCACCCAACATATCATCCAAGGCCGTACCGAAGCCGAATCCGCTTGATTCCTTAGGCTTGGGAAAATCATCTGCGGCTGTACCATCTCCTTGGAATGATGACTGTAGCTTGAAAGCACCAGCATTGCCGAACGAGCCAAGCCCTTCTGCTGGTTTTGTTAATCCAAACGGCGAAGAAGTCGACTGATTTGAACTGAATGCAGTCTTAGTTGACGATTCGAACGTTTGGTTGCCACTTGTGGCCGTAAATGGGCTGGGAGATGAACCGGCAAAAGATCCTATGCCTGTCTTCGAGGAAAATGGACTTTGGGTGCTCTTGTTCGCGTTGCCTCCGGCAAAGGATGCAAAACCACTGCCTTTGGAGAAGGAAGCGAAGCCAGAGCTACTTGACGCTCCACCTGCACTGGCGAAAGGACTCGAAACTGAAGGAGCCCCAATTGACGATGGCTGGCCAAAAGCAGAACCTGCACTCATACTAGAAGATTGGCCAAATGCTGGTTGTCGAGCCCCTATTGCGCTGGCTGAGCCGAAAGCCGGGACGGCGCCAGAGCCGAGAGGAGTAGCAGCGCCAAATGCTGAGTTTCCAGAAGGGCCGGATGTCGTGGGGCCTCCGAACCCGGTGGTGGCCCACGACGGCTTGTTGGCAGCGATTGGTGAAGAGGTACCGAACGGTTTCGGTGATGCAGCGCCAAACCCATTCTGAAGAGATGTGGCCCCAAGGCTGCTGGTTTCTGTCTTTGTGAGCGGACTGGGATTGCCAAGGTGGCCGAAAGTGCCCGTAGCCCGCGAAGCCGTGGACGAAGCTTCCGATACTGTTTCACCAGATGTCCCTCTGATAGCTTGCACGTTAGCGAAGCCTGAGAATGTGGTCTGCTGGCGGACTGAGTCGTTGTAGATAATCCACCATGACATCAGTAAGCCTTCGTTGTTCAGAACGACGAGACTAGGGACAGGTCCAGCGGTCTCAAGAATTTCTGCATCAGCTGGAATTGGGTTTGGGACTTTCTCAGAGCTCGATAGATCCACAGCCATGCCAACCGGAGAAGTATCTTCCATGCCAGCTGATAACGGAAGTTGCGCCCGTCGGGTGTCATCTTCGATGGTTGTAAATGTGAAGGCAGAGGTAACAGGATCTTCTTGTGACAGAGGTTTGTCAGACCTGGAAAGTAGACCAACATCGGTAGATGTGCTGCTTGCAACTATCAGGAGGTCCTCAAGGTGCGGAGGGAACTTTCGTAGCCTTGCAATCAAGTGTGATGTCGGCAAGCGAGGTAACCCAAACGGTGGAAGCACCTCTGGTAGCTTCTGGAAGGTGTATTTTGAGGTCTTAGATTCCCGGTTAACAATGTAATACTCAGATGGCTGGATACCGTCGCTTGTGTCATTAGGCGTATAGGTGATGAAAAATGTGTCGTTTTCAAGCCACGAAATGCCGGAGATGTGGACATCTGCTGGGATGGACGCAGACTTCGGTATTTGAGCCACGACGGTCCCGTCTGGCTTCATCTGCAAGGCCGTGCCATCTGCCCTTCCAGTGACCAGCTGCTTGCCTCGATTGCTCCACGACAAACAGCTGCAGCCGGTGTTTAGGACTGGGCCATTGCTTCCCGATACCAGAGAACCAGCCTTGAGGTCCAGGAGCAGGAGATCACCGTTTTTCAGAATGAGAGCAAACAACTCGGCATGCTCTGTAACAGGATTCGGCACCAATGCGCGGAGACTCTGGCCATTGGTCGAGACTTGCACAGCAGGATTGAGCGCACCCTTGGTTATGCTGTCGACTTGGAACGCTACGACAGACCCCTCTGGCTCGCTGGACGCTACCAATACACTATCATCAGACGAGAAAGCGATGTGGGAGACGCGAGATTGAGGAATCGTGAAATCCGGTTGGATAGATCGTATTGTCCCGTCTTTTTCATCTGGAGGGGACTGAAAAGCATCTCGTACTTTATCAGTGTTGTAGAGATATAAAGCATCAGGGCCAGCAGCTGCTAGAAGCTTCTTGCTAGAAGCAATGCTGAGCAAAGATGATGACGGCGTAGGTAGGGCGTCTGATGGCCATGCTGTCGGTAGAAGGCGTACTTTGGCTTCTCCGTTCAGAGCCGCAAATCCCAACTCATTCGTCTGGATCTCTTTTAGGTCTGGGCCATCGTGCACTGAGACACCGCCACCACTATTTGTGCCAAAGGTCGACGGAGAGGACGCCGCATTTGCAAAGCTGAACGCCATTCTCAACTTAGGGAGCTCCGCGGAGAGCGATCGTTTTGCGCAAAGAGGTGAACTTGGGGACGAGACATGCGGAGTTGGTGGTTGCCGGGAGGGTGGTGAAAAGTTAAATGAGTGCCGTGGGAGTACCGTAGGCCTCCAGAAGGAAGGAGAGCGCTTGCGGTCAGCAATCTTGAAGCCTGATCATGTAGATTCGGAAATGGGAGGGGGAAATTGTATGCCAGGCAGATCAATGCGTTGACAACATCCACGAATTCTACCTGCGCTTTAAACTTCCAGTACAGAGTCGCGCTTCACTAGCCTGGCTCCAGGCGCGTCTCGACGCCAAGAGTGCTCCGGAGTATCTACTACGGCGGAGTACTCAGCCACACTTGTATTCGGTGTGTCCACCGCCTACCTAAGGTATGTAGGCACATAGGTACCTAGTGAAAACCATCAAACAACCCGTACGACGTCCATCACCCTCTGACTGAAATGTCATGACTATCATTCTTTCATCCTCATCTAGATGTCGTTATGGAAAGCCGGAGGCTTCTGCCAAGAACTATTCCTCCATCTGATGCCATAGAATCGAAGCAGAATCATAGGGATTAGAAAGACGATATTCAGCAGGGCGAACGTCAGCCATGCATATTGATACCCAACCTTTTCACCAAAAGGGATCCTGGTAAACAAAAGGGTCAGCTTCTGACGTTCTGGCTGAAAGCTGCAGTGGATTTCTTACGCATAAAAGGAAATCGTCATCGAAAAGACATTTCGAAACACGTTGAGAATGCTTGATATCTCGGAGCTTTGCGGTTTGTAACACTGTGAAAACCATCAGTTCACAAGATACAGGACGTAGAAGCGCTGATACATACATCGGTACAGTATGAATAGGTGACGGTTGTTGCAATCTGCAGGCCAAAGTTCGCAATTCCCATGCCAAATGCGGCTCCTACCCAGGATACCGTTCTATAGTGAGACAGACAGACACCGTCGATGATAATTCCGATTGGACACAGAACAGCGAGAACGACGGCATTGATGCGTGGCTCTGGTTCTCGTCTGCCTCCATGCGATCTTGCGTATCGATACACCATCCAATCCGTGAGCCACCCTGCGCTCATTTCACCAAGGAGGCACCCGATGAGCAGCGGTATACTGAGCATCATTCCAGTCTGCGCGACATCGAAATGATAGAACTTTCGGAAGAGGCTCGATCCTGTCGCGGCAAACATTACTGAACCGAAGCCAAATGCTGTCATGTAATAAAGGCCGGGGATGACGATTGAAAGGTATTTCAACATATAAAAGGGCCTTAGAAAGTCAATAGGCCGAAGTCTGCGCTCTTGGGATCCGGATAGTCTGAACAGAAGTAGATCTCTAAAAGAGCGCTCTCGATGACCGGCGACGGTCCGGCGGAAGAACAGGGTTTCTGGCAGGCAAAACAGGGTAAACACCATTGTGCCCAGTTGAATATAGCCCTTCACATGATTAGATGAAGTGGAGATATATTCTAGAAAACTCACAGGAATGAGGAAAGCCCACCTCCAGCCAAGGTTCTGAGCGATAAAGCCGCCAAACAACGAAGCTGCGTGGGGTCCATTGGTGAGAAAGAATGTGAAAATGCCCATGTAAAATCCGCGTTCATGAAGAAAGTACATGTCGCAGATCGTTGCTGCACCGATGGCTGTAGGGGAGCCAGCACCGATGCCATTGAACACGCGTGTCGCAATAATGCCCGACCACGTGTTGCAATACCCGGCTGCGATGTTGGTCACAGCAGCAAGGAGATTTCCGCAAATATAAACCGGCCGTCTACCGTACACATTGGACAGCGGCACCGTGAGCAATGGCCCTATTCCTGCAAAGACAATGTATACAGTGAGCTCGTAGGAGGCTTCGACCACAGTGATGTCGAATTGCTTGCTCAATGGGACGAACGCAGGATTGACGATAGCTCCAGCCATGGGCCCTAGGAAAGAAAGCCAACTGACTTGTAGCAGGACGAATAATTTGAGCAGTGGTGACCAGTTCTGCATATCGTCAGCGTACTGATCGGGTCGAGATTGCTTCAGCACGTTGTGCGGTCGGTATTTGACCTACCAGAGGGTCGTCTTTGCGCTGTGTTGGCTGAGGTACAAGAGGTAGACCGTGCTTGTCCAATCGAGGGGCGAGTGCTGGCGCATCTTCTACCTCGACTTGTCGAGACTCTTCGACCTTGTCACTGGTGTGAGGTGGCACACCCTGGTACTTATCCATCTGAGCTACTTCAGCCTTTCCCTGGTACAATTTCATTTTCTGTGCAGTCCCCAGTATACACAAGGGAACAAAGATGGCAATGAGCTGGAAGCGGCATCTTTAGGGAGCAGCATTGGTCTCTGCTTGGCCACCGTGGAGATTGGAGGTGCGAAGTGCTCCAAAGGCAGGAGACGACCTCTGGAGACCTAGGACCTTCACAGCTGCCTATACAAGTAATGATCTTGTAGATCCTATACATCGGTAGTTGTGTTAAGCCTGGTGAGCCTCATCCATAACCCCTACGCTCTTGGGGTATGCTGCGGGGACGGAGTATGCCCCTCGACTGTCGTCTATTGTGCTTCCACATTGTAACCGAAACTTCGGCATTTGTGATTTCGGAAAGGACAGACTGGAAGTAGACTGTGTGGGGAGTCATGCTAGTTCAAAAGAGCCAGATGGTACTTTGCAGAAAGAGAAATCATCTCGCGAAGATTGTTTTGGTGTTCATGACTTACCACACTGAGCGTCATAGTGCTATCTTTCTACTCGTACAAGCTCGTGTCCAACCACTTGGCATATCTTGTCTGATACAAGGCGGGGGTGTAGCCGAAGCTAGGCGACTCGACAATGCCGGCATGCGCCTACCGTCCCCCTATCCAAGTTGCGGTGATAGGTGGAGGTATTGGAGGGCTCTGCACTGCATTGTCCCTTAACTACCATTGCGGCAACGCACTTGAGATTGACATCTATGAGCAGGCACCACAGTACAAAGAAATTGGTGCTGGAGTTGGTATTGGAGTGAACGCCGCGAAGTTGCTTCACAAAATAGGCCTTGGTGAGAGGGTGACAAAAATAGCTGGGAAACGCAGCGGCATTTGGATCACCTTTCGAAAATTTGACGACGGAAGTGATGTCGTCACGGTACCATCTGTTGATACTGATCAGATCAAGCAGCTGCCAGTGCATCGGGCAGAGTTTCTTGACTTGTTGGTGGATACTGTCAAAGAGAGGAATGCGGCCACTCTCCATACTAACAAGCGGTGTCGAAGGCTTACGGTATGCCGAGGAATAAATTTGCGCTTAGCCATTCAGGCTGACTGTGCTGCAGGAGGAAGGTGATCATGTCCATATCGAATTTGAGAATGGAACGACTGCCAAGGCGAATTTGGTCATTGGGTGTGACGGCATACACTCAGCCGTGCGAGGTCAGTTCACAAGCGACAACCCTGAGTACAGTGGAAGGATCGCATATCGTGGACTTGTGCCGATCTCTGAAATTGAGCACTGGTGGGGTTTCGAGACATATTCGGTAACATGGCTGGGGAAAAATAGGCACTTCCTGTGCTTTCCCATCTCACAGAACAAGACACTGAATATTGTTGCATTTGTAGCGGAGAAGGAAGAGAATTTGGGCGACTTGAAGGAAAGTTGGACGGCGATTGGGAAAAAGGCAGAAGTTCTGGAGGCGTTCAAAGAGTTCGAGGGAAAGGTCCAGAGACTGATTCAGCTGATGCCTGATCAACCGTCCAAATGGCTAATAAATGACCGGAAACCGCTGGATCAATGGGTGTATCTTGGTGGCAAGGTCATCCTGCTAGGCGATGCTGCTCATGCTATGACTCCACATCAAGGCGAGTGAAATTTCCGCTCCTGCGTATGCTATACTGACTTGTGCTGAAGGCGCAGGTGCAGGTCAAGCAATTGAGGATGGGTATATCCTCGGCCGTGCGCTTCAAGAGTACCTCCAAGCTTCGTCGTCCGTCCAAGAGAACTCTCTTCAGCCCTGGGCGTCCTTATATCAGGAGGTACGGCTTCCTCGGGCCCAAAAGGTCCAGCGCACATCGCGAGATGCAGTCGAAGTGTACCAGGCACAAGCAGACATTATGAAGGACCTGCCTTTCGACCAATGTGTGCCGGAGATTCATAAGCGGGTCATTAATAGAATGAAATGGGTCTGGACAGACGACATTGACGCGGAGTATGAACAAGCAAAGCGAAACCGAAACGATTTGAAGTAGTGCACCAGCTCGAGCGTAGACTTGGATCGGTGGCTGAGACTAGTGTGTCCGGTATTCATACGATGAACGGTGTGTACAAACTCCGTATTCAAGAAGTGCTAGTAATACGAATGCGAATACGAATGCGAGGTTCGACACGGCGTGACGCGCGGTGTCACGTGACTGCAATTTCGCTTGGCGTAAATTTGCCTGGATTTGACAAATCTCAAGGGCAGCGGCTTCCCCAGCTTTGTTACTAGCGACTAGAAACTTCACCCAATTCCCTTCGACCCTTTGATCGTCGCGAAGGACATGATCATCAACTGCAACTTCCCACGTCTCTAGCTTGCCATTTTCTCTCCTCTTTTCGCCCACTGTCCCTCCTAATCATATCTACACCACTTCAACCCTGCCTCACCACCCTTCATCCCTTTCATCACCCTCGCTGTACCTTTCTCGAGTTCATGCTGGCTGCTTTCCACGCCTTCTCCATTTTCTTCACCACCCGCTTGTCTTGTTCCTCGTTTTGAATCGGAATCAAACGAAGGCCACTCGAGTTAAGTACAGAAGCACTCTCCAACTGCTGGGAAGGAAAACGGAGATCGGGATCACCTTGAAGGCGTTGTTTTGACCAACTTGACCTCTGCCCACCACCGCACTCATTCTCCTACGAGAAAACCTCACACCTTCGCCCACCATCTTACCTACCTCCCTTCCTGCATCTGCGGAATCTTGAGAGCATAGCGTCTTTCTCATCCTCAATCAATCCTAGCACGAAGCTCCTGAACACAACCCTTCTCAAGTCTCTGTCGCTCAGCTTTGGCACCCTTCACCCTCTGCACCCGCACGCAAGTTTTCTTTCGACATCCTCGGTGTACATAAAATCATACTATCAGGAAGAAAAAATAATAAGGATTCTGAACCAATCTCGGTCCTCTTGGGTGATATTCTAAAGTCACAACATGTCTGCATCACCCACAACCGCAATGTCCTCAGCAAAGCGACCTTTGGAAGACCCTTCCTCCCCATCCGCCCCAACTGACCTCCCAGAAGCAAAGCGACCAGCCCTTGACAAAGTTGTCCGAGAAGATGCTACCCCAGCAGGAATCGAGCCTACAGATGATGCTCTTGTCGAAGAACCAACCCCCAAGGAACATCAAGGACTCCCCACACCGGCGACCAACGGAGACGCCGACACGCATGCAGAGGCGCCCGCTTCTTCGGAGACGAATGGAGCTGCAACCTTGCCGCCCGCAGATACTTTGCCCCTCCCACCGCCAACATCCCAGATTGATCTTCCATCCCAAGCATCAACAACAGCAACGCAAGACGAGTCTCAGTGGATCCATATTCGTTCGGTCATTTCCAGTGCCGAAGCCGCTACTTGCATTGGTAAAGGGGGTGAAAACGTAACACAAATTCGAAAGCTTTCTGGTGCTAAATGCACAGTAAGCGACTACTCTCGTGGTGCCGTGGAACGCATCTTGACAGTCAGTGGAGCTCAAGACGCAGTTGCCAAGGTATGTACCCTTTTGATCTTGTATTTATCTGCCGGTATCTAACCTCGTGCAGGCCTTTGGACTCATCATTCGTACTCTCAACAACGAACCTCTTGAGGCTCCTTCCACTGCACAGTCGAAGACTTACCCTCTACGGCTTTTGATCCCTCATATACTTATCGGGTCGATCATTGGAAAGTCGGGGGTGCGGATTCGTGAAATTCAAGAAGCATCGGGTGCTCGTCTGAATGCGTCTGATTCATGCTTGCCACTTTCTACTGAACGTTCTCTGGTGGTGTTGGGCGTGGCAGATGCTGTGCATATCGCGACATACTATGTCGCCGTGACTCTCGTTGAGCAGCTGACTGAACGCTTTGGTGGCCCTGCCGCCTCTGCATATGCTACCAGAAGTGGTGGCCCCGCCGGTGTCGTGCCCGGGGGAATGCAAGTGGTTCCATACGTGCCACAACCTGCTGGCGGTCAGTACGGCCATCCAGACATGTATAAACGCCACAACACTCATCCCCCTCAGCGTGTGCCCCCACAACCTTATGGTGCTCCTCAGATGCATGTTCCTCCCCAGCAACCGTTTTCTGCGCAGGCAACACCATATGCAGCCACACCTCGAACACCTAGTTATGGAGGTATGCCTCAACAGCCCGCGCCATATGGACACATGCCGCCTCAGCCAGCTCCACATGGCCAACCCGCACAACCAGCTCATGCAATGCCTGGACAGCCCATTACACAACAGATTTTCATCCCCAACGACATGGTCGGAGCTATCATCGGCAAGGGTGGCGCCAAGATCAACGAGATCCGACACCTTAGTGGAAGCGTGATCAAGATTAACGAACCGCAGGACAACAGCAATGAGCGCTTGGTCACTATTACTGGCACACAGGAGTGCAACCAAATGGCCTTGTACATGCTTTATTCCCGGCTAGGTGAGTCCCCTGCACCCGCCACTATTAAGTGCCCTACTGACAACCATGACAGAAAGCGAGAAGCATCGTATCTAATGGCTCCCTGGTGATTCCCCATGTTAACAGTTCATCTCCGCATTTGGACTTTCAAGTTGAGAAGGACGGCCCAACAAGATTGATTGAAGGTTCGCTTTTCGGTCTCCCGCAGACATGCAGCCATGCAGACATGCAGCCATGCAGCCATGCAGCCTTGCAGGGAATCGTCCGTAGAGAATCGCCAGCAAGTTGAACCAAATCTGTAACTAGACTCGAGTGAGTCAATTCATATCTTGTATGTGTATGACGGTTGACTAGGGTGCGACCCTGAAACGCCTTTGTTTTACGGAGCATATCTTCCGGGGTTTTGTCCGTGCCCTCTATGAGTCTCGCGTCGATTCTCTCGAAATTGCAGGAGTCGTGAATTGTAAAAAGCCGATTAAGTTGCGGGGAACGTGTTATTGTCCACGGCACCACATTCTTGATCGGCTCCATCAAAAACTGGAGTTTTAGTGTTCGAGATTTGTTAGTGTCAAATTTGATCCAGAGCTTTTCCCGACCCGAAATCCTGATCAATCATGACCCCTCGTCTAGACCTCGTGCACCTGAGGCTTTTGTCTTTCCCATAAGCCCAGTTCTCAGAGATCTCAGACCGCTACAGTATCACATCGACATGGCCTCTTCTCCCCAGCTTCACTATGCCCCTCCCTTCCGGGCCGAACATATGGGCTCGCTCCTCCGACCCCAAGAGCTGCTGGATGTCCGTGCCAAGACCCGCGACGAGGGCATCTCAGCAGAGGCAGCTGGCTTGCCTGCTATCGAGAAGGAGTCCATCGGCAAGATCGTCAAGACGCAATTGGATCTCGGATTCAAGGCCGTCACCAGCGGCGAGTACAACCGCACCCGATTCTGGGGTTTGTTTTGGGACGAGCTGGAGGGCACGACGAGATTACAGGATGCCCACGCCGACTTGTTCCGACTGTACCACCCTGACGTTGTGAGTTTGATTGAAAAGGACCGCAAAGTCATGCCCGGAGACAGCGTAATTGCCGGGTCCAAGATTCGGTATCCTGCCAACGGAACCAAGAGCAACTTGGCCGAATTGAAGCAAGTTCAGGCTTTTGTACCCAGGGAGGACTGGGGGAACATCAAGTTGACTGTGATTACACCTGCTGTGAGTGCCGATGCCTGTTCCCTGAACTAGAAGCAAGGGTTAAAGTATTGTTTGAACTTGAGCGTGGAGGGGGAGAGAGAGAGAGTGAGACAGAGACGAGCGAACAAAAAATGACAAGACTGACCATTGACCATGTCACTTTCTTTTCTGTCCATTAGTGGTTCCACATGCGATACAAGCAGGGCAAGGCCTATACCCCTGAAGCCTACTCCAACGACGCCGAGTACTTTGCCGACGTTGCAAAGGCGTACAAGGCCGAACTGCAACTTTTGTATGATGCGGGATTGAGAAACGTCCAATTTGACGACCCGGGTCTGGCCTGTAAGTTACCTGCCCCCCACCCCCTGCAGACCCAGACGCAGTCCTAGGATTTGCCGTATATAGTAAGGTCTCCCTCGTTGCTAACGACCGTTTCTTTTTTTGTTCTTCTTCTTGCAAAGACTTCTGCTCCAACGCCTTCCGCAAGGGCTGGGAAGAAGACAAGGACAACATCGGCACGGTGGACGAGCTCCTGGACGCCTACATCAAGCTGTACAACGACTCGATCTCGGGGCTGCCCGCGGACCTGCACACGGGCGTGCACCTGTGCCGGGGCAACTTCATCGGCGGGCGCCACTTCGCCGAGGGCGCGTACGACATCATCGCCAAGAAGCTGTTTGAGAACCTCGACGTCAACACCTTCTACCTGGAATACGACACTGAGCGGGCCGGCGGGTTCGAGCCGCTCGCGTTCCTGCCCACGAACAAGAACGTCATCGTCGGGTGCATCAGCACGAAACTGCGCGAGCTGGAGGACAAGGAAGCCACGAAGCAGAAGATCTACAAGGCCGCAGAATTCGTCGCCCAGGGGTCCGGGCAGACCCGCGAAGAGGCCCTCAAGAGGATCGGGATCAGTCCACAGTGCGGCTTCAGCACCCATGAGACCGGGTATCCTCTGTCAGACGACGATCAGACTGCCAAGTTGGCTTTGGTCAGGAAGGTCGCTGACGAGATTTGGGGTGAGCCGTGAGAGAATACGAAAGCGTCCACGACCACGTGAAGCTGGAAGTGTTGCGGTGGGTTGTGAGGAGTGTGAGGTGTGAGATATGGGTAGTGAACAAATGGGGTATGGGAGATGAGAAATGTGAGATGGGGACGGTTCCCCCTTTTTAGGATGGTGAAAAGCTCCCAAAATATATGAATGCGCAGAGTACACCAAAATCAAGCAATGGCGAAACAAAACGAGACGAGATGACATCGGGTTAGTGACTTTTGCAGGAAAATTTTTCAATGGGAGTGAGGGAGTGTATCTATCCTATCTACCTACCTGACCTATGCTCAAGGTGTGTTACTTTGCCTCGGGTATACATCTACATTTTTGTCACCAGTGCCTTTTCAACAAAAAGCTGGAATGGACAAGAAGGCAAAGAAAGGGAGGAGGAGGGGGGCAGAGAGAGAGAGAGAGTATCGATGATGGCGGTGCTGAAGAGCATTGACCTGAAGATACCCTATATTTCATGGGTACTGTTCTGAGTGGATTCAACATGATAACCCTACATGACGCACCATGAGTCTAGGTAGCGAGAGAGAAGAAACCAAGAGAACTAGGATCAATCTATCTTTTGCGTGAGGTGGATAAGTCGGGTTTGTGGCTGATGCGAATATGCATATGGTGCAAAACAGCTAGGTCAATAGCCCTGAGCCTGACCCCCTCGGCTTCCTCTTTCCCTTCTTGTGAAATCGTGTCTGACCGCCCGAAATCAAATTGCACTTTGCGGTGTTCCTTCTCCGACGACGATGATAGTCACCGTGGTCGTTCCAGCTCGTTACGAATCCCACATATCAAATTACTGATTCCTTGAGTGCATCATCCCAGAACCGGTTCTTTGAACACGGTCAAGTCAAGGTATTCTTCCCGTGCTAGCAATCTCATGATAGTCTTCCTCATTGTAACTCCCCTTTTTTATATCGTGAATCACCTTCTCGATCAGTCTCTCGAGTTCCTCTTGCCTCGGGATGCTCTTGTAGGCCGGCCACCAGACGTGGCAGAACGATGAGACCCACGCGAGATCCTGACGCAGAGTTGGCGGCAATTCATCATATTTTCCGCCGTCCCGTTCGACTCTGTAGTCAAACCTTTTATGTAGTTCCTCTGGCGTTTCAGCATCGGAATCTCTTCCATATTTTAGCGAGTAAGTACGAGTAAGCTTCTCGAAGGCAGCGCCTTGTGGAAGAGTGAGGCCTGTTTCGTTTTTGAAGTAATATCTTAACGAGAGCCAATAATTATGCACCATTTCGCGAGGCGACTTAGTTCGACGAGTTCGGCGTGTCTTCAAGGTCGCCTTAGGTGACGATGTTGGGTTGGTGGCCTTGGTACTCGTCGATTGCGGAGAGTTGTGCTTGTATTTGGTAGCGTCGCTTGATGTCTCAAGTGTACATTTGTGACTTGGGTGAGTACGTGCCGGTCGCGAAGAGTCTAATGACCCTGTAGTCTCGGGAGATGTGGCATTTCCGTGAGAAATGTCTGGTGAGTGAGAGGTCACTGGAGTTGAGAAGACTATTTTTCTGGGCTGTGGAGATGAGGTGACATTGACAAAATGGTATGACTCCCTGACAGTGGGAGTGGTAGGTCTGAAGGGGAGCGGCGCCGCGGATGTGGTGCTGGGTCCAATAATGGTTGTTGCTGGAGCTGTTTTCACCTTAGGTATGTGCCATGTGGGCGAGGGAATCTGCTATGCTTACCATCAGTCGTAACTACAGCAGTGTTGCCGGTTATTTCTTGCTCGGTGATATGCTGAGTGCCAGGATTTATTTGTTGAGTTAGCATAGCCACTTTGGGAGGCTCCTCATTCTTGATCTCATGCTTGACACGAACTTTTCGTGCCGCAGGATCTTCATCACTGTCGATGGTCAAGTCAATGTGCGTCCGATGGAGCCTGGTTCTCCGACGTCGTTTCAGCTCCAACCGTCTTTTGTCAAGGTCAACTTGGCGTTGTTCAAGAGCTATCTCGCCTCCTCGTGTTCAAGTTGGATCTCCTCATCCATCATTCTGCGACGACGGAATGAAGCAGGCGCAACGGGTGAGGATAATGTTGAAAACCTCTTCTTAATCTTTAGATTGATAGAAATAACAAAAATATGAGAGGGGCTGCGAGGATATGATCGCAAAGGAGAATAAAAGTGGGAGTAGATGAGTGAGTAAGATGAGCGTTTCAAGAGGGCCGAGTGAGGTTGTCTGGGGAAATGGTAACTCACAGAGAGGAGCCGCCGCAAATGAAGACGGCGGTCGCCTTGAGCACAAATGTAAAAATACCATGCTTGCCAAACACCAACGACCCTCTCGTCATATCGAAGGAGGAGCACATTGGAGTAGGATGCGTGATCTTGACTCACCCATCGGGGGTAAGCAGTCTCAGGGTGACGTGTTGTGCGTGTGTATTCACGCCGGCAAGTCTTCTGCTAGCAGGACCCGTATAGCCTACCAAGTATTTCAATTGTGAGGGTTGCTTTAATAACTTACTATCGTTTGGAGTCTGAATGCTTCCAGTACCTAGGTAGTTAAAAGTCATATCTCTAGAACACGGTGTGCTTCCCCGACTCGGCCTCTGCTAGCTGAAGGATCCTGGACAGTTTGAGGTTGTAGAGGCCAGTCGTTGGCGCGTGTGGTGGTTGTTGACATGATGGTGTTTTCCACACGGTCGGAGTTGAAACCGAGGAAGCCCGAGTCCTGGAGTCTTGGCAACCAATGTGCTCCGGTCTACGATGCCCCGGGAGGAGAACAGAGTCTCCTCCCAACCCCCCACAATCCCCGGAAAACACCACCGCCTCCTCCACCCAATCCAGCACTTAGCCCCGGACTCGTACCACTGAGACCACAGCTAACTTCAAACGCTGCCAGGAGCAGCTAGTATAAGGTGTCTACTCGCCAATTCCGCTGATCGTGCGTCAACGGCGCAACATGGTCAACGCCTGTCGCTGCCTTTCGGCAAATGATCTCCAATATTATGGCTCTTCACGCGTTTCTACTTCTGTTACCGGCTCAGCACCGTGCGACGCAGGCCACCGCTACCCATGGATCGGCGCTCAATGACCCGACGTGAACTTCAACACCCCCACGCGGTTACGCAGTGATGAGCAGACGACAGCCGCGTGCCTCGGCCATGAAGCCGACAACCTGCTGTGCCCTTCGCGTGGTTGATCTTCCCCATAAACTACCGTGCTTCTCTTGCCGTTTCTCCCTTCTTTATCATTTCAAAGTCTGTCAAGTGGTAATTCTTCCTGTCTACATACCTTGGATCGAATTCATTCGACTTGACGAGAGCTTACCAGGTTCACTATGGCTGGCTCAATGTGGTATACCTTGGGCGTGTCCTGCTTTGCGGCCGTCGGCACCTTCCTTTTCGTATGTTTTCTCGAAGGACAGTGTCAATGAATGACTGCTTCTAACAAAGCACAAGGGTTTCGATACTGGCATCGCAACGACAAGTAGGTTTCCTTACGCTTGGTTTACTGCCTTATATGTACTAACCGCAACAGCAATCGCGCACCAGTCATGGATAGATTATATGTAAGTATTTATCAGTCCGAGTCCACCGGGCGAGACGCGTACTGAGAGCAATCAGGGGCCACCCGTCGAAAGGCTTGACTGGAGCGGTAAAAGTCCCATGTCATATTCGCGAATACCTCACTGAATCCTTGCAGGTCGTCGCGGTTTACATTGCTGGGGAGGCAGTTGGAGCCCTGACCCAGACCTTCATTGGTGACCAGTTGGGACGAATTCGCTTCATGCAACTCATGTGTATCATTGTCACCGTCGGAACCGTCATCCAAACAGCGGCTCAGAATATGGGAATGTTTCTGGCTGGACGCGTTTTGGCCGGAATAGCTGTTGGTGGTGTGAGTTGGTTCTTTCAACCACCCCTCGCTGGTTTATGTTGCATGTTGTAGAACCCTTCTGACAGTGTCACAGATGGTCGCCACGGTCCCCATCTACCTGAGCGAAATCTCTTCTCCAAAGCACCGTGGTCTTATTGGAGGCATCTCTGGATGCGGTATCTCGCTCGGGACGATGATGTCGAACTGGGTCGGCTTCGCATGCAGTTATGCCTCTTACGGGCCAACACAATGGCGGTTGCCTCTGGGAATCCAGATCCCCTGGGGCATCATCCTGTTTGCTGGTCTCGCTACGTTTATGCCGAATTCTCCTCGACAGCTTATCAGGAAGGGCAAGATTGACGAAGCTCGCCGCCATTTTATGCGTATCCGACGAGACCTTAACAACCACGAAGTGCACGAGGAATTTGTATTGATGCGAGCACAAATCGAGTTTGAGATGCAGCGGGAGATCAAGTCCATCAAGGAAGTGTTCAAATTGTTCCGTCACAGAGCTCTTGTCTCGATCGCGGTGCAGACCATGACCAGTCTTACTGGCGTCAACGTGGTAAGTAGACCTTGCATGGTTATAAATCTTGTTTCCGTCGCCACCTTTTTGCTCATCCTGGCTACTACAGATCCAATACTACCAAACAATACTGTTCAAATCATTGGGGATCAACAGCCACATGATTCTAGCTTTGGCTGCTATTTATGGCACACTTGCATTCACCTCCAATGTGCTCACCACGAGATTCCTGACCGATCAATGGGGTCGACGAAAGATGATTCTTGCTGGTCTATCAGGAGTCATCATCATCGAGATCTACGCTGCCGTGATGCAACGTGAATTCCAACATACCGACAACAAAGTCGGCAAGGGCTTTGCTGTACTCGGCATCTATTTGTTCGTGGTGACCTACTGTACGCTTCCTCTCTCTCCCCCCTATTTGTGGACGTTGACGCTGACACACATAGACGGCATGTTGAATAGCACAACCTGGCTATATGGGGCTGAAGTCTTACCTGTGGCTTTACGATCTAAGGTTATGGGCTTGGCTGCAGCGTCACACTTCATCGTCAATGTTGGAAGTGAGTATATTATCTCTTGCATTTCCGCTTTATAAGGGTTTGTGTCAAGCAAGCTTCCAACACGCGTTCGAGGAAATTTCATCTTGCTGACCCCGGATCCGTGTCTTAGTCACCGAAGCTGGTCCATCGGCATTCGCCAACATCCGGGAGAATTACTACTATGTCTTTGTGGGATGCTCTGCTTTCTTCCTCGCCGTGGCGTACTTTTACTTCCCGTAAGTGGTCAATCTCGCCGCCCGTGTCGGGTGGATTGTGTTTGGTGGTTGTTATTTGAAAATCAATGCTAACATTTCTTTCCAAAGTGAGACAAAGCAAAGGACATTGGAAGAAGTCGCAGCTGCTTTTGGTGACAAGGTCGTGCTAGTCACCGAGACTGATCTTGCCGTTGAAGATGCCGTAATGCAGGATAAGGCTGGTGCTGTACAGCTTGAAAGGACCCAGGGCAAACCCGCCGAAGCTTGAAGAACAACGCAGGACACTCAGAGTCATTCTACCAGTGACTTGACCAGTGGCATACAGTACATCTATATGATATGTAGAGTGCAGTTGGGTTTTGCAATGTGTTTCGTCAATATCGAAATCAATAACCCTCCACCATGCATCCCCGATCGACCATCAGTCACCACTTGCCCATAATACAACTAAATTGCCTTGGTTCCTCTCACTTCTTTTCGTCGTCTATGGCATCAACGAACATTAGTATTTCCGCAGCAGTGGCTTCAGGCTGTTCCTCCATAACGTAATGTCCGCAATCCGGGATGATGACCAGTTTCGACCTCTTTTTTTCTGCGGAGAGGGCAAGCACCCTTTCCATGGTCTTGCCGGTCGCCTGTTCACCACCGATTGCAAGGATAGGCACATGCACAGAAACAGCGACACCATCATCACTACTACTACTGCTGCTGCCATCGCCGCCGCCACTGACGCCGTCGTTGGCTTCCGAGGCCAGTTCGTGCTGTCTGACGCTCTCGTCAAAGGCACGATAGTACGAGAACCCGTTCGCCATGGCGCCGGGACGGGCGTACGCGGCGGCGTAGAGGTCGCGGCTGGCGCGGGTGATGCGCTCCGGATGCGCCGCCTTCGCGTCAAAGAGCCAGTCCAGCAGTTCGCGCTCTTTGCCCTGGACCAGGGTCTCCGGCAAGGGCGGCGGGAGCCGGTTGAACGAGAACTGGAACAGGCGCCTGTTAACGTCGTCGGGCGGCGGGAACGCGAGGGCCGGGAAGGTGCCGGGCACGATCGAGTCCATGAGCGTCACGCTCAGGAGGGACGAAGGGAACCGGCGCAGCCACGCGGCCGCGACCCACGCTCCCACGTCGTGGCCGACGAGGTGGTACGCGCAGCCGCCGCCCAGTTCCGCACCGACCGCCGACCGCAGGATCGAGCTGATGGCCCCGGTGCTGTATCCACCCCCTTGCTGCTGCTGCTGCTGCTGCTGGTCGCCGGGCGCCGCCGAGGCCCCGAGGCCCGGAAGGTCGAGAACCAAGACGCGGTGACGCCGTGCGAGGAGAGGGACCATCTCGGCGTAGGCTTCTTTCGTCTGCGGCCACCCGGCCATGCAGACAATAGGCGCACCTGGGCTGTCAGCGGCACTACTCGTGCTGGCCCCGCCGGCGACGAGCGCGTGGATGCCGTTGCTGAGAACCTTGGTCTCGATCCGCGACAGTGGCAGTAATGCTTGAGCCATGGGTGCAACGATTTTCCGATCCGTCTTGCATGGAAATCAACAAAGTACGAGTACGGTGGCTCTCGCCAGGTATAATACTTAACTCAGGAACTTGTGCATGGAGGGCCACGGGCTGGTGACCTTGACACAAGCCCGCTTTATAGAGCAAATGTCATTCTCGTGCATGGATTCTGGAGTGAGTCATTTCGCCATGTAGATTGCCATTGTACGAAGTTGGAAATCCAGGGATATCACGATCTTCCATTAAACGGGCAGTAATCGACATGGCGGCGTATAGGCAGGGCACAATTTCAAAGCCTTGTGGGACACTCGATCGTCAATCTCGACACGCAGGGAGCGGGTATTGCGGAAAAGAGAGTCACGTGCTACCCTCGGATGCTCAATATGCCACACCCATCGCACCGATTCGAGTTGCCGTCTGATGGTTTGTACGGGACGCGTGTTGGAGAATGTGCGAGAGCCGACATCAGCGTTGCAACGACCAACATCATCGAGCCCCATAACGTGGGCGTGAATGCAATTTAACAAAATGTCACACACACCTTGGCTTCATAAACTGAACTCGAATATGATTTCTCATTTCTGTACATAGGACAAGTCAGCAGTCGGGAAGCTCACACACGGACCTGGCCAGAGATGACGCGACCCATTCCAAAGCCGTCTTTCTTCATTTGCCTTTCGACACCAAGTCTTCGACCTTCTTCCGGGTCTCAGCGGCGGTATCGTCAGCCCAACGGGTTGCTCCCTGTGCATAGGTTCTGGCCTGCTTCCACGTTTCTTGCACGGCATCCTTTATTTGCAAATGCGTCTCGCTGATGGCGGGCACTTTCTTCTCATACTCCCAGATCAGATCTGACGTGTTCCGCATGGTTACTGGTATCAGCATCCAGCCAGCGGTGATGCCGACCGCCAAGGGGAAAGTGGCTCGCAAAAAGATGCCCCGGTTGCGAGTGACTATTGATCCGGCCATGGTCGAAACCAAAACGTAAATTGCTCCAGGTAGAAGCTGCTCTCCCGTCTCCGGCGCAGGTGCTAAAGAAGCGATCGTGTTGGCAATGCTGGTCTCTTTCTTGAAGGCCCAGGTCAGAAGGTCGTTGACGCCATTCTCGGCCGAGAGTGATTGTCTGTAGAGAAAGAGTCGTGCGGTCTTGACCTGCTCGGCAAGTCGGTCTGTGGGAGTAGGAGAGGTCGGGTGTGGCTTCGGTGCTGGAGTATCTGCGGGAAGTGTGGGAGCTGTGGGAGAAGGTTCGTAGGAGGAGTATATGGGCTTCTTGTCTGGAATCTTCGAGACAGTCAGTGCCGGACGCGCACGAGTAGATGAGGTGAGTACTACTTCATCTTTTAAAGGAGCCTCTGCATGAGCTGTTGGGAATCGCAACGGTGCTTGAGCGACCGCAGCTCCTCCGGCCACAAGTAAAGCGGCTTTGGTGGTCTGTATGTACCATCAGTGACGAGCCCAGCTGCCTGGATACGGACTTACAGCTCGCAATACTCGTAAACGCGCCATGGGGTGTGGTGGGTGAACTGTCGGAGCAGCTGGCGTGACCTCAAGTCTCAAGTACAAGAAAAACATACGATGCGGCATGAGCTCGGGACTAACTCTTTCGGAAAGTCACGTGTCTGCTTATGTAATTTGATCTAGGTACCTGAGGTATGAGGGTGAGTATGCGATGGACAAATCCAAAATCTCACTCGTACGTATTAAATGCCATTCATTATACGATCAGCAGTCCTGGTAAGCAAACCGCGTTGTCTCATCATTAGGCCAGACTGATCCATCTTTCGTTCTCCGTCAAGGCCAAACCCCTAGGCAAATTGCCCAACACCAGCGGATTAGACGGCAGACTGCTGGCAGCAATATACCTCTCCACCAGGCGACGCGCGTGATATATACTGCCCAATTTGCGCGAATCCTCCAACTGCCCCAGCCTCGTAAGTACGAAATGCCGTTGTTCCTCTGACTCTAGTCGAGAGTTTCCTAGGACAAACAAAGGCCATAACGACGCCGCGCACGTCTCGGGCAGAAGTCGCAGGGACGACATGATGCAGTCTATCAGCCTTTTGCGACCAAGAGATCTTGGGGGAGGGATACAGTTGTCCACGGACGATGTGTCCGTGGGTCGAGGCACTCGTTCCTCCAGGTACAGCATCGCCGCGAGTCGCTTCACCTCTGCAATCTGCATCAGGAGAGGCTGGTCGACGCACGAAGATGGAACACATTGCCGGAGACGGCGGAGACGAGAAACGAGATCGTTGCGCATGGTCAGAAACTCGGTCGATTCAATGATCGAGGATGGGTCGGTGGATGTTTGGACGCGACGTGCCAACGAAGAGATTTGGCCTACGATGGAGATCAACTCACGGGAACAGCCCATTAAGGGATCGATCTATCCATGACGACATTGTGGTCAGAACACACACCAATGTGAAGGAAAAGTATACGAGAAAGATGGCAGGATGTACAAGGCCAGCTAGCTTACCTCTTCTGATCGCGCGAGCGCAAAACTATCGCCATCGGAATTCGACCATCCGGTCCACGCAGTTCCACCCATGACTTCGTGTGCAACAAAGTAGATCTCACAGAATGCTTTGAGACTATCATCGACCGATGTCCGGGTCGTTAGATAAGTCAGCATTTGCAAGCCCATTTTCAGATGAGTAATCCATGATGGCGCGCAGCCATCTGAGATCTAGATGCGGCATGTCATGTTAGTTATGTGTGAAACCTAGACGAGAGAAAGGGGGGAAGCAAACGGGCAACGAACATCATAAAAGCAAAACATGAGAGTGGTAGCAAGACTCTGCCAATCCATGTCGTTTGTTCGTAGGTGGTTTCGTAGTCCCTTGATCGCTGCCGTCTTTAATTCCAACGCGTGTCTTTCGAACCGCAAATCGTCGTGGAGACGTAGATGGTTCGCCGCCGCAGCTAACAACGCGTCTCGAAGGGGTTCAAACTCGTACGCTACGGGTAACAGCACGTTGAGATACGGATTATCCGTTTCGCTCAAGGAGCACTGCGGGGAGAGGACGTGGATGTAGTACGACAATAAGTTCGTGTTTACGCCTTGGTAAGACGAGTGTGCCGGCATCAGAGACAAAGGGGGAGCAACGCCAGTTAGACGAAGGATTTCGCCATCATCGAGAACTTCGTCTACGGATGCGCCGATGGAATCATAACTCTCGGGTTCAGGGACGTCGTCTTCCAATGCTTGCGGGAGACTTCCATCTCGAAAGTGCTCGGCGGTGAAGTTGAGAAAGAAAACCGTACCGATATTCCGAGTACTGGTAGGTATTTCGACAAATACCCCTTCGTCGATACGCGGTTGTTGTTGTTGTCGCAATGCCGATGTCTTGTGGTTGTGCCGTGACCAGAGGCCTGGGTGGATCATGATCAGTCAACTGACGAGTGGAGGCCACGACAACTGCCTTACCAGCACGGCCGTGGGCTATCTTCCTCTGTTGGGAGTCTTCTTCCCAGAGGAGTTTAAATCCATAGCCGCACTCGAGATTCAATCGTTGGCATCGGTTGCAGATTGGTTGTTCTTCGCTGCATTTGACATGAGCTTCTGTGGGACAAACAATCGTATCAGTGCATGCTTTATGGAATATAAAGTCTCAATCTCGGACATGATCTTGCTTCTCGAGGCTCTCTTCACTTACTCTTACAAGTAAAACAGCCCTTTCTACTTTTGCATCCGTACTGATTTCTCGTCTTGCGCATGGGGTGTGTACGTATCGTCAACCCGAAAACGATAGCTGAATCGGCTCCTCTGAATGAGTCCACAACATTAAGCGACTGAGAAACGGCTGACCGAGGGCGTTTGGGATAATTAACACCTTAGAAATGGATTAGAGAGCGGTGTCCGTAAGGCGAAGTGCCAAAAACCCATCGTCTGGACTTGGGCGATGGGAGTTGACAAGCGGCTAGACTTGATTTGGCAACCGACCCTCAACGTCGAGCGTCGATCACGTGACACTCTTTCACTCCCATACGAATACGAATACGATGTGAACAGGACCAAATTCCTTCAATGCTCAGTGCCATTATAAAGAGACCCGGGATCATTAGTTCTATATCCACGCATTAAATACCCGTTGAAGCTCAGTGTGCGTGCATTTACAACTTCGAAACGCGAGACTTCCCATGACTCTGAAGCTCTCTCAGATCTCTAACATTTCCCCCTCTCCAGGCGACAGTCCCTCTCCCATTCTCCCCCTCCGCTTCGCTCGTCTTCCACTTCCACCTCGAGTTTTTCTGATACCCAGTTCGCAACAACTCACTGACCCACTCACCCGCAGTCGGAAGAAACTTGAACATGTGTCCGCTATCCGCTCCCGCCAGGATCAGATTCCTGTAGCCAGGGATGAAATCGACGACGAAATCCGAGCTCGTCGTGTCCGCGCACCAACACATCGACGTGCGCACAAAAGGTCTTTCATGAAGCGAAGCTGGCAGCGACGCCTTGACCAACCTACGAAGCTGTGCATCGTCGACGGCCGGAGGGACCAACGACGTTGCATTTGTCGGTGGTACCGAACAAGGCACTCTCCGTGTGCCATTCGGAGTCGCTTCGACATTTTGGAAATTCGTCCACCCTCCACCATGACAAGCGAATTTGAGGAGATATTTGCCATCTGATTTTTCTTTCCGTGACCGATTCTGTAAACCTGGTGTATCGTTTTGAACATGTTCGACCGACTCTGTGCCATCTTCGCGCTCCTTGACGAACAGGGGTTCCATCCAAAACCCCAGTTCGGAAAAGTTCATGACTGGGACGCCCGCGAGGGCTTTGGCTTCTGACTCTGTCAACTCAAGATGAGCCACCGACCACGCTTTCGCCGTTACTTGGGACGCCGCTGCTGAGAGAACGCGAGGCAAATGTGCTCCCATGCACAAGATAGTAAGACTCGGCTGGCCAGGCGGATGGGAATGTACTGCACCACTAGCTGCTCGTACACCGGTAACCGATTGTGACCGCATGGAATCTGTGACAAGCGACGTGATGTGACCGTCTTCGCCCAGCACGAACTTCACACCCAGATACACGCAGCGTCTGTGTGCGAGCTGGATCGCTTGCGATGCAAGTGCGTAGCCGCCGTGTTTGTTCAAGTACCCTCGCCATTGCTTACCAAAGTCGACATTCTTCAGTTGCGGTGCAGCGGCGTGGATGTCTCTGGGAGACTGAATAGCTTGAAATGAATTGTCGGGGAACCAGAGGTTATCACTGTTGGTAGGCGTTCGCTGCTTCGTGAAATAGTCCATGTCCCTCTGCACGGCTCCTAGTTTCCTCGCGGAACTCGCCACTCTGAAGTACCCGACTTCATTGTAACAGCTGCGCCACCCGCCGACGTCGTCTGGCGCTTTCCAGGCCTCTACGGCTCGCAGTGCAAGCTCGGTGTAGAAGTCGTCCTCTGCGTGGCCAACGCCGTACTCGGCTCGGATGATCTTGTTCAGGTCGTTGCTTGCCGCATATGGTGACGGCAAACTCGCCGCTCGGTCGAACACGGTAATGTTCTTGTATCCAGCATGTGAGAGGTGCAAAGCCGCAGACAGACCAAACACCGAGCCGCCTACTATGTAGATTGAAGTCTCTGGCGAAGCGGGTCCGTGAGTATTCATGATGTTATTTGATCAGCGATCGTGGAAGAAGGGAAAACAAGTGGGCGGGAAACAGCATTTATATATCCCACGCCCAAGGGCGGGTGGAGCACGTTTCTTCCTGGGTTCTTCGTTGTTTTTCGCAAGCGGAGTCTGTTCATCATTAATGGTCTGATATGTCACCTTAGAGCGCGCTATTACAGTCCAGTCCGTTGCGACTTAGATTTCACGTTTTTGAAGTTGTTGCCGTCCTGACCTGGCTATATTTGCCCCTTGATAAACTTATCACCTCAGTCACAAATGTACATCTGGCTGCTGAAGTCCTACGAGTGCACTTCAAGTCTTGTATCCTTGAGCCCTTTCGGCTCTCTTCATACCAACTAGCTAGGTCGCTATTGATCGGGGTCAAGGGGGGTTACCAGCTTGACCCAATCTTCCAGCGTCTCCCTCCCACAGTCGTTGCATCTCTCCTCGATTCCCCAAGAGCGGCCATGACATACACAACAAACAGTTTTGTAAAACCTAGCTCACATGTGATGGGGGTTTCCTCCTTTTGACTTTGGGTGGAGACAGAGTCTTAAGTAGTATACTTGAAATTCTCCTTCTTGAAGTCAGAAACGTCCTGGAACACTTCGACCAAATCCTCTTGGCTTGGTGTTTGCTCCAGGGAAATGACTTTCCGGTTGAGAGCTATGCAATAGAGCCAGTATGCAATCATAAGCATGATGCAAACGCAGTAACAGACCAACATTGCCACAACTCCGCCAGTATATCCCGGCGCCTGGCTTGCGCGGAAGGTCTGCGGACCTATTACAGTCTGTTAGTCATGACTTAGATCTCATGTCGTGGTGCTTACCGATCAAGTTTCCAACTGCGTATCCAATGTAGAGGATGGCGAAAGAAAAACTTTTCTTTGTATGTCCCGCCGTGTTGGCTTGTGCCAGAGAGATTCCAACGGCGTACGGACCGAAGTAGGTATAGACCAGATAGAGGCCGACAAGTTGGGCGCCTACCGCGGTGCGAGGAACGCCGTACAAAATACCAGTCCCGATAATTGGTACGCAGCAAGCAACAATATTCACCATGCAACGGCGGTTGTTCAATTTTGCAGCCAACATCGAGAACACAAAGGATGAGAGTGTTGACATGACTCCCGTGGGCATGGAGAGCAGGGACGCATTGACTGGTGTAAAGCCGAGGTTGGAAATAATGATACCACTGAAAGTCGTCAAGCCACCGTTGGGAATGTTGATGGCAATGTTGAAGAAAAAGATAAGCCAAGTCTTTGGGTCGATGACGGCCTCAAGAGCTTGATCCCATTTCCAGACCTTGTTCTCAATGCCAGTCTTGTTTCCAGCGAGTCTCTGGACCCAGAAGACCTTCTCGTCCTTGTTCAGGAACTTGGCTTCCATTGGGGTCGCAGGGAGGAAGATGAAGACAAAGAGAGACCAGAGCATTGAAATAGACCCGATGAGGAGATAAAGGTACTGCCATTTGGACAACGGGGCACTGTCGGGAATGTGGCCGATAACCCAGGAGAGGAAACCGTTGACCACAGAGCTGGCGGCAGCAAACACTAGTGCATTTCGTGGGGGTTGTTCGTCTTTCTTGTACCATCCTGCAATCAACAGAGAGATGCCAGGGACGATGATAGCTTCGAACATGCCCATCAAGAAACGAACTGCCATCATACTGCTCCAGCTTTTGCAAGCTGGCATGACGAGAGCCATAGCAGACCAGCCCATAGAGCAGGTACAGAGGTACTTTGCAGATGGGAGTTTGTGCAATAAGGCCGAAGAAGGGAACATGCCGACCAACGCACCCAAACTCAAGATGGAGCCGAGCCATGAGTATTGCTGGCCGACGAGGTTGGCATCCGTACGAAGTCCGTAGATGGCTGCTGTGCTCAGGGCAACTTTGTCGACAGCACCGAGCGTAGCAGTCAAGAAGAGCTGGGATATGTTAGACCCTTCGACAAGGCTAACAGTAAACGACTTACCATTGGGAGCAAGATCCAGTCAATCTTCCTCTTGAGCCTCTTCTCCTGAGCTCGAGTGAGAACAATTTCAGTACCCGCCTCGGCAAGGAAGAGGGCTGCTTGATCAGCTTGCTTCCCACCCACATCCTTCATAGGTTGTGCGGTAGTGGCGTCCGCGTTGGAGGACTTCTCGATACTGTCCATGACGAAGAAGGCTTGTGATAGAAGGGGCAACGTTGAGGCCCAAGATTTGAAGAGGATCAGATAGATGAGATTGAGCACAAGGCAGTCAAGTGAGAAGGGGCACGCGGCCTTTGAAATACTTTTCCCACCTCGCTTGATGATATCTCGCACCACGAGTCTGGTGTGATAAGACGTCCCGGCTATTGCCCCGTGTACCGCGTGCTATCTAGATCAATATCGTTCCGAGATGTATTTAGGGCGTACATGTCCGGCAATCGCTTGGGCCACGCGGGGTTCTGGGGGCAAAGAGTGTTGGCAAGATAAATGTTTGTTTCAAGAAGAAGGTCAACACGACGATCCGAAGAAATACAACAAGAATCCATTTCTGGCGTCGCCACTATTCAAACGGATGACTGAAGTGGAAGGTCAACACGATGGCCACTCAGATGCTCGCTTGGCCTTATCTGGCTCCGCTTCTTCTAGACTCTGCCGACGAGAAAGAGGGTCTGGGCTCCGCAGAAGGGGAAGGTCAATACGATGACCATCGGTCTGTGTTCCCACAAAATCGTCTAGTGCAGATTGCCACAAGGTGGTCCCACCTGAGTTTGGGGTGTTGCGGACAGCACTCACATCATGGTCCTCGTTCTGGAACTCTGGGACCGGCTATGGGGCGTCGTATTGACCTTCCTGCTTGGAACGCGGAAATCCGGTCGCCTGGCAGAGATGTCTTTATGTTTCATGCAATGAGTGGACAGAAGCCTGACCTGCAGACATAGGACGATATAAAATGAGATCTGCTTGAGGAATGAACATTTTTTCTCCTTCGGTCTGCAAACGTTAGAGAGCAAAGATGGGTTCAATACAGCAAAGCGGCCCGGTGACGGGCATCAAGATAGCCATTGATCGTGGCGGAACATTCACAGACATTTGGGCAACTGCCAGCGGACAGCCTGATCTGGTGTTCAAGTTGTTGTCCGTTGATCCTGCCAACTACGATGATGCGCCCACGGAAGGTATGAACAATTGGAGACTCATGCTTATAAGTCCTTGCTGACCAAGTCCGATCAGGAATCCGCCGAGTCCTTTCGACATATGGCAATACCGAGATCCCAAGAAATACGCCTTTACCCAAGTCTAGCATTGAGAGCATTCGTATGGGAACTACCGTGGCCACGAATGCCTTGCTCGAAAGAAAAGGCCGCAGACATGCTTTCCTTGTCACGAAAGGATTTCGAGATCTCCTGAGGATTGGTTACCAATCACGACCCCGGCTCTTCGACCTCAACATTTCGAAGCCTGAAGTATTGTACTCAGAGGTGTGTGAGGTCGAAGAACGAGTGACTATCGAAGGATTTGACGAGGATGTGGACGGTCAATTCAACAGCACTGAAGTCATTCCGGGTGTCCTTGAAATGGGAGCCAACGGTCAGTTGGTGAGAATTCTAAGGCCACTCGACGAATCAGCCCTGGAAACGCAGCTCCAAGAGCTGAGAGCACAAGGAATTGACACTATTGCTATTTGCTTTGCCCACTCATATGCATATCCTGATCACGAGCTGAGAGCCGGTCAATTGGCCGCGGAAGCGGGATTCACTCACGTGTCTCTCTCCTCTCAAGTGGCAGCAAACATGATCAAGATGGTGCCTCGTGGAAGCTCAGCAACTGCAGATGCTTACCTTACCCCCGAGATCAAGAAATACGTTGCCGGATTTCAAAAAGGCTTCGAGGGTGGCCATCTCGATGATGTCAGGTGCGAGTTCATGCAGTCAGATGGCGGTCTGGTCAGATATGATCAATTCTCGGGTCTCAAGGGCATCCTCTCCGGGCCAGCTGGTGGCGTCGTCGGCTATGCCAGGACATCATACGATGAGACTAACCGAATGGCCGTTATCGGCTTTGATATGGGCGGCACGAGTACCGACGTATCGCGGTATGGCGGTACTTTCGAACATGTCTTTGAGACAACTACTGCCGGTGTGACGATTCAGAGCCCTCAACTCGATATAAACACAGTCGCGGCAGGAGGTGGATCCATTCTGGCATGGACGAATGGTCTCTTTGCCGTAGGTCCAGAAAGTGCTTCGTCACACCCTGGCCCTGCCTGCTATAGGAAGGGTGGCCCATTGACGGTCACCGATGCCAACCTTTTCCTCGGTAGGCTGGTACCCGAATCATTCCCGAAGGTATTCGGGCCTCACGAGAACGAGGCACTTGACGAAGAAGTCGTACAAGTCAAGTTCAAGGAACTCACAGAGCGAATCAATGCTGAAACTGATGGTTCTCTCACACCGCACGAAATTGCATGTGGGTTCTTGGATGTCGCCAATGAAGCAATGTGTCGGCCAATTAGAGCTCTGACAGAGGCAAAGGGACATGCCATCGGTAAGCTTTACTGAATCTCACCAAATCAAACAAGACTCGCTGACCCTCTCACAGCCAACCATCATTTGAGTTCTTTCGGTGGTGCTGGGGGTCAACATGCCTGCGATGTGGCATCAAAGCTCGGTATTGACACTGTTGTCATCCACAAGTATTCCAGTATTCTTTCCGCCTATGGCATGGCTCTGGCAGATGTTGTCCAAGAGGTCCAAAGGCCTTGCAGCCAAGTGTACAGCTCGAACTCGCGACAACTGCTGTCTGATATTTTCGAAACACTGAAGTCCCAGGTCAAGTCCAAGATAGTCCGCCAAGGTATTGCAGAATCCAGCATTGACTATGAGTTCTATTTGAACATGCGGTACCAGGGAACTGAAACCTCCATGATGACCATGGAAAAGGAGGGATCAGATTTCAAGCAGGAATTCCTGAAGCGTCATCTCCAAGAGTTCAATTTCATCTTCCCTGACGACCGGCAAATCCTCATTGACGATATTCGCGTTCGTGCAATTGGTAGGAGCAACGCAACCATTGGCGGAACGGCCGAGCTGGCTCATGAGCTCAATAACTTGAGCTTCAAGGAGCCCAAACAAGCCTCCAACGCAAACAAGATGGTGTATTTCAAGAAGCAGGGCAACGTTGAGACACCAATCTATCTCCTCCACGATCTGACTCCCGGCACTATCGTCAGAGGTCCTGCAATCATAATCGACGCCACTCAAACTCTGCTTGTGGTACCCGAAGCCCTGGCAAAGATCTTGTCGTCTCATGTTGTGATCGATATCAAGTCGACCATGAAACAAGACCTGTCCAGTCATGCTGTCGACCCTGCTACGCTTAGTGTTTTTGGCCATCGATTCATGAGTATCGCTGAACAAATGGGACGTGCTCTGCAGAATACATCTGTGTCTCTCAACATCAAGGAGCGTCTGGATTTCTCCTGCGCCATCTTTGGTCCAGATGGTAAGTGGCGTCCTGTATTCTGCATTTGGTGAAGAAATCGTACTGACGGCGACCCAGCTGGTCTTGTTGCCAACGCACCTCACGTACCGGTCCATCTGGGTTCCATGAGCTATGCAGTCAAGTATCAGCACGAGCTGCACAAGGGTAAGCTGACACCTGGGGATGTTCTCGTCTCCAACCATCCCTCGTCGGGTGGGACTCATCTTCCCGACATCACTGTCATCACACCAGTTTTCGATGCTCAAGAGAAAGAAGTTGTATTCTATGTTGCCTCTCGAGGTCATCACACCGATATTGGTGGCCTCGGCGGCACTTCCATGCCCCCCAACTCCACCGAGCTGTGGCAGGAGGGAGCTGCAATCCGTTCATTTAAGTTGATTCATAACGGTCACTTCGATGAAGAGGGAATCACTCAGATCCTGCTTGAGCCTGGCAAATACGAAGGCTGCAACGGTAGCCGTAGGCTGGGTGACAATCTCTCGGATCTCAAAGCACAGGTTGCTGCGAACAACAAGGGATCTACTCTGGTAAAGGCTTTGATGGAAGAGTATTCTCAAGAGATCGTGCACTTGTATATGGCTGCAATCCAGCAAAATGCAGAGATTGCCGTGCGAACGTTCTTGAAGAAGACTTTGAGTGAGCGAGGACCAGTTCTTCTGGCGCAAGACCGCATGGACAATGGTTCGTTCGTGAACCTGAAAATCAGCATATCTGAAGATGGCAGCGCTGTCTTCGACTTCACCGGTACCTCATGTGAGATGTTCGGTAACATGAATGCGCCTCCAGCAATTACGCACTCGGCTCTGCTGTACTGCTTACGACTGCTTATCGGCACTGAGATCCCAATGAACCAAGGCTGTTTAGCACCCACAGAAGTCATCCTTCCCCCAGGGTCATTCATCAACCCATCTGCAGGAGCGGCCGTGTGCGCCGGGAATACGCAGACGTCACAACGCATTTGTGATGTTATCATGCGTGCGTTCGAGGTTGCTGGTGCATCTCAAGGCTGCATGAACTGTCTAGGCTTCTTCGGAGAAGGCGGTCGCGACGCCGAGGGTAAAGCTTTGGCCGGTCACGCTTATGCATTTGGCGAGACCATCTGTGGTGGCTCGGGCGCCACGGCCACTGCTCATGGTGCCAGTGCGGTCCATACCCACATGACAAACACCCGAATCACTGATCCAGAGTCTTTGGAAAAGCGCTACCCCGTTATCCTGCGAGAGTTCTCGATCCGTACGGACTCCGGCGGAAAAGGAATGCGGTGCGGTGGCAATGGTGTGGTCAGAGATATCGAGTGCCGTGCCCCTCTCAAGTTCAGTGTTATTACCGAGCGCCGTATCACCTCGCCATACGGAATGCACGGTGGTGAAGATGGAGGCCGTGGTGCGAATTATTGGGTCAAGAAGAACCCCGACGGCACAGAACGCTGGATCAACCTCGGACCCAAGAACATGGTGGCCATGCAGACTGGCGACCGCTGTGTCATTCAGACACCCGGCGGAGGTGGTTATGGCCGCGTGGAGTCCCAGCCGGGCGAAGAGCAGACACAGCCATCAGCGAAGGTGCAGTACCCCCGAGCCACAGGCAGTGTTGCAGCCTATGCCACGACACAGGCTGAGGCGTCGTAGAGTTGGATAGCGGATATACCCCATTGGATCGATAGACTGAGCATATAGGAGTTTAGTCTGGTAGAGAGTTTAGAACCCGCCGGTGAGATAGACAATATCAAACTAAACCAAGTTCTTGCGACCTCTGTTCAGGGAGAACGACGTGGTAGGGCCAGCTGGTGAGCCTCAAAAGCAGCCATAGATCACCGTAGAGCGGCGTCAGGTTCTTTCCTTAAGGGGGCGTCCATATCGGCAGAATCCGGGGATGCTCGGCCTTGGCGGGCGCATGGAAGTCACGGGATAACACAGCAGCAGAAAAGCCATAATAGCCGAGGGACTTTTCACATGCAGCTTTCCGTCATCGGACTGGCTTGAGGTTGTTCAGTACTGCGCAAGAGGAGGACAAACCTAGGTAGGCAAACAGTTCCTACACTCCCAAGGATTTCACGTACCGGAACTGTCTGCCTCGCATCTCATTCTTTTGTCTTGTGAGTCTCCGATCTCAACTCGATGCACAAAGTGCTTCGGCGGCAACCATGGACTTGTCCCAAGTGCCTGCGCCGACAAAAACGCCTCAACTCCACAGCTACTGGCACGGCTTCGCAACAAAATGATGCCTTTGCATCTGCCTACGTACAGTCCTCTCCTGCTCGGCAGACCGATAATGCTCAGCTGCGCGAGGTGTTCAATGACAGAGTGAGTTGGCGAACATCTGAAAAGAAGAGCTCGGGTTTAATAGGAAATAATCACTTGACCACGCCTCGAGGCTTCAAAACTTTTGCAGAAAGGTCTGTGGCGCAATGCAAGAGACTGGTGGAGAGGACGCTAGCTGCCTCGACGGTCGAACAGTACAGGGCGATACCGAAAGATCTCGACAGGCTCAGTGATCTACTATGTCGAGTTATCGACCTGTCGGACTTTATCCGAGGCATCCACCCAGATGCTGCAGTTGCCGCTGCCGCCACGGCTTCTTACTCGCTCATGTTCCAGTACATGAACGAGTTGAACACAACTACTGGGCTGAACAAACAGTTGCAGAAAGCATGGGACATGCCAGAAGTCCGCTCTCAGTGGACCGAGGAGGAAAGGATGGTCGCGAAGTTGTTGATGAAGGACTTTGCAAAATCTGGCATCGATCTGCCCGAGAAACAAAGGAAACAATTCGTGTCGTTGTCGAACGAGATTGCACAGATTGGAACCGACTTCGTGAATCAAATGGAGCATGCGCGGGACCAGATCACTCTTTCCACTCAGCAACTACAGGGTGTCGATCCTCTGCTCATCAGGAATCTGAAAGCTTGGGACCGGGCGCAGATACCGGTCTACAGTGCAGCTTCCAAGACGATATTGAATTCAGCGAATGACCCTGAGACCAGGAAGCAGATCTATGTCGCAGAAAGGACTGCATCACGCTCGACCGTGCGGAAACTTGAACAACTTCTTCTTCGTCGCGCCGAACTAGCTAAGCTCACAGGCTACGACAGCTACGCGCAGATGACACTGGCCGACAAAATGTCCAAGACCCCCGAGTCTGTGAGTAATTTCTTGGACTCTCTGAACGAAAACAACAGGCCGCAGGTCCAGAAGGAGCTCGCATCATTATTAGAGATCAAGCGAAAACTTGATCAAGGAGCTAAGTCGGTCGATCCTTGGGATCATACCTATCTCCTCGCAAAATTGGCGCAAGTTGAAGCCAGTGCTGGACCTCGGACTTCCAGGTCGCGTCTTCAGGAAAGTGCCAGTGCGTACTTCTCTCTGGGCCATGTCATGCAGGGGCTTTCAAACTTGTTCGAGTCTCTCTATGGAGTCCGTCTTGTGCCGAAGGAAACTCAGCCAGGCGAGGTCTGGCACCCGGAAGTCAAGAGACTGGATGTATATACAGACAAGCAGCAACATATCGCTACTATGTACTGTGATTTGTTTTCCCGTCCAGGAAAACTTCCCAACCCTGCACACTTCACCCTGCTTTGTTCAAGAGAAATCTCGGAGGAAGAGGTCCGAGAATGCCAGGAAAGGAATGAGCCGTTGAACAACGGTATGCCGACCTATCTGGGGTCTAATGCCGTCTCTGGCGTAACCGCTCATCATCAAATTCCTATTATTGCTCTGGTCTGCGGATTTCCAGACCCGAGCTCATCTGCGGGCCCTTCGCTGCTGTCTGTCCACAGTGTCACCACACTGTTCCACGAAATGGGTCACGCAATCCATAGTATCCTGGGACGAACAACGTTGCAAGGCATCTCTGGCACACGGTGTGCCACCGATTTCGCCGAGCTTCCATCTGTGCTCATGGAATATTTTGCAACAGATGCAACTGTCCTCAAAATGTTTGCCCGTCACTGGCAGACCGGGGCAGTCATCCCTGACGATATGATCACCGCGCTGGCGGATGACAGAACGAAACAAGCCGCGACAACTGGGGCCTGGAATAACGAAAGTCAGATTTTGATGGCAATATTAGACCAAGTGTACCATTCGGAGGGGCCCGTCGAGGCACTCCAGATTGGACATTACAACTCCACGGCAGCTTACCACGATGTTTGGAACAAGTATGGAAGTGTCGCCGAACCACGAGAAACAGCGTGGCAAGGCTTTTTCGGCCACTTGTACGGCTATGGCGCGAGCTATTACTCTTATCTATTCGATCGGGCCATCGCACGCCAGGTATGGCGGGCTGTGTTCAAAGATGGGGCTGATGGCGGCGCCGTGGACCGATCGGCCGGAGAACACTTCAAACAAGAGGTTCTGCGCTGGGGAGGCGGCAGAGACCCTTGGCTATGTCTAGAAGGCCTCATGGGCGAGGGGAGAGGGGTGCTGGCTGAGGGCAAGGAGGAAGCCATGCTGGAGGTGGGCAGATGGGGAGTAGGAGCATCAAGCGAGGGTTCTATGTGACAATAGCAGATACCGTAGATTGTGTACCTGCGGGATCACCAGAGTCTGATCCCACGAACTGAAGCATCAAAGTCGATAACATTCGCAGGCACTAGTCAGTGGAAAGGCCACGTTCTCCGTATTCTCTCCGTGTTCGGCTCTCCGGACTCGGATCTCGTCCCCGCTCCCGGTCTTACTAAACATCAGAATCATTTCTGCCCGCGGCGGGACGATCACTCTTTTCAGCATCTCCTCCGCCCACCTCGTTCATCATCCCTGTGTACGAAAGTCATCTCCCTCGAGACGTCCAATGCAGGTCGTCTGGGAGGCAGACACTGCGGCCTTTGCAAGTCGAAAGCGCGCTGCAAGGGCGTGTGTAAAATGTCGCGCTGCCAAAAAGCGCTGCCACCACACCTTTCAGCGCCCTCCGGAGCAAAAGGCCGACTCGGATGGCCTCGACAGGGTGCTGCCCAATCTGACTCACAAAGAGCCAATCCGTTTCGTTGGCGATCTGAATCCAGAGTCCATTCTCACGGACCTCTCATCTCGTGCCAAAGGTGGCACACGGATAAGTCGCGTTGGCACTTGGGTTGAACAGTCCCGCCACCCACACGACACATTTGCACCAGAGGACTTGGGTCCGCCGGTACGTTCGTGTAACAAGACGCCGATCAACGTCGAGAAATACGGCAAGTTTGAAGGTGGCCGCCGCGTGCTCACGGGGCATCAACGGAACTACTTGCAAGCCGTGGGCGCGTTCAGAGTGCTGCCCAAGGCCACCCAAGATGCCCTGATCCCAACTTTCATCTCGTGTCTGGATGGGATCCTCCCGATCTTGTATGGACCCAAACTGCTTAAGGAATGGACTGATGGCCGCTGTTCGATATTCCTCATCCAGGCGATATGTCTGGTCACCTGCAAGACCGAGGAGGCGGCCCCCTTCCTTCGGCTTTACGACGACGGCCCACTTCTCGACCCGATACCGTTTGCGAGAAGTCTGCACACCGGCCTCGACGCAGCTATGAAGGCAGACCTCGAGCCAGACCGCGTCACCAAAATCCAGATTCTGACCTTGATGCATCTACACAATGACGGACCCGGGGGGCTGGAGGAATCGTCGCTGAATCTATCCCAAGCCATACACGATGCCTGGTCAATAGGACTGCACATCCTCACTCCAGGTCGAACATACAAAGATCAGTTCAGTATGCTCTGGTGGACGATATGGGCTCTGGACAAGTTCAATGCCTGTCTCGGCGGCCGTCCCGTGATGATAGCAGACCGAGACATCGACATCTCGCCGCCGCCGCTGGAGGCTACGCCAAAATCTCAAGTCATCACCATCTGGCTCCGTCTTGGCCACCTACTCGACAAGGTGATCGAGTTCTATCGACCGACAGCCAACCCAGATGACACCGGCTGGGAGACAGAATTCCCTACGTTTGCATCGCTTGTTTCGGACATTGATCTCGACGCCCACCCACTCGGTGAACAACGTATGTACTCTGCGTCATTCCTTCCTTTTCCTTATCTTTCCACCTCTCTTCCTGTCTATATTTCTGTTGACGAAGACTGACGGACTTCAAGACATTCTAGAAATTTGCTACCTCGTCATCGCAATTCTATCATGCCGTGTAGGTGGTCCCACGACAGCAAGTTACGCGCGACGCATCAGTGCCGCAGACCGCATCCAACAACTCGTCTCTGGAGACGGACATAAACAGATTCCACCGTTACCCCTTGTCCCGTACGCCGCTGGTCTCAGCCTGACAGTAGTATATCGCTGCCTCAGAGACAAAGCAAACATCGACCTCGAACGCGCCAAAGCTGATCTCGCCACACGCTGTGAAACGCTCGAATCCCTTTCGACATACTGGTGGACCGCCGACGCCATGGCCCGCCTAGGCCGCAAGGCGCTCAAATCTCTCCAGCAACCCGGGGCTGGTCGTCACTCTATCGTGAGTCTGCAGAACGACATGGACGCAGAAGTGGGAGTATGTAGATACGGACCGTTTGACAACAAAGGTCGTCACCAACATAGCCATCACGGCGGCCCGCACAACGCAGCCAGCACCACCACATCCACGTCTAAACCCACGCTGTCAGGGAACGCACTACATGTCCTGTCGGATGTAGCAGCTACACGACGCACACCTGGTGGTCCGTCTGGTCCCAATGTCAATCTCAATGCTGCGTCACACAGCGCCCTCCCACCCACACCGACCTCCTCAAGCCACTTTGTCTCGCCATCAATGTCGCACTCGCACAATGCCCATCACACTGGGCCGCAGTTGTCAGACACAATGACACCACGTGACGCATCCCCCCATTCGTCCTCTCACCGTTTCGACACAGTAGAGGAGCAGCAGCAGCCGGCTTCAGGTCAAGGCCAAGAGCAGATCTCCGTCTCCCCGTTTGACCAGTACCAGTATCAATTCAACGATCTAGACAATCTGTTCGAAGGCTTCTTCGATCTCAGCATGCCTACTATTTTCCAGGATCCGCTATTTGACGGCGACGCATTCATAAATGCGGACCTTGGCCTTGGTGAGTTTGACCATGTGGGTGCCGACGCCAGTGCTGCTGCTGAGGCTGCAATTCCCAATATCGGTGTTGGTGTAGATGTCGTTGGCAGCAGCACCAGCACGTATAATGCAGCAGCAGCATCAGCAGGAGCAGCAGAAATGTCATCCTCGGCAACAAAACGTAATATGACGAACACAATTTCGAACTCGAACTCTACTGTGCGCAATCACGGAAACGGGAGCGGGAGTATACTCTATTCAGAACTCAAGTTTGAGAAATAGCGATTGACCGTCATCTTCATCGTCGTCATCGTCTTGGGAACCGTGTGACGCATTGCGACACACGCGGCCCTTTTCTGTTGGGTGTTTTCTTCGAGCTTTCAAGCACGGTACCCTTCCTTTAGACTAGACCTTGTGATCTGGCGAGGGCCTGAGAGCATGTTGTTGAAAGAGGCGTTCCGACGTTCATTTACTATTAGGTACGGATACAGACGACAGGCACGGAATTAAGTTGTTAACATAGGTTAGGTAGGTACTAGGTACAGAAGTATGTAATGGTTTCCCCCTCGAGTAAAACTCTTAAGCGTCCGTGCCGTACACCGCACGTGGACCGCAGGCGAGACATTTATAACACACGGATTTATGTATGGAAAGTTTGGACAACAATAGGAGTGGGGGATAGGCCTATTGGTGCTGATGTTGAGCAGTTGGAGTTGGGCACCGAAAGAGCCATTCACATCAACAGGGCCAAGAGCGGTGTTGAAGGCGTCGAGCAGCTCACCAGCGCTGGTGTCGACGGGTATACTGGAGTCGTTCGCGTATTGATGAGAGAATGAATGGTACTATGTTGAGCCTGTTGTACGTAATAGTTGCGAAGCGGGCATGTGTTGCCGTGAGAGTGCTCTAGTCTTTCTGCAAGTACCAGGAATGATTGCTCAAACACGCCGCTTTGGCAGCAAGGTTTTGGGGACGCACAGTAACCTCTAATACCGGAAGAAGTTGGTTAACTGGTTTTTCGCCGCACATTGTTCTCGGGTGGCGTTTGAAGTCGTGGCTCATACCCGGTACGAGTCGGACAAAAAGTTCCTTGGAATCTGGTTGAGAAAGTCAAATCCATCACCAGATTCCATAGCGGGGCAAGGCTGGCGCTGAATATCCCCATGCCATAACCGCGGCTTGCGTCGACACCAGAGTTCTGATAGAATCTGAGAGAAGTGTCGACCTTGACTGCGATGTATCGGCCTCTCCTGAAGGCATTAAACGTCCAGCGTCAACGCAACTAGATCATGTTGCTCTTTGGTCCTGTGAATGAGTTAAAGGAAGGGAGAAGAGTGAGAAAGCGGACTCAACAAGAATCAGAGTACTAGGAACTGGCACCACCAGCATTGGCGGCGTTTCCCATCACCCATGCTTTAGCATTCAGCCTGGGTAAACCCCAGAGACGGATGATGTCCCTCAGGCCCCCCGGTCCAATCCCTTGCTGAAGCGCCAAAGAGTCCATGAAACTAAAGTAGCCCGGGCGAGAGAAAAGTAGCCGTCGAAGATCATCCAGTCCACTGTCCAACACGTAGTGCTATCAACGGACCCGCGATTCCCAAAAAGATGGCAAGAACCCGAAGCGCTTTGGCCGGTGATCCGCCATTGATCCGCCATTGGATTGGAAACGCGTGAAATATGCTGGGCGTCAGGCATAGAGGACGGTGGGAAGGTAGAAGGAGAAAGCCAGCGGGTAGGGAACTCAATGAAGGGCTCGGGACCACGGCGGCATCTCTCCATCTCTCCCGCAGCGATGAGCATGCTCCTCAGGGGCCTCTTGATCCGCTAATTGGGCGTAGTGACATTGCCGGGCGAAGACTGGAACGTGGGTGTCAAGTGAAATCCATGGTGGCCTTTATTGTAAGTACCGGATTCGCCCACCCACCTTCATGCAATCTCAATTTGCCCCTGTGGCGGATACACAGTGTATGGTCACAGTCGAGCATGGCATCCTGACTCCTATAACTCCGACAACCTTGCCGCCACAGTTTCTGTAAGAGCTCATGGTGTGGTGGTATTCCTGTCACGCAATGGGATGGTGTTGTGCTTTGGGATCAAACAGAACATATTGAGGAGTCTGACCTTCATGACTAAGAAGGAGATATCTATCTGGTATATCGGCAAAAGGAGCGAATCTTTTCCTTCCCAGGGAGGCTCTTTTCGCCGCCGCACAAAAGGCCGTAAGAAGCTCATCGAGTGTAGTCGGGCGCCGATCGATCGAGAGATACTCTTGACAGAGAGAAAGTCTTGTTGTGAAGGTCATGATATAGTATCCTGGAAGGGAATACAGCATCACTTCCTGCTTCGTTCCACTCTTCGCTACGGATCTTTCCGCATGACCGCCAGCACAAAGTCAGCATCCATGCCCCAGTCTCGACAATTAATCGTCAAATCCTCAATGTGCTTGAACCCATGGCTGCTATAAGTCGACATGGCTGCGGGTACGGCTTCGAGATACGCAGGTGCTCCTTCCTTCTTGGCCTGTTCTATGCCCCATTGCAGGAGCATGCCGCCCGCACCTCGTCTTCGCAAGTCAGTTCTTGTAACCAGCGTGGTCAGCACTGATCTACCATCAGCCCTGGGACCTCGCCAGAATTATATGCCCGTTGGGAAACTTACCCCACGCAACACCGCGATTGATATAATCAGGGCGGCGGTCGAGCAATGCTTCGAGAAGCCCGGCGTGAAGCAGTCCGTTCAAGCCTTGGGGGAATTTCGGGGAGCTCCCGGGCGGGGCGAAGACATCGATCTCGGTATACTTGTCCTCGAGGGGATACCCATCGGAGTATCTATGCCAGCGTGCCAACGACACAATCTCGCCTGTGTTGGCGTCCTCGACTTTCATAAATCGCGTGGTTGGATCATTGTGAAACTGCCATCGTTGCTGCCCAATGCTCCACTCGTTTCGACGGGCCGTTTCATCCGGGGAGGAAGTTGGCCAGGTTGCGAGGACGAGCGGTGCTGCGAGCGTCCCTCCTGTCTCGTCGGTGTACTTGAGCATTCGGTCAAAGTCAGCGTCCACGACGGCGGCCACGTCGAAGGCCATGTTTGGTGGACGATTATCATAAATAGGTTTTGGAAAGAAGGTAATTGTAGTACGAAGGACTATCACGGAGGGTTGAGGCCTGAGGACGCGACAATAGGTACGCACATTGGGGGCCTCAATGATGAGGAGGCCTTATGATAAGCCGGATCCGCGTCAGAATAGGTCAAACCGTGAGAGGTATCTGGATCCACTTCGGACTCATGCTTGTCTGATAGGTAACTGTCGGCATACCGGTATACTGGGGCCATTATTGATTCTACGATATCCAGTATCACTAGCCGTCCTCCCGGCTTTTGGCGCCATCCTAGTGGCTGCCGAATAAAGCGTTGCGAGTTCAGGTTTTCTCAATGCTCTTCTTGAACAGTCTTCTGACCTGGATTCCATGGCATTTCTCAGGGTCTTCGGCACTTTGGTTATCCGCAGCGAGCGTTCAGGCCACATCAGGTATGCAATGTCCGTCGGCATGCCCGTCGGATTGCGCCTAGTGCTTACACATCAGAACCCAGCGAGAGGCGATTCGCCCTGCGATTCGCTCTCCTGAGAACTTGCTGTTATCTTGCAAGGTGTTGTATATAGCACTTAGTGGAAAGTGAGACCAATAACGCAACCCTCTCTACCTTTTCCAGAGACGGCATTCAATACATATATTAGGCAGCGAGACTAGTTATTTCTGGCATTTCTACGCATGGTCGTAAAATACTTCTATTAGTTACTGTACCAGTGGCGAGCAAGAATCTAAAGAAACGGCATTCTTGCTGAGGTGCCATCTTTCCGCATATTGCGTAGATTTCGGCATATAAATACCTGGCTACTAGGTGCCTCTGCAGAACCGGCAATGTTCATGTGTCTCGATCACCGGGTGCCCATGCATCTGCAGAGTATTCCATCTTTTTGATATTATCGACGTGCACAGTAAATACTATACCCACAACCGCTAGAACTTGGGAGGTTTTACTGGTGAGGTATAGTACTTTGTATAAAGTAGCTATTCATACGCTTCGAATAGTGAAGTGGGGTTCTATGTTGTCTTCGCTCGCTTCCAAGCTTCCCGGCCGTTTTATTAACTCGAGAAACTGAGCTGGCGTGGTCTGTGAATTTTGTCGACTCTGAAACGATCCTGGTCGTGCCGTTTCACTTTATACTAGGCGTTTCATTTTCTTGATGGCCTGTTCCTCGGCCAAGATGCATGATGCAAGCGCCTTAACGTCATCACGGGTCTCTCTGTCGAAACCGCTGCCTTTCCGTCAATCGAGTTGGGCTCATTTCGACCAGGTTCTTTGCTTCCACAGTTAAGATCACGCCCGCTCAGGATCACTTTTGATGTAAGTAAACGATAAGCCCAGCCCTAGAGGGGTTTGTTCGGGCTTTAAGGTAAACCAGCAGGAGCCAAGGCCGAACCAGGTGTAACCTAACTAGTGGTGTTAGAAGTAGCGCCGTTAGGCTTTTACTGATCTTTAGCTCGAACTAGTGGAGATGCCTGAAGGAGAGAAAATCTCGGAGTTACGGACAGCAGAAAGGATTAAAAGTTTGAAGGATCGCAGGATAGATAGATTAGAAGACCAAGTGAGTCACGACGCTTGAGCTGTCGCGTCCTTTCTGACAAAATGTTCGTACACTTTTGGCCTTTTGCTCGCTTATTCCCCCCCTCGGCGACCTGGTGCGGAGCGAACCCTAACCCTAATGCTTTAAGTAAACACCTAGGTCTGTAACCCTAACCGATCCCTCGATCTTTCGTCATAAGTAATCAGCTCACCACTTGAGAATCAGGAAGTGCGGCAATACTTATAGTGTTTAGAGATTAGATAGAGGTGAAGGACCGTTCACCAGAGCTAGGATATAAGGAAGGGCATATAGACTCATGGATTTGGGAGTCACAAGCTGAGTACAGTTCTGTAGTGTAACTTCAGTTCTCTCCAAAAACTAAACCAGCGGTGTGATTACACCAATCTGTTCATTATGATTCCTACGCCTCCTTATGGACCTACACAAGCTATCACCAAATCCCTGAAGGGCCAAATTATTGTCTGTCCTGACATCGCTACTTTGTATGCAGACTGGGAAGTGAATCTGCACCAAGACTATCCTGTAGTTCCACGGGAGTTGGAAGTCTGGCTTGATAAATAACATTCACATGACTTCATATGTAGAAATAACTGCGATGAACACTTTTGCTTTTATGTCTTCTGATCGATTCTCCCCATGAACGCCTTCTACAGGCTGGGGACTCTTTGAAAAGAAGACGTTCTGGCATTGTCTCCTCACAATAGTCCTCTCTTCCCTATTGGCAACCATTCTTCCAATTCTCGACCAATTTCATGAGGATAATCCTCTTGCACGTAATGCGATCCATTGCCGAGATAAACTGTCCTGATATTCCGGAATTGTTCTTGAAATCTTCTTGCACGAACTTCACCGACAAAGACGCCAGGGTTGACCCAGAAGAGCAGCTTTGGCAGCTCGCTTTCAGACAGGAATGCCATGTACTTCTGCGCCTTCTCCCACGTTTCCGGGGGCTGACCCGCAATGGGCAGTTCATTCGGAAATCTATATACCGGTTCCCTCCACTCTGGCTTGAGGAATGGTCTCCGGTACTCGAGCATCTCTTTGTCTGTAAGGGGTCGGACGACGCCGGACTGAAGGACTCTTTCGACGAAGAGATTCTGGTCTATCAGCAGAGTTCGGCCGAGCTGGGGGTCTCGGAACTTTGTGAACATTTCGACAAATTGTGGACGGAACTCTGCCCAGCTGTCCGACGGAGGTAGAAACTCCATGAAGGCGACACCTGCCACACGGGCTTCGTGACGGCGAGCCCAGTCGAGGCCTAGGGCGGATCCCCAATCGTGAACAACCAGGACCACCGTCTCATTGGGCACGACACTTTCCATGAATGCGTCCACGTATCTTTGGTGATCGGAAACACGATAGGGTAGAGTGGGAACCTTTTCAGAGTCGCCGAAACCAATCAGATCCGGCGCAATGCATCGGGCTTTCCCAGACACGTAGGGAATGATATTTCGCCAGAGATATGAAGATGTGGGGTTGCCGTGGAGGAAGACGACTACGGTCGATCCCACTGTACCGGTGTCGACGTATGCCATTTCAGAGCCCAAGACCTTTACTTTGAATTTTTTGAATGGGAAGGCTGACGATATCGGCTGCTTTGCAGAGGTTTCCATAATGTCACGTTTATACTGTGACTTGAATCAGTTATTCCACTGTCCAGAGCTTCCAAATAGGCGCTTCGCTGTCTTTTGGATTTATATGAAGATTTAATCCTTTTGTTGCCCAAGGTGCCTCACTGTCCACATATTTATTTTACAAAGGGGCTAGAATCTTTTGGCTATCTATTTTACTAATCACCGGCTCAATGTACAAAGAGGAGTAATCCATAAAGACAAAACAAGGAAAGGAAACCACGGATTGAGCCAACACTGAAGGCTCATGAGCTTCGTCAGTCTTCTCTGATATAATAACTAATCAAAATGTCTGGAAAGCGATTGTTGGGCCACCCTCGATCGCACCCGGAGCTAGTCTCGACACATTCTACATCCATAACGAATGTGATTACTTAACATTGGATTCACCACCGGATAGATCTTCCCCAACATCGCTGTCACAAAACACTGGAACCCGTCATCTGAGCCAGATGGGAGCCCAGAAGAGACACTATGAGCAGAGCATCTCTGTAGACTAGAGACTGGGAATTATACGTAAACAAGACAGGGACCCGCTAGGGTTCGCCAACTGGAATCAATCTTACGAGGGCAGTATCTTCTCACTTCACTCAAGCGAGGTGTCTATGCTGGTAGAACCCTTCAGGGACAATGATACCGGATTAGATTTCGGAGATCGTCCTCTACTAGGGGCTCTCTTGATCGATTTTGTGCTCGGGCTCGAAGGAACCGAGTATGGATTAGCAAGATCCGAGTTCCCCTTACAAAGTTGAACCGCCCCCGATCTCGCCTTTCAGTTTCACTTGGACATCCTTCATCTGTATCACAAATGCACACATATGCGAGACACCGGCGTCCCTCATCCCCACATAACGAAAAGTCGGCACAATAAGTTTGCCGAATGATTTATGATCGAAGCACAGGTGAGCTGCTGATGGAGAATTGATGATTTCGACATTGTACTCCATCCGCCGCAATCGATATCCCTGGTCGAAGAATAAATTCTGACTCTTCGAATGTGTTATGAAATCGTCTGGAAACTCGACATTGAGGACTCTCCATCGTTCTCCGTTCGGTCGCTCATGGGTCTCCAGCTCTCTAGTTTTGAATCCAGGCATCCGAAAGCAGAAAGGCATCGCCAAATAGTACTGGAATGCGTAGCCGACGAAGTAGATCAGATTATGCTCATCCCATGGTGTTGTCTGAGAGTAGCCACGAAACCCGTCTCGTGGGTTGTCCCTGATACTCAACGGTTCTTGAGAATCAAGCGGGCCTACTTCTGTCCTCGAGGGTGTGTAAACGCCACGAATATTCCCGAACTTGTGAAAGACGACTTTGCTCTGCTTTGTGTCGATCGTGAGACTAACTTCATGGATCCCCGGAAATCCTCTACCCTCAAGCGCTGGGCCAGAGAAATAAAAGTCCACAGCGATGGACTGAATGCTCTCCCAATATTTCTGCCCACCATTCGCCTCGATCAGTCGCTCAATCAGCTCGAATCTGCCCCAGATTTTAGAGAAATTCCAACCGATGCGAAGATGAAGGTCTCTTACTGGCTCATATTGCTCTCTCCGTAGGAGAGTTCCAGGTGGCAGAACGTATGCAGGCGTGGATAGCCGATATCTAACAGTCTGATAAATACCAAGATGGGGTTGGCTACCACGCTTTATCTATTGTTCTGCAAATCACCCGAGGCTCGGTAATCACGACAAATCGTACAACATCCTTGATGATGTGCCTGATGTCTAGATTATCCTATTTATAAGGGCCATGCGGTGCACTTCGTTCTGGTTGCCCCCGACACTTGAATGGTCTGACCGTGAGACAGATTTGTTCTGTTCGGCCTCAACAATTGACGCGCCCACGTATCTCTCGTCCGAGGCACTTCATCACATTCCGTTTACACTAATCGGATTGTCCGAGAGGACTTGGGGAGATATGCGAAGTAAGCGTGCTAATTGCAACCGGAAATGCGCTCTTTGGGATTCGATGGATAACTTTACTGTTCTGCCATAATGCATAAATTATCCTGATCGCCCACCGATGACTAGAGCTACGTTGATCACTGAACTTGCATAAACACTTAGTGATCTTGCCCTAATGCGTAACTTACTCTGATCATCATCAATGAGGAGTTGTTGAGCTGCGTTGATTACTGAGCTTGCATAAAGAACAAAAATGGAACTCGGACTCCATATCTACCCCACGGGCCACTATACCTAATCTGTGTTCGTTGGGATCAACCGTGGTAGGACATTTCCTAAGTAATTCCACGTGCCATTTAGCTACTATTTTCCGAGTGCTCGGACTATACGTCAGTGATTGGTCTTTCATTTTCCATCGCTGAGGCAGTCAGAGCTATGGGCGTGGTCTCTACTGACTCTACTATGGTAACCCTGTTTGGATAATGTTATATTTGAGGTGTGCGATACAAAGAAGCTGGAAATAGATCCAGAGCTAACCTGATCCCGTCTACTCACCATTGTGACTAGCTCCCCTGTTAATGTGGGCTATCCTTTCTGATAGATCTTGTCAAATGGGATGTGGAGCCAAGTTGGTTGAAAACTTGCCTCGCAATCTAGGGCCACAGCTGCTTGTATCTACAAGACCTCTATCCTACAAAATTGTTGAGTTCTTCTTTCACTTCGGGGAATCTGATTAATGATCAGGCTCAGTTAAGATGTTCCTCTTAGTATATCTAAGGGCGTGTACAATATCCTTGAGTGGATGAAAATCGTCACCCTCAATCTTGTCTCGTCATTCAGATTCACCAAACAGACCACCACTATGGCCACCGTCCGAAGCAAGATTGAACGTCTACTCGAAAAGAATGTGGAATATTCACGAACGTATCCCGGAACGTTCACACTCAAACAGTTGCAGGCTGCCCCGGGCCCGAAAGTTATGCTTCGTACGTCTGTCGACCAGCGCCTGTGGCCTCTCTCATGGAGGCGGCCAAGGGCGTGACCTTCCGTTCGCATGAGTTGATTTTCAACACTCAAAATGTCACAGGCTAATCATTCTCAGTGACCTGTCTGGACCCCCGATGTGTCCCAGAGAACTTCTTTGGGCCAGGTCTATTTGCCAGCTCCTTTCGTAACGCAGGTGGTCGGGTTACTGAGGACGCCATTCGATCCATTACAGGACTGCGTGCTCTTGTCGGAATGAAAGGAGTAGCTGTGGTCCATCACACTGGTCGTGAACATTTTACTGATAACTGGTCTTAATGCTAACCGGATGCATAGATTGTGGCGTGAGCCATATTACAGCGGAAGAGGTTCGTGAATTTATCAAACCTGGAGGTCCAGGAGCTGCGGTGGAAGTTGAAAACATTGATTATCAATTTTTCACAGAGGAAGGATTCGAAGAAGCACTCAAAGAGGATGTGAGAAAGCTCAGAGCACTGAAAAGTCTTGCAGGCATGGAGATATATGGATTTGCAATGGATACCCAGACCGGTCTCGTCCGGGAGGTTACCGTGTGAGCATCTTGTTCATACCGTTCATGGCACCATGCTGATGGTGATTCAGGAATGAAGGTTCAAAGATATAGGTAGCCCAGAGGGAACTGGGAGAGATCACCCTCATAATTGGCTAAGGAAGCACAAAGAGCAGGTGAATCGGTGGATTGCTCGACGCATCGTAGAACATGGCACCGACAAGCCAGAAATTTACGTGGCATGTTTAGCTAGGGTGTAGCCTTTGCTTCTACAAAAATCGTCTAGTTCACATCGTTGGAATTTCTATCGTTTGCCTTTGGTATTGTGTCAATCGCTACGGCGCACAGGCAGGTACAGCTCTAACGTTATTACTGTACTTACCTAGCCTAATAGTGAACAACGAGTCTCGAGGACTGCAAAAAAGGTCAAATCAAATAAATTGGTCTTTTTTGTTTTGCCAGCATTTCCACAGCTATTGTATAATTAGGAACCATCCCGCAACATACGCCAAAGGTTATGATGAACACGTGTCGCTGAGATCAACTCACCCACCACGAGGGAGCGATTGTGACCGGCGGACGAAATAGCACGAGGACGGACGAAGCTTTTGGGAACCCTGAAGCATACAGGTGAGGAGACGCAAGGTACATAGGCAAGCGAGAAGAGAGGTACCAGTGGTTGTCCAATTATGTAATGTTGGAGCTTTCTCTTCGTCTTCATCAACTTGATCAGTGATCAAACTTTTGGTATGGAAAACTGGCAAAATTTGATATTCTGGGACGCTTCACTCACGGCTCTCGCTTCTCGGCTTCGAGATTTCCCGTCCGTCTCATCTCATCCGTCTCCCATCTCGGGTGACACGGTAGCTTGCATTACGATTGGGCAGCAATCAATCGAGACAGTCGTGGCCGTGAGCCAACCCCTTTCGTCGACCAATACTAATCAATTGTTGAAGCAGCTTTAAGAATATATGGTGTTCAGAACTAACACAGAGTATCTTGCTAACTGCGAGATCGTGATTCGTGCTTCTGTCCTGGAGACTCAAAGATATACAAGGTCAAGCTATTATACATAGTCACGCGTGGTGCCTCTTTGACGAGTGCCACTGCTACAGCAATCGTTTTATCCCAATCTTGGTTTGGAGTTCCAAACTTCCAGCGCACCTCAGCTATGACCTCGCAACCATTCGCAGCCTCGTCAATAGGCCTCGACAATATGAAGCTCCCAAGCGATCTCGAGCAAATCTCTGGTCTGACCGTACAGCAAACCAAAGCAGGATTTCCAACGCTAGTTGTGTCCTTCGAGGGGCCCAATGACCCCATGAACGCGCAGAATTGGTCTGCTAGTAAGAAGTGAGTACATTATGGGGAAACTTGCAAGATATTGCACTTTTTGACATCGGATTTGTCTTTGCAGGTTGAGAAATTTCCTTGCGTATAGCTACCCTTGCTTTGTCACTTCCTTCTCATCAGGTGCGCTTTCTCCAGCCACCGGACAGATAGCGAAAGATTTCCATGTCTCCCCGGAAGTCGCCTTGCTCTCTACCACTACGCTCTTCCTTCTCGGATACACCGGAGGTATGTCTGCCTTTATTCTCATTGAGGCAGAAATCTGTTAACACTAGGCGTAACCTAGGCCCGTTTGTCTGGGGCCCATCCTCGGACTATTATGGACGCAAAATACCTATGATGATTTCCGTCTTTGGTGCACTTTGCTTCGGCGCCGGAGCCTCATCCGCGAAAGACTATCAGACGTTATCCCTATGTCGATTCTTCCAGGGCGCTTTTGGCAGCTGTGGCATTGTCATTCCCATGGCGGCTTTTGCAGATATGCTCAATCCGGAGTTTTGTGGGTACGCCGCCATTGTTTTTGTTTTCATCGTGCTATCGGGGCCTCTGATCGCCTCGCCTATCTCGGGATTTACTGTCGACAATGACTCACTCAACTGGAGGTGGTGTTCATGGTGGACCGTGTTTGCTAATGCACTGGCTCTTGTTTGCATGAGCTCTGTGGTCGAGTCCTACACTCCTTACCTCCTTCAGCAAAAAGCACTGAAACTCCGACATACCACTGGCGAATTTTCCATTCATGCACCACTCGATGAGAACAAACGCAGCCTGAAGCAGGTGCTCAAGATGCTTGCCACTCTTCCCTTTATCATGGGCGCGAAAGAACCTATTCTCGCTTTGATTAGCATTTACCTAGCGTTTGTATACGCTCTGGTTTATGTGTTCCTCATATCCTATGATCTCGTCTTTATCGACGGCTATCATATGTCTAGCGGTGTTGGCGGTCTCACCTTGCTGTCGCTGGTTCTGGGTTGTGGCTTGGGAGTAGCGGCGAGTATTCTGGATCAACGTCGCATGTTCCACAAAATGGCGTCGAATGGCGGACTCATGATTCCAGAATGGAGGATGCCACTGTGCAGCGCAGGCGCGGTGGCATTTGCCCTCGGTCTGTTTTTCTTCGGTTGGACGGGTGCCTATCCTGACCACATCCACTGGATTGTACCCGTCACCAGCGGACTGGTGACAGGTTTTGGCCTGTTGGTCATCTCTTACTGCATGTTCTCATTCATCATTGACGTCTACAAGATCAAGTAAGTCCAACCAAGTTCATAGCTTCATTCTTCCCTGCTAACTTCGACGCAAGCTCAGGGCCTGCCCTGGCAATGAATGCGATTGTTCGGAGCTCACTGGGGGCAGGATTTCCACTGTTCGCAAGACAGATGTTTGAAAATCTTGGGATACAATATGCCAGCACCCTTCTTGGGTGTCTGGCTGCAGTCATGATTCCAGTGCCGTTCGCCTTTTGGAGATGGGGACCTCGTATTCGCGCGAGGAGCACGTTCGCAATGGCTAGTCCGCCTTCAGATGCCATAAAGGCTGAGAATAGAGGAATGAGAGCAGATAATTAGGCTGGGTGAGTCCGATCGCAATTTCCAGGGCGAAGACAGCGCTGGAAAGGGAGTTATGGGCCTGAGCCTCCGAGAAGATCTACCATTGCATGCGGCACCACTTCGACATACTCAGAGGAGACGACCCCATACATCTGCGTGAGCTTGTGGCCGGTTTCATTAATATCAAGACTAATTACATAGGTTATAATATAGATTCGCTGCGTTTAACGAGAAGAACACGGTGAACTACCACTGCGCGTGGACCAAAATTTGGCTTCGAAAATCGATAGAATGCTATGAAGGATCAAAATCTCTGAGATAGCTATGACTCTGTAGTAGTAGCTCCCGCATTCCTAACCTAGCTTCATTTTGTGATTACGCAATAAACAAAAAAATATCGTGGCGATGACAATAATCCTAACACAGACGTCTCACTGTGACGACGTGATTTCAACTGATCTGGAGAGAATCTCGACGCTGTGGTCCTAGACAAGCTTCATGTTGAGTGGACCCCAAGGCATCACTGATCAAATTTAGTTGCAATCAGGAAACACTTTGTTTCGCATCGCAAATCCTTCAGGATCCACACTACTTGGAAGGGGCAAAATGATATTTGTGGGTGCATGCGAATATACCTTAGACATGCCACTAATAACAATCGCTAACCCATCTTCCACTCTGCACAAGCTATTGCCCTCATTGCGTCCTCCGACTGTTGAATTAGGTAAATGGAGCTTCGATATCTCGAGAAGTCTGAGTATGCTTACTGTAGAGTAGTTATGGCATTACAGTAGAGTCAAAACCCGGCTCCGACTCAATGAAATCTTGTGGTGTACGCAATTGAACCCCGTTATAGTGCAGCAGATTGTAGTTCTAGTTGGCTTTCTATGCAAACATTGCATGCTGGAGCTAGGCTTCGATGTGGGATGCACGCTTCGCAAGCTCCCCCCGATGTTGTTTGAGTCCCGTCATAGTTCTCATGATGGGATCCTGGACAGAATTGTTGTCAATAACGGGATAAACAAGGAGGCAGGCGTATGCTCGAGAAATTCGAACGTACATAAATCCACTTAGGTCCATAAGACTCCAGAAACCATGAAATACTCGCCATGGTACCCTTGTATATCTCACGCGCAGGATTCGCCACGAGAAGAGATTTGACCACTCTTTTTGCGAATACTGCAGGGGCTTGCACAGTTTCTGTACCTGATATTAGAGTTCCGACTATCAAACAGTAGTTTTAGACCAGATGCGCACCAGCCTCTCGAGCTCGTTTCACCAGGGCAGGTTCGAGCGGTTTGTAGATGGACGACTCCGGTAGAGTGGGAATCGAGATCAAAGAGCTACTGACCCGTCCGGTCACTAGCTCTACCACTCTGACGTCCAAAGGTTCGAGTTCCAGGCGGAGCGTATTAGAGTACTGCGACAGTGCAGCTTTGGATGCGTTGTATGCAGCAGTCATCGGGTGCGGCATAGCTCGAACCATACCTGTGTGGCCGGATGAGTGCCGGTTAACATTTCAAAAGCTTCGGTAGAGATGGGCACCTACTTCCATGATTGACGATAACACCTTTTGCGGCGATCAACAATGGGCTGAATTGCCTATTCATTTCCATAACACCAAAGAGATTGACATCGAACATGGCCTTGATCGCTTTCAAATCGGTTTCAATGGCTGGAGATTCGAGCCCTGTTCAAATTAACTTCCGTTCTCTTTGTCTTAGGATACCGACGGTGGGTGCCCCCAGCGACTCACATTGACCACTGCCAATTCTAAAGTCAGCCAGTAATCTCAAATCGGAACAGTCATCTCACATACGCGTTGTTGATTAAGATGTCAAGCTTGCCGCCTGTCCGCCTGCTCACCTCATCACGAGCTTTTGCTATCGACTCTGGGCTGGCCGGATCCAGCTCGAGGGGTTCCACGCCCACGACTCCCGATAGCGAGTCAACAGATCGGGAGCCGGCGAAAACTCTCAGACCTTGAATGCGTAGTTCGTCTACCAGAGCTTTGCCTATGCCGGACGAGCACCTATATCAATAGTCAGAAATGTAAGATGTCACTTCCAAGCAGAGCTCACCCCGTAACCAAGACGCTGCGTCTTTTGTCTTTGTGCACTGCCATTTTTGCCTAAAAGTCGAGTTCAAGATAGAATTGACGGCTGATCAACAGCCCTCATTATAAAGGATGGAGGCACTTCGATATGCACCATGACTTTGCCCAATTAGGTGTAGGCAATGCCAAGATGACTGATCGTGGAGAGCTCAGATGTGCGCTTCTTGATAGTCGAGGCTACAATGATCACAGCTTTGGTCGTACTGATTATCAGTGATCATTCGTGAGCAATGCTCTGAGAGTAAACAGTCCGTACGAAGTAGGACTTCTCATCTGCTCGGTCTGCGCCTATTGTGATGAATGATTTCTTTCGATCAATCAGATGGTATTGCGTACGCCATCATTGCAAACCAACCCTGATCAATGAATATTTCGAGCTATGTGTCGTGTAGTAGAGCGTCTAACGTCCAGAGAGGTCGCCGAGGACGCTGTGTACACGGAATTCCACCTTTCCGGACCTCACCAGCTTCAGTGGAAAACCGATCGATTACTCTCCGCAGCGGAACCGGTCTCCTGCGACTAGCATTTCATTGCAAATCGGCCCTTGTGCAGTTCCATCCGGACATTTCTCTGTGGTGTCCTCTTAGCACAAAATGTGACTCTCTACATGGGGAGTTTAGGTTCCTGTCCCCAATGTCATCTGAATTCCTTCGCACTGGTGTAAGACCTGGACGCAAACAGCGGCCTTGGTCTGCACCTGGCTTAATTCAGAGCCTGAGGTCTGTGCGAAATTTTCCTTGTGGGAGTTAATCTGTTAGTCTTTGACTATGTGAAGAACATTACACCAAGCGGTCTCTGTCTCTATACAGAAAACACAGGATTGGCTTTCCAGTCTCCGAGGCCGGCTAGAAATAATGTACCGCAACTTCTTGGTCTTTCTATCTCTTCCATCGTCTATAGATATTGTTCAAGCACCATCAACTGTACATTTTCTGACCCAACATTATACCGCCTTGGTCCGTCACGGCTCATGCATCACATGGCCCGGACAGAAAAGTCGGACGAACAACCAGATCGTTCACTAATCAGCGCCTTCTCGCTCGACATGAGTAGCCAGCATTAAGTGACAGCAGATGTTTCGTGATCACCGACGTTGTACGAGCCTTTCCAAGATTCCTGCTTACCAACTGCGACCTGAATCGCACTATCAGAGCGGTACATCTAGAGTCAGGAAGCCCCCCGCAGAGAGAAAACACCAGATGTACAGTTAAAGTACTTTCACTGACAACAGACGCTATGGCCGCGAGAAAAGTCTTGGTTATCGGTGGTTCGGGAGCCCAAGGAATACCCATTGTGAAAGGTCAGTCGCTCCGCCTACATGCTACTCCTGGAAAGAACTGACACCGTCAGAACTGTCCAAATATCCTGAGTATTCTGAAATCAGAATTATCACTCGGGATCCGGATTCCAAAAATTGTAACCTGCTGCTTGGTTACAGGGGTGTAACGGTCTCAGTCGGGGCTACCGACAATGAAGATGACCTCCGAAAGGCTCTGGCGGGAATCGACCTCGTCTTCTGCAACATTAATAGTTTCATTCTAGGCATCAAAAACGAGATTTACTGGGGTATCCGAATATTTGAGCTTTCAGTTCAGGCTGGTGTCAAGCACTTCATCTGGTCATCCCTTGACAATTTTATGTTCGACACAAAATACACGGACTCATTGCGGGCTGGTCACTATTACGGCAAAGCCGCGGTAGAGCAGTGGCTTTACTCTATCCCTCAAAGAGAAGACAGCACACGATGGTCCATTCTGACCACAGGGCCCTACGTGGAAATGCTCTCAGACCTCTGGGTTCCGAAGAGAGATGAGGATGGGACGTATGTGTTCGAGGTACCGATTGATGATGGCGCCATCCCGTTCGTGCACCTCGACGATCTCGGCCCTTATGTGCACTGGATCTTCTCTAACATCGATCAATCTGCCGGACTGAACCTGAAAGTTGCCATCGAGCATGTTCACCTCCACCAGATCCCCGAAGCGTTCACGAAGGTTACTGGAAAACCGGCAAAGGCAGTGTCCCCTTCACTTGAACATTGGTTCGCAAATGGAGCATTTGCGGACGTGGCAGAGCGTAAACTTGGTGCTTCGACTGCGGGACCAAACGACAATACTCTCTTGACATACCGGCAGAATTTCAGCAACTGGATCAGAATCTACCGCCAGTCGGCTGGCAATAAGGGCATTCTTCGCCGAGACTATTCGTTACTAGACAAGGTGCTGCCTGAAAGAGTCAAGACTCTCGAGCAGTGGATGAGAAAGGTGGAGTACACAGGTGAATGGAAAGAGGTCTTAAAGAACCGTCGCCGTGACCCATCTCTATAGGAGGTGTCCTACGGGTCGGAAACGGTATACCTAAGAGCGCTAGGTAGACAACAAATCTCTGTGGACGACAGCATAGGCACTTTAAGCCGCAGATTGCCCTCAATAAAGGCAATCGTCGTGCAAGGTATGAAGTTTCGAAGATGTATATGATGGCTGATACGTGTGGTCAAACCATAGAAGAGCCGTTCACAGTGCTGCCTGGATATAAATTGGTCAGCGAAGTATCCTGATGAGAGCAACTGCATGCTCAATTAAGCCCGCCTGAGAGTAGTTCCACGGCTCTTGCTGGTGCTGCATGATTGGGCTCGCCACGTGGAGAAGTGGACCCAAATGATCAAGGAGAAGTAAACTGTCTGTGGCCTTGTAGGTCCATGGTCAAGGCTGGCATAGATGACGGCAACTTGCCGATAAGAGGGGGTATCGGAAGTCCCAAGCTGTTCTTGCTGGAACACGGGGTTTGGATCAGTAATCGATGCTTGGAAAGTTGCGCCATTACGTAGAACCTTGCATTTCGCATCGATTACTCATCCATAACAAGGCTCCAGTGATCAACTCGGCTGATCAGTGAACTCGCATAAAAGGGATGACTGATCGCTGTCGTACTATCGCTCTTGGGCTCTCAATGCCAGGGCCACACTAACTCCCACGTAGAGGTGTCAATGTGATACGAGCCACGGTCAAAGATGCACTGGGACACTTCGGCAATGGGACTGGAAGTTGATGGCGCTCTACCCGACGTTGAGACCTTTGACTGGTCATCTCTTGATCTTGATGGGACATTTTCCGCTCCCGGCGATTATTCCGACCAGATCGTGGAGGAGCCAGCACTACAGCCGCTCCTTGGCGATACATCAAACTCAGGCAAAAAGACCGCCATTCATGGGACCAACGACAATGGCACTGTGATTGCAAAGTCCGTGGTTCGGAAGCCTCAAGTCCGGCAGAAGCAAGATGAGAAAACAACGTCTTCTCTTGAAGTAAGTTACTCCTGCTCCCATGGCTTGAGAGTCACTGAACTGACGTTGAGGCTTCAGCGACGTAGGGCACAAGTCCGCCTAGCGCAACGGGCATACCGGGAACGAGAAAAAGGCCTCGTAACGAGCTTGCGACAGGATGTCGACGACCTGAGAGCCCGCCTGCTCGGTATGCAGAGCATTGCGGACGACTGGTTCCGGTTGATATCCTCGATGCCAACCTTGTCTGAGGAGACCAAGCAACTAGTAGAACGGTTGTGGAAGAACGAATCCTGCCACCGATTGTCATTGCCCAGTAACATTATCGGGAATAACCTTGCCGTGAACCACGATCGTCGCACTCGCTCCACCAATCAGTTCAAGAACTCGGCCACTTATCCAACCCCCTTCTCATTGCGATTGCGGATAGATACTTTAAAGGGGGCGCATCGCTTAATCAGCGACCCCGGAACACCCTGCACGATACTCGTGGACAAGTTCCGCAATTGCATCTTCGTGTCGACAAGAGAAGAGATTAAACAGCGTTTAGAGATATTGATCAACGGCTCCGATGATGTCCCTGAGCCTCCGCGATATACCCTCTCGCAGCCAACCAACGAACACTGGCTTTCGGAATCGTCTATCCATAATCCTAAGATTGATAAACCAGACAATTTACGGGAAGATGACACATATATCGATCCGTCGGGTGTCCAAAAGTATTTGGCTGGCAAAGGATTGGCACTTGACCAGACCTCTTCCTATGCAGAATTCTCGGCGAAACCTAGCATAATGGAAGGTTCATCACTCAGTAAACGTCTTACTGTTTTTGATGAACTCTGCCAAAATCAAAAGGTTATGGTCAATATCAATAAGTTGCTTCGTGGTAAGTCACTGACTGCTTGCTGTATAATATTTCCAATGCCGCACTAAAATTGAAACGAAAAGCCATTGACAATTGTATGGAACTAGAGTTGGCCGCACGCATGGTCTGTCGATGGACTGGCCCGGGGATTCTGACGTCGGGGATCGATGAGGCTGTTCAATCAACCTTGCTGGCCGGTGGTTGAGACGAGGGCGGTTGTGGACAAACCGAGAACTGGCGAGAATAATCTGGGAGAGGAAATGATCAGGAGAACTAGTCAGCCTCCACTGCCACAAACTGTCGGCGCAGTTAAGGGTGAATGATGTCCTTCATCTCAAGCTGGCTTTTCTGCCTTGAACCACTCAACTCTTCTCAATAAAAACTTTGAGGATGGAGGTGGGGGAAAGCCTTCCGTGAACAGAGCTACGATTGTCTTGTACAGCTTCGAAGATCTGGGAAATCCGAGATGGAATTTGGAAGCAGATGTCAGGAAGAGCCCCTGCTTGGAATGGAAACACGGGCACAGAACATGCCATGTACGGGTTGTCCATCTTTTTGGTTATTGGCTTGCTCTCTCACTCTCAACCTCCTCCCATGCATCCAGACAAGCTTTGTTGAACTCGTTGGGACATTCCAACTTACATACATGGCCGCCCTTTACAGTTCGCCACTTACTTCCTTTGATAGCATTGTGGAGGTCGTAGGAGACCGACGTTGGGATTAATATATCCTGTTCCCCAGCGATAACAATGACTTTTGTCTTGAGCCCCAACTGCGAGCGTACCAATTCTTCTCGAACATCAAAGGATTTGGCCGTGTCCAACTGAGCCAAGAAACTCGATAGACCCATTCCCTCCACATCGTCGTCCATCTTATCCAGCTCGCGGTCCATCTCGTCCAGCATGCCTTGGTTCTCGGGCTTGCTGAAGAACTCCGGCGTCCAGCACAGGAAGGCGACGACACGATTTGCTTCGGCGACAGACATAGAAGTCGCAATCCGGACAATCAGCTTGGTCAGACGAACAAGGGTCGTACTGGGAGTCGCGAAGGTACATGCAGGTATTACACTGGCCAACTCGGCCTCCGCGCCTTCGGCTACCACGTCCAGCGCGTAGCGTTGCGTGATCATTCCACCCATGCTCACGCCAAGAACGTGGTAAGGTGTAGGGACTGGAAGTGCTTTCACCAGACTTCGTACGTCCCCAGCCAGGGTTCCAATCGTCCACTGTTCGCCTGGCGTCCTTGCTCGCGACGACAAGCCGACACCGCGATTGTCAAATGTCAGCACCGTGTACCCGGCAGCTGTGAATGCGTGCACTTGGTTGAACCAGGTCCCTTGTGTATCTCCTAAGCCGCTGATAAGAATAATCCACGGTTTAGCGGCTGGTGTCACTGTCGTCGGTTCATGGATCGTATAATTGATCTCGATACCTGGAGTGACCTCATGGTAACCTGAAGGCATCTCCACAAACTCCCGTAGGGGATTGTGGTGCGAAATCGGTCTGGAAGCTGGAGGCGTTGAGAAGAGAAGGCCACGAAACAAACAGGAAGCAGAAAAGGGCAACGCGTGAATGACTTTATGTGCCCATCTACTAGAGGTGGATGGAGTATGATAAGACAGTGCTCGACAGGTTAACTCGTGCAATCATTGGACGATGCAGGCGAAGTCAGTCACGGGTTGGTCGGGCACTGCTTGGATGGGCCCACTTGTGCGCCGAAAAAGAATTCTCGCGCTCCGGTCCCGTCCCAAGACTTCCGAGATATGGCTGGATGCAAACGCCGCGGATGTGATCTACGCTGGCGACAGTTTCCGAGGCTATGTGCTTTAGAGATGTAACTGTTGGCATAGTGCTGGGACAGTGTCTCGATTGAGTTAGCCGACTACCTTTTCCGCGCGCAATTCAAGTGTCTGTACCCCAGCACAGCTAGGTTCAGAATCTATGTTCAGCTAGATAACGATTTCTTCCAGCCACTCACCAACCAGCTTCACCGACGCCATGTTCTCCAATCATTGCAGATTTTGGCAGAGGCATGACCAATATATGAACGACTTCACCGCCGGTGGGTCGCTTTACCCAGATGTATATCCTTCGGCCCCGCTTGTTTCTTGACACCAATGCCCTGATCTCTTATAAATACCCTTCCTGAACTTGTCGTCTCCATAGAATCAAGACGAGCAAAGTTCCAGGTCTCTGCCACCCTGTTCATCGTGAGATGGCGCCACATGCAGAGGATGACTTCCTTTCCGGCACAGTGTCCGCGAAGCAAGCACTTCCCTATGTCCCGCCCCTCTATCGCAATCTCGATTTGCAAGCATACGAAGATGCTGCGACCGAATACCTTGCCTGGATTGGCATTCCATTCCACGAAGGAATCATAACGGGCTCCAAAGGGCTCTACTGCTATACAGCCGATGGCCGCAAGATCCTGGACTGGACATCTGGCCAAATGTCTTGCCTCATCGGCCATGGGAATCCAGAGATCGTTAGTGTCATTAACGAACACGCGGTCCACCTCGACCATCTTTTCAGCGGCATGATTTCCCCTCCAGTCATCAGCTTAGCGCAGCGTCTCGCCAGCGTTCTACCCAAGCCCCTCTCCAAAACACTCTTCCTGTCGACCGGAGGAGAGTCGAACGAAGCGGCAATTAAAATGGCAAAGATATACACGGGAAAGTTCGAGATTGTTGGACTTGGTGGGTCATGGCACGGGTTGACGGCTCAAGCACTGTCATCGCAATACTTTCACGGCCGTCGCGGGCAAGGCCCTCTAGTGCCTGGAGCACATCAGCTACCTTCCCCGAACGCTTATCGATCAATTTTCCGGAACCCTGACGGTAGCTACGACTGGGAGACCGAATTAAACTATGGATGGGAGATGATCGACAGAGCCTCGTGTGGCTCTCTCGCGGCGTGCATTGTTGAATGCATTCAGTCTGCTGGAGGGATGCATGTTTTACCGCCTGGATATCTGGCTGCATTGAAAAAGCATTGCGAGAAGCGAAACATGTTACTTATTATCGACGAGGCGCAGACCGGACTGGGTCGCACGGGTGATATGTTTGCTTTCAATCATGAAGGCGTGGTTCCAGATATCCTAACCCTGAGCAAGACTCTTGGGAATGGAATTCCGCTCAGTGCGGTAGTGACCTCTCCGGAGATCGACAGGGTGTGCAGAGAGCGAGATTTTATCTTCGTCACTACACACGTGAACGATCCGCTGCCTGCCGCCGTTGGTGATAAAGTTCTTGAAATTGTGCTCCGGGATAACTTGGTGGAAAACTCTCGCGTCATGGGTCTCCATCTCCAGGAGGGACTGAAGAAGTTGCAATCACGGTACGGCTGCGTCGGTGACATTCGTGGCCGAGGGTTAATGGCTGGAATGGAGATTGTGGGTGACCCAACCACCAAAGCACCATCAGCAGAGCTATCGCAGGCGCTGGCAAACAAGGTCTACGGGCTGGGGCTGTGGGCCAACCTCAGCAGTCAACCTATTTCCGGAGGAGCGTTTAGAATTGCACCCCCGATCACAACCACGCGAGAACAGATTGATGAGGGCTTAGAGATTCTGGAGAAGGCACTTGCGGCGACCGAGGGCTCTCTGCCTCTGTACTGATGAATCTGGGTTGCTGAAAGCGCGAGATACGAGTTTTACCTTCAAAATTTGCATACGAAAAGAACATGGAGGGGGGGGGGGGGTCGCGGGAAAAGTCACCCTTAGCATGAGCTGGAGATACTGCATCGTGAATAGTAGTCAGATCCGTCATCACTAGTCACGTAGTAATTGTCCAGTGCACAATGCACACACAACTCCGTTGGCCATAAAGGTGCAGATAAGATCCTTACAGAGCCCAGTGAAAAGGCATATCGAGGGCTCTCTAACTATCGTCATGCTCTCCTGCCGAAACACGCCACAGGTAGGGCGAATGCGGGAGTGTAGATAACCTCGGTAAGCGACTCTCCAGTTGTGCAGAACTAAAATGGTGGGTAAGGCGATATATTGGCATTGTACGCGCCAGATGTCTGGGCGATAAGGTGATATTGGAAGGTTCTAGTGCGTATCTCACCGTACAGACACTCATGGTTGTATAGCAAGTCAATATGCCTCATTAGGAATTGAGACAAACGTGGTCGGCGGCGGACAGCTCGACCCACTTATGGATCCCTCCTGTCCGTACCGAGAACCACCTTCCGCCCAAGCCCAGAGATAAGGAAACCGAACGAGTACAGATTAACCATTGAGCATGCACTTTGACCTTCCCCACGTCGGTGAGGTCTCATTTTCATTGGTGAGAAAGTTATTGTCGGTTGCAATCTCTCCAGATGAAGAAAATGGATCTGGGATGGTTGGCAGCTCGATACTCAATACCGGTCTCGCGACTCTGTTCGAGAGCCTCAGGTATTTAAGCAGTGATTGTAGCACCACCATTCGACCATGTCCGATATCCCACCAAGTCCCTACACCTTGCCTGCCTCTTGCGACTGATCTTGATCAACGCTACTTACTTCCCTTGACGATTCAACACCCTTTCAAATCCCTGTCCCAGGTGATTGAAAGAGGCTCTTGTCCGCCAAGATGGGTGTCGACAAAGAAGGGGCCGTCGTCGAAGGCCAGATACACTCGGACTCGGAGACTGGAGAACGACGTGCATCCGCTCCGGGAGAAGTAGGCTACGTGCCCGAAGACAATCGGGAAACTGATTTCTTCACGCGTAATGGGCTCAACCTGCGCAGTTTCCAGCGACGTGAGTTCGCCGATGATGATCATGAGTATACTATACCTGCTTTTCCCCGCCTAACAAAAACCCCTTCTCACTAGGTGACTGGGGCACCGGCATCGAGCAGCTCGACAGGTCCATGAAGCCCCGCCATTTGAACATGATCGCCATGGGAGGGTCAATTGGTAGTGGTTTCTTCGTCGGATCTGGCACGGCCTTCACTGCCGGAGGGCCAGGAGCCGTCTTTATCTGTTTCTGTATCGCCGGTATCCTCGTCTTCAATATCGTCCACGCCCTAGGAGAACTCGCCGTCATGTATCCCATCTCAGGTGGCATGTACACCTATTCCGTTCGCTTCATTAGTCCTGCCTGGGGCACAGCAATGGGTTGGAATTATGTGAGTCTTATTTTATCTGCCTTTCCTCGAGAAGAAGAAAGAACGCGTGATATATTAACTCCTCCTTAGGCATTTGGATGGTTGGTGGTCATGCCCCTCGAGCTGACCATCTGTTCGTTTACCGTTCAGTACTGGAACAAAGACATCAGCCCTGCGGTGTGGATCACCATCTTCTTCGTTTTAATCGTGGCCATCAACCTGTTCGGCACCCTTGGGTTTGCGGAAGAAGAGTTCATTGCGTCCCTTTTCAAACTCATAGCCACTATCATCTTTATGATCATCGCTGTGGTGCTGATCTGTGGCGGCGGACCCGCGGACGGAATGTATCATGAGTACTGGGGCGCACGGCTGTGGTATGATCCTGGAGCGTTTCAGAACGGATTCCGAGGCTTCTGCGCCGTCTTCGTCACGGCCGCATTCTCTTTTGGCGGCACAGAACTTGTCGGGCTTGCAGCGGCCGAGGCAAAGAACCCCGGCGAGTCGATGCCCGGTGCTGTCAAGCAAGTCTTCTGGCGGGTCAGCATCTTCTACATTCTCGGGTTGGCCCTGGTGGGCCTCCTGGTCAGCTCGACCGACGAGCGTCTTCTCAGCTTCCAAAACCCTTATTCCGACGGGGTCTCGATGTTTGTCATTGCGGGTAAGAACGCCGGCCTCAAGGGTTTCGACAGCTTTATGAACGTCCTCATCCTCGTCTCGGTCGTCTCAATATGTGTCTCGAGCGTCTACGCCGGCTCCCGCACCATAACCAGTCTGGCACAGCAGGGCTATGCTCCGAAACTCTTCGACTACATCGATCGGTCTGGACGGCCGTTGTTTTCGGTCCTGCTGATTCTCGCCATGGGGCCCATCGCCTACATCGCTCTGGCGTCCTCGGGCATGCTCGTCTTCACCTGGCTGTATGCCCTCTGCAGTCTCTGTCTCCTCTTCACCTGGGGCTCCATCTGCGCCGCCCACATCCGCTTCCGGGCCGCGTGGGCCAAACAAGGCCGCTCTCCGGATGCCATCCCGTACAAGTCTCCTTGCGGTGTGTGGGGATCTTGGCTCTCGCTGGCCTTGGTCGTCATCTTCCTGGCCGCCCAGATCTTCGTCGCCATCGCGCCTCCCGGCACGACGGAGCTCAATGACGCCGAAGGATTCTTCCGCTCCGCCGCCACCCTCCCCGTGATTTTGTTCTTCTGGATCGTGGCTTATCTCATGAAGCCCCAGGGATTGGTCAAGCTGGAGGACATTGATTTGGATCTGGGGACTCGCAAGCACGACTGGGACGCCATCAACGCACAGAGGGCCAAGATGGCATCCTGGCCATGGTGGAGACGGATCCTCAACGTTATATGGTGACCAGTGCAACAGAGGAGATCCTGAGAGCGATCCATGATGGGTGGTTTACAGGGAATATTTTGGGCTGAGCGTGCTCTCACGCACACACGAATATGGCTGAGTTGCTCCATCACCTAGTCAGGAATACTAGAGGCAGATTGCCGCCTTGGACATGGAGAATGATGCCAGGCAGCAGACACCCAAGGACAACAAGAAGCAAGCTATTCCACGAAACTATTATTGTCCGCTGCGCTTTTAGGTTGCTGAGTTGCTTTTCCACGTCTTGCAAGTCCCCCTTCACTTCCAGTTGACCCAGTTGCACTCTCAGCGGGAGGCCACACGGGGTACGCATTATGGACAGAGGGAAAGTGAAGGTCCTTAATTTGATGTTGATATTGCTACGTGCTGGTTGCTCGGCGCTGTCGTCTGCGTCGACTGGTTATCCCGCCTCCAGAGACCCGTTACCAATCTTGGGCCCCGGATTGCCCGTCACGGTGAGTGTGGTGAGGAACTGGCTGGCATTCACAGAATCCAATTCCTACGATCAACGATCCTCTCCTTTTAGCTACGCAATCAGTCCTTCACGCTGCTACGACCAAACTAGGTAATTTCATATTAGGATATTGCCACCCCTGTTTCCACTGCGATACTTAGCTGTCTCCATCCATGTATCGTAGGAGCTCTGGATAGGTTTGTCTCACGGCATTGCTTTCAACGTCCCCATCTCGATGAAAAACAAGTTAAACCTCGGAAAGGGAGGCTGGGCCTAGACACAATGGCTGGGCTTGTAGCATGACTCCGATTTCATTTCAGTATGCCTAATATATTTGTATTCAAAGAGGGACAGGCTCGTCGAACCAGGTTGCGTAGATGTCGGCTCAGGGATCAAAACTGAAAGTATCTTGGTCGAGGAGGAAATTATCGGTACACCAATCGCCAAAGATCTCGGGAAATAGTTCTTCGAGGCTAAATCCATCCGCTTGTCCGGGTAGAGTGAATGATGGAGGCTGCGAAGCAAATGTGTCGTCAACTCCATGAATCGGCAGAGTCGAATAAATTGGATCGTTCATTTCATGGCCCAAGTTATTGGGCCGGGGTGGATAATTCACAGTCGTCGTCGCAGTAGAGGTAGTCTTTGAAAAGATAGTCGTTGTGGGGAGGTCATCTATCCTTTTCAGAATGGACTCGCTCTGTGAAAGGCACGTCTCTGCGAGATCCCACTTATCCTCCTTACTGTGCCTTCTGAGGCGATCGATCAAGGTACGAGCACTGGCCATGCACCGGTCCCTCGTGGCTTGGTCGACTGTCTGATGCAGAGCGCAGCGTAGGAGTAAGGTGACAGCCGAGGTGAAATGGTGGGCATTGTAAGGGAGCCAGAAGCCCGAAAGGTCGCTCCTGGTCAGTGACATTACCAGGCGGACGACGTCTTCGGCAGCAGCTTGACAGGACAACAACCTGGAGTATTCGGTGACACCGTCGTCCGGACTCGTTTTCAGTCTCAGGCTGTGCTCGTGCCACGCGATACGGCACAATAGCATCCGCACGGCCAGGTAGGAAAGTTGCAAATTGACCAAACCCGGAATGTGCGAGCGTGATTGAGAGAAGTCCCCAATCTTCAACCATGTCGGTAAGTCCTCAACCCAAGAGTCTAGCTGGACTTCAAGTCGAGCGGTTCTATCCGTAGCCGTGGACATACCACCTCGCAGTCGGTAGATCATAGGTAGAACCTCGCCGAGAATTTCGGTGAGATGGCATAGTTGAATGTAGATTTCGGCGGCGCGGACGTGCTTGGGAGATTCAGATCGGCTTCGAGGCACCAGCAGGTCAACGGTCGGGACCGGCACGTCATATTGGTCTTGCGAGATGTAGGGAGGTGTGCCTTGGGCAAAATTGAACCAGCGATCTTGCACCAGGAGTCCCCACCAGACTTTGCAGCGGGTGCGCTTGTCGAGGTCACGGATTTTCCATTTCTGGCAGTCGTGGTTCAAGCCAACAATGTGTGCGAGCGCTACGCACCGCGCCACATTAGTGGCGTTGTTCACCAAACGCTGACACGGGCGTCCGGACACGCCTATACACACTGTAGCTATTGTGGCCACGTCGCCTTTTTGGATGCTTGCCGCGTTCAAAGCCACGGCACTTTGCCATGCCAGATCCTGGTCGGGGCGTTTGTAGGATTCAAGACCAGGCGACAAGTCCCAGTGGAAAAGGGCGTGTGAGATAAGAACGACCAATAACAGTTGCGGTAGTTGGTGTCTCCCGTTCCGTACTCGGGTCATAATATACTCTTCGTCAATGATAGGGTAACATGGTGAAATATGATCGAAGTAGATTGACATCAGCTCCTCCAGGTATGGCTCTACCTGGGCCAACAGCTCCCGTGGGGCATCCCTCTCGCACTGACATCCCGTCGGACTCGGCATCCGCGGAGGGATGGGCATGTGGTAGATCGGATTCTCTTCTGGGTCTTGTCGGCTCTGATCCGAGGGTGATGGCTCATGGCCCCGCGGCAGGTACTGGTCGAGAATCTGTTTGTCCCTGGCAACAACAGGCCCAAGAAGGAAAGCATGGCTTTCCAAAGCCTGGTCATCTGCGAGACGTGATCGATGTACGAAGCCGATTCTAGGAGCGGCATTGCGGGTGTTGGCGCCGTTGGAGCTTGCTAGAGAGCAGGGAATGCGTTGCGTGTAACACCTTATGCACCCTTGTCCGGGCACTTCAACCACACATCGAGACCGACGCTTGTGACAGCGCTCACAAGCAGGATATCGATGGGACCGGTACGGCCGTGCGGTCTTCATAATGGTTGCCGAAACTGTTCCGAGCCTGGAGGGAACATATGGATTCGCACAATTTAAAAGTCCACCCAGGCCACAGGGCACAAGAACCTTTTCTTAACATGGAGCCTGGACTCCGTAAATGTCCATTTGCTGAAAAAGCGATAAAGGCATGGAAGATAAGATAGAGAGACATCCACTAATCTAAATACGGTAAGCTGATTGCACGTAGCTTGTTAGCCAATGGTGTTGTGAGAACGCAGCCTTTTAGTGGAGACACATGAGCCGAACAAGGAATACAGCAACGAGTATTAACTGCAAGAAGTAGATTCTTTGGTCAAATACCGTTGAGCGAATACTACCTGTCATGCTTCATACTGTAGCGCATCGTATATACCTGTACAACTACTACAGAGCCCTGCGCCTACTTTCTTCCCTCTGCAGAAACACCGACTCACTAACTCAGGGACCGTGCAGTATGATCGACCTTACCTCCCTTCATACCCTACCCAGGATGGTACCCATCCATATGTACCATTTCAGAGGCAACCAGAGAGTGAAGAACAGAGGCGAAAAGCGGAGAAAACACATAGAAGAGAGAATATTCATCATCATAATAAAACAAAAAACAATAAGAACAACTGCCTATCCGGTAGGAGCCATTTTCGTGTGATATCTGTGGTGTGGGTATGAGTCTCAACGGTCTGATATGGTTACATAATTCCAAGTTTGTTCTTTATTTAACTTGAAACAATATTGTGCTTGGGTTTTACAATTCATCGTGCTCTTCGGGACCACCGTCATCGGTGTCAGCCACGAAAGTCTTTGCAGCGTCGACGGCTTCGCTGACGGCGCTCTTGACGGCCTCCTTCACACCAGAGCTGGCTTCTTCAGCGACAGTGGTTGCGGCGGGAGCAGCCTTGGCCACCGTGTCGCTCGCAGCAGACGATACACCTTCCACCGCGTCATCGTCGTCGTCGCTCTTCGCCGCCAAGCCGTCAACTCCGTGCTTTCCGCTGTCGCGGATGAAAGCTGCGAGGTCCTCCAGGGTCCGCGAGCCAGAGTAGTCGACCGGGGAGTCCTTTGCACCGGCTGGGTAGAGCTTGATGGTAGGGAAGCCGGCAATCTCATCGGGGACGTCGTTCAGAGTGGCGTCGATCTTGGCGACTGTGACCTTGGAAGAGAGCGCGGGGGAAGAGTACAGCTCGGCCAGTTTCTCGTAGGTAGGAGCAAGACTAGATGGGCATTGATCAGCACAGTGCTTTGGCAATTTTTGGAGGGACTCAAGGGCAACCAGGTCTTACGCTTTGCAGTGGCCACACCATGGGGCGTAGAATTCGACAAGAACATCCTTGGAGTCGTCCAGAACGATATCCTTATAGGAATGAGCGACCACGACCGTCACCGGGCCTTCTTGCTTGTCCGGAATGGGTTCCGACTTGATACTGGGCGCAATCTTGCCGTTGACAAAGTCCTTAACGAACGCGCCAATCTTCTTCTCGGTGAGGGAGTTGCCCTCGAAGGGATATTTCTCATTCTTCACAGTCTCCTGGATGGCGAAAGATGGGAACTTGTCGGTAGGCAGGTTTAGGTTGCCCGCGTGAGCACCGAACGCCTTTGCGTCGATGGTTGCAAAGTTGATCTTTCCCTTGTACTTCTCGGCCACTGGTCGCAGGGTTTCGGCCAGGGATGTGCGTTCTTCAGGAGTTTCGGCGAAGATGTAAGCGAGAGGGATACCGGCCTGTTATCTCATTTAGTCTCCCGGCTTGACATGCAGCTGGCTCGCACTTACCGCCATGTAACCAGCGTAGGTCTCGGGGCCGACCTCACCGACCAACGGTGTTGATGCAGTCTTGATAAATTGGATGATGGCATTCTCGTCAAAAGTCTCGCTGAAGGTGTTCTTTCCTTCGTCAAAGTCCTTGTACAGGACCAGCGCGGGCTGCTTGACACCCTCGGCCTTTGCCAATGCGGCGTCATTGCTGGCGCCAAAAATGTAGTCGTCTCTCAGAGACTCGGCGAGTGTGGTGTAGGTCTGGTTTGACGCTTTGTCGTCAGAGGAAATGTAAGCTACCACGACGACCTTGTCGGTGGTTTTGAACTCTTCGAGCGTGTCGGCGGTAAGAAGGGAGACAGCCGGTAGTTGCTGCTTGGTCATGTATGAGACAATCCTGCGAAAGTTGTTAACACCTCTGATGTGGCTATCTTCAAAATCGAGGCTTGACATACGCTGGCGCTTTTCTCGCGCCGGGGTATGGCTTGATGTTATCAAGACCACGGAAGACTTTGACGGTGGGATAACCCTCCACGCCATAATCCTTGCACAGATCTCCTTCGGCAGTGCAGTCGACCTTGACCAGAGGAATGTTTTTTTCTTTCAGTGTGGTGGCAGCCTCTTCGTATTCTGGGGCGAGAGCCTTGCAATGGCCGCACCAAGGGGCAAAGAACTCTGCGAGGACCAAGTCGTGCTCAGAGACAAAGTCCTTGAAGTTGTCGGTCTTGAGGTCGTGGACATCGCTGGCGGATGCAAACCCGGCCAGGGCGAGACTGGCCGCAGCCAGGGAAGCGAAGGTGCGCATAGCGATGGATCCGAGGGGGAATGGGTGTTGGAGCGCAAGGGAGGAGAAGGAGAAGAGAGAGGGCGTTGGGAAGAACGAAAATAGGGTGATTGTTTGGAGGACAGATAATATTATGTATGTCGCGCGTCAGGGGAATTTGATGGTGAGCAGACTTGGGCTGGCTTCACCAGTGAAGCAGTGAACAATGAGGAGAGGTGTCAACTATTCAAGCAGCGAGTCCAGTTAACGAGAGTCGGTCCCCCGTTACCTACGGAGTACCAATGTGCCTTATTATTAGCCATAGAGTAATAACTACTCCATAATCCGGACTATAACAGCCGCCACCCCCTACTGCTCCCACCTTACGCCACAATGACAACGGCCCCTGAAACGCCAAATGCTCAGTCTGGGTCAGAGGGTACGCCTACAAGGGGCTGGATGTCCATGCGTCCTTCTCCGTACAAGAGAGATCTATCCCATTCTGCATTATAGGAGCACAGTGGACTGTGTCAGTGGTCATGTTGCAGTTGTTTCGAAGTCTACACCCAGCCACCGCCTCAAAGGGTCGAAGAGACACAGCACGGTCAGATGTCAAGTTAAGGCTCCTTTCGAGTGTCAGAGAATGTATTTCTAAGCATTGATGACTATTCATTCCCTGCGCTCCAGCCACAACAATAACAGTATGTCTCTCCCTATCCAATCTCGGTCACTCTTCTTCTGATAGAACAATGGTGGGTATTGCAGTATATCGAGCACCATCTGCCTGGCCCTTTCGATGTCCTTCCAGCTCCAGTGCCATTTGATATGCGTCGGCCTTGCCACGGTCAACGTCGACCAGTAGCATCAGGGGCAGCGGCAGGAAGATGAGCACCGCCAAAAAGACAAACGCAGGCCGAATTTCGCCATATCGATCTGTAATCGCTCCAACAATGGCCGGTCCAAAGATGCTCGACCCCTTGTCGGTAATTGCGTACAAGGCATAGAATGCTGCCTCAAATCCAGGCGGAATGAGTTCCCCAAAAAATGCGCGACAATAAGACGACAACCCTCCAAGAACAAATCCGTAAATAGCACCAAGAGGGTACATCTCCCATGGTTGTTGAAGTCCAAAAACACCATATCTTTTGATCGCGGGGATGAAGCCCAACAAGCCATATAACGGAATGATCTCAAACAAGCAGATACATGCCACTATTGTTCGCGATGCGCGTAGGTTGAAGATGCGTGAAAGGAAACTCCAGTAAAATGCTCCGAGCACACCAGCAATGGTCGCAATAACATTAATCAGACCCAGTGCTTCGGTTTTCATCCCTAGGCTTGTTTTTGCGAACAACACAGCAGTTCTGGGTCATGGTCAGCGTGTTCACTGGTTGAAATAGCCTTAGTACTTACCCGCTCACAGTAGCAATGCTATCACTGAGCAGAAACCACGCGCAGAGAAAAATCACAATGTCCTTGAGTTTCCTGGCGTGGCCAATGGTCTTAAACAGTGCCTTCCAGGCATACGTGACATACCCAATCCAAGCGTATCGACCCTTCATTTCATCCGGCAGTGGAGGCCCAGGTCGAGGACGCAGCCACATAGCTGCTGGTATGCTGAACGCGAACCACCAAAGCCCGACTACCATCAGAACTAGACGTAAGGAGAACGTAGTAGATCCGGTAGCGACCACAATCAGAATAGAAATAGTCTGGACGAACAATCCGGCAATATAGCCAATGCCAATTCCATTGGAAGATATTCTCGTAGAGAGTTTGAGCTCAGGTGAGATGGTTGCAGGTGATTCTTCAGTAGGAGCCGTGCTGTCTGGGCGATTCTGCAGCAATAGAGCCGAGGTCGAGTTGCCGTCTTCGCTCTCATGGTACTCTCCCTCTCCCTCGCCCTCTGGCGTATTGCCCCGTTCCCCTACACGGGCGATGGAGGGATGATGGCGCACCAAGAGGGGCAAGAAAGAGTTGAGCAACACAAATGATGCACCAAAACACGTGTTCGCTATAATGGCAAGCAAGGCTCCCAAGAGGTATACACTGGGTACGACGCCGATGAACAAGGCGGTTGCGATTGCTCCAGTGAAGGCAAAGACCAGCAGAAACGTCTTTCTGAACCGACCGTGGTCGGCAGCGGCGGACATGCTAATGATCAGAAGTGCCTGGATCAGGACACTGAAAGAGAACGTGTACATGGCGAAACTGGCAGTGTTGATCTCCATTCCAAGGATATAGACCACACAAGCTGGCAACTCATTGTGTCGGTGCTTAGGCTCGTCGAAGATGGTGGCATTAGGGCCCACGCCATGATCCGTTTGCCAGCCTGCGCGACAGTGCGTTGTCTTGTCCTTCAAAAGCACGCCTTGGTCCCTGGCGAGCTGCTCAAGGGTTATGGGGAGAAAAGATCCTGTTCGGAAGAATCAGCGTCTTTTGCCAATCCTCTCTTGTCATCGACTCCCGCACTCACCCATGGCGCAGATTGCAAACACCTCGGCCGCCCAGCCATAAGAGTACCAGCCCCATAGCTCTTTCTGGCTCGTCGGCCGGGTATCCTCGTCTGCGTGTCTTCTCTCCACCTCTATATCCGCCGATTCATCCATGCCGGAACCCGAGAAGCCCCAAGAGGACTCCTCGTCATCGGCTTCGTCGGAAGGTGAGGGTGACGCTATACTCGCTGTATAGTACGAGGTCTCGCGGCGTAATAAGGGGCTAGTGGAGGATTCTGGGTCTTCATGCCTGGGAACCTAGGCGACGAGGAGTGTTAGAGACGGTCTTGAAGAAGTTCTGCTATGTCCGGATGAACAATGGACGATCAACAAACGCTGGTGTTATGCGGCGTGCAGCGTTGCGCATGACGATTGGCGGGCACTGACCATTGTGTTTGGACCCTGGAGTCCTTCCCTCAATAATCCCTGGAAGATGCCAGCCACCGCCTGGTGCTTACGGCAGGGTCTTCAACCAACACATGTCGCGGCACCATCACGGACAAACTCCATATACAAGGACAGCAGTAGCGTAGAGATATCTGCTGGATCGTCCCTTAAGACGGAGGAGCCGAATAAACAACAAACATACTAGCCATCGACCAGGCCCCATCTATGATAATGGCATCGGAGCGCAGATAGCTTAGTCACCCTCCCGACCACGTACTCGCTCTGCGATACCTTGTAACTGTAAGAACATTCCGAGTACGAATGCGAATGCGGATACGAGGCCAGTGCGCTTGTACTAATATGGGCCTTCCGACTGCCGCTTTTAACCGTTCCCTCTGTCTCGCCGTCTGCATCTTCCCGTGGTGCCTCGTGCCTCGTCTCCTCCTCCACTGAACTCTCGTAAAACACGTTCCTCGCCGCTCTTGAGCCTTGTCCATCCTTGACTCCAATTGCTGTGGCAGTCCAAGCGAGAGCCTCAGAGCCCTGGTCTCGGTCCGTTTGCTGGGTGCCTTTTGCTTTGACCAGCCGACTTTCCGCGCGTGTTGTCATTCATCATACCCGCCATCAAAACCCTTCGCAATTCACACCACCACAAATACCAAACAACCACCATTTCATCCTCTACTTCGGCTCAGTTGGTCTCTTCTGTCTCTAGGTCCATTTGCCAGCCCACTCGAACCATCTCACCCGATTTTTCTCCAACTGGAAAACAAGTCACATTGATCTCCGCAAATCTGTCCGGCGGCACTGCCGCAACCTTCGATCCTCCTCCTTCTCTGTCGACCGCCCTTTATTCTAGACCAACAACAAAGACCTTACTCCCGTCACTCCTCTTCCTACTTTCTGCGACCGGTAAGAGGCATTCCGGCTCGTTCCCAAATTTTCTCTTTCTAACTTCTGCCAACAAGGTGGATCGAGATCGTTGAACAAGAGTCGCACGGAGTTTTCGAGTTGGAAGTTATTGGTCGGCCACACGAGCGCGCTTCAAAGTGTGCCGGCCATGCAGTATCTGATGGTATATTTCGCGTCAATATGAACGGGGATAGGCCCATTGTCAATGGCGAGCGCATTTCGAATGGCGTTCAACACAGCCTCTCGAGTTCAACCTCGGATGTAGCGCAGGTCAAGGAAGCGCAAACCCTCAAGTCTGTTTCTGCCTCGACTCACGAATACTCGGCACTTTCAATCAATGGCCAGCATGTCGCAGGGCGAATTTCCGGCGCCAACGCTGGGCGAGATATCGCAAATGGCCTTGAGCAAGCGCCTCAGGAAATCCTACAATTGGTACCCAAAGACAGTTATCTTCCAATGGCCACGCTGATAAGTCGGGCTTCTCAAACCTGTTGGAATGGCCTGGTCGACCTCGTTGGACAGCTAGCCGAAATTCAAGTACCTCAACTTCCTCCGGAACAGACCAAGACCTTGGCGAATAACCTCCCGAATAATCAGACAAAACCAAACCTGGACAAGAAAGATCGGTTGATGAAATTTGCCAATGAGCAGAAGGCCGACTTTATTAAACTTCTGGTGCTCCTAGACTGGAGCAAGAATGTGGACCAAGTCAGCAAGACCATTTCAATCAACTTCTGGTTGATGCGCCGCCGACAGGCCTATTGGAGTGTCATATCGTCCCTAGCATTCCTCAAGCAAGACTCTGCAGGATTTCAGGTTCCCAATCCCGATCTCAAGGTAGCCGCAGAGGTTCTCTCGAAAGGAAAGGTTAACAAATTTCCTACGTTGGGCTACGTGCCGCAAAAGGATCTTTCCGACAAGCAGATTCTCCGGCTGCTAAGAAACTTGGACCACGCATTGAGTGTCAAACTCTCTCTGGCCACCGACCTACCCGCACAGCTTCGTCGATTTCGTGTTCACGACGGCCGTGCGACTTTTACGGTCTCCAACGAGTTTGAGCTTGATGTTTCAATACTAAGTGAGGCTGAAGGTGCACAATTTCGCATGGTGGATTTTCGATTTCTCTTCTCGCCGGCTCCTTCCGTCAATGATGCATTACACTCGGAGATCGAGCGCCTTGCGAATAGCAATATCGACCGAGATGGACTTAACGGTTGTTACATGTTTCTTCACGAGCTAACTTTATCCTACAAACTGGCCGAATATCACCGACAAGCTCTGGAGCTGTCTAGAGGTCAATGGGCTGGAAATTTGCGCGTGGAAATGATTCGCAGAAATCTTGTCATACAATACTGGACCGAAAGACATTCAACCAAGAGCTGGATCGAATTCGGTATCTCAAGCGGGCGAGACGTCGAGCACACGACTGGAGCAGACCCTGTCCCAAGTCTTGAGGTAAAATGGATGCGCCAAGGCAGAAAGGTTGATGCTCTGCAATTGTGGTTCGACGATTCCAGACTTTCGTTCGAGGATATACTTCGCCAAATCACTGCGCAGCATTCCACACAGCTACTTGATAGCATCTACGACAAATTGATCCTTGCACCTTTGTTTGCAGAAGGTGAACTAGCATTGCAACAAGATTCGTCGGAAGATGACCCTGATGAATGCTCTCTAACGATGCAATTATCCCGGAATTCAGAACTCTCACTCAATGTGGATGCAGTTAGCGGAAGTCTGGTGGTGAGCCCTGTCAGCGAACGGAGTGAACGACTGCAGTACGAGATTAACCGTGTGCATAATGCGGCGGATGAAGTAGTGTCCAAACTATTGAATTTTAGATGCAGTGTCATGGAAGCTGCAACTCTTGCTGCACTGGCAGGTACAAGCTGGAAATCATTACCTGCCTTCCGGCTCACGCATGCTGAAATCAAGACACTGTTCGGGCCGTCGGTTATACGAATTAACCTTGTGCGGCAGGTTCAATGGGGTCTGAGATTTTTCCTAGCGGTAACTCATGGACAGAACGAGGACAAATGGTGGTTACTGCAGCGGACATCAACCACACATGCCATTTCACAGGCTCAATTCCAAATCCTCAGCAGCCAAACAATCGACGTCAAGGAACGGTTGAGTCCAGCGTATTTCGAAAGGCTTGCGGACTATGCGACTGGTCTTATCTGCCTGCAGCGCAACGTCGACTTTCTGCGGGATGCCAAAGCCAAGTTTGACCTTCCTTCTTTCCCAATCTTCGAGCAGAATTATGCGCTCCCAGAATTGACATTTGAGCTGGACGTGTCTAAGCCGACCTTTGCGGGCCAATTGCATGCTGCACAAGGTTCCATCCTACCACCACCTGCACCGACACCGGCAGCCTCCCCTGCACCATACAAACGTATTAGACTGCAATTCGGAGGGATTGACCGAGCCATGGGTCGTGTTCTGACCGTTGCCAAAATTCAAGATGGTGCAAGCAAGCGAATCCTTCAGCGCCTGGACAAGTCCATGCTAGGAGATAATGTCAGTCTTGATTCAAAGAGTGGAGCGTTGACCATTCATGTACAAAATTCGACATCTGAAGCGGCAGTCCCTGCTATTATCGACAAAGCCATGAACCTGGAGAAGAGTCTTGCCATCATGGAGCAAATTTATCGCCTGCCAGCGGTGAAGTTGAAGGCTATCTCGAAATCCTCTTTTACTGTCTCCTACCATGATGATGGCCCAACAGAACTTGGTGTAAAGATCACGATTGAACCAGCATCACCAATACCTAAGCTCGAATTTTACCCACCTGACACCAATCCGCATGTACATCTTGCTTCGCAGTATGCCAAACTCTTCCAGTCGTCACGAGTTCCTTTTTCGGCGAAGATCGGCGACTTTATGACCTCTTTAATATTGACCTATCCAATGGCAGCATATTTACAGAGTCTCCAGGGAAGACACGGGCTGGATGCGAAACCTCAGCACGCAACAGCAGAAAAATCAGAGTCGGATATTCGAGTGCATGTCCTTGTCAGAGGTGTGGCCGCGTGGGCGGTCCAATACTTTACTACACGAGCACAAGCTCCTCCTGATGTCGGGACGCAATCGCAACCACATCTACTGGCACGGCTGGAAATTGTGCAACACGTTAGCACGTCCAATAAACCTATGTGGTTAGTCCGAGCTGCACTCGAGGATTTCCAGTCCTACTCGAGGCCATCATATGTTACCCCAGCTCTACGCACAAAACTGCGTCAGGAAATCTTTGCACGATCTGATAATCAATCGAGGTGGCTTGCACTTGACAACGCTGCAGCATGTCAAGCAGACAAGCCTGAGCCTCTTCTCTCCTCGATTCACGAAGTCATGTGTGCGTGGGTCAAACAGCCTCCAGAACCAACTGCAGCCACTGTCCAGATCCTCCAGGCAAGGAAAAAATCTGCTGCGGGGCAAGATAATGTTCCGAATGGCACAAACAGACCCAAAGCGGGAGGCAAGCTACAGACAACGGGGATTCCCATGCCTAATGGATCGATGAAACAACGGCCTTCGGTCTCCAATTCGAGCAGAGGTGGAAAGGGACCTTCAGGCATTTCCAGAAACTCCGAGGTCATCACGCTGGATTGATCATCCGGCTTCATGTATAACGGGCAAGGCGTTACTCTTCTTTTTTGTAATGATTTGAGCTCCAACGTGCAGGTCGTGGATTTTACGCGTTCAAAAAATACCCCTTGTGGAATGGGTTTTGGCGGGATAAATGGGAGGCTTGGTAATTGAATCGATCTGCCCACGGAGCATTTGTATCCGCGGGCGACATTACGACTGCTGTATGTCTCGATGCACTGAATGAATAGAAGGCTTTTCTCTTCGTATCCCCGAGAAGCCATTGACGAGCTAGATATCGCTCCGCATAGTATTAGTATGAGAACTCTTCTGCGTATTCCAGTGGATCATCCCAGTGAGTTGAGCTTTTGTAGAATGAGAGGGATCACAACCAGTAATTCTACGTGTGAGTCTTCTGTCATCCTGCAGGTAGTATCTATTGGGTAGTCTGCACGGATTGCGGATCTTGTATAAGGTATGTACCTGACCCCGTGGATGATGCGTGGTTGGCGAGGCTGACGAGGCTGACGAGGCTGACGAGGCTGAAGACCGATCGATATATGTGGTCAACGCGTCACGCGTTTCACTGTGTCTGGGACGCGTTCTCTTTCTCCTTGTCTCAGGCTGCGGAGAAAGTCGAAGTCATCATATATTGATTGACGTTTGCACTCGTCATTTCAGCGTCGCCGAAGAAGTAGATGCTCCAGACTTTACGGACGAGGTCCAGATCCAGGTTTCCACATTCTCGTCGTAGCACAATCGCAGCGTTCCGGAGGCATCGAACCCTCCTCCTCGGACCACTCGATCCTTTTTCTGTCCCCCCGGTGTACAGCGTCGTGGCCGCCACCATGTCGTTCAAACGCAAAGCGCCTCCGACGTCGGCGGGTGATGACGCAAAGAAACCCAAGAAGAATTCGGACCTCACGTCGTTCTTTGGACCGCCCAAGGTCAAGACGGCGACGGCGACGAACAATGGCGGACTTGCCGGTGGCGGCGGCGTCGTCGCCGAATCGGCACCCACCCCAAAGTTCGACAAGGACAAATGGGCCTCGGGGCTCAGTGAGGAACAGAGACGGCTTCTCAAGTTGGAAATCGACACTCTCGACCCGAGCTGGCTGGCGCAGCTGAAGGACGAAGTCACCAGCAACTCGTTCCTGGAACTGAAGCGGTTCCTGCAAAAGGAGACGGCGTCGAGTCAAAAGATCTATCCGCCGATGGAAGACGTGTACAGCTGGTCGCGACACTGCCCGCTGCACAAGGTGCGCGTGGTCATCCTCGGCCAGGACCCGTACCACGGGCACAACCAGGCCCACGGCCTGTGTTTCTCGGTGCGCCCGCCGACGCCGGCGCCGCCGAGTCTTCGCAACATCTACACAGCCATCAAGAGAGACTACCCTTCCTTCAGCCCGCCGCCCAAGAGCGCGGGCGGCCTGCTGACGCCGTGGGCGGACCAGGGCGTCCTGCTGCTCAACACGTGCCTGACGGTGCGCGCGGGCCAGGCCAACTCGCACGCGAACCACGGGTGGGAAAAGTTCACGCAGAAGGTCATCGACACCGTGGTCAAGCTGAGAACGAGGGGCGTCGTGTTCCTCGCCTGGGGCAGTCCCGCGCAGAAGCGCTGTGCCGGCATCACGGGCGCCAGGCACCTCGTCTTGAAAAGCGTGCACCCGAGCCCGCTGAGCGCGCACAAGGGGTTTTTCGAGTGTGGTCATTTCAAGAAGGCGAACGAGTGGCTCGAGAGCCGGTACGGGCCCGAGGGAGTGGTTGATTGGAATCTTGACGGCAACAAGAGTGTGCCGATGAAGGGCCCCGCGAAGGATGTGCAGGGACCCGTCAAGGTTACGGAAGATCAAGTACCGTCTCCCAAAGAAGACGGACCCGTGACAGAGATGGTTGAAAACGGGGCCGGGTGGAATGGAGAGAAGAAGGACGACAAGGACGAGTTTGAGGGAGATGACGACGACGACGCAATTGCGGCACTCGAAGAGGTCGCGAGGCTTGAAGCTGAAGCTGAAGCTGCAGCCCATGGGACCGGGAAGGTGAAGGAATGAGTTGTCGAGAGAGGTTAGAACACTTCTCGTCCTCGCGAGGTCATTGTTGCGAAGCCACCGAGTAGCCGCTTGTCAAATGAGAGCGTGCGAGAGAGAGAAGGGGGGGGGGGGGGGGGGGAGGAGTACCGAGCGGGTGAGCATCACTTCGGGACTCAGCACCGTACACCGTGTCGTGAAATCATGTCAAAGGACGAAACCTCAATTCCCACCCAACACACCTCGCGCAGGCGCGGACTTGTTTTGTCCAAAACAAACAAAAGGGGGGGTTGGCTTTCGTCATCCATTCTACGGTGTCTGAGAGACTTTCATCACTTCGACACCAACTCCTATCCATTTTACTGTCTGTGGGCACTATTCCAACGCAATGCAACTCGACGCAGCGCAGCTTCCGGAAAGGAGACGAGGGCAACATCGACATCTACAGGGTCAACGGCAACCTACAATTCAATACGCCAGTGCGATAGTTCAATCGACCACCCATCGATCAAAAGATGTACTGAAACTTGATAATTGGACACAAAATAATAACACCGGAGTGGTCAGTCCATCTGAAAAAAAAAATCGAACTGGGAAAGTCTCGTATTCAAAAGCCACCACCATCATCATCATTCGTTGTTATCTCGGTTCGGACACGGTGCAACTCAACCCCATTTCACAGGGATCCAAGCTAGGGGAGGGTTGGCGTTACGGTTATCACGGTCCAAAATTTACTTTCGGACTCGACAGTGTCTTTGTCAATACCAAAAAGTGTAATCGACTCTTTTCATTGTCTTGGGCTTGTCACTGGTCTTTTCTAGGGCTTTTCTTGGGCTTGCTACCTGGTTCGGCAGAGTGGAAAGGAAAGGAAGGGACGGGGATTCATTTCACATCAAAACAGAAGAACACATGAATTCAGCGTGGGAATATCGAAATGAATCATCTCGCAAGTTTTGCGCCATTCTTGACTCTTGCAGCATCTCATGGTTTCCTATATGGACCCACGAATTATCTACGTGGGTATATACGCTAGTTCCGGTCGAGTTCAAGCGTGCATCTCTGGATTTGTCGTGATGTGACCTTTTTTTTGTCTTCACCCCACGTCTAAACGAGCAATATAAAAAAAGGCTTTCCTAATAAAACTTTCCCACGCCCTGAGCGTGTCGACGTTGACGTTGCTCAATGCTCGACACAAGGAGAGTAGCAGGCGTGTAAACACCGCTAATACTTGTACAATCCCTCCAATAGACCTTTGATCTGAAGAGCGAGAACTTTGGAATAGTATCTGCACAAAGCCAGATTTCCGCCCATGAACCAGAATCCTATTTCAGCGAGTGCCAGGTTAGAAAAAGGGGATCTTCGAAACCGACGTAGAAATACAGGGAATGCCGGCGAAAGCTAACAACTACGCATAGACACGAACGTACCTGGGTGTCCCGATTTTCTCCAGATCGTCCTCATTTCACCTTCGGCATCTGTAAATAACACGACCATATTAGTAAGGAAGACCCTGGAGCATGATCGGATAAAAATGTAGATGGATAAACAACTCACCGAATCCCCAAATGTCGCCGACACGGTCTGCAAGTTCATCGCCAAAGATCTCTCTTGCTTGGGTTCGCATATTTGCTGCGCAGAGAAAACAATGATTAGTATCGAACCCGCACAGACCAAAAGAATATAATGTCAGGGGTAGAAAGCCAGATGACTTACAATAACCGGTCGCAAAGATGATCTCGTCAGCGTCAAGCTCACTCCCATCCGCAAAACGCAGCCCGTGAGCTAACACCTCTTCGATTTCCTGACCCTGCTTGATCTTGATCTTACCGTCGATGATGAGCTGAGAGCCGCCAACGTCAATGTAATAGCCTCCGCCGCGCTGGAAGTATTTCATAAACAGGCCTGCGTCTTCGGGTCCACGGTCCAATTTGAATCCAGCCTTGGTGAGGCCGTCCAAGGTTTTCTTGTCGAATTCGGCCTGTGCAGCCGTGATGTTGACTTGCAACGCCTTGAGGACTTCGCTGGGCAGACTGTGCAGCCAAATGTCTGCGTCATCGACGGGGGGTCCGTCCTCGGAGTAAACTCCCTTCAAGCCAATTTCGGTAATGGCTTCACTGGATATAACGCAGGTGGTCGATCGCTGGACTAAGGTGACGTCGTAGCCTTTTTCGTAGCTGTCCGAGACAATCAGCAATCAGCACCTGAGATAAAGTGTCCGTGAGGGAAATCGGTAGGAAGAAGGAGCCGTGAACTTACAAATCTTGCGCAATGTCGTGGCCAGAGTTGCAAGATCCTACGACCACAGCCTTTTTGCCCTTGCCATCCACTCTGGCTCCTTTGAACTCGGACGAATGGCAGAGTACATCGCCTTTGAAGTCGGAAAGTCCCTTAAGGTGTGAGGGAAAGTTCTTCTTTCCTGAATGTCCTGTGGCTTGAATAACGTGCTTTGGATGGAGTGTGCGAGACTCTGTGGTGCCATCAGGCTTGGTCCGGTTGACTTTGACAGTCCATTGCTTCTTGCTTTCGTCCCATGAAGTCGACTCGAGCGTGGTTTTGACCCAGACATTCAGTTCAAGTAATTTTGCATATGAGTCGAACCATTCTGCTAACTTATCCTTGGGGGCTTTTTCCAATGGTCAGATATCATTACCGCCAGGGTCACGAGCCGGAAGTAACTTACTGAAGATGGGCCAGTGAGGAGGGAAGTTCAGATACGGCATATGGTCTACCGAGCGTTAGTTGGTAGAACCTCAGGATAGAAAAGCACTCGGGATGTCACATACCGTACCAGACTGGATCATGCAGGACTAGCTGGTGATATCTCCGTCGCCAATTGTCGCCAATGGCATCTTCTCTGTCGACGATGAGAGTGTCAACGCCAAGCATCTGTAGTCGAGCTCCGACTGTCAGGCCAGCTTGCCCGGCTCCTACGGAACTGTTAGGAGGATGGTGCCGACAATAAAGAACTCAAAGAGCTAGACGTACCAACAATCAGCACAGTTGGCTCCTTGCCCTCAAAATTGATCGCGGCAGTGCGTCTTTCCTGCCAATTCTTTCTGTCTGGCTTTCCACCGTGCTCGACGCCCTTCGTTCTTCGATGGTAGATTGCTTGTTCATGGCCTTTGATGTCATTGAGGGTAGTGAAGAAGGTAAAGATCTTCCATTGACCATTTTCCTCAGAAAGACGAGCGAGGCCTTGACCTTCACCGACTTTGGAGGTAAAGGTGAAGAAGAATTGCACTCCTTCCACGTCTCCTTTTCCATCGAATGGTGCGAAATGCGGAGATCGGTAGGGTGTACTGTTGTCGATCGTGATCCCAGTCAAAGGACAGCCATCGGCAAGGAAGGCCAGGATTTTGTCACTCCCTTTCGAGGTATGGAGCTCCCAAGAAACACCGAGATGATCTCGCCAATAGCCATCGGTCAGGAAAAGTTGAGCGATTGCTTTGGTGTCCTCATTTTTTAGAGCCGAGTTGAAGGAATCCACGATCTTAGTGGCAATATCATTAGCATCTACAGCCTTGGTGTCGGCTGTTTTGGGCCATTTGCACAGTGGGATATTGATTGAGCCAGGCTCGCAACGGTCTTTCGAGATCGTGAGGCCGGGATTGGTCTGTGACTGGATCTTGACACTCATGGTTGATACACACTCTGGCTGATCAAAAAAAATTATTCTTGCTTGGAGGAAGAGAGGATTTTTGGATGAGAGCTCTTAAGAACAGCAGCAACTTCAGCAGGTTTTAAGTGCTTGTCATTGCGGTTCGGCTCAGCGGGGCAGGGGGGCTCAATCGCTAGAAAGCGCACCAGTCTTCGGGATTGCCTAAATGAGAAATCCTCAAACACAAGTGGCAAGAGTAGATTGTGTTGTCATGGGAAGGAGGACCCCACAGCTTGATCAGCTAAGTTTGGTCAGGGTGGTGATGCTCATTGACGGTGTAGAAGTCCGGAAGACGCCACCATTGTTGTGGTGGAGGGAACAACATGAAGATCTCCTCAACTCCGGTTCCCCGGCCAGGTTCCCCCGCGCGCCCCGCGTTCGGACTGGCTCACGATGTCGACCAAGCCGCGTATATGTGGTACAGGCATGTACGAGGCGTATCTCCAACGAGGAGACGTGTTTAATCCGGCGGCTGCGCACAATTCATGCCTTCTCCAGCCTTGGAGACGACGGCAGCCACGACAGTCATTTCTCGAGGCCGATTCATTCGTCATTGAGCTGGTACAGTCTGGATAGCAACTCGAAGTTTGCCGCCATGGTAGGGCTCGTCCCCACCAGATCAGAGATATACCTGAGCATCTTGGTACACCACAGCTCGTAGCTTGGAGGAAGGGTCTGTCGCAACCGCTCATCCTCAGAGTTTTTGAAAGCATTGAAAATGAACAGCTGACCAAATAGTTGTCCGGCACAGAAATACTTGAGAGGCATAAAGTCTGGCATGGCGCAGAGCCGGTCCCAGAGCAAAGGCCAATTCATTGCGAATTTCAAGGTGCTCGAGCACATCTTCAAGTCATTCTCTGTAGCTGCGGCGGGGTTCGATAGTGCTTTGTAGAGAAACGGACGACCCAAGTGAAACATTGAGATCCGATAGCGTGCTTGGAGCAATGCTACAACTACGGCATCACTGGGACTGTCGAAGACTGGTTCGGGCTCGTCATCTACGAAACGCAAGGCTTCAGGCATATTAGCACGCCACTGCTCCCTAGTGGATGTTAGTATTCTATACTAGGGAGCCCTGAACAAGCAGCAATATCAGAGCCGGCGGTTCCTGAATACTCACAGCTGATGCCGCAACTCCTCGGCAAGCGCAGTTGAAGGATTGCTGAAGTAAAGCTCCTCCCGAACTCGGCTGAGAATGATCCTCACAGCAATTTGTGCAAGAAAATGGTAGTGATAGTAGGCATCGTCTGGATTTCGAGCGCCTGACTTGTTGATATAAGGATACGTGGTGAATTTCGGCAAGGGGACAACATCCTCCCACTCCTTAAAGCCGCTCGACGGCAGCTCCAATTCTTGAACAATGACGCTTTCCAGCATGAGAGCGCTCCAAAATAGTCGCGAATGCATATCGGCGACCCATTCGTCAAGAGGATCGGGCGGACATTTCCAGAATGCCGCGCAGATAGCGAATGCCCGACCGGTCATCATCCACTCATCCACTGGGCGCATGATCTGCATGAAGAAGACGGCCGAAGACAGGTGGAATTGACAACTCTGAATGTCCCTTTCGCATAGGCAAAACCCTACGCGTTTACGAGCTTCGTTGAAGAAGCTTAGTCCCGGGTAGTCTTCCTGCATGATCTGTCGGACGAGAGGTGTCGTGTCTGAGTGCTCCGAGGTATCGAAACCGCCTTCCTCGAATGCTTTCAATCCCATGCAACCCAGGGCCATAACGTTCAGGACAAGACAGGACTCGATGTCAAATCCAAACCCCTCACGGACAACCACAGCAAGAGTGTTCAGGAAGTAGAAGTCCCGATCGATGAACGGATATACACGGTTGAATGTATCGAAATAGGCATTAGAAAGAACCTTGACGCAAGACAGGCTCAGGGTGGACAGCCATTCCCCTGTGGGCACTGTTGCCGCTGCTTGTATCGTGGGTTCCAGGAGCGGGCGATTGCATTCCAGATGAGTGTTAAAGGTTGTCTTCATATCTCGAATTGCCGTAGAAACGCTGGGGGGTAGAGAAGAGTGCACACCTGGCCAGTGGATAGTGCGGTGGGCACTGAACGATAGAACGCTTCCGGCTGCCGCTGGTTGACCTAGGGGTCTGCTTGCCTGAGTGAGAGGAGACGTTATTGGTGCATTAGAGAGTACAGAGTCAATATGATAAGGGCTCGTTGTGGAAGCATGGTTGACCTCGTGTCTATGATTTGTGGGAGATATTGGGCCGGGGCTATTCGGGACTGAAAGGTGATCGATCTTCGATTCCATCCTCCGCAGAGTGTTGAAAATCATGCTCATTGAGGTTTCGTTTCTGTAAATGGTTGGGTAAGTAGGGTTTGGGAGGCCAATGAGGGAGCCCAGGCTTACTTGGTAGGCTTGCGCTCGACATAAGTACACTCAATGCCGAGCTGTCGACAGAGGCTACAAGGCACGTCTTCATCGCATCTCGTTTTCTTTGCTCTGCAGGCCTCACATGCCTATAGTGGTCGTTAGCCTCATGCTGGGACGATTGCCCAGGTGCATCCTGTGCAGATCTGATCCATACCTGGCGAGCGATAAAATTGCGCTGTCTTTTCGCGGGTCTCGAGTCATCGTGGGAGCTCTCCCGGTCTTGAAGGGAGGGTTTCTCTGGGTTTACCATCTGGGTCTAGTAGTGCATGAAGATGGTGCGGATCAATGACCAGAGATTCCAAGTATAGCTCGTGTCAAAAGTCGTTCTCTACTTTGGTCATTGTTCGACAACCCCAGCCCGATTGTTGTTAGAAGTTCCTGTACGAGTACGACAGGAGAATAATCGTTGCGTAGGATATTGCCGGGCATTGTCGGTGGCTTCGGCCTACCTGCCTTCCATAAACTCACCTAAGTCAATCCTGTAGGTTAATGGCTGTCTATGCCTAAATAGCCTTAGCCACCCTACCTAGAGCCTAATGTTAAGTGATTAAGTGATTAGGTGGCTTAGGTAAGCACCAACTTATCAATTGCCCTTGATGCTCATAGAAGAAATGGATATCAAATGAAAATTGGATCAAGTGCTGGCTGAAGAGCTATGGTATCTCCTTCGCATGGCTTGCGGATGGCGCTTGGTTTCACGGTAGGGGTGCCATTAACTATGATTTCGATAAGACGCTTTGCTACTTCGTACATTTCATTGGCATACCGAGAACTTGTCAGTCTTCCTCCGAGTTCACGAGGCATTCAGGACAGGCAGGTCGCGAGATCCTGGGTTGACTTGCCTTGACTTCCTATCGGCACCCGCGTTGCGTTAAGTTGCCGGCCGTCTAAAAGCTGTGGTATCTCCATGGACCGAGAAACCTATCGTTGTATTGTGACGTTTCACGCCAGGATGTTAAGGTACCATTGATGATATCGACGGCGGTAAGTGTTGATAACTGCGGGGGGAAGCGATAGGCGGGATCTACGCCTAAAGACGCCTGGAGATTGTCTTATCAGGCTGTTTCCAGCTTGCCCCAGAGAAGCCTAGAGCCCCTGTGGACGCCACAATCCAGCCTCGTTCCAGGGGCCTTCCAGGTGTAACCATGAGGCTGATAATGCAGATCAGGCTGAGTCTTGGCCTTTTCAGCCACCATCGCGGACTATCGAAGCTCTGACCTGGAATGTCACGGTAGCAGTCCATGAGTCTCGCAGCATCTGGAGAAGGAGAGGTACCGTTTGAAGTTACATTGCCTATATTCACTGAACTATCGACGCTTGTTCGCAACATCACCTCGATTCGGCGTCATGGAGCTTAGGTTCACCACGAGGGTTGCACGGACTGTCCTCGTCGCCCCCCCAACCGGCGCCATAAAAACGATTCACCGACCCTTCCCTCCCGACCACAGTCTGACGGTCTGAGTACACCACCGAGCAAGATGGTTTGTCTCCCGGTCACTGCTTTTGTCTTCGGACTCGGCATCCTGACAAGCGTGGTTCAGTCTGTCAAGGTCAACCCTCTTCCAGCACCACAGTCGATTACATGGGGATCTTCCGGACCGATAACAGTCGGCCCAAGCCTGACTTTGAGCTCACAATGCGGAGAGATTGTCACCGATGCGTGGTGTCGATCTTGGAACGCCATCAGCACGTTGAGATGGGTCCCAGCAGCAGTGGAGGCACCGATCGCCAAGTTTGAAGCTTTTCCTACCGAGACACCATCATCTTATAAAGCTAAACGGGCAAATTCAAGTCTCGCCCTCGTCGAAGTCAGCATAGCAAATTGCGATGCAGATTTGCAGCAAGGCGTGGATGAGTCGTACACATTGGCAATAGGGCAGTCTTCGCCATCGATCAACATCACCGCAAAGACGGTGTGGGGTGCGCTTCATGCATTCAGTACTCTCCAACAGATCATCATCTCCAATGGCAACGGAGGACTCATTGTTGAGCAGCCAGTCTTGATCGAAGATCACCCCAACTTCCCATACCGTGGAGCGATGATTGACACGGGTCGCAACTTCATCAGTCTGCCCAAGATTCGTGAACAGATTGATGGGCTGTCGCTGTCAAAGATGAATGTACTTCACTGGCACATGGCTGACGCACAATCGTGGCCTGTACAGATGCAAGTCTACCCAGAAATGACCCAGGGCGCGTATTCTCCACAAGAGACATACTCTCACAATGATATCCGTGACATCGTGTCTTATGCTCGAGCCCGTGGCGTTCGTATTCTTCCGGAGATCGACATGCCAGGACATGCGTCCCAAGGCTGGACGTCGGTTGATCCGACCATTGTGGCTTGTGACGGTTCTTGGTGGTCGAATGGTAAGTCTCGGTTGATAACCTTTGCGCAGAGCCTTCCTGATGATTTTCCACAGATGACTGGGCTTTACATACTGCACTGGAGCCCAACCCTGGGCAGCTCGACATCTTGAACAACAAGACGTATGAGGTCATCAAGAACGTCTTTGGTGAACTTGCCGGCTTGTTTGGCGACAATATGTTTCACGTCGGTGGTGACGAGCTCCAAACAGGCTGTTACAACTTCAGTACAGCCGTACAGCAATACTTTAGCCATAACAAATCCAGAACGTATGATGATCTCGTGCAAGTCTGGGTCGACAAAGCTATTCCCACTTTCAGATCAGCGGCGAACAAGACCTTGATGATGTGGGAAGATATTTTGAACGCAACGCCCCACGCTCATACCGTTCCAAAGAACATCATTCTTCAAACTTGGAATAATGGTTTGGAGAACATCAAGAACCTCACCGCTAGAGGATACGACATTGTGGTGTCTTCGTCTGACTTTTTCTACCTTGACTGTGGTTTCGGAGGATGGGTCAGCAACGATCCGCGATACAACGAGATGGCGAATCCCAATGCTTCCGTTCCGACGTTCAACTACCTTGGAAATGGAGGGTCGTGGTGCGCACCGTACAAGACCTGGCAACGAATCTATGATTACGATTTCACCTTAAACTTGACAGCCAAGGAAAAAGGCCACGTCCTGGGGACCGAAGTACCTCTGTGGTCTGAACAAGTTGACGATACTGTGATTTCGACCAAGATGTGGCCTCGAGCTGCTGCCATGGCCGAACTTGCGTGGTCAGGAAACAAAGATCCTCAGACCGGCATCAAACGTACAACCCAGATGACACAACGAATCTTGAACTTCCGGGAATACCTCGTGGCCAATGGGATACAAGCCGCACCGTTGATGCCCAAGTACTGTCTGCAGCATCCTCATGCTTGCGACCTTTACTACAATCAGACCGCGCTTGCAGACTACTCGACTGTTCAGTGAGTTGTGAGAGCGGGCTGCTTCGAATAATCCTTACTGCTGCCTGTAAGGTGCAGACTGATAGGATTAAAAATAATTTTACTGCTTCATGCACGCCTAATTGTACAGCTCAGTAGCACAGTACGCACAGGCGTCAGAATTCGGGAACGATAGATTTGCCAGGGAGAGGAGAGCGATAATCACTTCCGATCACGGAGACGCTTGTCCCCGTGCGTCATTCAGTTCCCGAGGTCTGTTTTCGAGACGCATGTCGTTTCTCCAACCACAGGAAGACAAAGCACTAGCAAACACTTCCGAGAACAGGGACTTTGCGGGTAGAATTTCGAGAAGAGGGGCGAAGGGAGGGGGGGGCGGTGTGGAGAGGCAGATGAAGCGGGTCTCCAATGCGTACTCGTTCCTTGAGAGACTGCCTACATACCCATGGAGTATTTACATACCTATGTACTTCCCGACACCATCGTCATGGTCTCTGAACATCGTGAATTTAAATCCATGAACATAAGACAGGTCTCTTGCGAGGGATTCAGAGCGACATCCTGACCGATCATGCCGGCAGCATCAACAGCCAACGGTACCAACGGCACAAATGGCACACAATCGTCGCCGTCCAAATCAATACCGGTGACAAGTGTCCTCGCGTCGTTCGTCGCCCACGCCGACCCATCCTATCTCACCGGCCACGTCCGCGACAGACTGAAAGAATACATCCTCGACTTCATCGGCGTGACCATTGCCGCGGGCCAGACGTCCGACTCGACGCCCTCCTTTCTGCAAGCCGTGACCACGCTCGGGGGGCGCACGGGATCCTCGACGGTACTGGGCCAAGGCAAGCACTTCACACCGCAATACGCGGGGCTCCTCAACGCCGCGCTGGGCCACAGCCTCGACTTCGACGACACCTACGCCAAGGGCACTCTGCACGCGGGTGTGACGGCCATCGCGGCGGGGCTCGCGCAATCCGAGCTCCTCGGGTCCGCGTCGAGCATCGACGACTTCCTCGTCGCCGTGGCCGTCGGCTACGAAATCACCTGCCGGCTGGGTAAAGAGCTCGGCAACGACGCGTACGCACGCGGGTTCCACAACACCTCGACGGCGGGCATCTTCGGCGCCGTCGCGACCATCTCTGTCCTCAAGCACCTGCCCGTGCAGACGGTCCTCGACGCGTTCGGCATCGCAGGATCCAAAGCTGCGGGATCAATGCAATACCTCGCCAACGGAAGCTGGAACAAACGTCTGCACCCGGGGTTCGCGGTGCACGACGCCTTCGTGGCGGTGGCGCTCGCCGAGGCCGGCGTGCTCGGAGCCGCCGACATCTTCGAAGGCACCTTTGGCTTCCTGCACGCCTACTCGCCCAAACCGGACAAGGACCTCGAGTACCTCACGTCCGAGCTCGGGACGAGGTGGGAGTTTCTCGAGACGTCCCTCAAGCCGTTCCCGGCGTGTCGCATGACGCACGGATTCATCGAGCACGCGGCCCGTCTGGGGCGGGAAAAGGGCCACACGAAGGCGTCGGACTACAAGAGCGTCACACTGGCCCTGAGCCCCGCGAACGTCAGCGTCGTCGGCGCCCCGATCCCCAACAAGGTCCATCCGGGGAACATGGTCGACGCGCAGTTTTCGGCCTACTTTACAACCGCGCACAGCTTTCTGTACGGCTCAACTGCGGGTGTGGGCGCGTACGAGCGACAGAGACTCCAAGACAGCGAGATACGCGCCTTGTCGGATAAAATCACCTGCGTCGGCGATGAGAGCATCAAGGAGTTCGGTTCGAGGATCGAAGTCGAGTATGCCGATGGAAAGAGAGCCGTGGTGGATATCCCTTATCCGCTTGGCGAGGTGCAACATCCCTTTACGCGCGATCAGGTAGACGAGAAGTTTTTCAGCCTCGTGAACCCCGTATTGGGGGAGAAGAGAGCGTTGCAGATTAGGGACGCCGTGAACGAGATTGAGAAGCATACTGTAGAGGAGATCCTGGGCATGTTGTACTAATGCTCCAGTAGGAGCAGGTGGAAGGAGATGCGTCAACGTGCTTCAGGGACGAGAGTATTGTACCGTGTCTCTTGGTGGATGGGTCACCTTGCAGAGGTTGCATGTTTGAGCATTCGTAGTATTCATGGCATTCATGGGCTCCGCTCGGACCAAGTGGAAGAAGGCCCGGTGCATTCGCAGCTAATACCCTATTCGACGTCTCTTGAAATACGGTTTAAAAACATGCAGACGGTGGAGTCCCGGTGAACCTCACTTCCCGGCCGGATGATCATCAAAAGCATGTTAGCGGTACCTCGTAGCGAGCTTTTTGCTAATCCGAGCTTTTTGCTAATCCGTGTTCGTCAAGGCCTACATCAGCCATACCCCGATATCCTCAATGCTGGCACAGTGTCGCGAACAGGACAGTAGAGGGAGGGACTCAAAGGGTCATGCCATCCCCGCCAGGTCTCTCAGTCATGTCTACTCACACGATGCTTAGACCAGGTTCCGCGGCAAGTTTGAGACAGGTAACAGCTTACGTCTGTGCAATAAAGTCTTGTCTTGTCGAGACAGGTTCAGCGATAGGTCGACAAAATGACCAGAGATGACCGGTTAATTCACCGTGCCCTCTAATGTGGAGGATTTCTTGAAGGTAATGCCCACTTGTATTCTTTTGCCCAAGCCAGAGCCAACACAACCCTGGAGACTACCTAAGTCTGATCAAGATGGAGAAAAATGACTTGGCCGGAGTGGAGACCAATCGCGAATGTATTGTCGTAAAATGCAGAACAATTACTGCGATACTCCTGTGGAAGCCAGAGAAGATTCTGATGACCTCGCTGAACCCAATCATTTTTTACCATACTGGCGGTGGAAGATCCGTGAGTTATAGATTCGCCATCAATAGATATAGCTCCTCGATTAGTAAGTAACGTCTTGTCGTCGATTGTGAAACGAAGGGTCTCGATTGCTGGCACGTTCTCGAATTTTTGTACCTCTCGACCCGTGCTCAGGTTCCAAAGCCTGGCTGTCTGATCATCTGATGCGGAAGCAAGGAACGAGCCGTCGTGTGAGAAGGCCACCGCCTTCACCGAACCAGTATGTCCCTCCAGTGTCTGCACCACTTGACCCGTCCTGAGGTTCCACAGCTTGACTGTCCGATCGCCTGATGCCGAAGCGAGTAGCGAGTCGTCGTGTGAGAACGCCACCGCCTTCACGAAACCAGTGTGCTTGTTGAGCTTGTACGCTTCTAGACCCTTCTTTAGGTCCCACAGCCAGACTCTGGAATCGCCGAATACGGAAGCGAGCAGCGAGCCGTTATGAGAGAAAGCCACCACAGTGTCAAAATTATCGTGTCCGATGAACTCATACACCCGTGCACGTCTCGAAATAGGGTTTCCCTTCAGCTTCTGTATTTCTTGCCCCGTCGTCGGGGTCCATAGCCTGACTGTTCTGTCGCCTAATACAGACGCGAGTAGTGAGTCGTTCAGGGAGAAGGCTACCGCGCGTGTATCACAAAAAGTGTGTCCCTCCAGCTTCTGCACTTCTTGACCAGTAGTCAGGTTCCACAGCCGGACTGTGCCATCACTTGATGTAGACGCGAGCAGTAAGTCATCGTGTGAGAAGGCTACCGAGTGCAGTAACCCAGTGTGTCCCTGTAGCCTCTGCACTTCTTGACCTGTGTTCGGACTCCACAGCCTGATGATAGATTCATTATTAGAGATAGAGGCCAGCAATGAGCCGTCGTGCGAAAAAGCTACTGTCTGCACAGGATCACGATGTTCCTGCAGTTTCGGCACTTCTTGACCTTTCGTTAAGTTCCACAGTCTAACTGTTTGATCAGTTGATCCAGATGCGAGTAGTGAGCCATTGTGCGAGAATGTTAACGCGTTCACCCTCTTAGTATGGCCCTCCAATATCTGCATCTTTCGGCCTGTACTTAAGTTCCATAACTCAATAGTGGTATCTTGATGTGCAGAGGCCAGCAGTGAGCCGTTAGATGATAATGTTATCGCGATCACCCAACCCACGTTTCTTAATGTCTGCACTATTTGGCCTGTGCTTAAGTTCCATAGCTTAATGGTCCCCTCAGATGATGCACAGGCCAGTAGCGAGCTATCAGGTGAGAATGCCATCGCCGTCACAGAACCGGTGGTAAGTCCATTCAGCATCAGCACTTCTTGACCTGTGCTTGAGTCCCATAGCATAATGGTCTGGGCAGATAATGCAGCAGCTAGTAGTGATCCGTTAGGTGAGAAGATTATCTTCCTCATTCTATCACTGTGTCTCTTTGGCGTCTGCACTATTTGGCCCGTGCTCAAGTTCCATAGCTTAATGGTCCCATGGGATAATGCGGAGGTCAGTAGTGAACCGTCAGGCGAGAATGCCACCACGTTCCTCCACTCGCTGTGTCTCAACATCTGCACCTCTTGACCTGTGCTTGAGTTCCACAGGCTAACTGTCTGATCGCTTGATGTAGAGGCCAACAGCGAGCCGTCGGGCGAGAATGCCATCTCCGTAACAGATTTGGTATGTCCATTCAATGTCTGCACCTCTTGGCCCGTGCTCGAGTTCCATAGCTTGACGGTCCCGTCGTCTGCTGCAGAGGCGAGCAGCGAGTCGTCGGGCGAGAAGGTCACCGCGTTCACCGAATCACTGTGGCCCTCCAGCTTCTGTAGCTCCGCACTCCATGTTACTGGAGTTATCGGATACCTCTGAATCCATATTGGGGTCTGACTACAAATATTCCTCACAATACTGGTCTGTGGTGCGAAAATCATCGCCGATGAGTAAATCTGAAGCGGAGCAAGGTCGGCGATATATCGGTTAGCAAGGACAACTCGTTGCGCGTCTTCAAGAAAGGCTGCAATGCGACTTGATGCATTGACCTGCCTCCTCATAAGTGATTGTAATATGCCCAGTTGTCCAATGACTTCGGAGATCCTGTTCATGAGACTTAGAGCTTCAAGCCAGTGTAGAAAGTGTTTCTGTAAAAACACGTGTACTTCGTCCTCATTATGAATCTGAACCATGCCATGCTGTACATGGTGAACCCAATACCGGCACGCATATTGAACCACAGGTGGAAGATGCTGCTCGATCGTAGACGGATCAATCTCTCTTCGTAGCTGGCCGGGATAGCTGAGGTCACATAAGTTCTCGTGCAGACCATTAGACCCCGATAACAACTGCAAACATCTGGTCAATAGCATTCGATGTGTGGCGGGTCCGTCCACTCCAAATGGTTCATGCTGAAGTTTGTCACTTAGGAGGAACTCGCGAAAGGATAAATGAAGAGTTCGAATGGGAATCTCAGCGTCGGCAGGAACCTGCAGAACAGAATGTAGCGGACGGAGGCGGCGTGCAATATTAGCTGATGGCATAGATAGAAGCGCTGCGAGTGACGTCGCAGAAAGCGGCTCGGCGAGGGTTACAAGGGATCCAACAATTGTTCGGAACTCTTGGAATAGCTTCTCCTTGTCACGTGAGTTACTTAAGGTGGCTGACAGTTGTGTTAGCACGGGTAGGTATGTCTGTTCCATCTGCTCTAGATGGCCCGTCGCTCGCAATTTCAAGATCGTCTGAAGCTGCTCTTGCGGGTCCCAATTAGGGTCACCGACAAAACGGCACACCGTGGCGGCAACGATAAATAATGGAACAGCCATGTCGACAAGTCCTTCAAGAACGTTCTCGCCTGGCCAGCCATGACCCAGTGGCCCTCCCAAGGGCGGATCGGCATTATAATTCGCCCGGATCTCTGAGAATGCGTCTTTGAGGAAAACAGAGATGTCATGTCGAATTGTCGTTCGGGGAACCGCATCTTGGAGTATTAGGTCCTGGTAAGTCTCCACAGACATGGACTTGAACCCCAGCCGAACGGGCAAATCTGGACGACTTGTCAGAAAGAGTTTGAGGCGAATGGTCGATATCTGGGATAGTCGCGAGCATAAGTCGAGAATTATTTTGATGTCTCCTTCTTTCTCACATTCGTCCAAAGCATCAACCACCAAGACTAAGATCGGACAACCGCCAGGAGAGACATTGCATAATGGCTGATAAATCAACTTGTCGAATTGTTCTCCTAGCGCCTTATCAAAAACGAGCGGGTCGGAAGTGATCACGTTCGCGATCAGAGTATCCATGCCCTGTATTTTCAACACGAGTTGGCGTGTGATGGTGGAAAAGAATCGTGAAGCCGAACCTCGATCGCCGTCACCTCTTTTGAAGAAAAAGCTGCCTCCGAGGTTAACCAATCCGAAATGACCTTGATTGGTCAGCCACTCAGCGAAGGTCCAAGAGATGGTCGACTTGCCCGTACCGGCCATTCCGTTGAGCCAGAAGATGGTCTTGCTCCGGGGTTGTTGGGCCCAATTTTGAATTTGACATAACAGGTCGACTCGAGTAGCAGGATGACAGGTTCGGTGGTCTCCGCCATAGGCATTGAACATGGCTCCTTTAGCATGTGGCAACTTGTCCAAGTCAAGCTTACTCCTCAACCGTTTGTCGATCTCCTCCCTAAGCCGAATGAACGCGTTGTCTTCTTCACCATATATAAGGGGCAAAAAGACGTTAAAAATACCTAATAGACAGTAGGCTTTATCCTCTTTCAATTTGGTGTGACGTTTCGCTGCCCATCGCAGCCGCTCATCAACGCTAAAATGAGATAGAGGGGTGCCGCGCAGAGCCGTGAGTGGAATTTCGGTGGTTTCGTGGATCTCCTGCTCAAGGGTATTCCTATCACCCAGACGCTCTCCTTCATGCGAGTAGAACTCGACTGATTTTGGGGCAAGGAGTTCCTGAAGCGTCCAGCCTCGTGTGAACCATCTGCTTTTCCCAAAGGCGGATTCCCACGGTCGCTCAGCCTGGCTGTTGTGGCATTTGCGAGCTGAAACGTCTGTTAGGTACACGTAGCACCTTGCTGCATTCTGATACCAGCGAAACATCGAGGCGATAGCTTGCGCAAGCTCGGCGTGGTTTTCTTTATCAATGCAGCATGTGTCTACCCAGAAATATTGTAGACCGTCTCTCCGAGCTTGTTCCCCACAGAACCGAATCTTTGCATAACCACCAACCTTGCTCGTGCCAGATCCATTTTTGATATCGTCGAAAGTCACCTCGTCATCATCTGTTCCCCAAGTATGTGAAAGTACCGCATAGCTTGGAACATCTTCAATCAAGTTTTTGGTCAGGCTCAGATCACCATGGCTGCCCAATTTCAACAGGCGCATCGTGATAATGACGATCTTGAGATACGTCGAAGTACATATGCTAGGCGGAGAACAATATGATAGGGAGCATTCTTGAAGAATGCTCTCTTGCCGGTTAAGATATGCGTCATGCGAACTGGTCTGTGTGGCCGAAGGGTGCAAGAAAGACACCGCGCGAGGAAGATATATGCCCACTACGATCGGGATGGGTTCGAGGTTGAGGTTTGGCTGCTACAGTAGTGCGCGGGTGGGAAGACTATCCTCATGAGTCCGCAACCCAAATAGTTGGTAGAAGGCTTTAGCAAACAGCCATACTCACATGCCCAGAACTGTCCAGGTGGATGTGAGGAGTGAACATTGAAGAATCAGGCTGAGGTTCGGCTTCGAGTCGCAGTTGGGCAGACATCACTCGTCACGTGACTTGCGCCTTTGGGAGGTGTGATTATTTTCGCTCAAGACATGTAAAGACGCCTGTCTAGGGGTATCGTCCCGAGAGGCTCATACCCTTGACGGTATCGGTTCGAGGGACCCTGTACGAGGCCGTACGCCCTCGAACCCTATATAGTCTGACAGCCCCCTAGACCCCCTCGTAGAATGACAAGTTCTCTTTCACAATCACAGAGGCCGCGACATTTTGTATTTCTCAATCCTCCGCAAAGCTATTTTGAATTAGGCATCTGGAGGCTAGATGTACGGCCTCATCTAGCCTCCGTGGTGCGGTGTGGCAGGTGTGCGCGGCCAGGTCACTCTGCACAGGAATTCACAGCACCCAGGGCCCGATGTGCTGCGCACCAAGGGCCGCATGTCGCCTCAGATCCGAACGTGTCCACGGTACCTGTAGTTGCTGTGACAAATGCAGTAGAACGTCAGGGATAGAACAACCCTGGTGCTTCAGGCGAATAAGGGCAAAAGGCTGTTGGTTCAATACAGCCTATGTTGTGTTGCAGAGATTCGTGGTAACAGAACGTTAGCAGTCGCTCCACAATACTCTCTGCCACAAAGCGCATCCCCGTGCTCCATCTTGTCCTGGACATGTCGTTCAGACCGCGAACCACTCTCCACCGACGAGCGATCACTTTGTCATTGCTATTGATGCTCCAGCAATCGCGTTCCTTTGAGTAAGCCCTAACCGCTAACAGAATGATGGGCAACAGTGGTAGGGGGTAGATAGGTCTGCAGGTTGAGCGGGTCGCAGACCTGGTTGCAGCCCTGACTATAGTGAGTATTCGCTTGTAGTCAACATACACAAGTACATTAATACTCCACCGTAAGGGTCCTACCGATATCGTCGCAACGCCTCACCGTACACATACGTCCTCATACGATAACGACCGCGTCACGGACCCACGGGAGGGGGTTTGAATCCAATTATCACCTCCTCAGTTTAACTCAAGGGATGCAGATACGGCACCTACTTCGATCCCAGCGAGTGTATACAAGAAACATGGGCTATATTTCGAAACGAGCACTTGACAACCTCGTACCGAACAAGCTCCATGAGATCCGGTCACATTGCTTCCACAACCAATATGATCAGACCTCCAACCCTGACGGCATCATCGCTCTAGCTGTCGCGGAGAACAAGCTCATGCGAGACGAGATCTGCGACCACATCAATAAGAACATGAACATCAACCCGTGGCATCTCACGTACGGGCAAGGGCCGAATGGAGATCCCGCCCTCCGGCGAACGTTGGCCGGATATGTCAATGAAGTCTTCAAGCCGTCTACAGAGGTCAAGGAGAACCACATCTGTATATGCAACGGGGCAGGGAGCGCCGTCGACAATCTCTCCTTCTGCCTAGGCGAGCCAGGAGACGGCATCCTCGTCGGCCGCCCGTTGTACGTGGGCTTCTTTCCCGACATCGAAGCTCGAGCAAAGTGAGTATTTGCACGTCTCTCTTTCCCCCCTACATTCCCCAGCACGTATAGAACGATACCCTTTCTCTCTTGTATACAGACTGATGCCCAAGTTCCTAGGATCAAACCCGTCCTCGTACCCTTCGGGACGGACGTGAACCCAACGTCAGCCGCCGCAGTCGCCGCATACGAGCACGCTCTCCACCGCTCCAACGCCGCTGGCACCACAATCCGGGCAATTCTGATCTCCAGCCCCCACAACCCCCTCGGGCGGCCCTACGACACCGAGTTCCTCACAGGCGTCTTGACCCTGTGCTCCAAGTACGACCTCCATCTCATATCCGACGAAGTCTACGCCAAATCACATTTCCCAAGCAAAGACGTCCCCAACCCGCCGCCATTTGTGTCGGTACTCTCGTTCCCCCTGGAGAAATACGTCGACCCGTCTCTCGTGCACGTCATCTACGCGATGAGCAAGGACTACTGCGCCAACGGCACGCGGATAGGCGCTCTGATATCCCCGCACAACGCGCAACTGATGCGCACGTTCCGCTCCGTGGCGAGCTTCACCAGAGCTTCACAACTCGCCGAGCATGCTTGGCTCAACATGCTCAATGACAAAACGTGGCTGGAATGGTACTTCCCGTTGTTCCAGTCCCGCATGACCGACGCCTACGAGTACACCACCTCGTTCCTAAAGGCCAACAAAATCCCCTACAACCCCGCCAGCGTGACTAGTTTCATCTGGTTGGACTTGTCACGCTGGTTGAAGGAAGATAGCCAAGATGCCGAGCTGGAGTTGAATTGGCGCATGGCTAAAGGGGGAGTCTGGTTGGCCATGGGCGCCAGCTTCGCCAGCGAGAAGAACGGCAATTTCAGATTGACCTTCGCGACCCCGAGGGAAGAGTTGACAATGGGTTTAGAAAGGTCCGTGAGCCCCCGATTAAGCATGAAAGACCAATAACCACTTACACACTCCTGGGTAGATTAATCCAGGTCCTCCGAGAAGTTGACCAAGAACTCTGACAGTGAGAATAACAGCTTTTAACACCACAGCACGAATAAGGAAGCTCCTAGGCATGTGGTGCTATTTTGCAGTACAGACTATATCTCCATTGGGAACATCCAACGGGTACCAATATCTCCTAGAACGAAAATAGGGACTGTATTGGACGTACTCAGTCGTGATAACACAGACGTTTCCCGAAAACCAATGTTCCCTAAAAATGGTGCGACTTCCGACTCGACCCTGTCGCTGATACCGCAATCAAGAATCGTAATCTGAATCTTCAGGCTCCTCTTCAGACTCCTCAAACTCCTCTTCAACACTTGGTGGACATCGAATCCACTAAAGATCTGCGCCAGTGTACAGTTCGTCGATGAACCTGTCTGTTACAGCCTGGAGATTCGTACGCATTTCCGGGCTTACGCATGAGAAGAAATGATCCGCTCCTTCAACCTGATAGAAGATCACAGGCACTCCCGCTTCTCTCAACGCAGCCACAAGGAGTTCGCTCTGGGGAAATGGTATGAGACGATCCTCGGTGCCATGAGCGACCAGGAACGGACAAGTCGAAGGCGTGATGTATGTTATGGGATTTGCTCGCTTGACCTTGTCCAGGTTCTCTGAAATGGGACCACCAATGAACTTCGACTCCGCTGAATTAGGGTGATTGTGCTGCTGACTTCCTGGTAAAGCCTGGCTGTCCATCAAGAGGAAGTCGACTGACGGGTAGTATGCCACCACGCCCTGAACAGCGCTTGATATATCCAGATGTTCGCCAACGTCAAAGTCCTTGATGTCACCCGTTGTTCCCAAAAGTGCCGCAAGGTGACCTCCTGCAGCTTCCCCCCAAGCTAAGAAACACTCAGAATCAAGGCGATACGTTTCGTCGTTGGCTCGCAGCCAGCGAATGGCAGCCTTGCAGTCTTCAAGAGCAGCAGGGAAAGGTGCATCCATACTCAGTCGATAGTTCAGGGAAGCCACGGCGTATTTAATTCCCTTGAAATGTTTGGGCCTCAGCTCAGACTCCTTGCTGCCGAAACGCCACTCGCCTCCGTGGATGTAGACGATCACCGGTCGTAGGACGGGCCCTTTAGCAGGAAGGTACAAGTCAAGCTTTTGTCGAGCATGACCATTGGGCACATAGCAGATGTCGTGGATTTCTTCAAATTCCATCTCGGTAGTCGCTGTTGCCCGTCAAGAGTCGTGGTGCTTCCTCAATGGGAGAAGAATAATACAGCTGTTGACTGGGGATGAAGATACAACCGGGAGATCGAAGAACAGGTATCCAGGGTCTTGGTGAGGGAGGACAGGCTATGTCAGATTGCCATTCACCGTGGCGTGCGTGGAGACGTTCCGTGAATGAGACCAGGTGAACATGAAGCATCGATGAACAGTGAACATTGGGCTTTGAATGGTAAAGAGCGAATGGTGAAGAACGATGGAGTTGTATTTGCTTGGAAGGAAGCATGGGAGAGGCCTATGAAAGCACCAGGAATTCGCAGTGATGCCTGAGTGTTATTTCTGTACAGTGTCTTCCTGATCTTCAATTGGGCATCCAGCTACTTGATAGACTGGAGGAATTGCCATCATTGTCACCCTCAACTGTGTTCGACGATGGTCCATCATGCTGCGTCGTTTCAAGAGACAATCACGTGGTGCACGTGACGCCTTCCAGCGTCGCTGCATCGTGCGATTCAGCTGCTGCACACACAGACATGATCCTTACACCTGGAAAGACCAAGAGAATCCTTGAGGACATGAGAAACAATGCCGCAGACCCATGCAGTTCAGCAGAGGCAGCAAAGACCGCAAGGTACAGGTCAAGCCGCCCACACAGCATAAGGTAGGACAACCAACCCCCGTTGAGGTCTTGATTTGTGCCACAGCTGCTTTGAGGAGGTCCAGAGTGCCTGAGTGTCAATGAAAGGACGAGCAGAACAAGAACACGCGATGTCAGCCAGCCTCCGTCATGGATGGATGTCTCGATGCCGACCTACTGCGCCATCAGCAAAATCTCGCTGGTCCACAAACGCACCCAATCGAGATGCTTGCATACTGGCGCCAGGCTCTGCCTCGCTAAGACTCCCGTCACACTTCCCACCGCCCTCGACCGCCGTACAAACCCATTCATAGTTGTCCATTTGACCCGTTTCTTGACCGTCATTCAGCTGATCTTCTTCGCGTCTCGGGCTCGCCTCGGCCCGTTGCTCACGCCCTCGATCTACCTAAGCGAACGAGTGCAGACAGCAAGGCCACGATAAGCCCTTGATGGCTGATGTGTTGGCGACATCCGTTGGTGCATAGGGTGCCAACGAGGGCGTCGCGGGACCAACCATTGGCGACGTGGAGATTGCTAGAGCTCGCTTCTCCTCGAGTTTGCCAGAGGAAGAGATGAGATAGCGAGGGTATGATGCTATGCAAAACCACTCACATTTAACGCAAAACTTTCCTAGACCTGTGATTGTCTGCACTGTGGTCCCAGTTCTGTGTTTCATTGCCAACAGATGTTGCGATAACGACAGAGCCAGTGTACGCCATGCATGTGCAGAACAAGTCGTCTTTGACTGATGCATGAGTGCTGTTGCATAAAGGTCTAGCGATCAGGCCTTCTTATCTACCGGACCACCGAATTTGACCGCCCTTCCCTCAACGAAACATTTAACTCCATCATGCCACTTGGGGCTTTTCCCGGGCAAATGGGCGCCTCCGATACCTTCTTCCCTCCATAATTCGCCCACACTTGTCGAGGGGCAGAGTGCCCGGAGGTGGTTGCGGTACACACCGGCCCAACCATTTGCCACTTGCATGAAGATGGGAACCGGTCGCTTTTTGTCAATTCTTCGGAGCAGCTCATCTTGTGAACTTGAATCATAGAGCCCCCTAGCTGGTGGATCGCGGAGCCAGAGGCCAACCTCCTCGCAAGTGAGGCCTTTCTTCTCTATCACGAATCAGAGTCCCTCCAGAAAGGACCTTTCCAGCGTCCCACAACTTAATCCCCAGATTGCCTCCCCGCAGGTCATGCACACTCGTAGTCTCCCCTGAGCTTACCGGGGAGCCACTTGGATTTTCAAGCTACGCTACAGCCTCGGGAGTGGTGTGTATTGGGGTGGCTGCATGAGTCCCTGCCCGGTCTCATATACCCCTGCGTCCTTCGTCGGATTGATCGTTTCTTGACTTTCATTCATCATCGCTCGAACGGCAGTCATCGCTTGTGTGACAGTTCTGCAGAAATGGGCTCAAGAAGGCACAGGTCTGCTCACTCGAGCATCTACAATAGGCTCGTAACCGTGGCTGTCGCTTTTGGTTCCATGGTGTGTCAGGCCTCCCGACAAGGACATGGCAACTGACCTGCTGTCTAGACCTACGGATATTGTTCAGCCATTATCGGGAGTACCATTGGACAACCTGGCTGGTACCAATACTTTGATCTTCCCATGCAAGGTGAACCAGGCTATGGCGGCAAAACCACAGATGCCATATCAACTGCCAACGGCCTTTACAGTGCTGGTGGAGCAGTTGGATCTCTCTTCATCATGTGGTCAGCCACTGCGCTTGGTCGCAAACGAAGCATTCAACTCGGTGCTATCCTAGCCATCATCGGCGGTGCCTTCCAGTGAGTGTCACTGTCCCTGTGATACTGTCCAGTGCTCATATAGTCTAGGGGCGGTGCCGCCGCATTAGCGCAAGTAGACAGTCGACATATACCGCTTCCAGTACACTGACTTCTGCTCTTCAGAATGTTCCAAGTCGGTCGAGTCATTTCAGGTTTAGGGATCGGCATACTGGTCACAGCCTGTCCGATGTACCTGTCCGAATTGGCACCACCTCAGAACCGAGGATGGCTTGTTGGACACCACGCCATTTTCCTCGTTTTTGGCTACATGCTCTCAGGCTGGTTAGGTTACGCCTGCTATTTCGCAACGGACAAGAACGCATCCTTCGCGTGGAGGTTTCCTCTGTGCATTCAGACGCTTCCACCACTGGTGCTGCTTGTCACATCGATCTGGATTCCACGCTCACCTCGATGGCTGTTACAGCAAGGTAAGATTGAGGAAGCATGGAAAGTCATTCAAGCCCTACGAAAGTCTCCCGACGACCCCGACGATCTCGTTGCAAAGGAAGAGCTGTACCAAACCAAAGAGCAAATCGCACTCGATTCAGCCAAGCTCAAAGCCATCGGCTACGGTCCGTGGATGGCATGCATCAAGAAAAAGAGTTATCGCAAACGATTAATCATTGGGTTTTTGACTCAATGGGGTGCTGAGTTTGCTGGGCCTCTGGTCATTGTACGTTTTAACATCTGCGCTTCTGCAAGCTTTTCTCTGGGGCCCGTATTAACCACCGTCTCCTGTGCAGAATAACTACTCCGTCATCCTGTACACCAATCTGGGTCAAACAGGTTCAATGCCTCTCCTCCTCTCCGCGCTCTGGCTTACGACTGCGGGCGTAATCTACAACCCGGGCGGAGCATGGCTGCATGACCGAGTCAACTCTCGTCGGTGGATGTACATGATTGGCACCGCGGGCTGTCTGGTCACAACGTCATGTCTCTGCGCCATGATCGCCACATATGCCGGAACGACGAACCAAGCCGGCAACGCGGCTGGCGTCTTTTTCGTCTTCTTCTACCTCACCTTCCAAGGCACCTTCTGCGACACGACCATGTACCTGTACGTCAGCGAGATTTTCCCGACGGAAATTCGTCCGATCGGCATGGGGTTCAGCCTGTTTGGCCAATTCGCCGCCACAATCATCTTGCTCCAGACCGCGCCCATCGGCATCAACAACGTTGGCTGGAAGTATTATCTTGTCATTGTCTGCTGGTGTATCGTTTATTTGCCCATGATATATTTCTTCTGGCCCGAGACGGCACGATTGAGTCTGGAGGAGATCTCGGCCAAGTTTGGCGACGACGTGGCAGTTCATGTCAATGACGTGAGTGATGAGCAAAGACGAGAACTGGACGAGTTTCTCAAGAGTAAAGATATCGTCCATTCGGAGGTGTCGGGGGTGAATGAGCCAAAGCAAGACCCTACCGAGATCACCGAGACGGGTATGAAGGTGTGATACTGGGCGACTGCTGTGTGTTGTGCATGTGCACATGGAGGGTGGGTTACAGGGAGGAGGAAGAAGAAGAAAAGTTTGTCAAAGTACTGTCTAGCTAGCTAGGTGGGTGAGGACCAGGGGTGAGATGCTGTGGGATGGCGTGTGCTAGTAACTAGTTATCTAGGTGGTCTCTTTTAATTTTTATTATCTGATATTGAGTGTTTACTTATTACCTGGTACTCAGTGAGAGGTAGCGATTCCTGTGACCCGTCGGACATCACAGATACCTACCTAGAGGTAGTCAAACATTAATCCTTGGTTCTATGTTTACTGCTCTCAAGATGGAGCGTGTGATAGACATTGTGTATGTCTAACAAGGTATGTATGTATGTCACCTCTACCAACTTGGTTTCCCTCACCGTCTCGCCTACATGAGTATCTTACGTAGGTATGATGATGATGATGTACGACGAGGTACTGCCTAGTAGGTAGGTAGCTGTAAGTGAGGAAGTACTACATATATATAAGTCCCCCCCCCCCCCCCCCCTAAATTGTTTGATTCTCTTCTCAAAGGCCTAGTTAGAAAATGGCGACACAGTTGGGCGGACTCGACACTCCCCCTGGCATGTTCAACGGGGAACTCGCCACGAAAAACTCCCACCGCCGGTGCTGCTCACACAGTCTGCTCAGACCTTCGAGGTCGAACAATTCACCAATCGGCATACCCCAACCGGCGAGAAGGTATTCGTGGAGGAATATCCCTGGGACGACACTAGTATGGCCTACGGCATCCTTCTGCTCCTGCTTCTGCTTCTGCTTCTTCTTCTTCTTCTTCTCCTCGACGCCATGGCCTCCATCGTCATCGTGATCATGATCGCCGTTACAATCGTCGTCGTGTTCAGTAGATTTACGGTCCGCGATATCACGGTGAGTGTCCTCGGTTCCATTTGTGTTTTTTGTGTCTCCGTTCACGTTTCCGTTTTCGTTCACGGCTCCAGCTTCGGCTTCGACTTCTGCTCCCGCTTTCACCTCGACCACAGCTTCATCCTCTCCGGGGGGACGACAGCACCGCCTCACGTGGGATTCTTTCGGGGGATACACCTCGAACGAGATGGCATCGCTCGCGACGGCGGCGAAGCCTTGGTCCCAGATCCACCTCGCCATCTCCTCGGTGCCCTCGACGCCGGCGTGCTGCGGGTTTGGGGAGTTGGCGTACGCGATCTTGTCGCCGCGCGTCATGACCGTGTCCCACTCCCTCGTCACGCCGACGCGGACGAACAGGATGTCGCCGCGGCGGAACGTCAGGTTGTCCTGCTCGGCCGCCATCTCGAGCATCGCCGACAGGGGGATCGCGTGGTCGCTGAAGGTCGAGTACGTGATGCCCCGGCGCTCCGCGTACCGGACGTAGTCCAGCAGCACGCCGCGGCCGCAGATCCCCTGTTTCGCCCAGTGTTGGATTCCGATCCTGTCGCTGGCGGTGCTGATGATCTCGGACGGCGTGACGCCTCCATAGAACAGTCTTTTACTACCTGTGCTCTTTTTACCTTTGTCCTCAACCTTGACCTCCACCTCAACCTCGCCATCCCCTTCAGCGTCCTCCTTGAGGACTCGATCTTCTTTTTCCTCCAGACCCGTCTCCTCCGCTGACCCTGACCCTGACCCTGGCGGCGTCACCACCACCACCGGCTGAGAAAAATGTCTCAGGCCGTCCCACTGGCTGCTCTGCTGCGGGTTGAAAGTGTAGATGTCGTCAAAGGCCACGCCGTCCAGCAGCGGCACGATCCTGTGGTCGCACGGCGACCGGCCAAAGTTTGCGATTTCCAGCTTCGTCAGTTCCCACCCCAGGCTCACGCGGCGGCCGGTGCGGATGCACCTCGCCGCCGCCGCCGCGACCACGTCGGGGGTCAGCAGGACCAGGCGACCCAGTCCTTCTCCGCGCGAGCCCGGCCTGCAGGGCCACACTTGCTTCTTGTTCGGGAGGGAGTCAAAGGGCAGCAGGTGCATGGGGTGGATTTCAACCGCGGACTCATCATTACCGGCACCGTCGCCCTTGTGGTGGTTGCCGTCACCGTCGACGTGGTGCGAATGCGATTTCATCGTCGATGGGTGAGACCGGATTCGTCGTGACACGCCGAACGCGCCGCGCGTTCAAGAGGAAGAAACAAAGGAATTGGAACAAGACCCTGTGGACCGGTCGTGGACCGAAAGAACTATTCTTCAAAACGGGACCTTCTGTTCAACACGGCCTACCACTCTGTTCAAGGTGAGGACAAGATTTCAATCGACCGCTTGAAAGCAATTTTTAATTCAAGACTTCCAAATCCCGACAACGTCGGATGTTACGCTCAAGCGAGGATTGAGCCAATACAACCTACTACCGGCCAGTAGGCTTGAGACAGCGCCATCGTCCATGCCCAGAAACCACAAACACTTGGCCTTTGAGGTGAGTTGGCATTCGAATGTCGATCTAAAATCTCGGTTCCACCAGTTCCCCCGCATGGTTCGTTAAGACTTCGGACGTGCCACAAGAAACAAAACTATATTGATCTTTGAACCACAACAGCCGAGGGTCAGACCCAGGCATCTCCCCTGGTGTCTTCTCCGTGTCCCATCCGCATGTCCAGACCCAGACAGTGGATCCTGAGGTGAGATGTACCGTAAATAGTGAACCATGCCGCAATCCGAATGTCACGGATTCGATCAAGCCAAGTGAGTGTGACCTCTTTCAATGGGAACGAGTCGCCTGACCCATCCACAAAACTGTTAGTCCATGAGGTCGAAGCTCTCGAGGATCCAGATGAACTTCTTTGCAAGACCCCAGTATCTCAGCTGTCTCAGCATCGTCTGAGCCTCCTGACTTATGGCATTTAGCCCTCCGTTGCTGTAAATATTTTTGACCAAGCCGATACTTGCAAATCCTCCATGCTGAATCCAAGCAGCAATAGCAGTCCTTTGATCCGCTATCCGATTGGAAAGGTCCAGTCGGACAGGGGACGAATCAAAGTTCGAGTTGGAGGACGGTTGTGGTCCAAACTTGGCAAAGGCGAGAATGAAGATGTACCCCATAAAAACCCTCAGGATCTCGCAAGGCGCCGACACGAGGTACTCATTAGCCACGGCAATGATTTGCGCCGCGTGCCATGCCAGATTCCGGGCCTTCTGAGGGTTCTTGGCCAAGATTGCACCGAGTCTGCGTCTTGCAGACATGGCGCTAGGGTCAGGTGATTTTGTTGGCGAAGCCGAGGTCCGGAAGATGTGGACAATAAGGTCCATTGCCTCGTCCGCGCTGTATAAGTGGGAGTAATGACAGATGAGAGACGCAAGGCTGACATGGGTAGTTAGATCGACAAATTCGCTCGGAGGGGACAATCATCACTCACTTGTAGTGGATCAACTCCGCAGTCGTGGCCGGAGAATACATTGACTCGCAGATGGTGTTGAGCCCATGAAGAAGGGTAGACTTGGTGTGTTGCTGAGCGGCGGACATGGAAGGCAATTTGAGATACTCATTGGTCGCCATGATGTCCAACTGCTTGAGGTCCCATAGAAGCCGGCCTATGTACTGCCCGCAGAGTCTCTTGCTCCAAGCAGGCAGATCCGTCGGGAGCGCCTTGCCTGCTAGCAGGTTGCGAAGAATCCTTGACGTTGGAGCTCCTCGCGCGGTGAAGGAGAGCCGAGAATAAAGTGCACTCCATGCTTGCGCCGAAGGCGCATCCCACAATGGCTCGGCACAGGGCAGATGGCTGGGAAGCTCAGGGAGATCAATCGCGCCCCTTCTGGAAGTCAAAGTGCAAAGACTGCAGTCATATTCGAAGACAGACCATGCAATACGCTTCTCTTCCTCTTGATCCTTCCAACGTAACCATTCAATCGTGGCATTGTCGACAGTCAAGACATCTCTGGTATCTTCATTCTCGACCTCGGTGCTGACACGAGACTTGAGGATGCCCATTCCTCGTAGACATCCAACCAAGGTGCCCCTGTTACAGTCCGCATTCTGATATAGGCGCCTGTTACCGGAGCCTAAGGAGTAGATTTGGTGCAGACAGCAAGCAATCAGATAAGCCGGTTTGTAGAAGTTGGTGCTATCGGAACCACCCTATGGATATGTTAGTATCGTAAGCTAGCCTTGGACTAAGAAGACTTGCCAACAAAGCGATCATTTGAATGCATATTTCGCTCAACGAGGACGCCTGCTCGGTACCCTGGCGGTCGTCAGAGTACATGGCTCCGATACATGACATTGCTGCTAGTGTGACTGTCGGCACCTGCGCCATGTGAAAAGTAGGTATATGCACTAGAGGCAACACAGCGTGGAATTCGGTGAAATATAGGTCCAATGAAGTTTTGAGCACATCCATGGCAGTCATCATACTCATGTCTGCCGATTCAACGTCGGGTAGATATGACGTGGACAAAAGTTGAACCAGACTTCGTATGGTGTTGCCGTTGTCACTGGCAGAGATAGTGCCTTGAAGGATATCCCGCAACGGTGGCAACTTGTGTTTTTGTGGCTCTGGATTCCCTGTATGATCAAAAGGCCATTGTTGGGTTCCCGCTCGTGGTGTGTTTGCCGTACTCATGCTGTCCTTGGGTCTAGATTGTGGCATTCCGGCTCCATTGAGTGATTGAAATCTGCCGAAGAGGGCTTCAGAGTCTCCAAGCATCATGGCTTGGTTAGGTATGTACTGTATAGATCCAGGTGAATATATCTGACCCATCGTTTGCGCCCTAACATCGCCATCGTTTGGGGAGTCCAGTTCAAGACCCAGCCAGTCAAGGCCTCCCTCGGCCATGCCGGCAATTCTGGGCGCTGAATTCGAAGGAAAGAAATTGAACTCGGCTGGTAGGTAGGCATTTTCAAACGCCATGTACGGCTGAGTGAACGCTGCTGTCCCTTCCGTCGGGCTCAGCGCAGGATAAGAAGCCACGTCCGTAGCCATGATGCCCGGGCCGTTACCATCTGAAGGCGACTGGAAGTAGTGGGCAGTCTCAGGATACCCTTGGGCGCCTGCTGAACTCCGAGTATGATTGGGAATGTACACATGGTTCGCTTGAACCACTGGCGGGTCTGAAGTGGCATCATCTTGATAAGAGTTCGAGACCTTGTAGCCATTATTCTCGCATAAGGCCTGCTCCTTCACTTGATGGTTATCGGAGTTCTTTGCGCCTGTCTTCTTCTCCCGTGGCGCTTCAGCCTCGGTGTCTTCTGGGGACACATCCACTGCATATTCACAGCTGGTGGCCGACTTCGCACAGGGCAGACATGGCTGGCCTCTGTCACACTTCAATTTCTTCTTGACGCAGCGAAAGCAGCTTTTCTGTGCGCATCTTTTGCGACTGGTATAAGACTGGTGGGCAGTCCGCAGGTGCCGGAGCAGGACATCGTTGCGAGAGAACTGGCGTCCACACTCGGTACAGGGAAAGTGTTCACGGCGAGCTGGAGGTAGATGGGACTGCAGGTGACGTGCCAAATGACTTGGTCGAGCTACGGCAAGGCCACACTCTTGACAGCGAAGGATTCGTGATTTCTTGACTTCAGTCTGTGCCAGAGTCAGCGAATGGTCGCACATCAGTGCTTGGGCTGGTCTTGAATTGACGAACCATTCCGACACTCTAGTCTCACCGCATGCATATACATCAGATCAGTAGGACCCAGACTTCAGCTACAGTTATCCCTGGTCAACCGACGGATGATCTCTGCAACTTGGTGAACGGCCCATAAGGATGAAGGGTCTCTCGGGATAGGCGTTCGTGTACGGGAGTGAACTGCTTCTGATGGGATCGAGGAGGGCTCGCAAGTGGAATTCGATGCGTCGGATGTTGTCGGTTCGAAGATTGACTCTGCTGCTGCGCATGTAATGTGGAAGAGTTTGTCGACTGCAGCCTGATGGATGTGGAAGTCTCATGGAGGGAAGTGCATGGGGTGCGGCTGAAAACCACATTGCGAGGCCTCTGGAATCTGGGGAAGAAGCAGTGAGCTGGCGTCGATAGAGAGCCACGGGGACCGAGTTCCGGGCACACCGGGGTCCCTGTCTAGGCGATCCCGGGCGCAGTTGGGGGTCCCTGTGGGCCTCCAGCTAAGCGAGCACCGCGCCCAAGGGGTAAAGGCTCGGCAGCTCAGGCTGGTACTGTACCTACAGTACCTAAGACTACAGGCACAGGCGTGGACCCCAAGTACGGTGGGCACTTCCCTAAGTTAGAGGCTAGTTAGAGAGCCCGGCATCCCCAATGTCAATCTGTTCAGCTGCTGGCAGTTCTTCAGGGTGCCGGAATGTCTTATCGCCTCCTCACAGTGTAGAGATAGGCTTCAAAGCCATGACTGCAAAGACCTTGGATGATGAATCTTGTCGCGGGATACGGCTAGTTCGACGGACCGGGAGGCTGACTCTGCAGCGCATGAGCCGAGCAGACTACACCGCATCGATGCGTACACGGCATATGCGTTCGAGGTCTGCCACAAACAAGTGACGGATCTCGCTCGCTTTTATGCGATTACGATCTACCAGCACTCGCCTAAACCGGGAGTGCCGCAAGATGGGCCAGAGCACCCGGCTTTTCGAGTGTTGACATGGTCGAGCAGATTGATATACAGGTTTCTGGTGTTTAGTTGAGGTACAGTCCGGAAGCACAGCTAAAAGGCCTTGATCGGAATAAGGTATTTTGCTGGCCAGTTCTCCCAGGGCGCTCGAAGAGAAACATCTCTATGTGTTTGAGTGATGTCTCAGGGACAGCCTTTCAACCTCTTGAACCTAATGCATGACACCCTGCACACTCTCCAGCAAGTTTCCTTGTCGAACTATGAGGTCTTGTTCCGGTTCCCTGCTCCATCGCCCTCGTTTTCCTGCATATCAGCTTGGTCTACACACATCGGCCTCCGTCGACCTAGATCCCTATCAGAAATGTCTCAATGGCCCGGTGGTGGCCACTTACCTCTAGGTTTACGCCGGTAATGAACTCGGCCTCATCGCTGGCTAGGTAGCAGCAGGCATTGGCCACATCCTTCGGAGTGCTGCCGCGTCCTAGGGGAATTGTTGAGACGAAGCCAGCTCGGTTTTCCTCTGTATCTGGTTTCCCAATGAAAAGGTGAGTTCTGTAGGTCCAAGTCAGCATGGATCGTAATGGGAGACTGTGAGTTACGCACAAGCCCGTGCTTCCAACGACGGGGCAAACGGCATTGAATCGAATCTTCTGTGGACCATACTCAACAGCCATGGTCTTGGTTGCGTTACTGACAGCTGCTTTGGAAGCGTTGTACCATGTGAGTCCCGGGCGTGGACGAATTCCGGCGGTCGAGGCTATGTTGATAAAAACCCCGGGTCGCTTCTTCTCCAGAAAGTATGGGACGAGGACACTGGATGAAAGATATACCGACTTGACGTTGACGGCCATGACCAGGTCAAAGTCTTGATCGGTGACTTCGACCGTCGGCTTGTTCTTGTAAGTCGTCCCAGCATTATTGACCACGATATCGAGGGCTCCAAACTCATCCAAAGAGAACTTCAGCAGCGCTTGCCAATGCTCTCGCTTGGTTACATCGGCCACCAAAGAACGACATCCCAGCTCTTTTGCTACGGCATCGGCGGCATCTTTCGACAAATCCGCGATGATGACTTTGGCGCCTTCGTCAACGAACTTGGTTGCGATTCCCTTGCCGAAACCGCTGGCTCCTCCTGTCACTATGGCAACTTTACCGTCGAGGCGACCTTGGCCCATGCTGGTGTAAGTTTGGTGATATTCGTTGGCTTCGGATTTCAAGATCAGATGGTTGCTCACGCTATGCTAATTCTCAAGGCCGCCCCAACAACCAATGGTGCAGAGACTCTCTTATCAACAGCTCAACGTTGATCCCCCCGCACGCGATGTTGTATTCTGTCGGGCCGTTCATCGGAGTCCAAGCGTAGTCCATGATTCTATGCTGTCCCGGACGTGTCCACTCGGGATTGTGAGGTGGCACACACACACTCCACCTCCGAAGAACGAGTCTTCCTACATGCACCAGACGCAAATTGCGAGGGCACATAGAACCGTCTAATCCCGAAGCCGCCAACATGGGCCAACTCTACCGGAGAGCAACCTACGCACATCACCCCGGACTATTGACCGAGGAGGTCGTAATGCGGGGAACGACTTGTTAGGACATCGAATGAGTCTTTGACATATTCTAATTGAAGAAACACCATTGCGCAACACCTTGGCCCAGACTTCAGCCTCAAAGAAGCATCAAGATGGTGGCCTCGGACAAGACCATCAAAGCGTCGGAGATCCAAAAGCACAACAATGTCGGCGATATCTGGATAGTGGTCAACGGAAGGGTGTACGATATGACCAGGTTTGCACCAGAACACCCGGGCGGAGTCGAGATTATCTACACATACGCCGGACGAGATGCCTCTGAGGCCTACAACGAGATACACGAACCTAATCTCATACAAACCAACCTTCGCTCGGAGGAAGTGCTAGGAGATCTCGACCCGACCACCAGTTTTCCAGAGACATCATCAACAGGCTCAGGATCAGCAGCGCCTCCCAAAGCGGGAGAGAAGCCACGTCTAGAAACGCTCCTGAACCTGAATGATTTCGAGGAGGTCGCGCAGCACTCGATATCGAAGAAGAGCTGGGCATTCATCTCCGGGGCCTCCAACGACAACATCACCCGCGACGCAAACAAGAATTTCTATCAACGGATCTGGTTTCGACCGCGGGTCCTCAAGAACGTTGCCCACGTCTCAACCAGGGGAACGATGCTAGGATGCGATGTCTCCCTACCACTGTGGATTTCTCCAACGGGTATAGGCAAAGCAGGTGGCCCAGAAGGTGAAATCGCCTTGAGCAAAGGAGCGGCAGAAACCGGGATCATCCAAACCGTAGGGCGTCCTCGAACTCTTCTCAAGTCCCAGCTGAATCTCGTTCCTTTTCTTTTTGACATCACTTTATTTTCATTATATCCACCCGCACTACGGAGTAGTAACTAGAACTGACTTTTTCTGGTGCCCTGTAACGCGCAGATATCGACCAACGCTTCATTTCCGCTAGAGGAAATCCTCTCGGCGGCAGCGCCCGACCAACCGTTCTTTTTCCAGCTCTACGTCAACAAGGACCGGACCAAGACCGAAGAGCTCTTGCGCAAGGTCAACGGCCAACCACAGATCAAAGCCCTCTTCGTCACCGTCGACCTGCCGGTCGTGTCGAAACGAGAAGCCGACGAGCGCATCAAGCACGAAACGTTCCTGTCCAGCAGACTCGGCGGCTCGTACTCGTCCAGCGACGACAAGGGCTCCGGGCTCGCGAGGAGCGTCGGGTCCTTCATCGACCCGAGCTTCGAATGGGACGACCTCGCGTGGCTGCGGACGCGGACAGCCCTGCCCATCGTCCTCAAGGGCATCCAGTCTGCCGCGGACGCCAGGCTGGCCATGAACATGGGCTGTCAGGGCGTCGTGGTGTCGAACCACGGAGGCCGAGCGCTGGACGGCGCACCGGCCTCGATCCTCGTCCTGCTCGAGCTGCACAAGGAGTGTCCCGAGGTGTTTGACCACATGGAAATCTTCATCGACGGGGGTATCCGGCGCGGATCCGATATCCTAAAAGCCATCTGTCTGGGTGCCAGTGGCGTAGGCATAGGTCGGTCGTTTCTGTACGCTTTGAATTATGGGAAGCCAGGTGTTGTGCATCTCGTGAATAGTAAGTCCGACGAACGACGCTCCCCCTGTAAATCCTTTCCTCGAATCGACACTCGTCTCGCCTGTTTTCCACACTCCTCCTCCGCCTTTCAATATCTTTATCATCTTTGTATCGTGCTCAAAAGGCTGTGGGAGTCCCCATGGGACCTTATCACGAGTCTTTTGTCCGAGTACTGACTAACCTGCCTTGTGCCTTTTTTCCTTTCGCAATGATAGTCTTGAAGGACGAAGTCGCCACAGCAATGCGTTTATGTGGACTTAGGTCCCTGGACGAAGCGGATCCGCGATTCGTCAACACCGCCGACCTTGACCCTCTGGTTGCCAGGGGATATGGACACCCTTATGCCCGGAAGCACTCGATGAAAAGACGGCCACATCGACTGTGAACGCGCCGTCCAAAACGAGTGGTTGGTGACGGATAGTTACAGCACGACAACGACCACGACCACGATACGAATACTACGCCTGGGCACGCCTGAGGCTCGGAGATCGTCGAGCTTGCGGGGAGCACATTGCACATATCGCCCCGCCTGAAAGGAGCCGACGATTTGATGAATTTTACAGACGTCTTCAAGTGTACACACATACGCACAGAGATATCTAATGGACACACACACAGAGAGAGAAAGATGGGGTTTGCAAGGATTGGCTGTTATGAATACCGGCCACTATGCCTTTCAAACCACCCGATTTGTCTTTCGCCCCGATCATGATACATGACTCCCGAATTTCGAAACATGGTCCGGATCCAACTGATCCATTCAAGTCGCAATGACAGGCTACAGACACACCCTTCTCATCTATTTGCGGCCCTTTCTTGCTAGACAAGGACGTTCCTGGACGCCGCACCCATTACAACTCGAGATCCGAACGCCGCTGGAAATTCATTTAGTACGTACGGATAGCACTGGGGCGCCAAAAATTTATACAACCACCATCAATCAATTGTCCGCCTCCTCCCCCCTTCCCTCCCCCGCCCCACCATCTCCTTCGTGTCGTCCTACCCGCCTGAGACCTTCTTCTCGTCTCTCCTTTCCTCCTCGTCGGGGACCTTCTTCTCCTGCTTCGATTCTTCCTTGGCATCGGGCTTTTCCTCCTCCTTGCCGGTGTCCTTGGGGGTTTCCTCGGTCTTCTTCTTCTCATCAGCCGGTCCACCCGCCTTGTCCGGGGCATACCACGTCCTCGCAAAATGGTGCTGTATATACCTCTCCCCGTACGCCGGATTCCCAGCGTGGCTGTGCCTCTGGTGCCCTGCGAACCCGTTGATGGGCAACACCAGTACGTCGCCATACAGCCTTGGTTCGCGCTGATCATGCAGCGTCGCCCACGTCACGTTCTGGCCCTGATCGTTCAACGCCTGCATCACGGCGTCGGTGATCATGCCCGGTCCCGTGGCCTCCAGGGTCTCCATCTTCTCCAGCGTGAGGTCCTCCAGTGTCACTCGTTTCCGTCTGGCGATGTACTCGAGATTGCTAATCACCCTCTGCACGGCGATCTCGAAAATAGGGTGGCCGGGTTTGGACATCAACGTCCACTGACACAGCCCGATGGGCCGGACAAACATCCTGTAAGTATGGTCGTCGTATTCGATGCCGATGATGGCATTGACCGTGCTAGCGCCCAGGTCGATCGGGATCCAGCGATCCGGGTGGACGAGGTTCGACGTGTCAATGTCGCTGTACACGCCGCCCACGGCGAGCATGATAAGATAGCGCAAAAAGTCGGCTTTGATGACGGGCGCTCGGAGACTCTCCCAGAATTTGATGATTGCGGGTCTCGATGCATAGTGTTCTTGCACGAATGCGAGAGCGTCGGATTCTGCATGTCACATAAAACGTTTAGACGATGTCTTTGCCTGTGCCCGCTTCGCGCCGGCAAGTGTGGCGATGATTCATACCTTTCAACAGCTTATACTCGAACCCCTTCACCTTCTCCCACGTTTGAGTCCTCTTGGAAAACTTGTCCGACCCTTGCTCATTTGGTCCCAGCCAGGCTTGCCACACTATTCTGGGGAATCTTGAAGGATATGGTTTGGATGGCTTGAACGCCGATTGTAGTGCCTCGGCGAGATGTTGATCTTCGTCGGCCTCCATGGTCTTTCGGTGTCTCGAGCCAGTGCCACTAAATCTCTGGCCGTACTGTGCTGATAGTGACTTTATCGATGCTAGATCTGACTCCGAAGCTCGGAAACCAAAGTACAACATGCATATCACCAGTGCCACGATCGCCGTGTACCTCGTCATACGGTTGGTCAATGACATTGTCGACCTCTGCGGCAGTGCACACCGCCGTCCACCAAAATTCTCGAGACGACGAAACAAAGGAAACCGATGTTGACTCTCCGATTCTGCCGAGTCCAGAAATTGAATAAGAGCAGCAGCTCCAACTTCCCCTGGACGTGACTTAATCTTGACTAAGATTGATTTTCTGCTGGATTGCGCAGAGAATCACTTCTCCCTCGTACCCAGGGACCGTACTTGCACAAGTAACACAAGTCGGAATCCTCTTAAATGGAATACACTCAAAGTCCAAAGACCGCTACGTCGAACATGATGAGAGAGCCAAGACGTGTGGCCAAGGGGCTGATAGGGTTGATACAGGTGATAGGGACGGCTTTGATCCCCTTAATCAACCAAAACAGTTCTTTCGATGAGATATGTGCCGAATTCTCAATGTTTTGAGCACGTCGATGCCTGCCACAGTTCCTTTTGACACGTTCAACGACCAGTCTGGCCGGAGCGTCGGCCAGGAATCAGCGACGCGATTAGGGGTCATTGCTTGACGTCTGTCAACAATCGTGCGGTGGGCCGTAGTACCCGTGATGTAGACAAGCAAGTGTTCCGCATGCCTGTGGCAACAGATTTGCAGGTCGTGATGTGGCCTCTGTATGGAGCCATAGGTCGGGCAGAGATGGAAGAACAAGTCCAAGCTGAAACCATCAACATTGAAGGTGCAATAGATTTTGTTCGGCTTTTCGGTGATTGTAGTGTATTCATCATTTATGGCTCCCAGCCTGGTGAGCCAAGGCGATGCTGGCCCCCCATTCTGAAGGGCTACACAAGCGGGTCAACCCAACGTTAACTAAGTTAGTGAGCTGCCAGGAAGTGGCTCCGGGACTGGCGTGCTGCCTTCCACTAGCCAAAGGGCTCACAAGGTATGGCCGTAGATGCATCGCCGGGCATTGACACTTGCAAGTATTGTGTCACTTGCCCCTTTCCCATATAAACTCGGTGCTGACAACTGTGAGGGTCGGTCAGGACTCAGAGCTCATTGTCGTACCACTTGCTCGCTCGCTAGGATATCTGCAGCAGGAGTTGACAGGACCAAACTCCACAGTTCGCACGGATGACAAGTAGTAGATATAGGTTGAAAATGCCACTCTCGTTGATGCTCTTGTAGACAATCGGTATATTTCGAACTTGAAGGTCTTTTCGGCAGAGTCGTCTTTGCAACAGGGTACGGCTGGAACTTGCAGAAAGCACATGGTCTCTCTCTCTCTCGCGTCGATCGAATGACTTCCAACCAAATAATCTAGAGCAATATGACGTGTGACCGAAGAGATCCTGCTACCGCACATTGACGCAAGATTGTCTGTTTTCAAGGCAGCCAGAGCAAAGAGGCCTGCTCAAGCAAAAATGGGTGGGAAAGCCAGTTTGAAGATTGTCAGCCTGGTCACCATCGCAATATGTACCATCACGATTATTGCCGACTTTATTAGTATGCTGCACCGCCCCAAAAGCCTCAACGGTGCGACTGGCAGCGTAACTACTAAAGTTCCACGATCGAGCATCGCGAAGCTCTCGATGCTTTATGGGGAGCCTAATCCTCTCTATGAACGAGCGTTGGCCGCCCATCTCCCACACAACAAAAACTTCGGATACAATATGTACGTTCTGAGAGAAAAGACCCTGCCAGGTTATTGGTCCAAGCCGGCGTTTATTCTTGACCAACTGCTTGCTGAATTGGCCCTGCCAGCAGAGGAGCGACTGAAATGGTTGGTGTAGGTGCTGAGACGCCCTTTGTCCGAGTGTGTCGTTTGCTGAATTGAATGATAGATGGTTCGACGGAGACACGGTGTTGATGAACCCGAAAATCCCCTTGGAAATCTTCTTACCCCCAGAGGACAAATGGGGCCATATTCATGCCTTGGTCACCAACGACCATCGAGGACTGAACAACGGCGTATTTTTCCTGCGGGTGCATGAATGGTCGGTCTGGCTGATGACGGCCACACTGGGATTGGAGATTTATGAACCTGGGATTGAGCTGGAATTCGGAGACCAGTCAGCGATGGGAATCTGGGTGTTGGACGTGAGTGTGAAGTTGCTTATTGTGTGTCAATCCTGGGTGACTGATGATCTCGAACAGGAACGATTCCGTCCAAACATCACGCATGTGCCACAGAGGTGGTTCAATGCCTATGCTGGCAATCGTGGTGAGACCAATGGGTTGTTTGCGGACCCCTTCGCACCACAGTCCAAATTCCATGCCAATTCGATCAAAGAGGGAGACCTGCTTGTCCACCATGCCGGTCACAAATCCCTCAGAGCACAACGCATGGCACCGTGGATGGATGTTGCAGAGATGCATCTGCCACAGTGGGAGTTGGAGCTGGAGGAGACGACATACCAGCAGGAAATCACCGAGTTCTGGCAGACCGAGGCGCCAGAAGAGAGGAAGCGAGTCGACAAGATGATTGCACAGGAAGAGAAGAAGAAGGCGGCGAAAGAAAGGGCAGCAAAGGAAAAGGAAGAGCAGAAGAAGGGAGCGGCAGAGGGCAAGTGAAAAACTGAAGTCCTAAAGGAGCGACGCCTGAGGATGAGCGACCGGGGGGACACTGTTACCAGCCGGAAACTGGGTGGAAGCTTTTCAGTTCGATGACGCTATGTCTCTACCAGACAGAAGATTAGATATGGATAGATGTTACATTATAATGATCTTATGAAAGAGTCGATGGTGTTGAAGGAAAAGAGCCCGAGATGCGGTGAATGGGGGATGGTTGGAGGGTTGGACTATGCTTATGGTTCAATTCTTCACCAAGCCCATGTAGGGCGTAATGAGCCTAGACGAAATACGTTTGTAGGGAGCTTTTAACTGGTTCCATGCCTAAGAGAGTGATGCTCCAGGCAGATGTAGAGACTAAAGCAGGGCCAATGCCACCTATAACATGCCTGACAACCCCCTGAGCATTCCGCACCCAGAAGCCCCACTTGTTGAGAGCCACCAATGTGGTCCCCCCCCTGGAATCCATTGGTACCTGGTAGTTGATCTACTCCCCTATCCGCGTCTTCTTTGTCTTTCCAGTCTCGTTGTTGACGCGTCGGATGCAGAAGCGAGCAGTCGGACGTTCAATCAATTAGTGTCAGTTCAACGTTGTGCTTCGTGCTCGTACCTCTTTGAATTCCAACCGCCCGATCCCCTTAAATGTGACACACTACAGAGTACATACCAAGACGTCAAATCTTCTCCTCCCTGGCCAAAGACAGTCTTCTGACCCCCAGAATCTATGCCGATCTAGGGATTAAACCACGACCTGGAATGTCCACCGGGAGCCAGCCACAGTTAAACGACTGAGAAGAGACCAGAAAAAGGCCGTTGAAGAGGTGAAGAACGGGATCGATGTTTCTGACACCCAACAACCACTCAACGAGGAGCTTCCGTTCAACGTCTTTTATCCCGCATTCCACTCTCCTTAAGCGAGTCTTTTACCAAGCAGACATATGTCACACCGGGCCCAAGGACTCCAAATCTGTGCTTCCGAAGTCCCAAGGGACGTGGTTGTGCCACCCAACCCCCCTAGTGAGCTCTTTCTCCAGACCTCAACCCAGGAGGCCTGGTACGGAGCATCTAACTAGTCGAGTTCGCAAATCCTCATTAGATCGGCATCGGCCGTTCTCCAGAAATCTTCCCACCGATTAACTCTATCTTGCCTCCGTAGCCACGTTGCATGCTCTCCGATGGCCGAAAAACAACACCAGCAGTCCCAGCATACCGGGCTCGATGTCGACCACGAGGCTCACTACAGTGAGACAGCAGCTCCCTTGAGTTCGCTCTCGACAGGGCAAGTACAAGACCTCTCGTCGACCGTCGACAAGGTCCCCGTCTGGTACGGCCTGTCCCAGGTCCGTTGCTACGCTCGCTTCAACGCCTTGAGCAGCTTCAAGAGGCTCATGTACGCCTTGATCCCCAGCTTCATCACCACCTCGTCGGCCACCACACCGTCAAAGTCTGGTATCTCGGCACTCGATGGCCTGCGAGGCATTGCATGCTTGTTTGTGTTCGGAGAGCACTATGTCATCTGCTACCAGTCTCGCGACACCCAGGTGTGGATCATGAGAGTACCATTCATCCGACTGATCTACTACGGCAAGGCGGCCGTGTTTCTCTTCTTCGTCATCTCAGGCTACGTCCTCAGCGTCAAGCCGTTGAAGCTCATCCGGTCAAAATCATACCTCGAGTTCCAGAAAACCATCTCGTCCAGCTTCCTCCGCCGCGCCATCCGTTTGTACCTCCCGTGTCTGATCGCGAGCTTCATCGCCTGCAATCTGACCAGCTTGGGCTTCTTCGACGACGCATCCATTGTCTACAAGCAGCTCTCGGACTTCATCTTCCTGAAAGAACGTCCACCGCCACATGTCACCCTCGCGTCACAGTGGAGAGGGTATCTCTCTAACGCCGAGTTCATCTTCAGCGGCACGATCCCTTACGACAAGGACACCAACGTGCTCAACTACCTCTCATACGACGACCACCAGTGGACGATCCCCAAGGAGTTCCAGAGCAGCATGGCCGTCTTCGCGTTGTTGGTGACCACATCCCGCGTGCGCACCTTCTTCCGCATGGTCATCATCTTCTCGCTGGCCGTGTACGCCGGGTGGACGTTTCGTTTGTACACGGCCTTGTTCTTCGCAGGTATGCTTTGCGCCGAGACAGACCTCATCCGCGCAGCGTACTACGCAGACCACGCGCACCACGGTGGCAGCAGGTCTGGTCTGCACAGGCTCATGCACCTCCCGAATGCATGGTACAAGTGCATGTGGGTTTCCTTCTTCACCGTCGGCGTTTGGATGATCTCTTCACCGCAAGAGATTCAACAAACGCCCAACTACCTGCCGTCCCTCCTCGCCCACTGGGGTGTATGGTATGTTGACGACAAACTCCTCACGTTCGGTTCGATTCTCGTCGTTTGGAGTGTGGCCACCTGCCCTTCCCTAGGCCCTCTGTTCAACAACCCCTTTGTCGCGTATCTCGGCAAGATCTCGTACGCGCTGTACCTCGTCCACGGCACCGTGATCAAGTCGCTCGGATACACCATTTTGCCTCGCACGTTGCGTCTCGCCACCGGGGCCGCAGCCGACGTCGAACTGAACGCCGAGTGGTGGGCCACGGTGTCGGACTCGAGCAAGGTCACCGCGTACCTTTTGGGCCTGAGCTGCGTCGGCACGGTGTGTTTCTGGATGTCTGACTTGTTCTGGCGCTTCGTGGACATCCCGTGTGTGAACTTCGCCCGTGCCGTCGAGAACTGCTTGACGCGCGGCGCCGACTCGAACGAGGTGCCGTTGTTGCCCAGGTCGAATCCAAGGACGCTATCTACGAGTGGCGGACAGTGTGCGGGGCGTACCAATGTATCGCGGGAAAGGGGCTCGTCGACGGCCGATTTACACAGTCCCAACGCCGTGTCTCCTACGACGGGCAATGCCATGGCGACGATGGGTGTGCAGAATCCAAAGAGAAAGAACGGTTGAAATGAGCCGCAGCTGAACACCATCTAGCGAGTCGTGGTGGAAATCTCGAAAGACCGCAAAAGAGCAGTCAATACACGCTCAGGTCGTTGTTGATTTTGATTTTGTTCGGTTGTGTTTTTGTGGCGAATAGCATCTGTGGTGTCTTTCCATGAGCTGGCTGTCGATCAGTACTGGTGTGGTGCTGGATTTTTCGGTGTTGCTCGAGGAAACTCAGGTCGGTAGTGTGTATGTACCGTAGGTACAAGGCAACAAAAATTTGTGATGTTCTCCTTGCAGTATACCTACCTACCTTCCTCCCTTCCTACCTACCTGCCTACCTGAGGTACGTATTACGCTTTTTTCTTACCTCGTTCACTGGCATCACAGGCGTTGATAGTTCACCGCAAAAGACAAGCAATCAAGTACGAGAAGTCGTATACGAAACTAAGGAAGTAAGAAATTAAGCAAATCCTGTACAAACGGACCTAAGGAATTGAGCTCCGAAGGGAACCAAATTGTTGTCGACTCAAGCTTTCGAAGAATCCGCGTCCTGCGCCGTAGTAATGTGTCTAGATTTGTATGGGTATGTATATATATACAGGTAGATTCTAAGGGCCACCAACTAGCTAAGGTAGTACTCTATCATGTATGAGAGAACTAAAAAAGGAGGACAATGGCAGCAGAAAATAGAAAAGACAAGACAAGAGACGCCACCAGGCCCTCCCATCTCTGATGGGTTGTCTTAAAATGCTCAACTTGCGACCTCTTGATGCTGGTGAAAAACACAAATCCGTCGAACTCCTTGGTAGTAAGAACAGGTACTCGTCGGCCGGGACTCAACGATTCCCGTATTCCCAGGCCTCTAAAACGTCATCCTTTTCAGACTCACCGTCGTCGTCTCCGTGTCTCCGTAGGTCGTCCTCGACGGGTCTCTTCTCTCCGTGCTTCGGTAGGGCGTCATCGACGGGCTTCTTACCCTTGATGGCTTCGGCGGCGGCGGCAGCAGCCTTGGTTAACTGAGCATCGATCTTGTCCTCCTCGTCCACTTCCGCCAGGTCGGCCTTTTCCTTCTCCAATGTCTCCTTCTCCTTTTCCAACTTCGCCTTCTCTTCCTCGTCCTTCTTCTTCTTCTGCTCTTCCTGCTCCTTCTTCTTCTTCTCTGCCTCACCCTTGTTCTTCTTGTCTTTAACCTCGGCCTGCTTTTTGGCTGCTGCGGCATTCCTCTGTGCTCTCTCCTCCTCTCTCATTCTCGCGGCCTCTTCCTGCTCTGCCTTCTTCCTCATCTCTTCCTCCTCGATGATCTTGTTCCGTTCTTCCTCCTTCTCACGGTTGACCTGGTCTTGGTTCTGATTGTGCTTGTCCGAACTGACCCGGACGTACTCGAGCGCCGACTCCTCCAGGCAGGCGCGGACGTCCCAGCCTACGGCGTTGGCACGCTCAAAGGGGTCAACCACCCTCACGCGAGCGTCGAGCCATTCATCCGCGACCTTTTCGATGGCGGGAAACTCTTCAATCTCACTGGCGCCCGATTGGCCAAAATATCCCGCCAGCGAAGGCAGACTCTTCAACAGGTCCCAGATGCCACTGAGCCGAAGAACCTGCACCGTCGCATCGTCAACGGAAAGCGTCAGCGTCATGATATCCGTCTGGGCGCCTCGTGCGTCATGGGCGTTCATGTCCCATCTGGCGATGCTGTTGGTGATCATGATCCGGCCTCTGGTGCAGACATCAACGACCGTCGCTGCATCCATGACCATGTTTGGGCCAAAGTCGATAGCTTTGGATCCGTAACTGAGGTAGTAATGCGTAGTGTTTGTGACGAGCACGCCCAGTTCAGGTCTGTAGACAGCCATGCCGCAACCGCCTGCGTTCTCAATGTGGGTTCTGGGGAACGCTGCAAAGGCCTGCACGCCAGCCGCGCCAAAGGACCTGGATTGCTTGTGCGAGAGCGGGATGGGGACGAGTTGCGTCCCGCCTCTGAGACTTGCGTCATGGTCCTCGTGGTAGCTCATCAGCTCTGGGTTTGTCGTCTGCTCGTACACAATGTCGCACATTCCTGAAATCAAGTGGCATTTTAGAACCGTCAGCGGTTGGAACCGCCAGATGAAATGAATATGTTCACTCGGCTGTCGTTTGGCATTCATCAGGCTGTTGGTGTTGTTGTTGTCGTCGTCGTTGTCGCTCTCTCTCACGAAGAAAGGAGCCCAATTCTTCTCCGTCTGTGCTCTCTCCTCTTGTCCTCGAATGGTGAGGATCCGCGAGCGTTGGGAGAATGGACGAAAGACCCAAATGGCTCGCTTCCAGTCGGACTGTGTTGAGATCATGTTGAACACCACCACCGGCTCAGCGCCTTGCACGTCTTCTTCGATGATGATGCGAGCATCTTCGGGACCGTACAGTGCCCCGTTGATCTCAAATTCGGTCTTTGTGTCGAAAATCTTGGGGAAGACGATTTCCTGGTCCTGCCACTGCAGCCTGTACCGGTCCAGATGGATCCAGGACTCGCTGAATATCTGGCCTCGTAGGAAGCTGATGAGGCAGTTTTCGTTTTTCCCGTTGGGATGATACATGACTCGCGACACGCAGAGGTAGACGCCATAGTCCTGCATGAAGACGCAAGCAGTGGCGAGTCTATCCCATGACATCTCGACGATCTGCGACAGGGGGAATTTGTCTTCGCCAATTCTGCCAACGGTAGGCCGGTAGTTGACCATGGGGTGCTTGTCAAGGTCTGCTGCGATTTCCATGAGGTTGTCATTCAGGAAAAACGACTCCTGTACTCCAACCTCGGCCGAATGCGCGAGAGATGAACAGGACAAGTTCTTGCCAATATATTCTCCTCCGGGGATACCAGTGTTGTCGAAACCGTGTATACGGAAGGGTGTGAAAGCTCCTCGTTCTTCGTAGTCGAACTGCGGCTCGAACTCGAGGACGTCCTCGGTGGAGGAGGGTGGTGATGTCGGTTCTTCGATACTTTTTGTGGATTCGTCTTGTGCCAGTTGATACATCTCGTCGGTCGAGGCTCCTTCCGAAGATGAGGTTGCTGACGATATTGTGCTGGGTAACACCTGTACATGCACTCAGCTCGGATTCTCATATGGTAGCTCGCGGACCGCCCAGTACTTACATCGTTCAGAATATTCTCGCGTACGTAGTACGCCTGGTGAACGAACAACAATAGTAACAATACCGTGGTACAGGCGAACAGTATGCGCTTCGTTACTAGTGGCCGTAAATTCACAGTGAACGAGGGACTGGCTGGCCTTTGGCCCTTTTCGGATATCATATTGTACTCGACTTTATATTTCAAATATCGCCTGCTGAACTCATAACAATGAAGCTTCGGACACGAGAAAAGAAAAGAATATCAGACGACTCGTGCTGGCCAGCCAGATCCGATAAGATCCAAGCGTGCCATAATGAAGATCCCAGAACAGCCAGGGAAAAAGGGTCAGTGGAAACCGCTGGTTGCATGATTTGGCGAGACGCTGTCAATGGTGTTTTGACTGCTCGGTGACACGTACGCGGACTCACCTTTTAGACATTGTGGCCTCTTTGGCAGTGCTTGTAAGCTGGTAGCATTGACGCGACATGTAGCGTGTTTTGTTGCGAGCAGCCTTTGCGTCAGTAGAATATTTGATTGCTCGCTGTTGATATCAAATGCATGTTTATTCATGATTGTGCAGTTGCCATCATTGTGCTTTTGTGACAGAGACGTACCAGGTCCAGATACGAGTACGAGTACAGGAGACCCGGACGCGTGTGCTGAGACCTCGGCCAGGTCAAGAGAAGCTCAATAGCTGCCATTATTGACCGGACCCAAAAACACTGGGTCTCCAGCGGGAAGGATTATCCCACAAGTAAAAATCCAGCGACGCGCATCGGTGGCCGGCACGAAGATCAACAAGACCCCATCAAGAGTGTACAAGATTCGAATGGAGGTCTGATGGGCGATTCCCCTTTTGGCGACCACAAGGGCGATTGCTAAGATCTCGGAGCCAATCTGCCCAGTTCGTGCGCCTCAGTGATTTGCCCATTGGGTGTTATCGCGACTCGCGAGTCGTGGTTGACAGCTTGATGGGCTGTCAATCATGTTTCTGCTCGTCTCCCCTGAGAATCTGACGTTCATGTTGGTGAAACAAGGGCTTTCTTCGGATGCGCTACGAGATGGAGAACGCTCGTAAAGGCCATTTCTCAAGGGTGTAAGAAATCGCAGGGAGATTGCGCTGTCGATCGATTTCAGAGGGCCGAGTAGATGATGCAGAATGTGCGTAGGAGGCTGAATGCGTCCCGGGGTTTGTGAGTTCGACCGTAGAATTCGCCGAGAACGATACTGTCGAGTACAGGAACAGTATCTTCACAGTTTGATATAATTCAGTATCTCTTGGCGCAATCAATCTCAAGGATCACGCATTAACAGCTACAGAAAATATACACTTAATCTATTATGTCTTTCAAATTTTGGTCAACAATAGGGCGAGAGTCCTATCCGTGTTGCTCCTTGAAAAATCAGGTCCCCTGGTTTTCTAAATCTATAATCCCTGCGAGTTCCTCCGGGGATTATAGGATGAGTTTTTGTTCGTCGAAAAGAAAGGATGGCCATTCACTTATTACAGTGTATTCTGACTGAAGCACGCATGTTGTTATTTTTTTCTCATTTAAATATTACCTACCTTAAGGTTTACCAGCAAACTCCTGGACAATCACGCAGTGAACGGGTGCGTCGCCTTCCACTTGGCAAAAGTGACCTCGAAAGACAGAGCCAGAGGCCGGGTCAACGACAGGGACATCCGCGTTGTCCTCGTACGTACCATCCCAGAAATCCAATACCTCTGCAAGCACATCTCGCACTGAGCAGCCCGCTGAATGTTCAACTTCCCTAAAGTTCCTGTCCATTGCAATGCGCAACCTTTTCATTGAGCCCAGTCTGACTCAAGGGTGCCATTCCCGCGCATGGCCAAGTTCCAACTTTCAATCGAAATTTCTTTAATCTGCACTGGTGTGCAAGTTAATTCGAACCCCGTGTAGTTCGTGTAAACAGGTACGGAGCGTTCATCATCTCGAGGACAGTTTGAATGTCGAGGCCTTGTATAGTGGTATACCATGGGTTGCAGCCAAAGAATACCGGTTTCCGGTGTAGCTGCGCTTGATGAGGGTGGCTGGAGGAGTAATCTCAGGGAATGGTCGCTCATTGCAACGAGCCCGCATACGGGTGTCAGAGATGTTGGTTCTATTGTTTCAATCGTTCGGCTTTTGAATCATTGTTCTCTCAAAATATTCTTCAACAACTCCGTGTTTGTTTAGACAATTGAGGAAGAGGAGAGAGCCTCTGTATGAAGGAGACAGTCTAGGCAGATTGGAGCATTGGCCAAATTGGAACCGTATAGTCACCCTCTGATCCATTAGCCAGGCTGGACATCGCAGGCTCGGGCCCATTAGTTCCAGGTATGTCCACAGAGGGATTCGGTAAGATCGGAGAGTGAGATTCGCTCTTGCTTGCTAAGGTTGAAGTATTTCTGGAATGTATCGAGCAAGCTGGCGACGATTGCTGCAGAAAAATCTACAAGTCTGCTGGTGACAAATACAGTCATGCACGTCTGGCTTACCTGGCGGATATAACGGTCGAACTGGCCGAGTGGCATGCCTTGTCCACCATTTGCTATATATTTTTTCATGAGCATGATTGTAGCACGAGAACATGAATATAAATACCAGTTCAATCCTCATGAGTTACAAGATGGTTCGCTGGCTACTCAAACGATTCGAAATTCCTAGCAAGGCTAAGCTGAAGCAGAATGTCTCCACCCAGACGCATCGCGATCGTCGGCAGTACAGGTCTCCTCGGTTCAGCCGTCGTCGAGGCATTCCTAGACAAGAGGGATCTCTTCGACCTTACGCTCATCACCCGAGGCATATCGACTCGCAAGCCACGCTCGGATGTTAGGACTGTGGTTGTCGATTTCGAGGACGTTTCGGAAAACAGTACTCTTGTCCAAGCTCTGCAGGGCCAAGATGTCCTTATCTCGACTCTGAATTCAGCAGTGGCAGTGAAGTGTGAGTAAGACGGCAACATATATACTATGCCCCGGTGCTATCGCCCCAAGTACCATGCTGATGCTAGTTTGCAGTGGAGCCAAGATTGGTTCAAGCTGCCATCCAAGCTGGAGTCAAGCGCTTCATGCCGTCCGAGTACACCTTTGACATCACTCATTCGGCAGCTCGGTCGCTCGGAGATGGCAACTTGATCGGCGAACGAGTGTCTTGGGCGGATGGTCTGAGCAGAATTGCCTCCGAGGGGCATATTACCTACACGACACTTATTACGGGTGGCTTTCTCGACTGGGGACTTAGAGGCGGCATGCTTGGTTTTGACCTGGCGCAGCAAGAGGCCGTATTGTACGAAAAAGGGGAACATAAAGCCACAGGGTGCACAGTAGGGTTCGTTGCCAATGCCATTGTTGCTTCTTTACTGTTGCCGGACGCCGAGACGAGGAACAAGCGCATCTATGTTGCTGAAGTGGAGTACACGGGTCAGGAAGTGCTGGAGGTATTTCAGCACGTCACAGGCAAGACGTGGAAAGTCACTGAAGTGAGTGTGGCGAGTACTCTGGAAGAAGGTCATCAGCTCCTTGCACAAGGAAACCGGAGAGGAGCATATGTCAATTATGCTGTGGCCTTGAACTTCAATGGCTGTGGGGCCGGGTATCTCGTGGCTGGGCTGGACTTTGGTCGGACACTGGGTTCTCTAGGCCTGGAACGACAGAGTCTAGAGAGCATCATTCGACAGGTGACCAGGGGTATCCCCGAGACAATGGGGGGAGATCATAGCAAGTGAGAGTGAATAATGATCAGGCCATCATATGAGGATATCACCTTATTCACTGGCAGAACCGGACCGTAAGAGGTGTGGCGCACCAGCATTCCCCAAGGAGACCCCATCATTACCAGATCCATTTTCCTCAACCCCACATTGTCCTCCCCAGTTCAGCCAGTGCCCCGGATGGTCGTGCACGACTGCCGACTACTATGTACACGATATAAGTCTCTAACCGGCTCGTTGATAAGCCACAGGATCCCTTGATCCACGAGCTCTAGCCAGGAACCCTACTTACCCTGAGAGTTGACACGACCAATAGCCCACCTTCTCCGTGCCTTCACACTCTCTTTCATGTTCTTGCGCACAAGTAACAGCTCAAGAAAAGAACGAACACGCTTGACAACGGACCAGGCCATCTCACTCACACGCCCAACCACGACAAAAGCCCATCATGTCATCCGACGCCCAGAAACCATGGGTCATAATCGTAGGCGCGGGGCCTTCAGGACTCCTCCTGGGTCTGTTGTTGGCTAAACGTGGCATCCCCGTGCAACTGGTCGATCTGACGCACGAACTGGACAAGAACCCGCGAGCAACACACTACGGACCACCGGCGATGCACGAACTCAACCGTGCGGGCGTGGTGGGAGAGATGCGCGAGCAAGGGTTCCTCCCCGACTCGGTGTGCTGGCGGAAGCTCGACGGCACGTACCTGACGGGAATCGACATGGACGTGATGGGCGACTACCCGGACCGCATGGTGTGCCTGCCTCTGAACAAGCTGGGCAAGATCCTCTACGCGCATCTGCAGCGGCAGCCCTCGGCGACGGTCAATTGGGGCTACAAGGTCGTGTCGCTGGGCCAGGACGACGACAAGGCCTGGGTCGACGTCGAGACGCCCGAAGGCACCACCAAGAGGCTCGAAGCAAAGTACATTGTCGGCTGCGACGGGGCGAACAGCCAGGTGCGTCGGTCGTTGTTCGGAGACTGGGAATTCCCCGGTAAGACGTGGGAGAATCAGATTGTCGCTACAAATGTGAGTGAAGACCTACGATTGAGTCCCCGAAATCTACTACCGTAACCTCTTGACTCCACTCTCTTACCCCTTCGGACACCCCGCTTTGCCAATGAGGAATGGGATAGAGGTGTGCTCTGTGTGAGAGGTGATGAAAGCAAGACCGTGATGTGTCTGTATCAATAGCTAACCCTTTTTCTCCTCTTCTCGATCACATCCACAGACATACTACGACTTTGAACCCTACAAATGGCGCGACTCCAACTTCATCATCCACCCGGAGCACTTCTTCATGGCCGCCCGCATCGGCACCGACGGCCTGTGGCGCATCACGTACGGTGAAAAGCCAGGCTTCACCACCGAGCAGCTTCGTGAACGCCTCCCTACGAAATTCAAAACGTTCCTACCCGGTCACCCGGAACCAGACCAATACAACGTTGTGAACTTCAGCCCCTACAAGATCCATCAGAGATTAGCGCCCAAGATGCGAGTTGGAAGGTTTTGTTTAGCTGCTGATGCGGCACATTGTACGTTGTTATCCCCGCTTTCTTGCACCACCCTCCTTTACCCTTTACCTGCAATGCGTTGGTGTGTTTTAGCAGCAGCAGTAGGAGCAGTACACTGACATGAAGCCCTCGTCGTGAATATCTAGTATGCAACCCATTCGGTGGTATGGGTCTGACAGGTGGCATCGTCGATATCGGCGGCCTATATGACTGTCTCGTGGGCATCTACGACGGCCTGGCCGACGACTCGATCCTAGACAAGTACTCTGAGATCCGGATGCAAAAGTACAAAGAGATCATCGACCCCATTTCGAGCGACAATATCAAACGGCTGTTCGACCAGGATGCCGACACCGCAATGGAGAATGACGAGTTTCTGAAGGTGTTGAAGCGAGCAGAGACGGATTTGGAGTTTGCAAAGGAACTGCAATTGTCGGCGAATGCCCTCATGCATGATTTCACGCAGTATTACAACAGAAATCCTGCTACCAGCAACGTCCACGAAAAGGGCAGAGCGGTGGCGGCGTCAGAGGTGCCGTTGCCTCAGGCTGTCACGGTAGGCGGCGTCAACTGATTAAAGCCGAAGACACAATTGTGAGTTCACGTATATTGCCTTTGTCAATTTATGTATACATCGCTATTAAATGGCTTGGGAAGGTTCTTTAAAGGCTAAACCATTGCCGCAAAACCTCATTTCTTTGCTCTCAGTTGGGCGTACTGTGTACACGGCGTGCTCCGTATTTACGAGACAAGCTCGCATTTACAGACACAGGGCATAGCAGGGACATGCCGAATTGGGCGGTCATCAACAGCCAGTTTCCGTTGGCGGAATAAACGTGAAAATGAGTGCCGTCTTACACCTTGGCCTCGTGAACTTCTTCCCCAGCATGACTCTCCTCGGCTGGGGCGAAGACCTTTCCAAACCTAAAGTGAGCAATGTCACTCAGGGTGCTCGTTGTGTTGCGCAGATTCTGCTTCACAAGTTCACTGGTAGGCTGGCTGAAGATTAAGTCGATCTCTTCGAGAGTCTTGTTCTTGGTCTCGGGCATGAACAGGATCTGGTAAATCCATCCCAGCACGGCGATTCCACCGTAGAAGCCCAGGGTCAAACCGGTCTTGGTCATGGCCTTCTGCATGTCGGTGAAGAAATATGTGACCAGCCAGCTGCAGAAGAACAGATTGACGTCGGTCGACTCCATGCCATAGGATCTGAGGTATGTCGGGAAGACCTCGGATGGCAAGACCCAGGTCAGACAGGCGTACGATCCGAAGAAGCCGTTGTACAGGATGATACCCGTCAGATACATGCCTTCGGTTCCGGTGAGGCTGGTCATGTGGTAAGAGACGCCGACCAGGATGAGGCCGACGAAGAAACACGGCAGCATCATGTTGGCCCAGAACCGACGGCCGTACTTTTCCATGAAGAGGACACCTGGGATGGTACCGAGGAGCAGCGCCCCTCCGCCCACAAGAGACATGAAGACTGATTGCTTCCTGTCGAAGCCAATCTGTGACATCAAGGTGCTCATATAGTACATCTGGACAAAACAGGATGCGTTAGTTTTTGATTGTTGACTTTTTGACGGTGATTCTTTTTTCGGGCACACAAGGGACTGGGGTTGGAGAGGAGGGAAGGGAATTGAATACGTACAATGGCATTGATACCGGTCAACTGACCCAGGGCGATCATGATGTTGGCATACACAATTGACCGTCTCGCGCGTGGCACAGTGAAGAAGTCAAGCCAGACGAACCTCTTGCGCTTCGACACGCCCTCGCGGACTTCGTGGTCCAGAGCGTGGTGCATGATGAAAAACTCCTTGCGGTCCTCCTCCTTTTCGAGGCCTCGAATGCGCTTCCACACGGCATAGGCCTCGAGAGTTTTGCCCTTGTGCATCAGCATTCTAGGTGACTCGGGCATCCAGAACATTCCGATCAACATGATGGTGCTAAAGACGAGCGACGAGCCGAGCATGTACCGCCAGCCGCCCGGTTGCACGTTGACGAAGATGGCCGCCACGACGTATCCGATGACCTCGCCGAAGGCGATCATGAGCTGGTACAGACTGACCAGGTTGCCACGATACTTCTTCTCGACGGACTCGGCGACGTAGACGGGGACAGTGCCGCCTTCGAGACCGAGGCCCATACCCAAGATGACACGGGCCGCGACGATCATGCCGAAGTTCTGGGCCCCGGCCTCCAGGGCGGCGCCGATGGTGTAGAGGATGAGCGAGATGATGATGGCCATCTTGCGCCCGACGAGTTCGTTGGTCGGGCCCAGGATGAGCGCGCCGCCGATGGCTCCCAGGGGAACCGCCGAGCTGGTCAAGCTGACCTGCGACGAGTCCAGATGGAGGTCATCAGGCATGTACAGCAGCGCGCCGGAGATGACACTCTGGTCCAGACCCGACAGCATGCCGCCCATCGAGGCGAACCCGACAAGGAGCCAGGTGAAGTGGCGTGGGTCGTTGAACGATATCAGGGGGTTGAGGAACGTGCTCTTGATAGGGGTTTCCTGCAACGCCGCTTCGAACTCGGCAATCTCTTCGTCCACAATCGAGGCTTCGTTGGCGAGTCTCATTGCCTGCGCCTCGCTGAGTCGGCGGGATGCCATGGACATTTGCCGTGTGGTCCCAGGCCGCGACGGATGATCAATCTTTTCATTTTCGAGGTGTGACAGGTTCGAGCCGTCGACCTCGGGCTTCTCGGAGGCGACCATGTTTGGCAAGAGGATGAGGATGCGAACCAGAGCGAGAGCGGATTGATAGAAAAAGGAACAACAAAAAGCAACAACACTCGTACGCGAGTGCTCAGAGCAGATAAGAGGTCAACGGATCAGCAAACGCGGGAGGGACTGCCTCTGATACTTATACTTTTGTGTGCGCTGGTCCCAGAGTTCTCCTCCTTCTTTTGTCTCCTCTGGAGTTTCTCCAGTGGATATCCCATGTATCCCATGACTCCAGAGAGGGCACGCGAGAGCGAGCGAGAGAGGGAGAGGGTCCTTTGATGGCTGGCTGCCCAGGGGGCCCGGGCTACCAAGGGCGGATGTGTACCCAGTACCCCAGTACGAGTCACTCGGACTCGGACTCGGACTTGTAGCTAGGTGAATGAATCAACAAAGTTGCATCGTCGCAAGGAAGCACATACCCGTCGTGCACGAGTACAGCAGCACTATCCTCGTCGGACTACTCCTCCCTTGATCCTGACTGGGTGCTGCGGTGAAAGTCTCGCTGAAAATCTCTCCATCTGTGCGTCCAACAGGAGATGGGCAATGCGAGGGGATCCATCCTACGGAGTGAGTATCCAGCTATAAATTGACGGGTGGAGTATGAGCCTGTTCACCGCAGCCACCTGATGGGCAAATGATAACCTTGCAAACTCTTTCGACGAGGCTAGAGCTCTTCGGCAAACGATCGGCCATGCAAGAGAAGAACCATCGAAGCATCTGACACAAGCTTTTTCCCGCTCCTTGTATCCGCCATATCCGTGAAACTTTGAACCTTCGTCATGTTACTCGCCGTCACCTGGGACCCCCCTGCAACACCGGGGCCCTTGGACGGGCAGACAGCCTTTGCTAGACCCGAAAGCGAGGCTGTTAATGGAGACGATCAAAACGCAACTATCCACCATCGGTGGCACCACAGGACTGCCAGCCCTGCAAGACTTGCCAGCAGGACTCGTCATCCTGGCAAGTTGCTGCCGGTCTTCTTATCAATGCTACCCACTGAAAGTTATTATTATTGTTGAAACAGGTCCATCACTCGCCTCAGTTGACTTTGCTACTACTCCGTACCGGCGCTGTCATTGGTGGCCGCAGTCGCCGACGTCGGCAACTCAAAATCAAAATCCATTCTACAGTACTCCATACTGTGTCGTACTCGTACGAGGACTCCGTTCTGCAGAAACTAGAGACGAGTGTCATGAAGCATGAAAATGTCAGATGATGAGCTCAGAAAAAAAGGATTCTAGTTTTGCGAGTACCAATAAATAGTAATCCCATCGCGCGCGCGTGGACCTGTGGAATTTTCCTCTGTATTGTATGTACGAGGGGCTCGGTGAGCATCTGACAAACTGTGTTACAGTTCACTCATACACTGTGGCGAGCAGAGCGAGTAGAAGATATCTCTGAGTTAAAATCTTCTAGTCTTGCGGCTGTGGAAAAAGTATCCTTGCTCGAGTCTAACTCAATACACCCGGCTAAAGCTATTCCTGACCCCCCCCCTTGCCAAACAACACCAACAACCACCTACTGTAGGTAAGGTGAACGTCCAGACACCCACCCCCCTTCTTCTGCATATCGGCTGCATCATCTGGCAAGGAACAAACAAGTTCCAATTCCCACTTGACAACCTGACCTGACACCTTTGGCTTGGGCTTGGCCTTCAACTTGTCCCGTTTCTCAGTTGCGTCAAAGGCGTAACTACTACTAATCTCCTGCAAAGTTTCGCACCCGGGCGTGCTTCTCCACCAGCCCTGCGTCTGTGGCGTAGAACTAGTTCTTGCAGTAATAATGGATGGTGGATTTTTGCAAGGCACATGTCAGCCATGTACAAACACTAATCTTGCGCTGTCCAGTATATTATATGTATGAAGCATATACGACATAATGTGATAATAACGTCCCGACTCCGAGTACCCAAAGACATTTCTCGCAACCTTCTTCGATTTGTCGGTCGCCAAAAGGGAAAGTGAAGTCTGGCCTCACTAGCCTTGAAGCAGAACTCCACCTCCGGCCCTCGCCCAAGAAGTATGCGTAGGTAGCCGATCCCTGACCCGATCGCATCAAAGACGAGTACCTTTCCACAGGTACAGTGTGATTACCATCATTAGCGTCCGGTGAGGATCGTTAATGCCACGTTTTTCTGAGCCCAGACTCCTCCCAGACCTTCCGTCGCTCGATCCTAACTCGTTCACATGGACGTGGCCAATGCGCTTATGAGATGACTCCTTTGCTCCTCCTCCTCCTCCTCCTCCTCCTCCTCCTCCTCCTCAACAACAACCATGAGGCGGAGGCGGAGCGAGGTGTGAGGAGAGTACATCCACCTCATAAACAGTGATCTCATGATGGCATTGGGCGTGGTTCCTGGTGCTGGCCGTGGCGACGACGGCGACGTTATGCCTGTCACACGCGACAGCAAGTTGAATCATCTCGGTAATCCCCAAACGACGAACTGACCCTCCCAGATCGAGACGGTCTGCCCGACCGCCCCGGGGCGAAAGTGCCAGGCAGAAAAAGCTGCATTAGCTCTCTAGCTCAAAGAGACCGACCATAGAATGTGGAAATGGCGAACGAGGCGGGGAGCACTGAAGTCTCTCTGTCGAGGAGCACGGCGTCTGGGATCTTGGACACGACGAACTTACTTGACAGTCCCCCAACGGACATACCATGTAACACACTTCACCGGCACCGAACTGGGTTGCGAGCTTGAAGCAAACGCCACGTAACCGAATCAGTATAATGACAACGTGTCTGGTAAATGCACCCAACCTTCTTGGGAAGGGTTACGTCGAGGCGTCCGTGAATGCATAGTAAGTGCGAAGGTGTCGGCATTCAGCATAAAATGCAAAAACTTGGTTTAGTCAGAAGTGCTGATAGAAGAATTTTTTCACGGCTTCATTGACTAACGACCTTATGGCTGATTCACCGGAAGAGTGTTGCGCTCGCTTCCAAAAGCAGTTTGTAAGCATCTAACTTCTAAAGCAACAGAACCGCATTGACCCGCCTTCATTCTCGCCTTTGCGAAGCCTTCTAGGGAATTTTCTGCATCATCATTGATAGGTCCCTGGTCCTTGCTTGTATTTGGTAGAGCCACGCTAGGCTTCGTCCAGGATCTCATCTCCTTGCCTGAATGCCTATATGAAGCTCGTCACAAGTCTACTGGATGACACAAAGTTTAGACTGCTCACATAGTGACAAAGGTTCAGGGGGATGATGTTGATTAATTTCGTTCTCACAGCTCACTGTGTTTGACGGCTTGTTGCGAGGCCGAAGCTGGTTTGCCGCTCAAAATATAGGCATCGAGAACGCCTCGCTTTCTGAGAGTCAAATCTTCGTGGATGTTCTCCTCCCAGATAGTCCCATCTTTGCCCAGAGATTCAGCTGTGACATTGGCCAAGAAGGACGCGTTTCTTGTAGCGTCTGGAAATGCCGACAACAGACCATCGTAAATCTGTTTTGGAGTTGGTTGTTCGGCAGCCGCGAGGATGTTCTTGATACCCCACTCGACATAGTCAAGGGTGAATTTGACGTCGGTATGCCCATCAAGTGTCTCGCCGGGTGCCGAGTGACCAGGGATCACCAGCGCTGGCTCAAGTGCCGAAATGACTGGGAAAGAAAGTCAGTGTGGAGAGAACTTTGGCTCAAGATACCCGAATCTGAAAGACAGGCGACGACCTACGTTTAAGAGCGTTCACCCACGACTCCGCTAGATCAAGAGTCGGTGCATCGGACAAAAGAACAGGATATTTGCGGCCATATACCACATCTCCTGCGATGACGACCCGTTCTTTGGGTAACCAAAGGATAGCATGATCCACGGCATCGCCTTGAACAACTACTCAGCGACGTATTCTGGGCGCCATCGCGGATTACTTACCAACGAGAGGGCTCAAGAGTACGATCGGGGAGCTTTCATCGCCTGGGAGAACAAATATTGTGTGATTGAATGGCTCGGGAACGGCGGGAACATCTGGAAAATGCTTTGCAAAGTTAGTTCTGTTGGCCACCAACAAATCTTCCGACGAAAGGGAGCGATAGAAAGCGCCGCTCACCCCGGGCCCAACAACGGCCTTCCAAAATTCCACTGCACTTTGTTACTGCATCGATCTATACGTGGGCTCCTGAATAGAGGTACCTTTATCTTGGGTGGAGATGACAAAATTATGGTAAGTTTGAGGGGTGCTGTAGTATCGGGCCTCAGGGAAAACGCCCAGGAGATGATGAGCTGACCAGGTATGGTCGGGATGGTGGTTTGTTGTGAATATCGCGTTCAACGGCTTGCCATTTAGCTTCTCTTTGGTCCATGCTGCCAACTTTTCTCCCTCTGACGTGAACCAGGGAGGGTCGATTAGCATGGCGGCATTTGAGCCCACCACCAATGTCGAGACAGAACATAATGTTGGTTCTGACGACTCTAGATAATGGACTTGAAGGTGACCGCTGGCGACTAAAAGTGAGGTGGCAGCCGCCACCAATGACGAGAGGAGCTTCATCCGGGGGTATCTAAACTCCTCGAGCCCAATATCAGGCGATCTGGAGCTGGGTAAAACAGTGTCAAAATTCTCTCTAATGGGCTGTGAAGGATGAGATAGAAGATATATTGATCGGGGAAGATCCTGTGTCAGTGAACAAGTCTTTAAACATCTAGATCTATTTAACAATCATGTAAACTCAGCGACATCAGTTCTCTGGCCAAAAGAGAATTGAGGAGGTCTTCGGCCAGCAACAGGGGTAGTGATCAAGTGGAGACATTTTGCTCAAAGTTGTTCAGTTGAGACGCCTGAGAAACCTTACCCCAGCCATACTCCCGACGATGTTCCCCACCAGATATGCCGACACGTTTGCCGTGCATAGCGAATCCTGGCGTGCATTCTTTTGGAAGATCAAGGAATTTTGGGAGCATGAGTATGCATTTCTCGATACAGCCAAGAATGATAGACACAGCCTTGTACCAGGTGCTCTATATCACTAAGCGCTATTTTCAAGGTCAATGACCACCTTAACAACAGTTCCGGATGCAATCAGTTCAAAAGCCTTCTCGGTGTTCCGCAGAGGCACCTTCGCGCTTACACACTCTGCTAAAGGAAAGCGCTCGTGATACGTGTCCGCAAGCTGCACGGCTCTGTAGTAGTGATGGGGCGCCGCAAATTTTGTGCCGATGATTCTGAGAGACTTTCGGACGAGTTCGAACGGATCGACTAAAGCTTGCCCTTCACCAGCAAAAGTCCCGATCACCAGGTATTTACCATTAGTACGCAGCATCTTGATGCCTTCCGCGAAACTCTCGACTCTGCCGGAGCATTCCATAACGAGGTCAACGCCATCTGGGCAGCTTGAAGACTCCTGGATGGTCTGGAGCCGGTCCCGCGATGATGGAAAGTCCTTGACATTGATAGTCTTAGTGGCACCAAATTTCATTGCCATGTCCAGTCTGCTCTGGACTACATCCAAGACCGTAATTGTCTTAGCACCCGCCAGAACTGCCATCATGATGGAGGCTAGGCCCAGCACGCCGGATCCTTGAACAACCACATCTGAGCCAAAGTCGATGCCTCCAAGGTTATCCAGAGCCTGAAGAATGGTCGGGAGCGCACATCCAAGTGAAATGACTGCTTCAACTGGAGTGGACGGCGCCAACTTGTAAAATGCGTTGAATCGCTTCAGGTTCGCCACTTCAGTATACGATGCAAATGTCGGTTCTGTTGCTGGCGAGAGAAAAGTGCTATTGGCGCATGAAGTAAAGTCTTTAGTAATTGTGCAATGGTAGCACGCGTGGCATGGTGCGATCGGATTCCAGTATACAACATCGCCAACCGCGACTGGCTTGCCAGCATGATCTTTGGTGACGCCCTCTCCCAACGCCTCGATGCGACCCACGCCCTCATGGCCCAGCACGTATGGAATGGGAAACGTCATTGCTCCCTCCCAGAAATGTTTGTCGGTACCACACACACCGGCATAAATGACTCTCAATCGAACACCTCCCGGTTCAGGGGCCACTACCTTTGACTCCCAGTACTGGATCGGGTCGCACGGCTTGGCCGTGCTCACAATGACAGCCGCCGTATAAGTTGCCGCCATGATGATTAGGAGCCTCGGTCAGCTGTTCTGAAGTTGAGATGTACGACAAAAGCACCAACCAGTTGGGAATCTGTAAGTAAGCCATTGTCAAGCACCTCGGAGTATTAAACATGTCTCCGTTGAGCGCAAATCACGTCCACGCTGTTGCCGAGTACCCCCCAGGTTCACCGGATGGGGCTGACCGTTAATTGATCTCGCGCTCAAGCCGTAGCAGCTGCAAACACAACAAACTCTACTCCACATCTGCTCCGAAAGTCCACCGACCCGCCCGAAATCCATGTCAAATTGCTCGTCACACAATAGCAGTATAGCAAAAATGTTCACGGACGAAATTCTCCAGGTTATCCTTGTGGCTCCAGGATTATACAGGGAAGATTGAGTGGGGCATTTCGCCGATATATCTAGCGACTGAGTGAGCAAAGAACGCGACAAGGAAGCATACCACCTGGCATAGCAGGAAGTACAGTCCTGAATAGAGGGGAAGCTTACAAGAAGCCCCTCCCTCCCGATTTACGTAGAGATGATTTCTTCGCTCTTCAAGAGATCTGTTAAATAGGCTATATTGCATCACCTATCTCATTGCAGAGCTATTCTCAGTAAAGGTCGAGACAATCATGCCCTCCACTACCTCCCGAAACTAGCTCTGTGGCAATCAGAAGAGCCTCTATCACTTTCGTTCTCACCGCGTCGTTGTCAACCCCGTGACGACCGCTTGTTTGTACCACGCCGCGTTGGTCATCTGGGCATTCACTCGTTCCGGTGCTCACTGCGACCTTTGTTCGAGCTCGGCGTTGCTCCAGGACCGCAAGCAACAGCCCACGACGGTTCTCAGCACCCCCTTTGAGCTCACGGCCATGGACACGCAGTCAAGCGAATTCTGGATGTGGGTGACCTGCAACAGCAATGGATCCGTCGACCACGTGCTGCTTTGTGGATGTAACATGCCGCAAGTGGTTGAATGCTACCGGAAAGCGATTGCTAGTACTCGTCGTGGTAACCAGACCGACTGGCTCTCGCATGTTGATCTTTATATGACCGCACTTGCCGACTTGAAACAAAGACCTTGATCAGGGCTAACAAAGAAGCTGGTAGATTACCAATGACCAAGATGATAAATATCACGGGCCAAAAGTTGCCTAGACCGTCCTTTTGACCTTTTACAGAAGGCCGGACGAAGTAACAAACCAAGAACTACTAGGCCACTGGTTGATATAATTTCAGTTTCAAAAGGGTGAAATGGCACGAGGTCGCTTGCGGTAACTAGTTAGTGGCCTGTAGGAGGAGGGACCGGTAGAGGTCGCCCCGTGTTGAACAGGCTGGGTTGCGGGAGCCTCCGACGGCGACGTCTTCTTTACAACGCGGTGGTCCTTTGCAAGGTGAATTCCGTACGACACCGTCATGATAACTGACTCGTTCGTCACCATATCTCGCTGTATCACGGGCTTCGTATCTTCCCCTGGTTTACCTCGCTGGCATAGAACCGTTGGGCCAAATGGGTGGTCTAGTTGGTGAGGGCGAGTCACACTTCTCCCACGCTTTTTGTTTCTTCTTCTTTCTGTTACCTGGTCGTATTCGTATCTGATTACGACAGGTAACGGCGGTGTAGAGTGACTCTTAATTCCCCCGGTGTGGATACTTTTCTGTTTAAGCAGTGCGACCGACCGAGGCCGACGGTAACCGGGCTTATCCGTGATCGTGTATCGGCCGCTGGTGCGGACGGACTGACCTACGCGAACCTGTACACAAGGCCACCTAAGTTTTCCTGGGTGTCAAGTTTGTACAACGGTGCAGGAGTTTGACGCCGTCTCTCTCCCCAAGACATTCCTTGAAAGTAGTTGGCTGTGCGGACGGAGTGGAACGAGTTTTTACACCGGAACAGTGTCTGTCTAAAACCGCCCCCCCCCCAAAACCGGATGCAAGTCGATCTGGTTAAGCTTTTCCTGTACGTGGAGAGATGGAGAGATGAAGATGACTCAATAATTCGTCTTCCAAAGGGCGCAACGCCATCTTGTGAAATCTACATACATACAAACATAAACGCACTAGTTAGTTACCATATCAAGCACCGGTTCGCATCCCAGACTCACATCGATAACATTACAAATCTTCCGACAGCTCGTAGATTTCTATCACCACAGGGGGCCGGGGACATATATCTATCTATGTTCCACCTACTTTATGTTTCTGCCTTTCTGCCTTTCTGCCCTTCTCTGCGGGAAGACAACAAAACTACTGTACCAACTAATTACCTAGATACCTCAGGTGGGGAGCTACACAATACCGAGTACCCGAGTCAGAAGCCAGGTGTGCGTCAAGGATTCTATTCTACTACGTGACGAGAATCTCAACTCTGAACGATGGCTCTACTACCTACTTTCGAATTGCCCAAGGTACGTTCGTCCTTTGCTAAACAAGAACAAAAAATGCCCATCGTCTATTATCTGCCTACCTACCTACCTACCTACCTACCTACCTCGCTTGATCTTCGCATCACACGCGCACAGGCACACACATACACACACTTTGTACACTCAGTCACTTACAAATCAGTACATTCGGGAAACCGAGGATCGAGTCAAATATGGTCTCGGAGGCAGCGCGACGCCGTACATGTCCATCGCCGACCTGATCTCGCTCTCGTCCGACCCGGACACGACTGCGAAAAACCTGGACGTCCGCTCCCTCAAACTCGGCGGCGGCATGGGTCTCGGCAGCCCTGGAGTCCGCGCCGCAATCGCAAACCTGTACAAAGGCATCTCGCCCGACCAGGTCATGACGGCGGTTGGCACGACGGGGGCCAATGCGATGGTGTTCACCACCCTGCTCAGCAGCGGGGACCACGTCATCTCGCTGTTTCCCACGTACGGGCAGCTCTCCGGCCAACCCAAGGGGTTCCCTTGCGAGGTGTCGTCCTGGAACCTGGACATCTCCGACGGCTGGAAGCTGCACGTCGACCAGCTCGAGGCGCTGATCCGCCCGAACACGAAGATGATCGTGCTGAACAACCCCAACAACCCGACGGGCACGTACCTGGACGCAGATACACAGAAGCAAATCCTGGACGTTGCGCGCAAACACGACATCATCGTAATGGTAGATGAGATCTTTCGACCGCTGTACCACGAAGACGACAACGGTAACATAGCAGGCTCCCCTTCGTTCGTCGAGCATGACGACCACTACACCGGTCGCGGCGTCGTCGTCACGAGTTCCATGAGCAAAGTATGGGGTCTGACCGGCGCGAGGATAGGCTGGATTGTGACCAAGGACCAGGAAATTCTCTCCAAAATCCTCGACGTCAAGTTCTACGCATTCACTTCGACCAGCGACATTGACGAGGTCGTTGCCGCCGAGGCCTTGAGCGACCGGTGCCGCCCCAACATCCTCAAGAAGCATCTGGGCAACGCGCGCGCTAATCTGCCGTTGCTGGACGCCTTCGTCAAGAAGAACAGCGACATGGTGTCGTGGACGAAACCAACCGCCGCCGCGACTGCTTTCATCAGGCTGTCCTGGAAAGGAACTCCGATTGACGACGTCGAGTTTTGCAAAGCCTTGCTAGACGAGGAGGGAGTGTTGCTCAGCCCAGGCAGCTTGTGCTTTGGCGAAGATCGACAGAAGGAACTGCTGGGCTTCGTGAGGTGTCATTTCACTTTCCAGCCGGAGAAGATGGCGCCAGCACTCGAGGCATGGGATAGGTTTCTGCAGAAGACTCGCGCGTCGTTGTCGTAGGTCAGTCTCGGGCTCGGCGGGTAGTGTTGTCGGTATGTGAACCGTAGTCATGCACCGAAATTATCACTCCGGAGCGTGGTGAAGAGCGCGGAGCACGTTGGCCTGCTGAGAGCTTTGGGTTTGGCCCTATGGGATGGGCGCAGGTATTCGCGCTCGTGCGAGGGAATGCGACCCTCTGTCAGGCGTGAGTGGTGTTGTGTTCTGTTACGATGACTACTACTGGTCAAGAATCCATCAATGACGGGTTGGATGTGTTCAATCATGTGTTCCGGCGCAGGCCAAAATCTTCTCTGAACTCCGTTTTTTCCCTCGTTGCCTCACTAGCCGTTCCCGGGGCACAACCCGACCCCATGAAGCGCGAAAAGTGTGACGCTGCATTGACGGGTTTCGGCACCGACATCCGCGTACAGATAGTGGAGCGTGCAGCGCAGGCGCTTCTCGAGGATCTGATTCGTAGCAAGTTGAATGCTGGAGAGATGGTAGGTACTCGTATACTGCGTTAACAATGCCACTGCAGTCTGATCAGCTCGTGAAGCCCAGGACACCCACGAAGGGGCACGTGAAAGCGAAAAGAATTGTTGGTGTGTGTGGCGGGCGCTTTCGGATCACACCCATAATCGGCGTCGATGAAGCGATGACCAAGAGTGCAGAAAGTTGATGGCCCACTAGAACAGTCTCTTGCTTGAAATGATACCAATCTGAAGTGTCGCGGGGCGCAAGCTGCCCAGGATTCGAGGAGGACATCTCTCAAGATTCGGATGGCCTATGATAACGGACAGCTTGGCATCAGTAGAACTCCACATGGAATCAAGTGCCTGATTCTTCTCGCGTTTGCTGCGGAATCGAAGGGTTTCTGGGGGTGCTGATGGTGGTGCGTGTCGTAAGTTGCCGCACGACCGGCTCGTCGGCTAAAAAGTATCGCTGTCCGCGGGCTGAATAGATCGTGGTCCCCGAGAGTCCGGCGTCTTGCTCAAGACACCGCAAAGTGGACACGAGCGTGCCAACTGACCGCCTGCTTTTGGCTTGCTCTTGCTTTAAAGATTTCTGGGCGCCGTCTTGTCGTGCGGTGAGCGATTTCCTTGCGCGTGATTCCGTTGTCTCAACGCCATTTTCTGCTTCCAGTACATTTGACCATGGCCACTGAAACACCCAATGTTGTCGGCGCCAGTGTCCTCACTTCAGGAGAGATTAACGTACCAACAGCCGAGAAGCCACTCCAAAATGGCCCGATCCTGGAGAAAGTTCAACAAGCCAACACCGACCAAATTCGAAAAGTCCAGGTGAAAGAGTCCGGGTCAAACTTCAATCGCCTGCGCACCCACCTCTCCAGTCCTATCCGAGTCGATATATTTGCTGAGATCGAGCTTCTCATTGTGAGCTTCTGCACCGGCATTCAAGACGTGACCACATTCCCAGACTACCACTGCTTTGCATCCAACCAGACCGGCATGTTGGCGCTCTCATCTTCCTCGCCTTAGTACTTCACAGGCTGACAATTCGAGACAGGAAACACCGTCATGCTCGCAATGGCCGTTATCCTACCTGGAGCCACACATGACCTGTTCATCACCGCCAACATCGGCATGAGTCTCGGCTGCTTTCTTCTCGCAGGGTACATTACCGGCCAACTGAGCCACATAATCGGACCTCGGAATCGGGCGTGGATTGTTTTCTGCAATTTCTTCCAGACAGGGTTGGTCTTCATTGCCGCAGCACTGCAATACATTTACGGTATTCATGTCGAAGGCACAAGCACGGTCATCATAATTGGGCTACTGGCATTCGCGGCCGGAAGCCAAGTTGTGCTGAGTCGGAGTTTGAGTATGACTGAAATCAGTACGGCCATGGCCACAGCGGCCTGGGTCGACTTGCTCATTGATAAGAACCTACTTGCCTTGAGCAACAGACCCAGGACGAGACGTGCAAGTTTTCTTGCGGCTCTTGTGGCGGGCGCCTTCTTTGGGGCGTACATCTATCGCGAAGTGGGAAGCGAAGCAGCATTATTGCTGTCTGCGGCTGGGAAGTTGATCGTGACGATCATGTTCCTGTTCAATGGGATCGAGAAGCCGAGTGTGTGTCAAGGTTCTGTCTGAGACTGTGACTGTGGGCTGTGTCAACAAGGGGTGATGAATGATGGGAGACACTGGGTTAGCATCCAAGGTTTATTTCAGCGTTTCAGTTCGGCGTGCTAGCGAGCATCACCATTCACAATCAGCATAGGAGTAGAGTAGAGTGTCAGCATCTGGTATCCCGACCTTTGGAACGAATAGTAGAGTGATAGATCTGTGCTTGTCTTGAGAACTCGAGTTGTGGTAAGTGTCTGAATAGATCTGCTTCCATTGAGCATCAATGGTGGTTGCAAAGTCGTAGGGCACACGATGTCAAGGCGATAATGCATATCCGATCTAATAAGCCCCGTGTAAACCCTTCGGGATTCATTCTGCGTAAAGTGAGAGAATCCTCGACAAAGACAGGGTTGTGGAATTCAGAAATACCACTCGATGGACAAGGACCTCAAGGTCATGGCGCCATTCTGCATTTGGCCGGGCTATGTGCTTCACCGTAGTTCAAGTCTCCCCTCGTCAGCGCATGGTGGTTCTGGTTGCTCGTTATTGTTCAAACGTTCTCTCATCAATGGCTCTCCCAGGACTGCAGCGCGCTGCACATCAGGTCTATATGCAATCACACTCATAATGGCCTTCTCAGCTCGCGATGATCTGACTCTGTCTCACAGCATCCGCAACCATGCAGCTCTCTCATGGTTACCCCGTTTTCGCTCGGTCCCTGCGCTTCTCCGTCTGAACCCAGTCCGTCCTATACCTGTGTTTGGAGGAATGACGAGGCTAGCAAGCGAATATTCAAAAGAAGAAAGTCATATACATGTGGGTGTATTTCTTGTGGTCTGTTGGAGAAAAACAAAGTCGGAATATATAAGCATCGCACGAAACTCCTGATACTACACCTGTACCGTAGAATCTTATGGCCGGTTAATCGCCCGCCTCATCATCGATCTCCCTCCTCAGCAGCTCAATCTGGTGTTTCAAGCTACGCCAGAGGACGTAGTCGTCTAACCCCTTCTCCTTGGTCGTGTTGATGGCAACGGCATCAATCAGGTCGATCACGTCCCAAGTTTCCTGCAGTTTCTCTGCCTCAGTACTAGCCTCCCCTTGCTCGTTACCGTCGCCGTCTCTCGCGATAGACAGTAACGCGGTCACAAAGGCCTCTTGCAGGTACGCGAAAGAGAAACCATCCGTGATCTTCGCCGCAGCCGGGCATATCTCATCCGGGAACTCCACGTCCTTGTTATCACTCAGCTTCTTCTGCCAGTACTGGCAATACTGTACCCTCTCGTCGAAACTTGGGTTGGGGAACAAGAACTTCCGATCGAATCGAGATGGTCGCTTCGAAATACTTGGGTCAAGAAGGTCAATATGGTTGGTGCTTCCTATCATGAAGACTCCTTCGTTCTCGGACACTCCATCCACGGCGTTGAGGAAGAAACTGCGCAGTTCGTCGGTGACGAGACTATCCAGATCCTCAAACACCAAGTAACACGGTGCCTCCCGTCGTGCCAGGGTAAACACGCTCTCGATGCTATACTGATTCAGGAGCAGTTTCACGTAAAGGGTCGGTATGGACGGGGTGCGTTTGTACAAAGTCCGCATGGTCGCTTTGATCGAGAGCGTCTTCCCATTACCAGGAGGGCCGTAAAAGATCACACCTCGTTTCCACGGCACGCGAAGACGGTGGTATTGTTCCCGAGAACTGAAGAATCGGTCGACGAGCTCGACGAGGTCTTTCTTCATGCCTTCATCGAGGATAACGTCCTCCCAGCGTGATTTCAGGACGCTTTCGTACAGCTGGGAATCTTTGTACCAGTACCCTTCGAACACCCAGACTTCGCCGTGCAGTGATGCTTGCCAACGACCGACTGTCGCGATCAGTGTCTCGACGGCAGCCTTGTCGCCCAGGATATACTGGTTGCGAGTTTGAACCCAGGCCTCCGTGCCGTCACGGCCGTCGACAAGGTAGACTAGAAAAGTCATGTTCTGCCATTTGTACAAGTAAGATTCGAAGAAGGCCTCTTCCGCCACCACACCACTGCCACCATCGAGCCGTTTAAGTGGTGGTACGAACAAGGTCCATTTCAGTGAGTCGGGCCAGCATTGTCTCTTTTCAGTCGATGTCGACTCGATACTGGCGTTGCCGGTCGCTGCGTAAGCTTTCAAATTGCTGTTCCACTCAGGAACAACGGTAATGGGGACACCTGGATGTTCTCCATGGATATGGCTGAAAATGAATGCGTCGGTGTTTATGCGGCTAGCACCGGCATTCACAAAGAAGGATCGGGCGACTGGATTCGAAGAAATGGTGTCATAAGCCTTGTGGGAGTCATTGTTGCTGTCTGAACACCGGTCCATCGCAGATGATTCCATTTTCTGAAGTGCCTTGAGACCTGATTTCGCTCTCACAAATAATTGCTTGTTGTCATGTCTCTAAATTCAGCATGTTCATTGGGAAGATGTCATTGCCAAAGCTGCAGGCACCAGTCTTTTCGAGGACGAGCCTAGTGAGCCCTTGCATGAACCAAGCCTGGGGCGCCCGGACCCTTTGGGGGCTGAAACTTGACAGCAGCCCTCGACGACGAGGGGCTCGCAAAGTCAGCTTGATGGCCCTTGATTCAGTGAAACCTCGTCAATGAGTGTTTGAGACACGCCCTCTTTCTTTAATTGACAATTGATCTCGTTCTCAAGCCAGGCCCAGACATTTTTGCGCGCGACTGTTGGGGCACGCTGATACTCTCCCCACATTCCGGCTCTGCCAGCGACAAGTTGTAGTGCCTCATCGACACCGTACTCGATTTCGCCATTGATCCTGATGCCATCGGTCAAAACCTTGTTTAGGTCGTCGATTACAATACAACTGAGCATGTTGAGCATATGGAGAGATCGACTGTCCTGGGCCCGATCCGTGGGGTGGAAGCCTGCCTCAACACAAGTGCGACAGAGATTCCAAAGAGTCCACATTTGCGTAAGGCGAATCGGATGATGTGGCTGCTCGTATACGGCCGGATGAATGTATCTTGTGATGGCTGCCGACTGCAAGAGAGCGTCGGAGTATTTCGTCGACCCAATGAGACCCTGTAAGAGTTCGTGCCGCAACTGAAGCCATGGATAGTGATAAAGGGGCCAACATCCTGGCTCCGCGAAAGCCACCATGGCGGTCCTGATCTCGTCGATATGTTGCAGACTTACTACAGGCGCTGACTGGACTTTGGAGAGTACTCGCTCTGCGTGGCTCTCAACTGATTTCGCTTTCTGGCTGGTTCTGGATGGCAGCACCGGCGCATTCTTCTCGCTCCTGCACAGTTCGCACGCACAGATGAAAAAATACCTCTCTTTGAGCTCTCGTTGCCGCTGTTCGAAAGGATATTTGCCGTCAACATATGAAAGAGTAATCTCCTCGTCCTTTTGGAGTGGTTGCAATGCATGCACAGATATGCCATGAGAGTCTGCTGGTCTAGACAAGGAGTCACTCCGGGAAACGTCGAATCTTACGTAGGCATTTGGTACACAGGAATGATTGAACATGGATGTCCTAGGGTGTAGCGCCAGACCGATTGGTTCAAACTGTGGGTTTGTGAGCGTGAAAGTGTTGATGGTGAGCTGCCCTGGTCAGAGATCAAACAAGCCAACCTCTTCATGATGCTCTTACTGTGCACAAGACTCGCAGGATGAGCTGAGGATCCAAGTCTGAGCCGGAGTAGGACTTGATAGCTTGGGTCATTAACAGAAGATCCTCCAAGCGTTCCCCTCCAGCGCTGCAGATTTGGTCTACATGACTCTCCAAGCTTAGGAGCTGGTCCCATTCGCCGGCAAGAAGTAGGCCTGCCTTATGCTGCTTCAGCAAACGTATCATGGCCCTGACATTGCTGGGCAGAATCCTTGGAAACAAGTTCCCGTACAACTTGCACTCCAGTCGATGGTACTGGGACCATGCTAGCTTCTGGCATTTCTGTGGATGGCCGTTAGCAACTGCTCAAGTCTCCTGGTCGTCGAGTACAGCCTCATACCTGGTTGCAGAACCTGACCACTTTACACCCGCCGCACTTTTTCAGGGTTGAGTCTTGACCATTCGACCCAGGCTGGAGTTCTCGTGGTGGCTTCAAGCAGGAATAGCAATTGGCAATAAGATTGGCCGTGTTCAGAGCAACTAGTAGTGGCTTTGCGACGAACATGATTTGCGATTTCGCTTCGAAATCTCGCGCTGCGTGGACGCTTCTACCACCGCCAGCTGAGGATCTGATATGGACACTATCATCGCGAATGACCTGCTGCTGTACGCTGGCTGAGGCCATTGCATCTGACTCGTCTCCCGCCAGACTTTTCAAGGCTGATCTAATTCACTGGGCCTTATCATGATCGACGACCTAGTCTGCCCTCCCCTTTGCAATGCTCGGGTACTTACCTAGGTAGTGTGTTTTGAAAGCATGTTGAGAATGAGCACCGCTGACTTCCAGTAGCAATGAGGGTCTCGAAAAAAATGATGTTCCTGGCAAGGCTACGATGCGGGGATCAGAGCCTTAGTGGGCCTAGTGAGCCTTAACTAGGCGCTTTAGTCCCTCTAGCCTGGTGGCCCTGTAGCTGTTCAGACCTTAGAGTGCCCGGGAGACATGCCTAATAAGTCATTGGACAGGCCCATTAGGCTTTACTCCATGATGAAATCTTAACTCCGTTTGCGCCACCAAATATTTTTTCCAGCGTCTAGTCCGCAGTTTGGATTCTTGCGAGTTCGAGTCTGCGACGCTGGTGGAGGTTGTGTTGGACTGCAAGCAACCATGGAGAAACAATCAAACAAGCCTCACAGGCCATCGAAGGAGAAGAAGAAACCTCAAAGAGGAGAGAAAAATGTCAAAGCCTTCGCCGTCGCCAATCCTGGCCGCCTCGCGAAGCAGGCGGTTCGGTCAAGCGACATCAATGAAAAGCGACTGCATGTTCCTCAAGTCGACCGAATCCCAGAAGAAGCACCGCCGATTGTCGTCGCAGTTGTCGGTCCTCCTGGCGTTGGCAAGACCACTCTCATTAAAAGCATAATCAAAAGATACTCCAAGCAGACTTTGTCGCACCCTACCGGCCCTCTGACAGTCGTAACCTCGAAAAGACGGCGACTTACCTTCCTCGAATGTCCCTCCGACTCTCTCGCTGCTATGATCGATGTTGCAAAAATTGCTGACATTGTCCTCCTCATGATTGACGGCAATTACGGTTTTGAGATGGAGACCATGGAATTCCTGAACGCTCTGAGCGTTTCTGGTATGCCAGGAAATGTCTTTGGCATCCTGACACACTTAGATTTGTTTAAAAAGCAGAGTACATTGCGGATGGCAAAGAAGAGATTGAAACACAGATTTTGGTCGGAACTCTACCAAGGCGCAAAACTATTCTACTTGTCCGGCGTTATTAATGGGCGGTATCCCGATCGAGAAATACACAATCTATCAAGATTCCTGTCAGTCATGAAGAATCCTCGACCGCTGATCTGGAGAAATAGCCACCCCTACTGTTTGGCAGATCGGCTACTGGATGTGACCCCCCCAACACAGATCGAAGAGAATGAGAAATGTGACAGACAAGTTGCGTTATATGGCTACCTTCGAGGCACCAATTTTCCAGCAGAAGGAGCAAGAGTGCATGTTCCCGGTGTAGGGGACTTATCGGTCAGAGAAATTGAGGCGCTGCCGGATCCATGTCCCGCCCCATTCCTCGACCAGGCCATGGCCAAGGCAAGCGGAAAGGCGTCCAGAAGAAAACTGGGCGAGAAGCAGAAAGTCCTTTTCGCCCCCATGTCAGATGTTGGCGGTGTCCTGGTAGACAAGGATGCCGTCTACATAAATGTAAAGACGAACACCTTCGATCGAGATGCAGATGACGGTGAAGAGAGGGGTCTAGGAGAGCAGCTGATGATGAGTCTCCAAGGGGAACGTAGACTGCTTGGTGAGGTTGACGGTGGTGTCCGGCTCTTCCAGGGTGGGCGGCAACTCAGCGAAGGTGATAACAATGACAACGACACGGGCCGTACCACGAAGAGAGGAATCCGATCATTTGGTCAAGATAGCCCTCATGATGGTGTCGACCAAGAAGAAGACGTGGACGAGGGCTTTGTGAGTGGAGAGAGTAACGATGAGCTGAGTGACGACGAACAAGTAATCGATTTCCCTGAGCACACAGGCCGCCCTGGCATTGTTGAGGAGGAAGAGCTAGATGAGGAACAAGGCGCAGGCGAACTCGAGTTTGCCGACAGTGACTCTGATCTAGGTTCCATCTCTGGTGACAACCAGAATGACCAAGATTTTACTGACGAGGATTCGGAGTTCGACGAAAGCGAGGATGATGGCGGTCTCCGGTGGAAAGAGAATTTGTCTGAACACGCTCGAAAGTCACATTCAACCTCAGTAGCGTTCCGCGCTGCCGATCTGTCTCGATTGATGTATGACCTGACTTTGACCCCTGCAGAAGCCATTGCAAAATGGCGCGGAGAGCAGAGCCATCAAACCAACACTGAACACGACGAGGTCGACGACGAAGACAATTTTTTCAACAAAGCCAAGACTGAACAGGAGGAAGAACTACAAGATCGACAAACCCCCCGATATGTCTATGAAGACCTAGCACAAAAATGGGAGGATGAGGATAACGTTCAGTCCATCAAGTCCCGGTTCACGAGAAAGTCTCTCGCCACAGGAGCTAATGCAGACTCTGATGAGGACGAGTACGGTGGTTTCGACGAAGACGCCGGGGACGACTCTGACGAAGGCGACGGCGAATTTGAAGACTTGGAAGCAGCACCCGAGCAGGATTCGGAGGCTCAGACAGAATTAACGTTAGAAGAAGAGCGCATCAAGAACGCCAAAAGGAAGGAAGAACTTAAACTTCGATTTGAGGAAGAAGATCGAGAAGGCTTTGCAAACGGCAAAAGTGAAGTCAAGGCTACCGAGCAAGAGTTTGGAGAAGACGAATGGTACGATGCTCAGAAAGCCATGCTCCAGAAACAACTCGACATCAATCGAGCTGAGTTTGACAGTCTGGATCCAGTAGCCCGAGCACGAGCGGAAGGATTCAAGGCTGGCACATACGCGCGAATTGTGTTGGACAAAGTCCCCTACGAATTTGTCCGCTCTTTTAATCCCAAGCTTCCCGTCATCATCGGAGGATTGGCTCCCACTGAAGACCGGTTTGGCTTTGTTCAGGTCCGCATCAAGCGACATCGATGGCACAAGAAGATTCTCAAAACCAACGATCCTCTCATCTTTTCGTTGGGCTGGAGGAGATTTCAGACACTGCCGATTTATTCGATCTCCGATTCACGAACACGAAACCGAATGCTCAAATACACCCCGGAACATATGCATTGCTTTGGTACATTCTATGGTCCGCTGGTAGCGCCAAACACTGGATTCTGTTGTGTTCAGTCCTTTTCCAACGCCAACCCTGGGTTCCGAATTGCCGCCACGGGAGTTGTCCTGAACGTGGATGAAACCACGGAAATAGTCAAGAAGCTCAAACTCACAGGGTACCCTTACAAAATCTTCCGCAACACTGCGTTCATACGCAACATGTTCAATTCATCATTGGAAATTGCTAAATTCGAAGGAGCGAGTATACGAACCGTCTCCGGAATTCGTGGGCAGATCAAGAGAGCTCTTAGCAAACCTGAAGGGCATTTCCGAGCCACATTCGAGGACAAAATCCTCATGTCAGACATCGTCTTTCTGCGAGCCTGGTATCCAGTCAAGCCTCACAGGTTTTACAATCCTGTTACCAATCTACTGGATGCGCCTCCCAGCGGACCCGCAAATACCGACGGAGAGGGTCAACGAGTCGATGATGGCTCGGAGGGATGGCAGGCCATGCGACTGACGGGAGCCGTGAGAGCATCGATGGGCATCCCTACACCCCTGCTCAAGGATTCGGCTTACACCAAGATCGAACGACCGAACCGACATTTCAACCCCCTCCGAGTCCCTCGTGCCTTGGCGGCAGAACTCCCATTCAAATCACAAATTACTCGACAAAAAGCAAGAAAAGCACCCACGTACCTCCAGAAGCGGGCGGTGGTGATGGGTGGCGAGGAGAAGAAAGCCCGAGATCTAATGCAGAAATTACAGACTATGAGGAACGAGAAGGCAGAAAAGCGAGCCAAGAAGCAAGAAGAGAGGCGAGCCGTGTACCGCAAGAAGGTTGCCGAGAACATGGAGAAGAAGGAGGAACGAGAAAAGAGAGAGCGAGACGAGTTCTGGCGCAAAGAAGGTCGGAAACGAAAGCATGCAGAGGCGGGCGGTGGTGGTGGAGGAGGACGAGGGAAGCGGTCGAAGCGATAAGCGTATGGCTGTTGACCTTGTTCTACTTCTGATGATGATGGATTGATACCCCTGGAGCTTGAAGCCGTACTCTCTGTACCCCGTACTGTGTCAATATAAAGACCATATGGCGTGTCCTCGTTGCACGAGGTATACTTGTAAGTAGTCTCAAGCCGAGTCGTTCAATAATACTGTGTCGACAACTGGTCTGTGGTGCAGGAAATTGGGAGGCTGGGCGCTCACTGTGGCGCCTATCACAAGCAATAGAGGCTTGTTCCAGGGCTTGGGGGATTCTAGAGGCGCCCAAATGGGCGGTTTAGGGCTCCCCAGGGTCTCGCCCAGGCGCCACGCACAGGCCCAACACCCCGATTACCAACCCGGCCATGGGACTAGTTGATCAAGCGACACACTGACCGTCTGATCGGCTAAATAGCGCGCGTCGGGGCGTCGTCCATGTCCAAGGCAGACAAAGGCTAAAGCCGTTGCAGATGCAGGACATACGAACCCAGCGAGACTGATCGCGTGTATCTCAAGACTTGGATCCCTCATCTTGCATGCGAGGCAATGGCTGGTACTACAGCAGTCTCTCGATGACTTCCAACTCGGCCTCTGTCACAACAACGCGTCTGCCTTGAAACGCCTCAATCTACGCGTGTCAAGCACAAGTCATCAGACCCCACCAACTACGAGCAGCTGTAACTCACTACAGTACGAGCAGGTCCACCAACTAATAAACCTACCAACACGGACGGACGAGGGCGAACGCGACGACCCTCGTGATCTGTTGCTATTGTCGTCGTTTCGTCGTCTGTCCCTACTGTACGTCCTCACCGACATCCTCTCTCCCTGGTTCCTCCACGGGCTCTACACCTACACGATATACCATTCCCTCGCGACCCAGGCTTGATCGCCGAAGCCGCCGACAACGAACCGAGCATGCAGCATGCCGCTGCGCATGCGTCAACCATGCTGGATCCACACCCGTTGACACTGGCGCCTCCGGATGCCGTGAGTACAAACCTTCCACGCAGATCGGAAGACTCGAATACCTCACAACAGCTCCCGTTGAACATATCGTCGAGCGATGTGTCCAGCACAGTGGCTCTACCCACCGTGCCCGACCGGGAGGATGACGAGACGCCTCCTACCTCCACCACGTCTAGCCAGCTCGGGTCGCAAGAGACAAGATCTATAGAATCGCAGGAAAACAAGGAGTCGACGGAAGACCATGCAGCCGTAGAGGCCGTCCGAGAACATCGCTTGCTTACAAACTCACAGAGTCCTCCGCCTCACAGTCTCTCCGGAGCAAAACGAACAGCAAGTGGCGAGGTCAAAAGGTCGAGTGTCAACGGACTCGCAGATGTTGTGGGCCAGTCTAAAGATCTCGGACATGCTCTAACGACCAGCAGTGTGCCAAATGGCAACATCTCAGAGGTAGGGTTGGGCAACGCATTCGCGGGGAAAGCAGAGACTAACAGGGACCAGCTCTCTCAACAACTACGTACAAGACTGAAATACGCCATGATCAAGGTGCAGAATGGCTGGCAGACACGTTCCCTCGATGAAGTTGAATCCTTGGCCTCGCAGTCGCCCCGATCTACCGTGTCTGGGTTTCCAAACTCCCCTCGTCCACGCGGTCCTCTTTCCCCCCGAACGGTCATGTCCCGAAGTTATGGACGAGAGTCGAGCGAGAGCGACTCATCCGACAGCACCCTTGAAAGCCGAGGTCTGGTGACCCTGAACAGTCCGCAAATATCTTCGCGACGCGCTCTCGCACCCCCCGTCGATATTGTGCCTAGCTCTCGTCGTCGACCAACACCAAATGGAAGTTATCAGAACCCAATCAGTGCTCGACGCGCATCGACGTCGTCGCGTGTTCCCACCAGTCACCGAACACCAAGTCAGAATGCTGCCATGGAAGCAGATGCCGTCGAGACACTTCTTTTCATGGCCAGTCCGAATAATTCAGGATACAATCCGAGCCTGTCGCAAGATTCTACTATACGATCAATACCATCGTTTGCGGCTTCACAGTTGACGTCTCCATTGCGGACTCAATTCAGTCAGACGTCAATGACATCGCCAAAGAAAGTTGCCTTTCCGAATGGAAGACCTGCGTATGATAAAGCTGCCATTATTGATCGTATGCTGAATGACATCTCGGATGATAGCGATGAGGAATTGCAGCGTGCGTTTGAACTTGCAGAGAAATCTAAAGCTTCAGCACCAGCGGCGGCAGCATCACCCACTGTGTCAACTTGAATTTTTGGCTTGTGGATTGCAAACACTCGATACCTCTGCCTGCGTCGTTGAATTGATTGCACATATTGGCATTGACATTGGCGTTTGGTTATCCCGGCGATCTGCACGTGGGATTTCGTCTTGTTTGCTTAGTTCTGTTGTCCGAGGGGGCCCAGAATCGGGAAATGCTCCTGCGTACCAGGTGGTTGTGGCTCTCAATGTCGATCTTTATGACGGGGCCATGTTTCGGAAAGGCATAAAACACAAAGTCTCAGGGTGGATGAAGAGCGACTTTATGACCAGGACGAATGATTTTGAATACATGCGAGTATTTATGGGGGAACTAGGAACCATCTTTTGCACTTGGAAGTGCACTACAGTTGACAGATACCACCACTGCGTGCAGATACCACACCATCATTGTGTTGAATTGTTCACAACACCGTCTTTGAGCGTCTCATTCTCGTAGCTCCATCTATGTCGTGGTCAGTGTCACGACGCATTCCGACCATCCCCGAGCTTTATCATCGATCTCGATCAACTTGCCGAGACACAATCCCGGCAACTCGATTCATGTCAAATGGGACACAGAGAAGACTCTACTCGTGCGTCTCGATCCTGAATACATGGCATTCCGCCGGTGAGATGGGGGATGAATCCCGCAGGTATCCGTGTCATCAGGAAGACTCAAAAGGAAAACTTCGAGCCCGTGCTTACGTGGATCTGACCTCTTCTCCACGATGATCTCCAGCTCGATGCTCACTCGGCATATACTTCGTGATTGTTCCCCTTCTCGTCGATGATGGTGGTATTACGACGTCTGAAAACGATTCAGATGGTGTGTACGAGCACCCGCAGACATGTGCCGTGGTGCGTACGAGTCGAAGTAGACATATACCTTGATGCGTACGAGCACCCGCAGACATATCCCGTGAGGCGTACGGCTCGAAGCAGACATATGCCGAGATGTGTGCGAGCACACGCAGACAAATTCCCTGCGGCGTACGACTCCAGTCAGGATCCATACCAAACAATGGCGACGATGTGTAAGAGCGCCGCAGACCTATGCCGGGATGCGTACGACTCAACTCAGGATCCATCCCGTGGTCGAGGGAAGAGAGGATCCAGTCAGAAACTCTGCTCTGTCCCCGCGTATATCAGGTCGATATACCCTCCAGCCATGAAGTCTGGTCGGTCAACGACAGCCAGGTGAAGCAAGCTTTTGGGGTCGTATCAGCAGACAGCAGTCACCTACGATGTTGTATTCGTATCTCGCTCTTCTTGTTGGAGGTGCCATTCTAGCCACAGTCATATATAATCGATGGTTCCATCCTCTGAGCAAATTCCCCGGACCGTTCCTGGCTTCTCAGACCGACCTATGGAGAGTTTACCAGCTGACCACTCGACATATGCCTGAGAAACTGCTGAAATTGCATGAACAGTACGGTCCGGTCGTTAGATACGGTCCCAACGAGCTGAGTTTCTGGGGAGTCAAGGCCATCAATCCCATCTACAAGTCTGGTCGGAAAGTCCTCAAGAGTGACTTTTACGATGGCTTCACGACCTTCTACCAGAACCTGTTTGGCACAAAGGATGAAGAGGTCAGTGAGATGATTCTCCCTCTTGACAAACAAAAGACGACTCCATCAGTGGACTTGACGCAGGGCTAACCACGCAGATCATGAACAGCTCCACGCCAAACGACGCCGTCAGATGGCTCACAGCTTCTCAATTGCGTCTCTCGCACAGATGGAATCAATCTTTGACCGCCGAATCAATCACCTCGTCAGGACGATGGACTCCTTTGGAGCTGCACCCTTCGACCTCAAAGAGCTGATAGGGTACTACACGTACGACCTGATGGGTGAATTGATTTTCAACGCCGAGTTCGGGACGATGGAAACCCAAGATCCCAAAGGCCTCCCTCCGATCAACGAACACATCTTTCTGGGATGTATTTACGGCATGCTCCCCTCGTTGCTTCCGTACAGCATGCGGCTTGCCCCTCGCGTGCCTCTCCCGTGGCTGCAACACCTCTTGGCCGGACGGAAGAAACTCCGCGACCAGACTGCAACGCACGTCGCGGTGGAACTGGCAAAGGACAAGACCGAGGTCCGCCACAACATCCTCTCCAGGCTCACGCAAGCAACGGACCCCGAGACAGGTGAAGGACTCACAGAGGCCGAAATCAGCTCGGAGGCGTTTGCTTTCCTGGTCGCGGGCGCGCACACCACGTCGGGCACACTCACGCTCCTGCTCTACCATCTTCTCCACAACCCGACTGCGGCGAAGAAGTTGACGGAAGAACTGAACAGTCCGTTGTTTTTGCAGTCGCCGGATCCAAGAAACGACCAGTCCTCGCCTTCGTACTCGGGCCTGGAGATGCAGCTACCCTACGCCACGGCCTGTATAAGGGAGAGCTACCGCATGTCTCCTGTCTTTACGATGCCGTTGCCTCGGACGATTTGTGATCCACTCGGTGCAGATATTGATGGTCATCATATCCCCCAGGGCGTAAGTCACTCTCGTGGCCTTTTCGTTCATCGTCACTTGCCATGCTGTGCTTTTTTGTCTAGTACTAGTAGTACATCTTCTCCTCAATGGCTGCTGACACCAAATCAAAACCACAGGCAAATTGTTCCATAACAAACCACGTTCTGCACCACAACCCAGAGATCTGGGGCGACGATCACGACGTCTTCCGGCCGGAAAGGTGGCTCGAGGAAGGCAACACATTGTCTCCAAATGACTTGCTACCCTTCGGAGCGGGTCACCGCGGATGTATAGGCCGCAACATCGCGAGTATGAGTGTCGTCAAGGTTCTGGTGACGCTGTGGAGACGGTACGAGCTGGAAGCTGTCGATGTCGATGGCGATGAGAAATTGGTCATGGAATCTGTCGGTATCGGAGAGAAGAAAGGACCCTTGGTTGTGAAAGCCAGAGCGAGGACATGCTGATACTCCACAGAGGGTAGGTAAGTGCCTTGAAGGTAGAGCAACTTCAAAATCCCCAAAAAAAAAACAAATGATCATAAAAACAAATCAACTCCGTACAACAGTGCCACGTCCATCAAGCGTCATCAATCCTTTAAGCACAGGCACCAAGACCTCCACTCTCTCCACATGGGGTGCTGAGCACGACAGAAAGTGTAAGCATAGCCGTACATGTATTTCCGCTGACTTTATAGTTTCGAGTGCAATCAATGTCTTCTGTCGAACAAGCCCAAAAAGGTTCGGCAGGATGCCAGTTGTACAAGAGACAAGCCATACACGACGGAGCACCCCGGAGTTCGATCTACATAGCACCAACCCATGAGTGTGATTGTGCAACAAGAATTATTCAGAGGCGCCCGCCTATGCCGACGATTACTCCTCGTGAAGGACTGATTTAGGCGCATCCATTGAATATACATCTATGAGTGATAGGCTTCGTCCACGTTCCAGCCTCGCAGCTAGATGTCATATCTCCTGTCACGTTGAGTCCAAGTTCAGATATCCTCTGCCGATTCCAACCTGATGTGAATTCAACCGATCTGTCGCCGATCGCGTGTCCGTGCGTGACGTACGGCGACAGTCGACATTCATTCTTGGTGTAAGAATACTGCAAACATGTGGTGTTTTTCTCACACGACTCTGCGCAGGCCGACGAAGAACGACATGCTGCGTCGTCACTAGGTAAAAGATCGGCCGAGAGGTTATCCCAGAACGCGAGGACCGACGTATTTTGTAAGTGGCGTTGTCGATATTCGAGAAGATCCGAGTAAACCAACGGTCTCTGTGATACAATCAGCGTGGACCGGCGTTTCGTCATCTCCAGTGCATCATACTTGCGAAGCACGCCTCGTCCGCTCCCATCGCCACAACGACGTAAGTGAGTCTTCTGACATGCGATGAAGCGAGATCAATGGTACACACCAGAGCTCTTGGCTGATTCCAACATCCTCAAGATACTCACCGCTGAACATCGGATGCAGATCCTCCAGCAGCACTCCGGTCTTGTCGAGGATTGCGTACCCCAAAACTGCGTCTCCGCAGCAGTCTTCCAACATCCATTCCATGTATTTTTCGCTGAGATTTGTGCCATCGCCGACTAATTTTTTCATCAGACCGTGTGACAGCACGATGCCGGCGCCCCCGTACGCAAACCATCGACCATGTGACCCGGCTACTGCAGAGCCGAAGTAGTGCATGTCCTGAGGGTTGTACTGTTCGAGAAGGCGGAAGAGATTATCCAAGAAAGGGTACACATCAGCTTCCAGGAAGACATACCAGCTGGCACCAGGGCGCATTTCGTACGCGACATTGACCATGGGCAGAAACTTGAAGCGGTCAAGTTTCCAAGCGTCAGGCGAAGAAGGGACTTTTCCCGTGTCTTGGTAGGTTTCTCGCTGGGTGGAATATGCTGTGAAGTCGGGGTGTTTGGCGTACGCCGCTGGGAGGGAGGCCAGGATGTCGATAAAGTCGCGGCCGGCGACTTGCTGGGCGACGTCGGAGAAGACGAGAAGATTGTGAATGCAGGATGTGACCGAGGATAGATGGGCCGAATTCTTGCTTGAAAGTGCTACTCCGGTTTTGAGGATGATTTGGACCCTTTCGAGGTGTCGTTGAGGAAAGTTCGAGCAGAGGTCACTGTGGTTGTCAGTAGACTCGGCCTTCGGAGGGAAGATCGGTTGCGTGCTTTCATTGTAGGTGCTGAGGGTGAAGGGGGGAGGAGGTTGGAAGATGGGTAGAGGAATCTTCTTGAGCACGTCGTGGACTTTCTCATTTTGGTAGTAGACGAAGAGTGGAACGAGTGTCGACAGCAACACCGTCGTCACAATCCTTCGTGTAGAATGCCTCGTGTGGCTGGCAGAGGGTAACAGCATGGTTCCTGATGAACGACGACTGCGCTGTCATCGCCGCAGAAACAGGTGAACTCGCCATCCGGTAGCTTATTGCCTGGGAACAAGGGGCGGCTCCGACCCAGTGGAGGTGTGACACGCTCGGACCGTACGGAGTACAGAAGTCCAACATGAAAACTCATTTCCGTTATGCACAGCCCCGACATTATTAATAATACTGGACTAGTGAAGGCGCATTTGGTGAAGCGGCTCTAATAACAACTTTCAGCCACGCGTCAACACCAACGGAGGACGGAGTGGTTGCCTGAGGTCTTTGCGAAATCCTTAGTGCCGTCCTGGTTAGCCTGGGCATAGAAAGCTTGGCATGCTTATCTCGAAGCTTAACCCGCTATCAATTGAGCTTATCTCGGTCGTGCCCTCTCGGCGCCTTTCACAGCACAACACAAGGTATCTATGTCTCCCCACTCCTTGACGAGAAGCCCACTCTTTAGATGGACGTCTCACCTGCAGTTCTTCGCCTTAGCTCCTTGCAGATAACGTGAGACGCAGGCCAAAGCAAGTGTGATGTTGCAATTGTGGGAGTACTCGGCTCCCGGCAACCGCCGTTAGACCTATTACATATAGTAGTGGCCTTGACCCGTCTTTCTCGTCCCTCTTTTGATCTGACACATCAGATACCCTGGGACGCTGTTCGGAACTGCGAGGAATTATCCAACGCGACAAAGAGATGGCGGCCAGCGAACACACAACTTCAATGCCTCCGACGGAGAAGTCTTTCGAAGGACCTACCGCACAAGCAGGGCCACATGTTCATACTCACGCGGCGCCACACGACTTGCTCGGTGAGTCAAATCATGCCAAGCACGTGGAGGTTGTCAGTCCGGTCTGACTTGTCTTGTTTAGACGCGGTCGAGCAAGGAACTGTGCAGGTGGATGAATCCAAGATCATGCGAGGTTGGACTTTGCAACTAGAGCGTCTTCTTGGAGTTGAAACTCGCGGCATCGAGAGAGTTCCGGAGAGCGACAGGCCGGCACAAGCCTCTCTGGCCGACTTCGTCCAGATTATGCTGATCTGGTTCTCGGCCAATTTAACACTGAACAATTTGGCTCTGGGATTATTGGGACCCCTGGTGTACTATGTTGGCCTCAAAGATGCCATGTTGATAGGGGCGTTTGGCTCGATTGCCGGGTCCATACCGACCGCATACATCTCGACGTTTGGACCCATGAGTGGAAATCGAACATTGGTACTGATTGCGGTGAACTTCCTTCCAAGTCCTCACATGCTGATACTATTGCCCAGGTTTTCGCACGTTACACCATGGGTTGGTGGCCTTCGAAATTGACGGTGCTTTTAAACATGGTCATTATGCTCGGCTACGGTCTTGTCGGTATAGAGGCTTTCTCGTCCCGGGGCGTAGTTTTCACCTTCTAATTTGTTGTCAGACTGCTTGATCGCTGGCCAACTTCTCTCCGCAGTCGCCAATGGTTCAATGACGGTGATTGTCGGAACGATTATCGCGGCCATTATTTCGCTCGTCGTCGCACTGTTCGGCATCAAAATCTTCCACATTTATGAACGTTACGCATTCATCCCACAACTGCTTGTCTTATTCATCCTGATAGGAGTCGCTGGGCCAAAATTCAATGCTGGCAGCCAAACCAGTGGGCCGAGCGAAGTGGCAATCGCTGATAAGTGAGTACTTACATCTTTCTGTGTGACCATCTTATTTTTAGATCGCACCTCCTGACCATTGAATCAGGGTTAGCTTTTTCTTCCTAACGGTGTCGGGTCCAATCGCGTGGTCGCCTGCAGCTTGCGACTTCTTTGTCTATTTCCCTCCCAGCTGTTCCAGATGGGCCGTTTTTGCCAGCACCCTCATTGGGCTGGGTATCAGCACGCTCTTCATGGTTCTCCTGGGCGTCGGCCTCGGCAGTGGTGCTCTAGTGGACACTCAGTGGGCAAACGCCTACGATGTCTCCGCTGGTGCCTTGGTGGTCGAAAGCCTTAGTCCACTGGGCACATTTGGAAATTTTTGCGCCGTCATTCTCTCGCTGGGATTGATCGCGAACAACATTCCTGGCACATACTCTGCGGCCTTAGGCTTTCAACTGCTTGGTCGGTGGTTCCGCCTTGTTCCCCGCTGGTTCTGGGTCATTGTTTCAGTTATCATCTACACCATCTGCGCCTGCGTGGGACGTAATCACTTGTTCGACATCTTCGAGGACTTCCTGGCGCTGATGGGGTACTGGACCATCATGTGGACCACGATGACTCTGGAGGAACAATTGATCTTCCGAAGGAAGACTGGTTATAATTGGGATGACTGGAACAAGCCTTCGCGTCTGCCTCTCGGCATTGCGGCCTGTACTGCATTCTGCATTGGATGGGTCGGTGCTGTTCTCTGCATGTGGCAGGTATGTGGTGCCAACCGTTTATTCCCCTCATTCAACCGCTTACCGATCAACAGGTATACTTTACAGGACCAATTGCTAAATTGGTCGGAGATGGAATCGATCTTGGATTTCCTGTCTCGGCAGCGTGGTCAGGAATGTTCTATCCGCCCTTGCGATACCTCGAACTGAAATACTTCAAAAGATGAGAGGAATTGGAACGTCCGTTCTCCGTGTTGATGGAGTGCACATGGAAAGCCTTGGACACATAGTAATATGTCTCGAATCAGAGAGTGTACTACAACCACATTATTTGGTAGTGACTCGTTTCTGTTTCCTCGTATTGCTACTCTTCACTACAGAGGAGCTTAGTTGTCAAGTCCTCCCTCAGCATTGCGTTGATCCTCTCTTCAGAACGCTTACTGCACCTATCTACCCTCTGATCCGTGATAGTGTTCCAGGCCTGCCCATACTGCCCATACTGCCCTCGGACTGGGGAGAGATACTCAGCGGCTCGATGACTAAATGAAGAGATAACGAAGTACGCCGCCGCGCGTGGCAGGAAGTGCAATTCCGTAAGCGGGTGAAACTTACACGAAAGGACCATCCGTACGGCCAGTTACTGTGGTTGAACTGTTCGGGAAGGTCGATCCGTTTTAGGTGGCTTTAAGGGGTAAAAAACGTGGCAGCAGAGATAGGTATTCCGTACTATTCGGCACGTTGTTCACTATCAGGAGGGCCAGTGGGAACACGGTCCACTTCCTTGGGTCAAAATTGGGGCTCTTGTATGACGAATCTACATACCTAGATGAGTAACGCAAGACTCTCCGCCAAAACGGCAGTCCCTTCGAAGAATGGGGGTTTAAACCTTGATATCAAGATACAACAATACCATTAGATCGATATGGCGACCCACAGCTTTCGCAAGTCTTCCTGGATCGTGTGCCGGTCTCCGAACCAGACGGCGGGCTCCTCACCAAGCTGGCACGCCGGCGAAGACCCCTTCGCTTTGAGAATAAAGACATATATGTAAAGCCCTCAGCTTGTCTTCCGCATGGCTCGGATTCAAATATTGTAGAAGGCTTGGGCGGCTGCTAAGGACACTCATCGTTCCCTTGGTCGGAGGAGCACAGTTGGAAGTTTGCATACGAAGGCAGGTCGGAAACGAGCACGCGACAACATGCCCAAACTGGCAGTCGTCACAGTTACTGCCCTCCTGTTGGGTGCCAACTGGGGGGTCATGGCGGCAGAAGCAGCTTGCGGCCCCAAGAAGATCATCATCGAGACCGACTTCTATGCCTTCTCGGACGAGTTGAGTCCTCCTCTGCTTCCTCCGTCTGTTCTCTTTCTGTCGCGAATAGGATTGGCTGACAGGGACGTCCAAAAAGCCCGAACGCGATTGGGATGGCCAATGCATTCATGTCATGGGGAGAAGTCGATATCATCGGGATCGTTTCGTCCATCCACTCGGAATATGCTCCACCGGCCATCGACGCCTTCAACACCTTTTACGGCCACGGCGACATTCCCATTGCAATCAAAAAACCGTTGAACGATTCCACTGGCGACTGGGAGTATTCAAACTACCCGGATTACGTTATCCCGCTTGTCGAGCACTTTTCGGAAGCAATCCACACGGGATGGAACACCACCGACCCTGTCCCCTTGTACCGGAAGCTTCTCTCTGAATCAGCAGACAGCAGTGTGACCATCGCCATGATTGGCTTCTTGGACAACATATACGACCTCCTGATGTCAGGACCGGATGCTCTCTCACCGCTGTCTGGGCTGGAGCTGGCGAAGCAGAAGGTGGTGGAGCTGGTCTTACAGGTACGTGCCAACTGAATGAGTGGAACCAAGATATACCACATCCCGATGAGTTCAAGTACTGTGGCTACGGTAGAAGTAGGTCTTTCTGACAATCGTACGTTCATACGTATTGCAGGCCGATCCAACTGCCCCCTCGTACAATCTCGACCACGTCAACGGAACCTACGCCGAGTACGTCCTGTCCGTGTGGCCCAACACCATTACCTTCGTCCCCGGCTCCATTGGCAGCGACACGCACTGCTGCGCCAAACTCACGACAGACCTTGACGTTTCGACCGATCCTGTCGCATTCACCTGGAACATTTCCGTCGGCTACAACAAAACGTACAAGTCCTGGGACCCGACGGCAATGTTGTACGTCGGCCGCGGGCTCGGGGACTGGTACATCTACAACCAGACGACCGAGCAGGGTTACGCCGTCGAGGCGAACGCAACGGGCGACACATATCTCGACACAAGCAAAAAGTCCCCGGCACCCCAGCAAGCAGTCGAGATCGCCCCGACGTTCTCCAATGTCAGTCTCGCCGACTTGATTCAAGATATCTTGTTGTGGACACCCGGCGAGCCATGGCCGGCAGATGCGGGCTTGAAGTGCTCTTCAAACTCTTCTTCTTCTTCCAGTCTACCGACAGGGACATCGAGCGCAACTGCTACCACAGTGGCGTCGACCGGAGTAGCCTCTCCTTCGGCGTACACTGGCGGCGCGGTGGAACTCGGGGCCTCCCAACTCGGATTGCTGGCTTGTGGAGCGGCTATTTTAGCAATGTTTGCTGTTCAGCTTTAGTCCGAGTACGTCTTTAGCGAAGCAAGGGTCCAGGCAGCTGCTGCATTGAAGTTGGATGTATGTACCGAGACGCTGCTCGTAAGTAGGAATAGTGGAGCGAATGGCAATGGTAAGGGAGAGGAGTGGTGTTAGTTCCGTCTAGGAGAGTGGTTGGGTAAAACCCCTAATACTGGACATACAAAGGTACCTAGGCTCTGCCATAGAATTTAATGGCCCCTGAAAGATGTCCCAGAGAGTCCAGATAGCCGTTAGCCGTTGACTCCCTGCCTCAGCTAGCCTTGTAAGTTGTAGGCATATTTTCCGGTTGCCCTGACCCTGGGGCCTGCTATTGGCTTCTGATCCGGTCACCACCAGCTCTGCTGCAGGATAGATATTTCGTAATCAGAGAGGCTCAAGTGTTTTTCTTGGTTCTGTCGAAGCTTGCTCCACTACCGTGGACAGATCAGGATACCCAAGGGAGACACTCTAGATTAGCTATAATGATAAGCATTGTTCAAACTTCGAGGACAACTTTGGTTACCCCGACGCGCCCCTCCCCACTGTGTGCTGGCCTCCTCCACCCTTCTTCCATCAGTACAAAGTGGTACGGGAGATCCCCGTTGTGCACACAGCGGCCACCGACCTCCATGGGCCACATCCTCACACCGCGACAGACGGTAGACATTCAGGAAAAATGGCCTTCGCGTCATCATTATCCGTAGTAAACTTACCCCGTTCGTCCACTCCGTGCAAGACGTGGTCAAATCTGGATCCACCCCTATTGTGCGATAGGACGTCAAGAAAAAAGGTATTACACATAACCAAGGTTCCCTTTCCCTGCTTGGCAAGGGGCTTTGGCTGCCGCCCAGTTCACGTATGCTCCTTTATTATATCCATGTCATCCGTCATGATTCCGGTCCAGTATCCCGTACTCGGTGCAGCAGATCTGAAAGTGGAGGTGACCCACCCCACCTGGCAGAGTAAAGCGCAGATAAGCGATAGTTAGATCGTTGCGCGGATTTGGACGACTCTTGTAGAATCGTAGCTTTGGATTCATGCTATACAGGTTTCTATAGACTCTGTACACACCGCGCACTATCAGCCGCTTTCCCGGAACGAGGTACTCAATTGTCGAAGAGTGTGACGCGCTTCGCGTAGGCGAGACAGAGACCAAGGGCAGAAAAGATAACGGCTACAACGTCCCAGGGCAACACGATACGCGGTTGAAATCCGAAGAACGTTCGTTGCGACTCCTCTCAGCGATGGCGAAGATTGAATCGTTAGACGGCCAAAAGTTCGACTATATCGTAGTTGGTGGTAAGGCTGGTCTTCCCCTGTTTAATAGAACAATCCAAGTCTGAGAACTCTCAGGTGGTACTTCCGGGTGTCTTGTCGCGTCGAAAATAGCATCAGAGCTACCGGACTGTACCGTCTTGATAGTGGAGGCTGGGCCCGATGACTCGGAAGATCCAGACAACCTTGTCCCAGGATTGACGAAACCGAAATTCGGGAGCGAAGCTGGTAACTGGCTTTACCGAACGACGCCGCAAGATGAACTCGGAAACCGCGAGATAGTGTATCCTCGCGGACGAGGCCTGGGAGGTTGCTCGGCAAACAACTTCATGGCTTGGGTCAAGGGCCCTGCTGCCGACTTTGACGAGTGGTCCGACTTGGTCGACGATCCGTGGTGGCGATGGGAAAATGTCAAGAATGTCCTCAACGGGCTGGAGGACTTTCGTCCAAGCTGTCCAGAGGGCATGGAGAGGTATGCGAGCCCTACGCCTGGAGCACATGGCAAAGGTGGCCCCATTGCTGTCCAGTACGGCGCAGTCTGGCAGGATCTGATAGACCCGTGCTTGCGAGCATCCGAACAGGCTGGCCACGTCCTCAATGCGGACCACAACGACGGAAACCCCATCGGATTCGCAGTGGCTCAGTTCAGCGTGAACGACGGTGTTCGTGTGACAAGTGCGAATGCTTTTTTGAACGCCGGCGAGCGACAACGTCTTCCCAATCTGACAATCATCAACAACGCTCTCTGCTCTCGCGTCGTCTTTGACGACCAAACAGCTGCAGGTGTGGAACTCGTGACGTCCAACCCAGCAGAATGTTCTGAATCATCCCCAGCGCGTCCTGCGTATGTCGGCGCAAGACGAGAAGTGATCTTGACTGCAGGCACTTTCCAGTCTGCGCAACTGCTGCTTTTGTCTGGGATAGGTCCTCGGAGCGAGCTGGAAGCACTGGAAATACCAACCGTCGTCCACGTACCTCAAGTTGGGCGAAGAATTCGAGATCACAGCGCGTTCGCATGCGAGTACGTCATATCTCCTGAGGTAGCAGGACATAACCAGCTCTTGACCTCCCCAGAGCAGCTCAAGGTCGCGCAGGACGAGTATACCAATCACAAGACGGGGCCAATGGCTGTCTTTGGTGCCAGCGCCGCACTGATTTTCCCTCGATTACCACGGATATGGTCGTCACCGGAGTACCAAAATACTGACACGGCCATCCGAGAATTCCTGGAAACACCTGCGAGGCCGAGTACTGAGATCTGGATGCATTCTGGGCCTTTGTTCTACACAGGGCCCTGCCCATCAGATGCCAGTGTTCTGGTCATTGAAGGGCTCAATCAAAATTGTCTGAGTGAAGGGGAGCTGCGTCTGCGCAGCGGAAATCCATATGACCAGCCCATGATCAACCCACGATATCTAACGCACCCTCTGGACAGACGTGTCGCTATCGAGACCGTCAGAGAGATTCAGTCGCTTGCGCGTACAGAGGCACTCAGCAGCATCATCAAAGAGCCACTGCTGGCACCGGGTGGTGACACAGAAGCTGACCTGGAGCACTTCATCCGAGAAAATCTGACCCAAGGCTTCCACAGCATGGGAAGCTGCGTCATGGGACGGAAAGGCGACTCCGGACACGTGGTCAACAGTCGGTTCGAGGTCGAAGCGATTCGGGGCTTGAGAGTGGCCGACATGAGTGTGTGTCCGATCTTGACGTGTAACCACACCCAGGTCAATGCTTACCTTATCGGGACTCGCTGTGCGGGAATCGTGCTTCAGGAATCAAAAACATTCGGCGTTCGGTCGAGACTGTGAGAGATGAGCAAGGATCGACGTGTGAGGACGGGCCTTTCAAGTAGGTTTTGCTCCTGTACGATCTGAGCGCCTCGCATCCCCTGCAATTCCTGCGCTCAGCTCAGAAAGCAGTGGGGACTTAGTACTCAAGTCATTCCCGACCCTCTGAACGTATATCCTTGGACCTCAAGCGTGCAATGGAGGCCTAAGGAACAGGGCGACCAGAGATCTACAGGCTTGACTTCATTTCAGCCGCGAGTACCTTGCACTTTCGATCAAGCCTTGTGGACGAAGCCCATGCAGAAGAAAGCTCCCGAGACTGAATACACACTGAAGCCGGCAATCGCAGTCGGTCATCCGATCAGCTTGTGTGGCGGGCGCCTGTCTTGTCACTTCGGTCCGGTTCGGTTCAATGCAACTGTAGGCGAGTATTCCACGCAATTGGCAGCCCTTTGTAGCAGATCCGAACTCTCAGTTGTCTTCATTAGTAGCCATCGTATTCACGAAACCGTATCGTGATCCCGATGGCGACAAACCCAAAAAGAGTTTGAAAGAAGTGATAGACAGGAAATTCAAGGCCTCCAGACCACGGATACTGATCATTCTTCGCGTTCGTTTGAAGGTGCGACATGCTGGACAGTTATGAGTCGACAATGAAGCAAGATACATTGAATATAGAGGTCGTCATTATACCAAAGACACATAGCTCAAGACGGTCCCGCAAAAGCGGACGTATACCTTGCCATCCAAATGAACCCGGGAACTTCCACAAAATTAACAGCATAGATGACAATCCAAGCAATACTTTCACCTCCACAGATACCTCGACTATGTTTCGCTTTTTAGCGAGCCGCGTTCTTGATGCAAGTTGCACAACAGTTATGCGACAGCATCGGGAGTTCCACTTTTCGCTTCCTTCTTCTCGTCCCCAGACAGAGAAGGTGAAGCAATCTCTCCTTCTTGAATTTCTGCCTCAATCAAAGGTCCAGTGTAATATCGCTTGCCACCAAGGTACCAGAATACCGCGGCGCAGAGCAAGATGAAGGCCAAGAATACAATGGCGTAGTTCATGTTCTGAGCCGTGACGGGTCGTATGGTCGGAAGAATGAAGATAATTGAGACGAAGAACGTCCAGATGCAAGCCCAAGCATTGACGTATGGCGAAAACCTACCCATGTGCCAGGGTCCGGGTTTGAATTTACCGAATGCCAGTTTGCAAACGATGGGAATGACGTACGACCAGTCGAGAGCAATCGCACATACGTTGAACACACCTGCGATCGCGATGTAAGACCCAAGGGCAATCAGATTGATGGCGATACACCAGAAGACACTGATCCAAACCGCATACAATGGGGTCTGCGTGAGGGGATTGATCTTGGTCCACACCCACGACATGGGGATTAGCTTATCACGGGAATAGGCAAACACTGTCCGCGCCAATGCCTGTGTCGCCGTAAAGCAGACGAACTGCAGGATGATGAAGGCGGAGACGGTGAAGAAAATGCCGGCTCCCTTACCAAGGGAGTTGTAGAAGATCTGAGCGACAGGTTGAACAATCGGAGAGGCCAGGATTTCCGCCGGATCGCCCATACAGAAGCAAAGCACGATGTTGAACAACCATCCGAGGACGTAGGTACAGGCCATGGCTAGCGAGATGGCCCAGGGTGCTTTGATCTCGGGTTGTGAGATTCTAACGCTAGTCAGTTATGTCTGATGCACTCGGGCTCAAGACCTACTCTTCAGTAATGTGCGCAGTCGCATCGTAATCCGTCATGGTCCATGAGACTGATAGGAAGCCGAACAAGAAGGAGAAACCTATCGGAGTCCAACCGGCATCACCTTCGACATGGGTAAACACATAGCTGGCGTCGTGCTTGTTCTCGGTTTTGGCCAGAAGAGCGATAGCACAAGAGATGAGAACGGCAAAGTGGAAAATAACATAAGTCTTTGTCATTTTTTCCATCCAGTAGGTCGAGAGTGAGTTCACAAGGCCACACAGAACAGTCAAAGCAGCCATGACACCGACAGTCTGGTTGGTCGTGGGGAACCAGTTGAAATCACGGCCTATGGACACAGCAGCGAGGAGCAGCTGAGCGGAGCCGTACTCGGAAGAAGCTACTCCAGCGACCTGTCCCAGTAGATTGATCCAGCCAGTGACCCAGGAGATAGATGGTACCCATTCGGACGGCGCCAGTCGCGAGACGGTGTAGTACAGGCCACCGCATGTCGGATAGGCAGACACCAGTTCGGCAACGGAGCACGCAATGCACATGCAACCAGCCCCAGAGATCAACCAGCACCATACTGCTGATGCCGAACCACCAGCTTCGAGCGGATATACGAAGGTGGTGGCAGTAGTCGCGAACAGCCCCGAAATACTGACAGCGAAGGAGAAGGTCGAAAGATAGCCGAATTCACGCTTGAAGACCTGGAAAGCGGTTAGATCCCAGAGAGAATAATGCTCTGCACATGGTCTTGACGCACTGGTTTGTAGCCAAATTGTTCCGCCAGAGCGCGATCGGCTGCGCTGAGCTCGTCCAACTGGACCGTTCTTCTTCTTCCATGAGCATCTTGGATCTCCAACATGCCAACGCTGTGCCTGCGGAGCTCGGTCTCATTGAGAGGACCGGTAGTTGTCTCAACGTTCATCGCCATGTTTTCTGTATGTTCAGGCTTCGTCGTCGAAGTAGGAAAGGGGAGAAGCAGTGTTTAACGCCACTTGCGATATCGAACGACCCGTTTGATACAGGCACAATAGAAAGACTGCGTTCCGTCTTGCTCGTGAATCGGCATGTGAAGCCAATCGGTAGTAGGAGGAATGATTGCAGGGATGGACCAGTTCAAGCTGCGTCCGTTTGCCTGGTAATATACAAAACACTGCGCAGGAGGGGAGGGAAGTGCGTTGGAACTGCAAGATAAATGTAGGGTTTTTTGCCAGAGGAATTCGCCTAACCTAAAGCCGTCGCATTCGCCCTACCGAGTACCTTTTTCCTCGATGCTATGGATCTGAGTTCGCGGCGACTCCCAGCATGCCATGAATGGAGCGGCGGAACCCATTGCAGTCATGGGCCCATGATGTCGGCAAGCGTGGCGTGGCCTTGAAGGAGGGGACACGAACGCCTAGTATGGATGAGCATTGGCCAGCAAGAGATGAGAACCGAGGAGTGTGGCCAGTGATGGGTCGACGATACGGACGACAGTCGAGGGAGTTGGTGCAACTCTCCTGTGGCTGGTATTGGCGGGTGGGATTGATGTACAGTCAAACTCCAGCACAGGGGAGACAAGCAATTATGCTTGGCAAAAGGTTAGTGCACGAACCAGCTCCAAGTGCGGGCCCTCAGCCTCTAATAGGCGTCCCGAGCCCACTATTCCACCCGCCCAGAGGCCCTAGTAGCCCGTAATAGGCCCTCCAAGGCCTGTCCAAGCTCCAGGTATCTCGCCTTAGCTGAGGCTGCCAAAGCTTGAAATCGCTGAGCAGGCAATCACTGTCCGGAGTACGGAGCATCTCGTAAGGGCATCCCTACTCGTACCCCAGAGAGCCTGTACAATTGCATGAACGGGCTGGCACCCCCCCCCCCCTGTTATGCTCTACATTGATGATTTCCTAGCATAAATGCCCATAACAGGGGGGGGGGGGGGGTGCCAGCCCGTTCATGCAAAGCCCTTGTAGGATCCTCCGGGAAGAGTTTTTCAGTGACCCTACAGCTCCGCCAGGATTGCGACCAGGGCGATTCCAACATGATACATGATGGCAGGGATCATTTTTCCTTGCAGGCGGGTCGCAGACGCCACGGCCCACGAGGTGACCTAGTCTTGTTAGAGGCTTGAAGCGCATCCTGGTACTCGTGGAGTTCAATGTGATAGAATCTTCGCTACGGTATTGTCATGGTCGATTATCGTCAGCCCCGAGATAAGACCATCACCTATCGAGCAAAGTTTTGCTTTGTTATCTCGACATGGCACGTTGCAATCTGTGACTCTAGTCTCGGCTCGGATAGCTGATGATCCAGAGCAACCCTTCTGCATGGAATAACCTAAACAGGGCTCGTTTTGCAGTCCCCTGGTCGTCTTACCCCGGCAAATGGCACCCTCGGCTTCGCCTTGTTGTCCTATGACGTGAAAGGAGATACGACAGTTGTCACGAGACCATGTCCGTGAATGCTGAGCATGATTTGTACGGATACGAGTACATCGGAGATACACCTTGCTTTGGGTCTACCTTAGGCAGGGATTATCGCCTCGGTTTCTGACTAGTTCGATCGTCAGCAATAAACCGCCGCAACTGCATACCAAGTTGCGTTTAGGCCATGCATCTCGGCCTGTGCGAGACGATGCCAGGTGTGCCCTTCCAACCCGGGCAGGGCAAGTTATGGTCGACCCTATATCAACCTACTCTCAGTGGTGCAAGAAACTGCTTCAAGAGCATTACATCAGTGCTTGTGCAAATGTTTGCATTTTTCCTCTATTTGGCATCTTCCTTCTGATCCATATCGAAAGCTGAAGTATGGCCAGTCAAGAATGCCCTGGAATAGACAAAAATTCAAGAGCCAGGCGGAGGTTCTCGGCTTAGAGAACGAGCAACACCTTCTGGCGAAGTCATCCCCGTCCGCCGTCCTCGTCTGGCCCCTATGAGCATAAAATAAACCTAGTCTCTCCCGAAAGTTTGTGCACCAGTGAGCAGAAGATGCATCACTGTAATACGAGAATGCGTGAAGCCCGACGCGGCAACGAACGGCACTGCTCGATGGTGTTGAGAAAGCTGATCATCAACTCCGTCAACCACATGACAAAGTCGGCAGCTCACCAACCACCACGATTGCCAGAAGCACCATCATCACCGCCAGTGCCCCAGCTATCAGCAGCAGTATTGTCCGCGTCAGCGCCTCCAACATTGCCAGCATTGCCAGAATCTCCACCAGAGCCCCAAGCACCACCGCTCGCACCGCCGTCAGTGGTCATCGTGTCTTGGTCTTCTTCCTCGTCGTCTTCGTCGAAGTTGAGAACACCATCTTCTGGTTTGAAGTGTTGAAGAAAGTCGGGCACTTCTTGGTTGGTTTCCATGAGGATCTTGGTGAGAAATTCACCCATCGGCTCATCTCTCTCGTTGTAGAATGAAGTAGCAAGACCCTCGTTCCCGATACGAGCAGTTCGACCTACGTCTCTTGTCAGTCGATGGTTAATTCAGTATCGACTTCCTTACCGATGCGATGAATGTACTCGTTCTGACCATCATGCTCTGCAGATGGCAAATCGAAGTTGATGACATGCATGACATTACTAAATTCTAGGCATCAATAGTGTAATTTTCTCAAGGAGCATTGCCAGACATACCGAATGTCGAGACCACGAGCAGAAACACCAGTAGCGACGAGGATTGGGGACTGTCCGGCCTTGAACGAACGACTAGTTTGATCAGTATCTTCTTATCCTTACAATTTGTTATACTCACATGGCATCTTCACGTTCAATCTGAGTACGGTCGGAATGAATTGAGGTTGACGGCAATCCCAGGTTGAAAAGGTAATCATCGACGAAGTCTGCAGTCTTCTTGAATCGCACAAAGACGAGAGTACGAGAGGGAGGCATTGAGATGAGTAAGTCATAGAGAGCTCTCATCTTCTTGTCCTGGTCCGCCCATAGGACCTAGAAAAACGTAAGCGAAGGGGCTGGGACTTCGGATTAAATCAGACGTACCTGCTGCTTGACGTTTGCGTGAGTTGAACCAGTACGACCGATACTGACGTGAATATGATCAGTGTCCAAGAACTTGGCCGCCAATCTCTGCAGACGCTTGGGGAAGGTCGCGGAGAACAAGAGATACCGGTGATCACCATCCTCATTGGCGTCTGGAAGCGGCATTAGAAACAAAACAGCATCTTGAACGCGAGTAATACATACCACCTCCACCCATGATCTTGGCCATATCCTCCTCCCAGTCGGAGTGAAGCATCTGATCAGCTTCATCGATGATGGTATACCGAACGCGGGACAGAGAAAGGATGTCGGGTCGACTCATGTAATCGAGCAGTCTCCCAGGAGTCGCAACCAGAAGATCACAACCTCGAGCCAATTGAGCAACCTGGTCACGGATGGGAGCACCGCCGTAAGCAACACAGGGCCGCATCATGGAACGATAACAGAGACGACGAGCTTCGTCGAAGATCTGGCAGCAAAGCTCACGAGTCGGTGCCACAACAAGGATCAGGGGCTCGGCGCGAACACGATCACGAGCAGGGTCGAAGCCCACAGCCAAATTGGGACGAGGCGCAGCAAGCTTCTTGACCTTTCCCATGAGTTGGGAGATACATGGAACCAAGAACGCAGCGGTCTTGCCAGAACCTTGAACAGAGTCAACTATGGTTATGTGTCACAACATGCCACGCTTACCAGTTTGGGCAACACCAATCATGTCATGACCGGTGATGACAGCAGGAATTGCGTATGCTTGGATGGGGGTAGCGAATTCGTAGCCACAGAGTTCAACGTTCTCCAACATGACGGGATGCAGTCCGGCGCTCTTGAACTGCATGGCTGGTCAGTTGGATGGAAGCTCGGGCTATAGGAGGCACTCACGTCTTGGATGGGTTCGACCCGGGTCTTGGACTCGACGATGACCTTGACTGTGATGAGGCTGGATCGAGGTCAGTTTTATGCATAAGCACTCGATGAAGAAAAGGTCTCACTTCTTGAATTTTTCACCAGCACGATTGTGAAAGTCGGCACGAAACAATTCTGCCTCAAGCTTCTCATTTCTCGGTCCAACGTCACCGTATTCGGCGTCCCACTCGTACTTGGCTGCATCATGCGCCCAAGTGCTGCTCTGATGTCTGCTAACCATTTCATCACCATTCTCCTCGTCGACGGGCTCTTCTGCGTGAAGAACAGTAGTAGGGGCACGGGCACCATAGTCGAAGGACTGTGGCTCGACCCAACCGAGTTCGCGGGCACGGCGAGAGTTTTCAGGATCGACACGGCCGGCTTGTGCAGCGCTATTGCTTGCATCGGCATCCACGATGGCAGCTTGCATCGCTCCGGTGTCGAAAGTACCATTGGCGTGGCTTTCTACGGGGATTTGTCAGTTCAATCAGGTGGACTCAAGAAAGTTGACGAGATGAGGCAGGGCAGACATTAAGCTGATAAGGCAGTTTAATGTCACGGATGGGAGAAGAGGCATGTAGTCCCACATCCCGAATCCGCCAAATAGCGAGTGAGAGAAAAGGTCCGGACGTGAGAGACGTAATACGACGTACCACTGTGACTGTTCGCCGCAGGGGGCGGATTTTCGGGGGTGTCCCAGGTAGACATTGCTGAAGCGATGGGTCAGCAACAAAACCCAAGATTTGGGAGAAAGTTAGTTAGTGGAAGAGACAGGAATTGAGAGAGGCGCAGAGAGAGATGTGGAAGGATGAGAAAGGATAAGAAAGAATGAAAGAATGGAGGGGGAAGAAGAGGAATTTATGGGAGGCAGTGAGGACGCAAAGCACCCACGCAAGACTCTCCAGATCAGAGCTTTGTTTTGGTCACCGGCTTGCAATGTGAAAGTGAGAGATGGACAAGTCTTGAACGAACCTGTGCTTGGTCAGGAGGGAAGCAGGACGTTTGCAAACAGTGTAGCAAATAAAGTGAAGCGAGGGGAGTTCAGTGCTGCTCCCGAGCTCAAGCCGCCCAGTTTGTTGTTCAGTTTGTTGTCCTCAAGTCCCTCAGCGAGAGCTCACCAGTACCACCGGCAGTTAATGATATGGCCAGAATTCCGGAACCCGCTATGTCTACACGATATTAGCTGTTCGTGGCGGACACAGAGTGACGGCAAGCTTCTGCTGAATGACCGCCTGCGAAGCTGGAAAAGATGGCGGCACACATATTCACAAACCTCGCCTAGGCTGGTACACACATTCCAATATTTGTGCAGTTGAGCAGCGTACTGCCATCCTCTTCCTCCTTGCCTTCCTCCTCGGTCCCTATACCTCTGCTAAAGGAGCATTGAGCAAACATGTCATCATCGCCAACCGCGAAAGACTGACTGTCGAACCATCTCAGAGACTGAGACATGAGCCAGCAAGTGCGAGCACCTATTGTCGAGGTTGAATATCGCGTAGGTTTCAATTTATCGGTGTCAGCCAAAAACAGCCAACGACCACCTCCGCCATCACACCACAGCAGACTACGCTGTCCGTGGACCGAGGACCAAACGCCCTGGAGAGAGGCAATGCACAGAACAGGTCCTCAGGAATACCACCACCCACATGAGAGGGAGACACAGGTCCGTCGACAGGACCGAGTTCAATGCCCTAGACGAACGAACGAGCCAGTCACTCACAATGCAGCAGCATAAGCCGAACTCCATCCCTCGCAGTCCCATCCACAAAACCTGAGAGAGCCGACCCTATGGAAGAGAACAAGGGACCATTGTTGTACCTCCTTTGTTAACATACACTGCAAAAAGCAAGTGGTCAACGAATATAGCATATTGCAGGGAGATTTTCTTGACGAGGGCTGAGAAGAAGTTTGAGTCGGGAAATTGAAAAGTATTGAGCGCGCCACCATGCCTGCCGTATCATCACAGACAAAGCAACACCTACCTACAGTTTCATGCAACCTGGTCCTCAATATTTCGCTTCTAGAAGCTGAGGGACGTGCCGATGACGAGGCCGTCTCTACGGGCGGATTGTCGTGCGCGGGTTCGCAGCTCCCAGGAGGCGTGTTTCCTTTCCACGACAGAAGTAGTTTCCAACGTGTGCAGCTCTGAGCCTGATACATCGAATCTAGGTACTAGGTGCGGAGTAGTCATACCAGTGTAGATTCTACAAAGTCCTTGTCGAGCCATGAAACACGAACATTCAACCTCTACCTACTCCATGTCGACCGTCAGATCAAGCTGTGCTGAGAGAATTTCTAGCTAGAGAGGCTAACCAATCAGCACCGACCAGGCTAGCTGAGTCATCACGTGATCTTGCTGGATCTCCGTCTCCCACGAAAAATATCTCTTGGCGAGCGAAATTCACATTCCCCCTCACAAGGAAATTAAGACAGCACAAACTGCGATTTTGCACACCGTCCAACACCCTTCCTTCCTTCCTCACTCGAAGCCACAACCATGACGACCCAGCAAGGAGCCATTTCCAAGAGACGCAAGTTCGTCGCCGACGGTGTCTTCTATGCCGAGCTCAACGAGTTCTTCCAGCGCGAGCTGGCTGAGGAGGGATACTCAGGCGTCGAGGTCCGAGTCACTCCCACCGTGACCGACATCAGTACGTGCCGAAGCCCTTGAGATTGGCGATTTGGTGAAAATCCAGAGGAATCAATTCTGACATGAATCAACCACAGTCATCCGAGCCACACACACCCAAGAAGTCCTGGGCGAGCAGGGTCGACGAATCCGCGAGCTCACCTCTCTCATCCAGAAGCGATTCAAGTTCCCCGAGAACAGCGTCTCCCTCTACGCCGCCAAGGTCCAGAACCGTGGTCTCTCTGCCGTCGCGCAGTGCGAATCCCTCCGATACAAGCTGTTGAACGGCCTGGCCGTGCGAAGAGCATGCTACGGTGTTTTGCGATTCATCATGGAGAGCGGTGCCAAGGGTTGCGAGGTCGTCGTCTCTGGCAAGCTTCGTGCCGCCCGTGCGAAGAGCATGAAGTTCACTGTAAGGCTTGTCCCTCACAATCAACTCAACTTTACGCAACAAAACTCCATTTCCTACGCAGTTTTGAAAGACTCATCTCGATCTCGATTTTACTGACAAACTCTTTCTTAAATACAGGACGGTTTCATGATCCACTCTGGCCAACCGGTGAACGACTTCATCGACACAGCCACCCGCCACGTCCTGCTGAGACAGGGTGTCCTGGGTATCAAGGTCAAGATCATGCGCGGCAGCGACCCCGAAGGCAAGGCCGGCCCTCAGAAATCCCTCCCCGACTCCGTCACCATCATCGACCCCAAGGAGGAGCAGCCCGTGGTGCAGCCCATGTCGCAGGACTACGGCGCCAAGGCTCTCGCTGCTCAGCAAGCCGCTCAAGACGCTCGGGCGGCCCAAGAGAACGGCGAAGGTGCCGAGGAGACGTATGCTCAGGAATAAAGCGTGGGAAGGGATTTTTCCAGGCGTTTGTTTTTGTGTTCGTTTAGCATACCTTCCAACTCACGCACGGTGAACATGTGAATGAAAGGGAAAAAGGAAAAAGATGCACCGCTGGTCATGCCTCAAGAATGTGGCTGGGTATGTGTCTTGACTTGTTCAAGACATGCCATGATGCAGATTTTGATCCGTCAATGAAGAGATGAGAAATACATCAATCATAGAGGCATACGCTCTTGATTCTCGATTTTCGATTTTCGAAGTCCTCTAGTGTGCACCGCTTTAAGGGAAGTTCCTACGTCTCTACCGTTTAGACTGCATCTGCTCAATCTTTTTTCTTTCAAAAACAGCGGCCAGTTACCCACGATCATTGAAGTCATGCCACGTCCAAAAGGCTCATCCCACGCTTCTCCTCCTCACTTGCACATAAGTCCGGTGGGCAGGTAGATCGCTCATAGGAAGACTTCCACATTGAACTCCAACGTACTGACCGGGTACTTGAGCTCAAACTTCTCCAGCACCGTAGGGTGTAGAATGCCAAAAGTGCCAATGACAATATCCTTCCCTCCAATATTGGCATGTATGCTTGCGCCGTGGCCGGCAAAGTAGGTCGGGTCGTCCAGCTCCTCGATCCAGTACTGCATGCCCTTTGCGTTCCCGTTCTTGATTTCCAGGCCTTCCTCGTGGGTAATGAAGGCGGTTTGCAGCATGGCCATCACCCGGTCCAGCAGGCCATGGACCACCTCGAACCCGGAGGTCTTGCCGTACCATGCGGCCGCGAAATGGCGCTCGTTGCGGGACTTGCGCTCCAGCGATTCGTCCTTGAACGCTACATCCGACACCTCGAAGATCTTCATGGGTAGAGAATGGTGCTTGTTTTCGCGGATCGTCTTCAGCAGGCCGGGAAGCAGCGTGGTGCGGACGACTTGGTACTCTGCTGTTTTGGGATTTGCCAGCCGCACAGCCGTCTTGCCATCGTCCTTGCGGTTCAGCCAGCCAAAGTTCTCGTTGTGTGAGCACAGAATCAGGGGTAGCACCTCGGCCCAACCTGCCATCGCGGCTTCGAGGCGGAGGATGTCAGACAACTTGTTGACAGCGAGCGGAGCTGCAACCGTTGCGCCGACCTTGGGGAACGCGCGAGGCAGCTTGTTGAAGCCGTACGCAATGCAGACGTCTTCCATGATGTCGGCTTGATGGAGCACATCGGCACGGGTAATGGGGACGTCGACGTCAATCAGGTTCGGATTGGACTTGGATGGGCGCGCCGTGTAACTCATGCGGGTGAGCAGCGTGCAGACGTCTTGAGCGCTGAGAGACAGTCCGCTACAGCCGTTGATGTAGTCTAACTCTGCTTGTGTCGCACGAGGGGTGAGGTCGGGAACCTGTCTAGACTCACCGTTGTGCTCAGATACAATTTGTATAGGCTCGACGGTGAACGGCTCCGCGGTGTATTGCGAGAACATGGCTACAACTATATTGACGACGATCTCCAGTTTCGTCTTGTCCGTGGCTGTGACCTCGATGAAAACATTTTTCGTGTCGAGAGTGATTTTGCTGAGATTGCCGTTGATAATAGGCGGCAAGGAGCACACGTCGCGGTTGGAGTCGTAGATGACAGGATAGACCGGGGAGTCTCGAATAATGTGCAGATACTTGCCGAGATGTTTGTCTTTGTCGTAGAAATCCATCAGCTGCTCACCGTTCATTTCCGTGGTCTGGTTGAGAGGAGCGAATTTGATATCCTTGGGGGGGAGTGCTTCGTATGTGAACGGGCCTTTGATGGTGTCCAGGTCATGCGTGCCGATGGATACGAGGGTTCTCTGTCGGGCAAGGTTCTGATGGAGTTTGTCTTGAAAGTCAATGAAGGAGGCATATCGTGCTTGGTCGAATTTGATGTTGCGTAGAACTGCTCCCGAGACATACGGCCGTATTCTGGCCGTGTCTTTCTTGACTGTAATCGTCTGCAGCTCTCCCTGTGGCGGCGCCTTCAGCACATACTTGGGTGCCTCGACTTTCCGGTTGAAGATGTTCAGCATAAGTTGGATACCTTCGAAGCATAACATGTCATATCGGTTGGCAGGGATTTCGATTTTCAGCTGTGGCGGCTCTTGCACGCCGTCAACGATCGGTCGTTCTGTCAACGAGGTGTCCTCGTCCAGCTCGATACCGAAGTCGAAACATAACTCGTCGAACTCTTCGGTCGTGTAATCTCTCCCCAGTGCCTTGAAGAGGGCAGCCTTGTCGACGGAGATGGTGGGCATGTTGCGGTGAGCTCAACAGGGTATTGCCCTGCGACTGGCGGCGATAGTTGTCGTTCGCTTTGTGAGACGCCGTAGTCGTGAGAATCAGAACTCGATGGGCCTTCAGCGGTCCGTTGGGCGTGTGCACCGTGTGGCATAAAATTGTTTCACTCTCAAAAAGCCGAGTTCCCAAAGAGTCATTCTGTAAGCTTGGCACTGAGGCGAGCGCCACATTAGTGCAAGGCATGTAGAAAGCGGGCGTCAAGCCACAGCTGGCTCGACACCCAAATGATATGACGCTTCTGAAGCTCAAATGGCAGACTGATTATTCCACCTTGCAAATTCCCCCATAACAACTCTGCCCAAGTGCCTGTGTGCCCGAAACACGACACGACATCTTCCACGAGGCCTTCGCCTCCTCAATTGCTGCCACTCTGCTCGGCCCTTCCACGATAATTGCCCTTTTCCGGTATGTTGCCATGGTCGCCCAACCCGCTGTTGTTGAAGCGCGCAGCCTTTCAGCCAACAAGGCTACTGTCCCTCCTGGCTTGGGGTTACTCGGACTGACAAGTCTCCCAGCGCGAAATGCACTGTATCCTCATCTGAAACCTCATCTTGAACATCAGCCTTGCTCCCTCTCCTACGTTTCCCGCCTACACCCCCGTCCTGCGAGTTCCCCCGAATACCGCTCTCCCCATCGTTGGGATACTTGAGGATCACGCGATACACGACTCGTTTGAAGGCCACTGAACATGGAGGGACAAGACAACAGCGATGAGCTCTATCCAATTGCCGTTCTGATCGATGAGCTGAAGGTGCGAAGCGGTTGCATCTGACGCGATGTTTTGGCCCAGACTGACGTGGTTACAGCACGACGATGTCCTCCTCCGACTCAATGCGATCCACAGACTCTCAACCATTGCTTTAGCTTTGGGTCCCGAAAGAACACGAGACGAGTTGATACCATTTTTGGACGGTCTGTGCCCTGCTCTTCGATCGATACCCTTGACGCTGACCTAGATCCAGACTCTGTTGAAGATGAGGATGAAGTCTTGACAGCATTGGCTGAAGAGCTTGGAAACTTCATCGAATACGTCGGAGGACCAGAATACGGCCATGTTCTATTGGCACCCCTAGAGAACCTGGCTGCAATCGAAGAACCTCTGGTCAGAGACAAGGTATGAAAAGGAATAATGTATGACGGTGGCACCATTCTGACCTCAATAGGCCGTAGAGTCTCTTAACAAGATCTGTGAGCAATTGTCGGAACGGCAAGTCGAAGATTACTTTATTCCTCTTACTATTCGACTTTCTAAAGCCGACTGGTTCACTTCGAAGGTCTCGGCCACTGGGCTGTATGTCACCCCTTATCGAAAAGCCAGCGCAGCTTCACAACAAGGCCTTCGGACCCAATTTGGTCATCTCGTCCACGATGAGACGCCTATGGTCCGCCGACAGGCAGCAAATCACCTGGCCAAATTCATCAAAGAAGTTCCTACAGACGTAGTCATTGACGAAATGATTCCCCTCTTCCAACACCTTGCAAGCGACGACCAAGACAGCGTCAGGCTCCTTACTGTCGAAGTCCTGATCTCCATTGCTGAGGTCATTCCCAAAGAACAGCAGCCTAGCCACGGGGTTTTATTGACGGCTTTGAGGAGTTTGTTTGAAGATAAGAGCTGGAGAGTTCGATATATGGTCGCAGAGAAATTCGAAAAGATCGCCAAAGCAGTCAATGAAGAGGTTGTTACCCGCGACCTAGTTCCAGCGTTTGTAAAGCTGTTGAAAGATAGCGAGGCAGAGGTCAGAACAGCTATTGCCAGCCAAATCCCCGGGTTCTGTGGTCTGCTTGACCGGGATACTCTGCTCAACGAGATTATGACGAGCATAGAAGATCTTGTTTCGGATCCTTCACAGCACGTCCGAGCGGCTCTCGGAACACAGCTCAGCGGATTGGCCCCCATCCTTGGAAAGGAAGAAACGATCTCGCACCTGCTCCCTATGTTTCTCCAGATGCTCAAGGACGAATTCCCTGATGTCCGCCTCCACATCATCTCGAAACTCGAGCTCGTCAACAACGTCATTGGCATCGACCTACTCTCACAGTCGCTCTTACCAGCCATTGTTCAGCTGGCGGAGGACAAGCAATGGCGCGTTCGCCTCGCTATCATCGAGTACATCCCTTTGCTTGCTAAGCAATTGGGCATGAAATTCTTTGATGAGCAACTGAGCTCTTTGTGCATGGGATGGTTGGGCGATACAGTCTTCTCTATCAGAGAAGCTGCCACACAAAATCTCAAGAAACTCACAGAAGTGTTTGGTGTGGAGTGGGCAAAAGAATCAATCATCCCCAAGGTCGACGCCATGAGCAAACAAGAGAACTACCTTTACCGGATGACGACCTGCTTTGCCATAACGGTATGTGCGAACTCTGGTCCTCATTTGCTGTAAACTGACGAATGACTGACTGTGTTTTGTGTATTAGACGCTCGCCCCCGTTGTCACATTTGACATTATTCAGGAAAGCGTGCTTCCCATGATGGACCGCCTCGTCACCGACCCAATCCCCAACATCCGGTTCAACGTCGCCAAATCATATTCCGTGCTTATCGACACACTCCGCCGCCTGCCTGCAGAGGGCACACTCGCCGATATTGAGGGGTCAGGCTCGGCCGCTTCTTCCCAGCCCAATCCCAAGGGCGAGGAACTCATCAACGACCAGATCATGCCCAACTTGACCAAGCTACAAGACGACGCCGACGTCGACGTCAGGTATTTTGCCACGATCGCAGCAGGAGGTACCTGGAGTGCCGGCGAGAGGATGGATACGGGACAGTAGTGCTCTCACGATCAATCTGTTGTTGTTGGCGGTGCTGCTGTGGGTTCTTCTGTACCGTGGTTCGGGGCCGTCCTGGGGTAAGATGAGAAAAAATCGGGGGCCAAGGCCAGGGCCAGCCAGTGTTGGTATTGTAGGGACATGCGGGAAACTACCTGAACATGGATTTATTCACCTTTCTCTGGAAGACTCTAGATACGTACCGGATACCGGGAAACGATGGTAGGTAGCTATGACATGACAATGAGGGAGCCGGCTTACACTTAGGTAGCTAGAGGAAGTGAGTCAGGCGAGCGTGAGTGCATGTAGCTGGGGTGCCACCCTATCTGTGTGAGACTCGTCGGTCTGTATATGTGTGTGTGTACGTGTGTACGTGTGAGAGAGAGAGAGAGAGAGAGAGGGAGAAGGAGAGGGAGAGAAAGAGAGATACCAATTTTAAAAGAAAAAAACAAGATAGCAATGAGAATAGAAAGAAGGAAAGAAGGAAAGGCAAGAAATTTCCTTAGACTGATGATGCCATCTGCACTGTGATATACTGTACTATCTGCTACGCCGTGATGTTGCTATGCGATGCGCTGTGCGATGCGACGTGATGATATACTCCTGCGGAGCTTCCGTGGTACCTTGCGAGACCGAACTATACACACGTACCTGTAGGTAGGTCCTCCCTAAACCGAACCGAGCTGAACTGAACCATAGACGCTGGGTGGAACGGCGAATCTGACCTACCTACCTACCTCCCTACCTACCTACTGTAAGGTAATTTAAGCTGCCTGACCCAAGTAGCTAGCTACCTACCTAGCCAGGTATTTCAGGTATGGACATGACCATCAGGGAATTCCTTCACTTTGTACTGCTCGTCGTACTCGGTACGTCCATTTGGTATCTCGTGTAAATTGCAACAGTCCGCTCAAGGGGCCATTATATTACGATACGGTATCCCACACGCACAGAACACAAATACAAATACACGCAATACCACGCCACAACCAGGGTACCGTAGGGAAATGGATCGATTCTTCAAAAAGTGACGTCTGGACAGATTGCGTCCTAACTAGATTCGTTGGTTTCGGGAGGACCGAGTCTTTCCCTTGTCGTGCCTCGCGAAAGACCCGTCCATCCATCCCACCAACCAGCTGCTATCCAAGCATGCAATCCATGCAAGCATCCACCTATCCAACCGCCCGTCCGTCCGTCTGTCCGTCACAGGCTAAAACCGATATTATATCTGTTGTCATCGATCAATCGACCGTATCTGCACCACAACCAAACACACACGCCGACAATGATTAGCATAGGTCCATCGTAATTAGACATAGAAAGGGTTCTGTTAATTCGTAGATCGATACCGGGCCTGGGAGGGAGGGTGCGTGCAAAATCAGTGTAGTAACTTACTCCAGCAACAGCCTGAAATACCAGACTTCAAGATCTTCATTCCTGAGGACTTTCCGGGCCCAGTCTCGACCGGTGTCTGCGATTCTCTTCCCCTCGACGCGCCCGCTCACCTCTTGGTCAAAGTAGCGCACGCCCTCGGCATACTCGTCGCCCACGAGACCGAGCGGGACATAATGCACCCACGGCCTCAGCCACTCGTCGTGCCACTCCCGGAAAACTGCAAGTTTGTAGACGAGACTGTTGCTCAACAGCCACGCATAGTACCGTCCCGAGAATGCATTTCCGTCAATATCCAACAGGTACTTGGACGCCAGGGCGTCGAACATGTTGACCGGCGGGACGGTGCCAAAGTACTCGCGCTGGGCGTCACAGTCGCCCGGGTCGCACTGACCAATGAATGTGAACTTGACGTCGAAATAATGAGCCATGTCCGAGGCGCTGATCTCCTTCTCTCGCCACACGGACTCGGTGGTTGTCGAGTTGTCAAGCTCGAGGATTTTGGCCTTGTTCAACGGTTGGAGCTTGGTAAGGAACCGTTGGCGGTGTTGGCGCCGCCAGCCACCGTCGCGAGAGAATCCGCCTGTCGTGCTGCCACGCCAGTACATTGTGGCGTTCTTCTGTTCCCACGGCATATCGCGCTCCTTTTCGTAGCGGACACGGCCCATATAGTACCATGGGGAAGGGTACAGGATATCTTGGAAACTAGAGATTTTGGATTGCGAGAAGATGGGAAACAGCTCATGAGTCACGTCGAAGGCGTTGGGACGGTCGAAAAAGCCAAAGGTGCGTTCCATTGATGGCGAATTACAGATGTCGCTGAACGCGGTGGTGTTGCTGATGAAGCCCAGCGGGAGGTCGGAGTACGCCGTTGTATTGTCGGGACAGGAGTCGTTCAAGCACATGCGGGCTGGACTGTCAGGCGAACACGACATGCGAGAGTTACTCCAGGTAGGCTGGTGAGCAAAGCGATTGAACCGGGTCGTTTTGTATTCCTTAATACGAACGCCTTCGCCTAGGTCGCTGGGTCGAGGCGACCATGAGTTTGAGAGTGTCTGTGCAGTGTAGGCCTTGGGCATGTTCTCGTCTTTGGCGACCTGGACGTGGCGCAGGAGATCGTCATGCTGCATAACCACCCGGGGCTCATCGTGGATATTGAACGGCAGGTCCATGTCCGGAAGCCACTTGATAAAGTCCTTCAACATTACGGGCGTAGCCTCTCGGTGCCATGCGTACATGTCACCACCTCCTTCGACCTTCGTGACCTTGCCGTTCCTGATCAGGACAGCGATGAGCGCATTATCGAACCCAATCGCCTCTCTTGTTCGCTCCCGGATGACAGCGGGCTCCAGCGCCCAGAAGGGCAGAAGCTGGTGGTAGATCGTGTCATACTCGTCTATTAATTCGACCCCCCTCTTTTTGGCGAAGTTGTACCATTTGTCAAAGTGTGGTGGAGGTGGCAGCTTGTACCGCCTGCGATACTCTGCTACAGCATCGCTGAGGGATCGCGACTGACGTGCTCGTACAGTCTGGAAGTTCCCATCGGCCTGCGCTACAAGCTGGTGGATCGGGTGGAGGAGAGACGAAGCTGGGAAGAGCGGTTGGTTCTCTTCGTGCGCATGGTGACCGTGGAAGAGGGAGCTCGATTGGGGAATGGCCTGCGGTGGTCGTAGGAGGAAGGTAGTAAATGCGATGGTCGCAAGAAAGCAGATGAGCGCGAGGGATCTTCGAGACCTCAGCATGCCTTGGACATGGCTCCTATTCGAGGCTCGCAGATATTCACGCATGGGCTGGTAGTTCGGCGGAGCTCTGCCTCATGCTGTTCGTGCGGTAAACCTCCAGCGCAGCATGAATTCTCCCGAGCAGCTCTTCTCTCGAAAGAACAGCAAGATTGGGAAGCAGACGGTGTATGGAATTAGTCCGATATGAAAACAAGATTCTCATGACATGTCCAAAGGAAACTTGGGGGATTCAAGGAGGCAATTTAGCCGATACCAGTCTGGGGTTGAAATTTACTTTGTCTGACGAGTGAGTCTCTCATCTTTGCAAGAGCAAATTGCCTTCAAATGTCTGTGTCAGACCGCGTATTAACCTGGTTAGGGAATTTCCACCCTCACGGGTATTAAGCAAGTGGCTTCGATTGCTTAAGGCCACGAAAAGCGAACAGAATGAGACTGAATCTTCTCATCACATTTCTCTCTTGAGCTATAGTAAAGATAGCCTTGTTGTACTCGTATTTGCTGCGTATTGTGGTAATCTCCTGCCAGAACTCAACCTACATGTCCAAGCTGCTCCTCCACCTCCTTCATATTTTAAAGATGTTACTCTCGTTCAGATCTTGGAGTAAATATTCTCGAGAGGATCATATGTACTGTTTCCATACGCGTCCCCTCCAAATTTCAAATAACCGTTCACATACGGTTGAGTAGGGAACTTGGCCAGGATCGAGCTTGCATTCCCAAACACCCAGACAGTTTGCATTCCTGTCACATAGCCCTGTCAGTTCTGTGCCAACGACGCTCGCTCCAAGATATCCAAACATGACTTACCCATGACCATATGCTGCAACACGTGGCAATGCATCATCCAAGCACCAACATCATCATCAGTCACTCTGATCCGCCACGCCCGCCACCCAGCCGTGGTCTCTGGGACGCCTGAGACAGCATATCGATGCATGATCGTCGTATCGCGTCGTGCAGGGGTATAATTTGCAAACCTCATTTCGTTTGCAGTGGCATTGTACGTCCCGTTTCTAAAATCGAAGATCAGTGACAACAACTCTCTCTCCAGGGCCAGGGGGAACTCTTTCAACATACCCAGAACCAAGATCAAAGTAATGCTTTCCATGCGCATGCATAGGATGAAAGTCCCATCCACCAGTCGGACCAGAGTTGCTTTGCCAAACGATATCGAGCACTTCTCCAGGTAGCGCAGGGAAGGCATTCGAGTACGGATCCCAGCCTCCATTCTCGACGGCCGCGGTGTAATTCGGCGTTTGGCCAGTCAAGTACACCTGTACGAGGTACGGGAGGCTGTTATTGGACTCTCGTTGCGCCGTCTGCCAGATAAGATTGTTCTGTCTACATGAGATTCACCGTCAGCACTTGATATGTTCCAAGAGTAAAAGTCACGAAAAAAGGTAGAGTAGGGTGGGGTAGGGCAAGGTAAGGGAGGTCAGAATCAATATCAAACTTACGCCCACTGCAGGGTTCCATTAATAGTCTTGTTCACGTATGATCCAACCCGAATTTGCTGTTGCATTGTGATATAGACCGTCCGCGTCACCTCGGACAGTTTCGGGAATGCTTCTTGTGGACGCAGTGCCTCAAGTGCATATTCAGCCCATGTCGTAACATTCTTTGGAAGAGTAATTGGAGGAGTAGCAGGAAGAAGCGATGGCCGAGTCGATCCGCTGACATTGTACTGTAGCAAAGCATAGCCCGACACGTTCGTTGGCCTATCTCGGTTCTCGTATCGAAGCCAGAAGCTGGTCTTGTTTGCCGCGTCCAGCTCTGCCTGTGTCTTTGCTTTAAAGAGTACACTGAACCGTTGCCCACTGCCCAGTTGCAGGTGATCGGTGCTCCAGGGCTTGGTGTATTCACCGTCTGCTTCGATAACGGTCAGGTGGTCGTGACCCTCGATACCAAGGGTGACAAATGAGAGAGCTGTAGCACCGATAAACCGCCACCTGTACGTTTTGCCCGGCTCGACGTTGATGACATATGGTGTACATGTCGCATCCGTCGCGTTACTGAAGGACGAGTTACCACTGAAGCCATTGATCGATATAGCTTCTGGCTCGCCGGACCACTTGAACGGGTTGGCAATCAGGCCACTAACGATGGTGCTGTCATTCTTGGGGAAATAGTCCTGGATGAAGAAGGATTCGTCGTCGTCATAGTCGTACGGGACGTCGTCTTGGTCCTCGACGATGATCAACCCTTGCGCTGTTAACGACTGGAACCCCGCGTGTGAATGGTAGAAATAGGTCCCTGCATCGCCCACTGCAGGCGTTACACTATAATCGAAGAAGGCGTTCGGAGCAATCGGCCACTGCGAGACCTGGGGCGTTCCATCTGAAAAGGGAGACGTTCGTAGGCTCAGTCCATGCCAATGCTAACGATAGATCACTCTTAGCGCAAGTCTCCTGCGGTGTGCAAACACAACAGTCAACCGCTTACCACAGTAAGATTCTCATCGGGGATCCTGTTATACACCCTCACCCATGTCGTGAAATTCTCCTTCATGTGAATGGTTGGACCGGGACTTGTGCCATTGAGTACCACCGAGTACCTCGTCTGGCAATTGACGGTCAAGTTCTTCGCTGTCGCAACGAGCACGTAGTCAGGGCTGGCTTCTGGGCTCGGAGGAATCGCACATATTGCTTGGATCCAGAACAGGACCGGTAGTAGTCGATAGAACAGCAGCATAGCTGACAGAAAGCAACCGGTATGTCAGAGCGGTGGCCACATGGAGCTGGGATCGGGCCGCCATATACCATTTTTGCGGCACAGAGATCGACATGCACAATTTAGTAAGCTCACCATTATCCTTTCAGGTCGTACAAGGAGGGCTGACAGGGACACCCGCTACTATCAGAAAGTTTCATGGCCCAGGACGCCTGAATTGAGCATCGGCCAGAGAATTGTCAAGAGGGAAGAAGATCCACGGAAATATTGGACCTAGTCTCGGCTCACAACCAAGCGCCTTGCGCTCGGACAGCCATTTTCATGCTGGTCTTTCATAGTCGCAATACGGCGAGATGAGCCGGAAGCTTTCATCGTCTCCTCGTAGTGCAAACGAGGCGCTGACTCTCCAAAGGATCGTGAAAGGATTTGAGATCGCGGGGCGGGAAGACTTGGCTCGTAAGGCCTCCCTCACGCACTCAAGCCAAGGGTGGATGATTGTTGAAGATCGACATAGGTACAGTGTTATTGTGTGCTCGACGTGCTAAATATAAGCCCGCCGACACATCTCTCCGTATTAGTGAACAATTGACGTGAGGCTGTGGTTCTCAGAAGCTGCTGAGTCACTGGCCGTCGTAAGGACTACGGAAAGAGGCAGAGATCGTCCGTCGTAGACCTACTGTACATCATTTCATTGCAGGGGCCAAAACCTATCTGAGCCGTATGAGATCGTCAACTCTCGTCTGGATCAGGTATCCAATTTCTCGTCTTTTTATTTCCAATGTCCATCTTCTAGCATCAGAGTGTCGATAACATTCGAGACTCTGCCACGCATGGCCAGGCGTCCCGTTGCGTTCTCGGACTGAGATCCAGCCTCGATGCCACAATGGACGCGAAAAGGCCTCTGATGTGTTTGTACCCTGTTCAGTATCCAGCCATCTTCCATACGGCTGCAGAGACTTTTTTGCGTACGTCTTGCGCAATGCCCGCCCACCCTCGTGCTTGGGTAACCAAATTCGTCACGCCAATGATTCTCCTGGTGAACAGGTCCGACTGGCCAAAGTCATGAGCGTAGACATCCCAATACGCCTGACTCCCAACGACTCTCTCCAGGCCTGTCGCGTGTGCATGCTCCTCGGACGTCTTTGACGCGATCATCAGTGCCCGTCCAATGATGCTTTGATCGCTTGCCAGGCGCGTCGTGGCTTCGACCACGTCCTCTATCGAAGCCATGCCGCCTCCCGCGAGAACCAACGCGCCCAGCGACCCTAGAATGGGCGTGTCGACAAAGTACGGATTGATCATGTTGACCCTGATGCCATGCTTGATGGGTGTCGTGATGCGCAGTGACCGGAACAGTCCGACGACGCCGTGCTTTGCGGCAGCGTAGATGGGCTGGGATGGGAGGCCTGCTAGACCTGCGATCGATGAGACAAGGATCAGATGACGATCGCGTGGTGCTGACTTCCTCCCAACTTCGCATCTGTCACTGCCTGGGTTTCGTGACAGGTACGACAAGGCTAGATTCGTAGTGAACATGACTCCGTCCAAATTCGTATCCAGCGTCCTCATCTTCGGTTGAGGCGGGTTGTCCGTGTGCGCGTAGTCCGGAGGTTCTTCAAAGACGGCGTTCTCTGGAGCGTCAGCGATGCCGGCATTGGCCATGACACAATCGATCCCTCCATGCGGGCTGAGGCTAGCTGCTTGCTTGAAGAATGCTGCCTGGCTCTCCCAGCTCGTCACGTCAAGGTGGATGAAGTGGTGATTCGGGTTCTTGCTGGAAGCCCGAATATGTGCGACGAGTTCGGTACCCGTCTTGTCATTGATATCGCCTATGATGATATTGGCTCCGTGTGTGGCCCAGAGCTCGAAGCATGACTTGCCAAAGCCCGAAGCCCCACCGGTGATGACAATCGTCTTGCCATTGAGGTTATCGAAGTTGATGGGTTCGGAGCAATCAATTGCGTCGGAGTGAATAGAGCTCGACCCATAGGGGACTTCTCCGGCCGTTGATGGGGCCATGCCTTCTCGCTGGTCTGAATCTATGAGTGCGAGGCCAACCTCTTTCCAAGGGAACTTCAGTGGCAGAAGGTTCTTTCGGGCAATGCGAGTGTTGACGAACTTGAGCAACTCTGCAAAGGAAAACGGTGGATTAATGTCGATGGCTGGCTGCCAAAAGACGCTACCGAGGCGCGCCTATCGTGAGCAACAAATATATAGCTAACTGCTAGAGTCAAGACATACTCTCAAGGACGGCGACGCAATTTCAAAAAAGTACTCTAGTGAACCCAGGTAGAGGGTGCAACAATTCAAAGGAATTTTCACTTCTTGTGCTACCTAGAGGCGGGTAAGTTTCTTGTTACATACAGTTCCGTTAATTTGTACATTATACATGCTATATGGGTATCATGCCGGAGCGTAATATCTGTATTTTCAGTCAGTTTGACATTGTTTCCGTAGTCATCACGACGTAAGTCAATTAGTATTCGTCGAGACAACCTCTTCACTTGATGCTTGTTCCAATTCCTTCAAGACACTCAATTCGGAAGGAGAAGATCCAATAAAGTCCAAGCTCCGATAGCCTTCTTCTACCAGCCATGTCTTTCCGTCTTCGAGCTTGTGCAGCACCTCGCAGGAGCTTCCGACAACGAGCAGCCCCGGTGGCCTCGACCCTTCTTCCTCGACCGCCTGAACCACGTGTTTCAAGGTTGATCGAATTACCCTCTGATCAGGACAACTTGCTCGCTCAATCACTGCACATGGAGTCTTGGCCGGCCATAATCTGCGAGCATGCGGTGAATTTTCTGCATCTTGAGAGGGCGTCGTCAAAGTTTGAATCAGACTTTCAAGCCGGTGCAATGCCATTAGAAAGACAACTGTCTTGCTTGGTCGGTAGGATGGGGGGTCCGGTGCTGCTCCTTTCCGTCCTGTTCCAGTACATATGACAACCTGATCGGCCACAGCTCGGTGAGTGACTGGTATATCGGCGAAGAGAGGCGCAGACATTGCACTCGTGATACCGGGGATCACTCTGACTTCAAAGCCCCGATCTCTGAAGAACGAGAACTCTTCGGCGCCTCGGCCATATAGATACGGGTCTCCCTGCTTCAACCTCAGAACGTCTTTGCCTTGCTTCATGGCATCTAAGCCGAGCTGTAGGAGCTCTTCTTGTGCAGCATCTGCATTGCCGGGGAATTTGCGAGCAATATGCACCGGTGTCCGACGGGGAATAAGAGCCAAGATTTCAGCAGGTACAAGTTTGTCTGCGAGAATGAGGTGTGCGTTGTCGATCGCGGTTCGAGTGGCAATGGTCAACAGCGACGGGTGTCCCGGGCCCGAGCCTGCAAGACTGATAGTGCCGCGTCGTGCAGGCAGGGCAGGCACCAAATGGTCGATTGGGACGGATTCTGTTGCTGTGGGCGGTGCAGTGGTTCGGTATGCTTCCAGTATGGCGGACACATCAGCATCCGTGATTGCTGCTAGTCGACTCAACGGCCAGTACTCGCATATCTGCGAGAGCCATCTCATTCGTCGGGTCCGGAGGACTCCTGGATCTTTGTCGTCCTCTCTCACCAATGAATTAAAAGTATGTCTCTGAGCCGCAGCATCTTCATCCTCCACCTCTGCATCGATAACCTCCTTTGCGTTTTCAACTTGAGATTTGTAGTCTTCTTCCCATATTCTACGTCGAACAGTGCCGAGTCGATCTATTGCCGCACCAAACTGTGGTGGCAGGGTCGAGGCGATCTCCCGCCGTATTCGAGACGATAGTTTGCACCCGTTCCCAGATGTGGTGATCCCAATCTGCAGCGGCCCGTCAGAGTATGTGGATAGAAGTGTGAATGTGCAAAGATGAGGGGAGTCGACCACGTTGACAGGTATACGCATACGCTTGCACAGGTTTACAATCTGCGCAGTCCGTGGCTCCTTCGCAGGGAATGTGACGAAGACCGCATCCACATATCTGTCGACTTCCTCTCGTCCTAGTGTATTCAAGTCCTTCTCTTGAAATTCTCGTTCTATATGTCCAATCCTGCCGTCTTCGATACAAGACCGTAGGTTGAAGTGTAAGTCCGTCGCGTTCGATGTGACAATGATTGGACGAGCTCCGACTTCCAGAGACTTGAAACATCTCGAGGCTGCCAAAGGTCCAGAGCCCAGGACGAGATGTACATTGTCGACACAGGCCTGGGCCGTCAATAGGGCGGGAATAGTCATGGTGTGCGAGAAAAGAGTATCGTCTTGAAGCAACTGTAGCAGAGAGGGAAATCGGTTATAAACAGTTCCAAGACGCCATGGCTATGCTAATGAATGGGATACAAAAGAAAAAAGATAAGAGAAATCGAACTTGACTTGGTAAGATCAGCGCATGGTGTTGGAAACAGAAGATGCTCGGAGAAAGACACACCAAACACCTGCAGACGGCGGGAAAGTCGAGAAAAATTGCGGATGACGCGATTTGCTACTCTCGGCTTATCGCTTATCGTTGGCCAATTATCGTCTGTCTTAGTCCAATTCGGTGGGGCCGCGGAGCCTCGCCGTATTTTCCATTTATCCCCAACGTCAGTGCATTTTCCGGACAACGGACGCTGCAGTTGGCATTATCAGTCACCGCGTCTTGGACGATAATTTGGCCGTCCTACCTTTTGTTCTGGTTGTGTGGATTTAGACCCAAATGTCGAGGGCGCAATCTGGCCTCGTCGATGCTTCCTATGTTGGAAACAGATGGGACAGATCGCACAGAGTGATTGTGATTGTGCTCGCTGCGGTGCTTATAGGCGCATAACCAAGGATTCAACTTAGATCTCGGGAGACCTGGTTGAGACCGGGTAGTAACTAACCCATGCTGTTGGAAATCAGCCAATTGCAAACCCCTTGCTCCACTGCAATTCGTTCAACCGGGACGTCTCAGTGTTCGAAGCGTCGAAAGAGTAGCGTATAGCGCCGTATCCTTGCCGAGGAGTGTCATTCAATCAGACTTCAGGCTCGTCGTCATCAAAACTGAGGATCTTGCTCATATAGGGTCCATCCAGCGAATAACCAAGGCGCTCATAGTAACTTCTCACGCCCACACCGCTGATGACGCTGAGCTTCTCGCTGCCATGCTCGTCTCTGGCGATGCGTTCAGCTTCTTTCATCAGCAGGGTACCGTACCCTTGATGCTGAAACCTGCTCTTTTCACGTCCATGGATAGGTACGGCAAGACCATAAACATGGAGTTCGCGAACAATACTTGTTGGTTGCCCGGTGAGTTCTGGTCTGAAAGTGTATTCGGCAGTGCATTTCCGCAACCTCAGCATACCGATGAGAATGTCCTGCTTGGGATCTTCGTAGGCGAGGAATGTCTCCCAGCCATCATTAGCCATATAGTCCCGCCGGACAAGTTCCACCTGCGACGGTCGTATTTTGTTCTTCACTTCGTTAATACCGACTTCACGAGTTCGGATATCTCGGCAGGTGGTGCCAAAATCTTTCATCCGTGAGAGCGCCAGTTCTCTGAGGTTACCGTTCTCAACGCCTGAGGTGACCAGTGGCATGGGAATATCTCGTTGCACTCTGTAGATTCTGGTCCATGGTGGGACAAGCGCCAAGATCCTCGCTACGAGGTCGACCAGCGCATTCGGAGTATAGTTTTTGAAACGACCTGTCCGCCAAAGCTCGTAGAGACCCGTGCCTCTGATAACCAGGGTAGGATATATCTTCAACCCATCCGTTCTGAAGTCTGGGTTCTCAAAATATTCTTCAAACTGGAAAATATCACGCTCCATGCCAACATTGGGTAGATCGGGCATCATGTGGGAGACGACTTTGAAGCCAGCATCTTTGCAGAATTTGAAAGATTCCACAACTGCCGCCACAGTGTGCCCTCTGTTGGAGTCTCTTGCGACGTCTTCATACAGCGACTGGACTCCAAGCTCAAGCCGGGTGCAGCCGTACCTAAGCATATCTGAGAGGTGGTCGATCTGGCCAAAATCCGGACGTGTTTCGATTGTCAAACCTACACATTTGATAGTGGACATTTCACCAGCGGCGACTGCTTCGTCAACGTTTTCGGTTTGATATCCAGACAAGGCATTATGGAGTTGAGCAACAAAGTTATCACGATAGGCCTTGTCAAGGGACATGAATGTGCCTCCCATGAGGATGAATTCGACCTTGTCCACACTGTGTCCGAGAGACTTTAGCTGATCGATTCTGCCTCGCGCCTGTTCAAATGGATCATATCGTGCTCGGATCGCTCGCATCGAGGTTGGTTCGTATCCAGTGTAAGACTGTGTCGAGTATTCAAAGTCGGAGTCGGGACCTCCTGGGCAATAAACACAGGCGTGACTAGTCTGGGGTCAGTAACGAATGTTCCACGGGCATAAAAGTCAATAGTTACCCTGTCCATGCAATATGCTACAGAGTCTCCAGTCAGCGCACAATTGAGATCTTGAGCCAGCCAGACAAACATACCGGACAACGATGTGGTTTACTCATCACCGCAACCACAACTATCCCACTTGCACTCCGTACCGGCTTTGCGATGAGTTTGGGCAAAAGAGCCTTTTTGTAATTCTCGGGTACAGCGGAGAGTATACCCGTCAGCGGCGGCTGGTTGCTGAGCTTGTGTTTTCGTGCGACATCTCCTCGCAGTCGGTTGAGGTTGATGTCCTTCTTCGGCTTGCTGTCATCGAGACTGGCCTCATACTCTTGGATCAAGGCTCGGGCGATGTCGTTACATGCTTGCATAAACCGGACACTCTCGGGAGCCAGGTTTTCACGTTTGTCTGGTCTTACCCTTGTCCTAGCCACCGTTTCTGTCGCCATGTTTGGATGATGACTGGGCTCGCCACAATGTGGTTGATTGGTGACGAGACGAAAGAGTCGCACGGTACGTATTTAGTGCACGTTTACTTGGCTGTGAGAGACCGAGTGAAAACTGCTCGTGCCGCTTTTACAAAGTTTCGGGATCGCAGAATCCGCTCGGTGTACCTTCTACACTTGACGTTCGAGTCGCTCGCTTGTGATGTTGGGTTCGGGTCCAACTAAACCCATTAAGGGAAAGCTCAATATCTCCAACTGAACCCCGGGTTGAGAGGCTTTTGCCTTTCCGCTTGTTTACCTGGACTAATAATAAGCCTCAAGTTCTTGTTAAGTAGTTATTGGTCAAGTAACAAAATGCAATTGACCAGCCACTGGACACGCACAACAATGGATCTCAATAGCCTCGGACACTGCGGCTGAATACCATGAAATAGCGAGCGGGAATGGAGGAACTATCTGATCAATGACCCAGCTACAAACGACCTCGATATCCTCATGATTCAGTAACTGCTCATCTCGACCTGCTGGACACATGTAGGCCACCGCCCTTGGTAGCGATATCAAATCGCCGGACCGTGAAAAGCTCTGTTTCAATGCAGAACACCAACAGAGACCCAAGCATTGCGGACAATGATCGCATCAGAAGCGCCAAACAGCCTGGTGGCTTGATCAACCGTCACATCGGCCCACTCCTTGAAAGTGGTTAATCCATCAGGTCGCTTGACCCGTGGGTCGATCAAAGTCTCATACCAGATCTTTCCGGCCTTTTGGAAGGCATACCCACCGAAGCCAATGGCAACCAAGTAGAATGCGCGATTGGGGATACCCGAGGTGATATGAACATCCAAGTCATCGTTGTACTGGCTGTAATGAGCGATCTGACGGTCTCGGCCAAGGATCGGATCGTCGAACGCAGTTCCCGGATTTGCGATGTTGCGGAGCGCTGCACCCTTGATCCCAATAGAAAAGAGATTCTGGCCAGTGAGCCAATCAGCCTCTGCTGCGGTTTGATTGAAGTGCCACTGCTCAACCAGTGCACCAAAGATATCCGAGATGGACTCGTTCAGACCTCCCGCCTCCCGCACGTAATGGAGCTTTGCGGTGTATTCGGTAATGGCGTGGGTCAATTCATGCGCGACAACATCCAGGGAATCCGTAAAATAGTCAAAGATGATGCCATCACCATCTCCAAAAGCAAACTGGCGGCTGTTCCAGAAGGCGTTGTTGTACCCCAGTGGGTTGCGCGTATCGGGGTCATGATGAACAGTAACAATAGGGGTACGGCCATTTCCGTCGACGGCATTGCGACCAAACACGGTGTGGAAGAACTTAACGGTGATGCCGACACCATCATATACATTGTTGACTTGTCTGTCGCGTGTTCGCTCAGCACCTTCCACGCGGGCAACAGTGCCAGGAAGGGAGGGGAGGTTGTGGCCGTCGTAGACGGCCCGCCTCAGCACAAGAGACGCGGCTTCCGGCTGATGGGGCTCATCCCTCGCCGCAGCGCCGACGAGGGCAGCTCTCTGTTCGCGAATCTTAACATCTGACCTCAATGTTGCCTTTGCACTCTCTCGAGTCTCGTCGTCCAACAACTCACTCTGGGCGATGTGCTCAAGAATGCCAGGGGGGACGAAGCCTAAACTCACAATTGGTGTTTGGGCTGCCGGAACAGAATCTTCGGGAAGAGTAGGTGCTCCACCGCTCGTGAGGGCTTGCACGCGCTGCTGCCGGAAGTCCTGATCGGCTGAAAGGGTGCGAAGAGCAACCTGACGCGCTTCCTCAGGAGCACTCTCAGACTCGGCAATGTGCTGAAGGATGTAAGCGGGAACGAAGTGGCACATCTGGAATGAGATATTAGCATGTAATTTGAAATAAAGAAGTCTCAGAGAGCCCTACAGCTGCCCCGGACTGATGCTGATTGCACATGATGGTTGGTTCGGCAGGTACTTTGCTAGGCAACAAAGGGTGGAATGGTCAGGATTTTTGCAGGTCGTAGTTGAACTTGGTTGATCCTTGGATGATGAACTTCAGATCGATGTTCGCTACCCGTACTCTTTATTTATACCCCAATGCTTCAGCCCCGATCAAAAGTAGTTGTCAGCTGCAACGTCGTCCACATGACTAGCTTTGTCTTGGCTTGAAGGCAAGGTAAAGCCTCCTTTGTCATTCAAAATGAGGCCTGTGCTACGTATATTGCCATTCTCCGGATCCATTGTGGAAACAAAAGGACATTGCGATAGTTCAGGCGCAAGTTTCTCAGCTGGGCGGACCTTTTGACAGGACCCAGCACACTTGGCAGTCCGACCTCATTTTGTCCGTCGCTGGCCGGGGACTGCCGCCAAGCGCGCAGACAAATTTTGGCCATTGTGGCTCAATATACCAGCTTGTATCACTTCTTCGCTCTCAAAATTAGTTCCTTTTCAAGAACTAAAGAAAGTCGAATGCAGTCGCATGGCTTGCGAAGCAAGGTCTAGGCCTCGGACGAGTGAGCGGGCACAAATGGCATCCAGTGTTGGGATGCCACCAAATGCTGCCAAGTGTATTGCTTACCGATAGTGTGTCCAAATTGGGGAGAACGAAGTGAGCTTGAGTTGAGACCTTGAGCAAATCGGTATGCGATGCCCGCAGGCGGCTTCCTCCTGTAATCGCAGCCTCAGCCGCGGCTGAGACGTGTGTTACCAGTAAGAGATGATGCGGCCATGCAAGCCTGTCGGTACTCAGAATGAAGCCCCTCATAAGTGCTCGGATCAAACAACAAAGTCAAAAGATGCGGTCATGTAAGCATTCCCCAAGAAGGCTAAGCATTGCTTCTCACAAGGTCATAAAAGAGATACCCTCGCAACCAGCGCTCCTTGCTCAAGTCATCGCAAAGAAACCGAGGACGGAGGCTGGGTGTGAGGGTGGTGTTATTCTGGAATTGTTTTTGCTGAAATTCGAGTCGAGCTCGTAATCCTCCGCGTAATTTTGGGCAAGTCATGCATCCTGATGGGTCACTACTCCATAACACCGGTAAAGGGCAGCTGAAGAATGGAATTTGAATGGCGTCAAACTCAGTGCTCTGGGCCGGGCAGAAGCTGACCAACTATGTTCTCAATATCGAGGACTGTCACGATGCCGAGGACCGTAACGGGGAAGAATGGCCTTTCGAGCACATTCGCCGTCTCAAAAATCTGACGCCATGGGCACCTCAGATTTGCAATTGGGAGAAGCTCGTATCCGTTCACTCGCCTGACCATAATGCCTGGGCGACGTCTCGCCTTGAGGCCCTGATGGGATGTAGCAGGATGAGTGGCTGCGCTCAAGAAAGAATATAGCACGTAAACGAATCCCTCAAGATGGCCAGAACTGTCCAACAGAAGAGCAAGGCCGAAGTCCTTTTGTACCTGCCTCGTGTTGCTGGGAGATGAAGTAGAAAGGAAGCTGCGACGGACTGCTCTTGGCGTGGAGTTGGGCCAATCGGAGACGCCAAGCCCGTGCTAGACGCGCCCCGTGTTCACCACCTCCTCTTCACTTCCCCGGCACAGGGACCAGCACTTTTGTACTCGTATCTGCCAAGGAGGAGGGATTGCCAAGGGCCGGAGCAGGAGCCTGGAACAGTCGGAAAGCCTCTTTTCGCTACACCGACTGTATCTCCAAGCTTGGCGTCCATCACCTCATCAATCTGAGGCTGAAACCCGATACGAAGTAGCTGAACAGCTCTCAATGATCGAGCTCGACTCGAGGTACCAAGTGCATTATGTGATGCCTTAGGTGCTTTCAAAAGCGAAGATCGTGATGCAATCTACCTCCCCATGCCCGGGCGCAGTCGTGTCCACCCCCATGCTGCTTGCTGGCCTGCACAGGATCCGCCGCAGCTGAGTTATAATGATAAAGACAGGTCGTTGGTCTGACGGGCGCCAGCAATCTTCACCGTCAATATTCACAAGAGTTCTTCAACGCTCACACACTGCGTCGTTTGAAATATCCGTTCGTAAGCAACATACCTGTCCTTGTCCGCACCCCAAGATATACCGGGTCATGGCGGGAAGAGTCCATCTAGTTCGCCATGCCGAGGGCCTCCACAATCTTCGTCGGGACCTCGAAATCGCTGATGCGCAGTTGACTCACCGTGGGCATGACGCTGCAGAAGCCCTGGGGCGGCAGTTTGTCAAGGACAGCACCGATTCCGTAGGAGCCATCTTCGCGTCGCCCCTCCGTCGAACCATTGAGACCTCTCTCGAGACCTTCCATCGGGTTCTAAGCCCTGCTCATTACCCACACAATTCGGGTAAGGGCGCACGGGCGTGGGGCGTGAGTTTGATCCTCAATCCGGATCTACAGGAGATCAGCGACTATCCTTGCAATACCGGGTCGGCCCCAGCAGATCTACTTGCAGAGTTCCCCGAGCTCAAATCTCAGATCCAAAGCCTACCTCCGAAGTGGTTCGAGAAGGAAGGTGATTGGGAGCCCACCGATGAAGCCGTAATTGCACGAAAAAGCCGGATTTTGAAACTTCTTTGGATTACTTCTCAGCAACTGCAAAGTGCTACTGATGCCGAACAAAAGAAAAGATCAGATATCGTGGTTGTGACGCATGAAGGCATCATCTTGACGCTCGTGCCAAACGCAGACATCCAACTAGCCTCTTATAAGACATTTACGCTGAGCAAGGACGCTCAGGGCAAGATTTCGCTGATCTGAAAAAGTCCCACTCATCCAGAGATCATCGAAAGACCTCGGGAAGGACAGAGGTCGAATGTTTCTGTGCCGCTATATGACGGGAGTAACCACGTAATCATGCGAGAGGAGTGCGTATTAAATTGATGGCGTATCAATCTCACTATCGGGCCACAGAGTCTCTGAAATAAGTAAATATGACTTTCAACGAGTCTCCCCCGAACGAGTGACTTACTCTTTACGGCTGTCTGTTCCTTCCTTTGACGGACGAGGGCGTCTTCCGGCGTTGCGATGTTGTGGACTGGCCTGGCCACTTTGACAGGTATATTGAACGGCGCGTTGTGAGATTTTTAGGAACTCTGCGATATATTGATATGTATAGCCTAGTCGCCGCATGAGGAGGATGTCTCGTCGTTGATCCCGCGTGAGTCGACGGCGCCTAGGCGGCGTTGAAGGGCTAGAATCAGCCATGTTGGCAGGAGGCCTACTCGGTACCTTCATGTAGGTATGTAGTTGACAGAGATCAAAGGGGGTTAACTTAACAGAGTGTAATCAAACAGGCTGTCCACCTGGCACGTGTTGGGCTAAACTATAGAGAGTTAGCCATATACCTGCAACTAACGCAAATTACCCCTTGCAAGTCTGTACGGAGTACGCCGCTAAGGCCTATACAAGGAATGAATAATAATAGTGCCACAGGCCCCGAGACTCCTCTTGTAGAATGACAACTTGACAACAGTGAGCCCTCTTGCAGAATGACAACTTGACAACAGTGAGCCCTCTTGCAGAATGACAGACATGGCATTTCCATCTCAAGTGGCTAGGTTCTTGGTCTTGGCGCCTGATATTGGGCAAAGGTACCTGTACAAGGGTCTTTTCATTAACAACCTCAGGCCATCGCCTTTGCTTTAATCATGGCCGTCCTTCACCATTCGTTACTCAGTGCGCAAACAACCATCAACGAAACTTGAGGTGACAAGCTGCTTTGAGTGAACACGTGATGTTGCCTAATGGTCTGGAACTCATTGGCTTTCCTCACCATGACCCTTGTTCCGTCCTCACTGAACAATTGAGGTGGCAGCAACAATCGCGCATCAGATCGCAATGACCCAAAGAGACAGTCAACATGACATCGTCATGCCGACGACGGGTTACCGCGGCGGTTCTCCTCCATTCAGTCTTCCACCAACCGACCCAAAGAATGCGACTCTTGCCGAGATTTGGGACGCGATTGAGCGCTACACGAAGGGTCGAGATGTCCCTGTTGAGCATTTGCTCCCATATCGTATCGACGAGCACCAATATCAAGAACTGGAGAGACAGCTATCTGAGGATGACTTTTGCAGAGCCAAATTACGGTACGCCGACTCTTCCCATTGCGCTAATCTTATTGAATTAACAAGCGTCTAGACGCGACTATTTTCCTCGAGAACATCTCTTCATTCTTAGACTCAGAATGCCTTCGCGCATCCATGCGCACTTTATTTCAAAAGTCAACCAAGAGATCAGCCGTCAACTGCGCGGCGTGGAAGGCTCCTCGTCGAAATTCGTGCAGGAAATCGAGTTCGAAGCCTCAACGGAGGTCATCCCCTCAGATCCAGCATACGGTCGAAATGACCCTGACGGTTCATTTCGTCACAATGGAGAACCATTCCCTGGACTGATAACCGAAATAGCCTACTCGCGACAAGGCAAGAGGTTCAAAGCACTGGCACATAGCTATATTCTGGGCTCTGATTTAAGAGTCCGTGCCATGATATCCTTCGACATCCCTTACAAAACAAACAAGAACAAGGCCGCCACAGTCTCAGTGTGGCGACCAAAAGCGTTACAGGACGACGAGGGCGAGGCTTGGACCGTCACATCTGAAGTGGTGGTATTCCGCAATGACAATGGACGGCCAAACCTTGATCCAAAAGCGGGACTCCGCGCCCATTTGACTGAGTTTGCGAGTGCCAACTTTTGTCAGTCACTCGATCTCAAAGAGACTGTTTTTATCTCATGTGACACTCTGTGTGCCTTACTGGAGGACGCAGAGTCAACCGACGATGTCCAGCGGCACATGGCCGCGTCTCAGCCACGCCCGGTCCTGCGAAAGCGAGCCATGAGCGACACATCGGAAGAATAACTCACCAGCGATGACGAGCGGAACATGGTGCAAGCCGAGGAACAAGCAGAAGATAAACAGGACCGAGATGATTCTTCTTTTGAGGATGATCAGGAAATCTGCTGAGTGGAAGAGGCGAATATGGGGCTCATCCGTCTCATTCGTACTTTGATCTAGGGGAGCAGTGGACGCAGAAACGTAAAATGAGCTCTGCAAGCACGTTCGAAACCTCACCCACGATGTGCGGACCAAGGAGATGGCTATTGGATGGTCTGATCAAGGAAGACTCCTTGCCTGAAAGTCCTCTCGGCCTTGGGAGTAGGGGAATTATTACCAAGCGGCGGAGAATGGATATTCTTTTTGTAATCCCTACGCATGCGGTTCTCGGTAGGAGAAAGAAACTTGCTATGGAGATGTCAATAAGCCCTTCGCTTTTGTTGCCCTTTGTCTTATGTAAGTTTTGCTTTTGGCTCGCTCACTGCCAGCCACATCGACATCCGCCTTGCATATTACCTCACTCGCTTCTTACCGAGAGATCATGGTCATCACGCATGGTTGTACTTCTCGCAAAGCATAACAATCCGAGAACGAACGTACCCAAAACAAGGAGGCATTCGATGGGTTGTCCGTAGGGAGTTCAGGTGGAAATTGGCCGAGAGACAGGTCGTCACGGCAGAGTTACCTGCGCCAGCACCCGATGGGGGAGGCCTTCGCCTATGAAGCCTTGTGCAGAACAGAGCCGTACTGAGATACTCAATGGCGCCAGCCACATCTTGCGACCTCACAGCACACTCTCCTCCAAGACATGCGTGCAGACTCGGTCAGGCGACTCAACCCTCTGCCCAAATTGCTGGAAGGATTGTATTCCACGGACGTTAGCACGAGTCACTAGGTGATATGGTTATTACACTCTGTCCAGTTAGCGGCATTCAGCTGTCATGATTGGCTTCGGGTACGTATCTGGGTAGCCTCCTAGGTATGCCGTCGAATGATTTGCGCCAGTTCATCTTGCGCCGAATCACTGTCCACGGAAAGGGTCGAGTTGTCAATGTCTCCAATTTCAGAAACCATCCCGCTCTTTTTGGTCTTGGCCTTGCCCTGGTTTCTCCAGATTTTGCTCTTCTGCTACAGTCGGTGCTTGAAGATAGCCTCCTCCTGCTCCTCCTCCTGCTCCTCCTCCTGCTCCTCCTCCTGCTCCGGTGACACTGACTGGTCGTGGAATATTGCTCTACACAGCTCCTGCATGAGCCGTAGGGCCGTCTCCATCTCCTCGTTCGGGATCGCCGTCCACTCAACAGGTGGATCAACCCAGCGTCGTAGGCTCTGTTCTCCAGCACCGCATAGAATGGTATGAACGTAATGAGCGTGCCGCTAGTAACAGAGATTCAGTCTCGGCCCTCCCATGACAAAGTATCCATGCAGCATGACATGCCACAGCCTCACGAAAGCGAAAAGTCCTACTGACCGCCAGATTGTTCCATTGCTGCTCGTTCAGATTTGTTTTACTGGGGAAAATCTCTTTTGGAGTCTCGTAACCCTGCTTTGGGCATTGTGCAGATAGGGTAGTTTGGTGATACTGGACATCGGAGACCGTCGAAGTGAGTGCGCGAAATAGTCCAGCGTGAGGCTGATACATTCGGGGAGCGCTAATTGGAATAAGTTTAGCGGAGACGTATAGGATCTGGAGCCTGAGAAGGAGGGAGGCTTGGTTGCTAGTGATGTTGAAATGACGCCGACGAACTCCAGCGATGGATTCCTTGCGCAGATCCGTTGTTAAATCGCAGAAGCTTTGAAGCCGGTGGCAGACCAGATGGATGAGCGACAATATGTTACAAAGCCTGCTGTGGAAGGCTGCTCCTGAAATCACCTGAAAATTGATACAATCTGTGTCTAAAGAATCCCTCCGTCAGGGCTTGAGACCGCTTACGGAAGCTGGGGACGCTGTACGTATCGTGGCTACGAAGCCTGAATCTCACTATGTCGCCATATTGCAAGTCTGATCCGATGGTCTGGGGAATCCTTATGCAAATAGCTTACCTGCTTGACAGGTACTTCGCCTCGCGACACAGTGTAGAGCGCTATTTTTCTCTTCAAACAGCTCGAGATCCTTTCTTGAAGGTTCCTTGTGCTTCTGGATTGGTATCTTGTGTTGTCCAGTGAAAAAAAAATAGGCACGAGAAAAGGCGGTCCCACACAGATGTTTAATACCAGTACTGAAGTCGCACCTTGAAGTGGATGAAGACAAAGTACATACTGCTCGCTGGCAGGTCGTTAGTTGCGATTAGATTAGATCAAAGCAGCGATCTGAATTGGACAAAGGAGGCGAGCCAATGCATGACGGTTCATTCTCGGGATCAAACGCCTCGGAAGCTTTCGCATGCTGGCGAAAGCAATCTGGCGGAAAGCTCCAACTCCGCAGACGACGAGCTCGATCCTGGAAACCCACTGCCTCCCACTGCCTTCCTGTGTTGACACGCTGAGCCTTTGTACGTGCCCAAGAGCAGGCTTCCCCACGTCGTAGCCATGCAGGCATTCAAGACCTGCGCCTCTTCGGCGCTGCGCCAGGCGTCTCGACCGACCAGATCCTACGCTACAGTCTCAGCTGCAGCAGCATATCAAGAAACCATCCCCAACCTGAGGATCAACTCGGACACGAAAGTGCTCTTCCAAGGCTTCACCGGCAAGCAGGGAACCTTCCACGCCCAACAAGCGATCGAGTATGGCACAAAAGTGGTGGGCGGCACAAACCCTAAAAAGGTATCTCAAGAGTCTTATCTGCGATGATCGCAGGGGGTCGATGGAAAAAGGACGTGTGTTGACAGTCATCCCAGGCAGGCTCTACGCACCTCGACCTCCCCGTGTTCAAGAATGTGAGCGAAGGAGTGAAGCAGACTGGTGCCAATGCGAGTGTGAGTAGAATAGATCAAAGGGATGTACTATCACAACACCATGATGCTGACGTGAATAGGTCATCTTTGTCCCCCCTCCTCTGGCAGCTGCTGGTATCCTGGAGGCTGTCGAGGCCGAAATCCCTCTGGTTGTCTGCATTACTGAAGGTCCGTTTGCATATCGGCAAAGTAGGGTCGCAGAGGTCTAACATCCGTCGCAGGTATTCCACAGCACGACATGGTTAGGGTGAGTCTCTGTAATCTCGTGGAAATCTCCCGACACTGTGTTGACAATTTTCTCCAGGTTACCAACATCTTAAAGACGCAAAACAAGACCCGTCTCGTAGGACCAAACTGCCCCGGTGTCATGTGAATTTTCCCTTCCCTCCGTTCACGCATGTATGCTAATTCCGAAAGCGCTCCTGGCCAATGCAAGATCGGCATTATGCCGGGTTTCATCCACAAGCGAGGAAGAGTTGGAATCGTCTCACGATCGGGAACATTGACATATGAAGCTGTCAACCAAACTACTCAAGCCGGACTCGGACAATCCTTGGTCGTCGGTATTGGAGGTGATCCATTCAGCGGCACCAACTTCATCGACTGCCTGAAAGTCTTTATGGAAGACGACGAGACGGAAGGAATCATCATGATCGGTGAAATTGGAGGTAGCGCTGAAGAAGATGCTGCCGAGTTCTTGAAGAGCGAGAACAAGAAGAACAAGCCGGCGGTCAGCTTCATCGCCGGTATTAGTGCTCCTCCTGGACGACGAATGGGTCATGCTGGTGCCATTATCAGTGGTGGCAAGGGTGGCGCCGACTCCAAGATTGCCGCTCTCGAAGCAGCTGGTGTCGTTGTCGAGCGAAGCCCTGCCTCTCTGGGCAAGGCTCTTCACGAGCAATTTGTTGCGCGGGATCTCATTTAAGCAGGACGCAGGTATCACACCTTTTTCCAATCTTCCACTGCACGGCGGTAAGACGAGGGTCGCTTTCACAGAGATGTTCTTGTAGTTTTGATACCCCGAAATGAAATCGGGAAGCTTGATAACACTGTACAATTGCTGCAAATGCTAGCATATCGATATTTCAGTATACAAGCCTAGGGAGAATTCCACCACCTTCCAGGTCTTTGTGACCACCAACGCTGAATTATTTCCCTAACGCCATTGTATGATCAACACATCTATACCTTCTCTTCATGCGCCGCCAGTCATAGTGATATCGCTCCCCTTCGACTCGCTCGTACATGTAGCCAGGCCTGGAAGCCGCAGAATACCAGAAAGCCCTGCAGTCGTCAGTACATATGAATCTACTTCATTCGGAAATAAACTCACAGCATATACTGCTACGCTGATGAAGATGGCCGAGGCGACCGCAGCGTGGTCTTCAGGATCTTCTTCCATGCCCATCATCATATGGTGGTCCCTCTGCATGTCAAAGTGTTAGCATCCTGCCAATTGGAAAGGTATCCTTCACATCGATTCCACGTAAGAGTGGTCGACATTGAGATGCACATCAAAGGGAAGATATTCGTACCGAAAAGAGGCTGCCGATGACAGAAAGGATCACGACGGCGAAGCATGATACGACCGTGCTGTGGGCGCATTAGCTGCCATCTTCCAAGCGACACGTCAAGCGACTCACCAGGTCCAGGCATTGAAAGCAGACACCACCGGCTTCATGTTGTCGACGGTTCGATCTTGAACTGACTATCCGGGCAGGACACTGTCCAGGTCAAGGGTTTGCCGATGGAGGAGGGGGAGCTGATTGCTGGAGGTCTTAGTGGTCGAGTGACTTTTCCCGAAGGCGACCACACGGCTGCAAGGGGTGCACAAGGTATCGCGGACTGACTGAATGAATGAACGACAGTTGTCTGGCCTTGATACGTTGTTGGCCTGGATGGCTGGCAGTGCGCATTAACGCATTAAACGAACAGCTGCAGTTCATTCCAGCGCAGGCACAAGCATCACCAGCCAATCGGCATTTTCGCTGGGCAGAAACCACCACATCGCCTGACAAGGTCATTTCCACATTTCCACTTCGCCCTCAAAGTATGTTGTTGTCCAAGGGGACGCTTTCTTCTCTTCTATTAGAAAACTCTATATGTCGATATCGTCGGGCCTTCCATCCTCCCTCCTGCAGCTTATGCCTCGATCCCTTTCGCCTGGCCGCTGAACCGCAACACCATCTCAAGCATTCAGCACTCCCCGGTCAAATATGGCGTGAAACAGAGTGGCATTCCTTTTATTACACTCCGCTATTTCGTCATTGATTTCACCTTTTTCAACAAATCCTCTGGCGTGTTCACAAGAAAACTCAATTGCCATCGCGGATCGCGGGTCGCAGGTTTTCTGATGCCACGTAGAGATCTGGGCGACGACAATGATGAGCGATCCCCGCTCATTCGCGCTGTGAACATTCAGCATAGCGAAGTCCCACAAGCACCACTTGCCGAAACATCAACCTCAGAGGAAGACTCAAGCCCAAATGAACGCCTCCTCTCCGGTGACAGACCGCCCTCGGAGACGATTGGTCTCGAAGACTCGGTTGTTGTCAGCAAAAGCACCTGGTATTTGATTCTGTTGACTGCCAGCATCGGAGGACTCCAGATTGTCTGGTCTGTCGAATTTTCCAATGGATCGCCTTACCTATTGTCTCTTGGCATGAGCAAGGCTCTCCTTGCTGGGGTCTGGCTTGCTGGTCCTCTCACGGGAGCCCTTGTGCAACCGTACATTGGGATTCTCAGTGATAGATGTCGAGTGTCTTGGGGCAAACGCAAGCCTTTCATGATTGCCGGTACCCTCGGAGTTATTGTGGCATCCATGATACTTGCATATGCGCGGGATATTGTCCGCCTGGTTGGAAGACTCGACGCAGATGCACCATATACCGGAGGGTACATGACGGCGACAATAATCCTGGCTACTGTCATGATGTGGTGTCTCGATTTTTCCATTAACACAGGTCAGTAATAACCAAGGTCTTATGCAGGCAAGGCTGACCTTTCGCAGTTCAAGCAGCTATTCGCGCCTTTATCGTTGATGGTGCACCCTCCCATCAGCAAGAGTCAGCGAATGCCTGGGCCTCACGTATGACTGGGGTCGGAAACGTATTAGGATATGTCTCTGGATATCTCAATTTGCCAAAATACTTCCACTTCTTCGGAAACACCCAGTTCAAGGTCTTGGTTGTTATTGCATCGATCGCATTGAGTTCGACAGTCTTGCTTAGTATCCTCACCATCAAGGAACGGAATCCTCGGCTCGACCCTCCATCCAAAGCGCGTGACGAGTCTACGGGGTTCGCAGCCTTTTTCAGACAAGTCTTCGTCTCGATCAAACGTCTCCCACCTCAAATACGCAAAGTCTGTGAAGTTCAGTTCTTTCATTGGATCGGCTGGTTCCCCTTCCTGTTCTATATTACCACATACATTGGCCAGCTCTACGTAAATCCGTACCTGGAGCCAGGACTCTCCGATGCTGAGGTTGAGAAGCTATGGGCGAAAGCTACGCGAGTAGGCACCTTTGCTCTTCTCATATACGCCATAACTGCATTTTCATCGAACATTGTGCTACCATTTCTGGTGGTTCCAGCTTACAAACCCAAGGAGCCCGCGGACGAAGAAGATGACATCTTCACGCAGCCTGTCCTCACCCCGACTTCACCCATCGGCACGAGGTCATCGGAATTTCCCTGGTTTGAAGCCCATCATCACCGGGCTCATAGTGAAGCTGTGGCATCGGAGCCTCCAAATGGCGCGAGGCATGACGAAGATCATTTCTTCGAACCGCCTCAACGATCACAGAGTGACCTCGACGTCAACCGTTACGTTTTCAGGAACACTCAATTGTCCGATTCAACAGCAAAGGGTCCTAGTCGGTTTAGGCGATGGCTGACCAAATTACAAATTCCCGGACTGACTCTTCGACGAACGTGGCTATTTTCACAACTGTTGTTTTCGGTTTGCATGTTCAGTACTTTCTTCATTTCTACACCGCTAGCGGCGACCGTCATGACAGCTTTCGTGGGTGTCTCGTGGTCCTTGACGCTTTGGGCTCCTTTTGCCTTGATCTCTGCGGAAATTTCCAAGCGGGACGAGGTGAGACGAAAGCGCTACCGGCAACGGTTAATGGACGGCGAACACGACATCACCGATAGTAAACTGGAAGAAGAGGAAGATCAAGCCGGGATCATTCTTGGCCTCCACAATGTTGCTATCAGTGCTCCACAGATTGTAGCCACACTTATCAGCAGTGCCATCTTCAAGCTCTTGCAGAAGCCTAGAAATGTCCCCGGGGATGTGAGCGTCGGGTGGACCTTGAGGATTGGTGGAGCGGCCACCCTGGTCGCCGCATTCATCACTTGGAGGATGCAAGAGCCCGCAGATGAAACCGAGGATAATCTTTAGGTTGCCTTGTGCGTGTTGACGGATGCCGATTGGAGATTTCTAGCAGGTGGCATGGCAGATTTTCTAGCACTTGTCTCTCCGGCAGCCAACCAGTCGATGAACAGCACATCAACGCCCAGGCATACCGACCCATGCAGCGGCCCATTGCTGAGAGAAGATCACTTGGTTCAAGTTTGCAGGAGTGTCAGCATCGCTCACGATATGATGGAAACGAAAGAAAGAGGTGGCCTGTATCAGTAGGCCCTTTATGAGCTGCATATTCTATATCTTTGTTTTTCGATTTATTCACCACAACAATGTCTTCAGAACACACCGTGATCAAATTGTGCTGCTTGTCAGTACAAGTATCTCGACCGTCACCGTACACTTTACACTTTGCGTGCCACAAGATAGGCTGTTCACAAAGCAGTAGATTCCCTCTGGACGTGTCTTATTCCCGGTAATCCGCGAGAGACTTCCATCTCCGAAGCACTACTTGCTTCTTGGGCCGACGAGCCACTAGGGTCTTGTTTCATCGTTGACTGGCACAGCAAGACGCGTATGGAGTAAACGATCACGGATGGCGGCGTATTGGTATCGGCCTGAGCCATCTTCTGTCTTCTTTTGCGCGGAGCCCGTCCATCCATGCCACAAATCTTCGGTAAGGTACTTCTACCCTCGTATCCACCGAAGACCTAGTACCAAGTAGTCGCACAGGTCGTGCAATTCCGAAGTAGAACCGTACCGACTAAAGCAAAATAGGCTGTTAGGCTAATATTCGGACGCGGATGAGGCTCGCCAACGCCGCCCACAGACTGCCCAGCTACACACGACCGTCCTCCGTACAGTCCGCGGCGAATGCGGTGGTGGAGATGTATGGGCGAGATCCAGCTAAAAGACTAAAGGGTAAACTCTGGGACTCTGTTGCCATCCCGTGGATGATGCTGGTGTCGTGATACAGATGCTGGATGGGTATTTGAGAACTATGGCCACCTGGTTATTCCGTGGGTTGTATTATCATCTCCCAGTATCGCCATTTCTCCCACTACCTACAAACCGGAACACAGGCCCATCAGTAAAAGGGTGACGAGGTAGTCACTTTCTACGCACCGTCGCCATCACCGCTGATACACATCCATACTCGAGCAGTCAATCATTCATTCTGTTGTCCGCTCGCTGCTGCTATATAACTACGATAATACCCACTACTACCTGACAACTTACAAGAGCCGAGACAAACATACACACAAGATCTACCCACACAGCGCTCTGGCATCATATTGATCAGTCCAAGCAGAAATGGTTCGAGACGTCGCCGCCAAGGCAGGACTGCCATCAGATTTCCTCTGGGGCTTTGCGACGGCAGCGTAGGTTCACCGCTCCCCGTCACCATCAATCCACGCTGCTCGTGTCTGTCTAGCTGTTGGGTTGGCACTGTAAGGATGTTACTGACGATTGTTGTGATCAGATACCAAATCGAAGGTGGTGCCACTGCAGACGGCCGCGGTCCATCGATATGGGACACGTTTTGCAAAATGCCAGGCAAAATCGCCGATGGCAGTTCTGGGGATGTCGCGTGTGACTCGTACCATCGCACAGCACAGGACATTGAACTGTTACAAAAGACCGGTGCCAAAGCATACCGCTTCTCGATCTCATGGTCCCGCGTCATCCCCAAGGGCGGCCGCAATGACCCGATCAACCAGGCCGGCCTTGACTTTTACGTCAAACTGGCCGACGACTTGCTCGCTGCTGGGATCACGCCGTTCGTGACGCTCTTCCACTGGGACCTGCCGGACGAACTCTACAAGCGGTACCGCGGGTTCCTCAACAAGGACGAGTTCGTGGCCGACTTTGCCCACTACTCGCGCGTCGTGTTCGAGGCTCTGGGCTCCCGCGTCAAGCACTGGATCACGTTTAACGAACCGTTCTGCAGTGCCATCTTGGGACACAGTCTCGGTGTCTTTGCTCCCGGACACACCAGCGACAGGACCAAGAGTCCTGTGGGCGACTCGAGTACCGAGCCGTGGATCGTGGGCCACAGTATCCTCGTCGCACATGCCCATGCGGTCAAGATCTACAGAGACAAGTTCAAGGAAAGAGATGGCGGAGAGATAGGTATCACGCTGAACGGTGTGTCATGGTCCCCACCCCTCCCTTCCCCGTTTCCCCCCGGCGTGAGCGTTGATGATGTTGTCGAAAACGATACCGTGACATCCTGTACTGACATGAAGTGTTTCGGAAAGGCGACTGGGCTGACCCATGGGATCCCAACGACGAACAAGACCGTATCGCATGCGATCGCAAGATTGAGTTTGCAATCAGCTGGTTCGCCGACCCGGTATACTTTGGCCATTACCCGGAGAGCATGGTCAAACAGCTCGGTGCCAGGTTACCCACGTTCACAGAAGAAGAGAGCAACCTGCTCAAGGGCTCGAACGACTTTTACGGCATGAACCACTACTGTGCGAACTACGTCCGACATCGCGATGGAGAGGCCGACCCCGAAGATTTCAGTGGTAACTTGGATATTTTGTTTGAGGACAAGTTCGGCAACAGCATTGGTCCTGAGACGCAGAGTTTCTGGCTGCGCCCTCACGCCCCCGGGTTCAGGAAGTTGATCAAGTGGCTGAGTGACCGGTACGGACGGCCGAAGATCTACGTGACCGAGAACGGAACGAGCATCAAGGGCGAGAACGACTTGCCCATGGAGGAGATTCTGGAGGATGATTTCCGCCTCGAGTATTTCCGAAGTTATATCACGGCCATGGCTGAGGCGGTGGCCGAAGACGGGTGCGACGTTCGTGGATACATGGCTTGGAGTCTCATGGAGTAAGTTTGCGGCATCCCCTTGGGGCTCGGTGTAGGTCTGTGCGAAGAGGATTCAAGAACTGACGTGCCACTGCTATAGTAACTTTGAATGGGCCGAGGGTTACGAAACGAGATTTGGCGTCACGTACGTGGATTACGAGAATGGTCAGAAGAGGTATCCCAAGAAGAGCGCGTTGGAGATGAAGAATATCTTTGATCAATTCATCGGAAAGGTGTAGACGATGTTGCTTTTGCCACTGCCAGGATATGGATTGTGTCTTGTTTTGATGAACTAAGGTCCCCTCTCTGTGTGTCCTTCAGCTCGCTGTCTGTTGGAAAGTTTGTAGACCGAAGGAGGGAGGATGTACCGTAGGCACCCTGGCCAGAGTATTTATCGGATGAATTTATTCCCATCCCAAGTCCTAAAGTGACTAACCTGATTTCGAACACATCGGCCAATCTAACTTGGAGATCCCGACAGACCTACTTTGGTGCACCACTTTATTACTCCCGGTGCTACGGAGTACACGCCACGTCTTCACCAGCTTCCTGGATACACAACTCATCATTCAGGCCACCAACGAGACGGAGCCAAGCTCGAAGAACGCACCTACATAAGACTCCAACGAGGCTAGCGTTCTGTGCTGCGAAAGGGTCAGCAGAACGAGACCCCGCGAACAAAACCGACAGCTGAACCGCCGACTTCAAGTGCCTTGGGAAAAGTTTGTTGCGTCCGAATACGATTACATTACAGCAAACAATGGATACACCAAATGTTCCCATCAACTTCGTCCCCGCGGCGTCAGGCGAGACGTTCAAAGTTGGAACGATCACTATCCGAATCATGGAGGACGGGTCGAGAACAGAGTGAGCACACCGTACACCGTTAAACGTACACCGTACACGCACAGCTCGAACCCCCAGATCCCTAGACGCAGTGCAAGGGTAGTAAGGTTAATGAGGATTTTGTCGCGGTTGTCAAGCAACCGTATAGGGTCAGCGGAATTCACCGTCCCACCGCACACATCGGGGTAAGTGTTCAGCGTCGAGGTTGAGCTTGAGCAATTGCCTGGAGACGGTAGCTCCCCGTTCGTCTGAACATGAGCATACGAGAGGGGTGGTTTAACTGGTGTGCTGATGAGGACATGTGGATTGACTGACGGATTCTGTTGATCTTGTAGCCCTCCACCGCATTGGCATGAAATGGTGAGTGATTTGCCGTCGACCGGCTTCTCTCGTCCACACCTTCTTGAAGACCTTCACTTTTACCCTGAACCTCGGCGTCCCGACGACGGGATACGGTACACCAGCCACCCACTCCCTCCTTGCCTGCCTACCTGTCTGGACGTGCATTACTAACCTCGAACCCCCCCTTCGATGATTTGGAATACTTAGCACGACGAAACCTTCCTCGTCACGAAAGGCACACTGCGCTTCCACGCACTCAACGGCGCGACCGTCGATGCCAAACTGGGTGATTACGTGACGGTTCCGCCGCGGAGCCCTCACACTTTCTCCAACCCGTACGACGAAGAGGCGAAGTTCTTCAACACGTACACGCCCGCGTTCTACATCAATTACTTCAAGTTGCTGGCTAAGTTGAGCGAGGCGGGGAAACCGATGAATCCCGAGGCGAACAGGAGAGCCATGGCGGTGAGTTTGTGTCGATTGATATCTCTCTCTCTCTCTCTTTCCCTCCCTCCCTCCCTCCCTCCCTCTGTTTTACTCTTGCGCTGCCTACAAAAACCGGCGGTTGACTAACGAGGTCACTGTCGAAATCAGTACTTTGCTACGATTGGCGTGGCGGACGATGAGATGCAGATGGACAAGGAGCAGTTCTATGGAGACGGGACCGGGAAGACGGAAAAGGTCGACAAGTAGGTTTTTTGAGGTCCCTTGGGCGCGTGAACGACATTGTTTGTCATTGAATCTGGGCCGTACGTTGGACCTCGCTCCTCGTTGTCCGATGGTATTGATGGGATGATACGATGTGACTTTTTGCCGTTTTATATCTACCTCGGTATCTATCTATCTGTGGGTTAGATCCGGTCTCCGAGGTATCATGTCTCAAGTGTCAGGTCTCATGACGAATGGATCATCGAATGCAGACAACTACCGTACTGTACAATCCGTCTACGTGCCAACATCTTGGGAGACAATGAGAGGGGGCAAGGTCAATATCGTTCAAACGCTTATCAATTTTTTTTGGTTTGTCCAATTCTGTCTTCTGCCACTGCAGGTTATATGAGTATATGTACACCCCGTTGAGGACGACATCAAGCCCCCCCCCTTCCCCGCCCCCCCCCCCTCTCGCGTGCTGTACTTTGGTATCATGATTCCTCCGAGACAAACACACCGGCCATGCCCATACCGGTACCCACGCACATACTCGTCACGGCCACCTTTGCCTTTCTCCTCTTCAACTCGGACAGAACCGTGACGACCTGTCTCGTCCCTGTGCATCCCAAGGGATGTCTGTGAGTTGTGAAGCATGGGTTAGCCATTGTGAACGGAGTGGGTCGGGGGAATAAAATGATTCTCCGATCCAGAGGAAAGGAAGAAGAAGAAGAGGAGGAGGAGGAGGAGGAGGAGGAGGAGGAGGAGGAGGAGGAGGAGGAAAACAACAAAACTCACCCGATGGCAATGGCACCACCACGGACGTTGACCTTTTCAATATCCAGTCCCAACTTCTCCACGCAGTAAACGTACATGCTCGCAAAGGCCTCGTTGATCTCAAACAGGTCGACGTCCTCCTTGGTCAGGCCGGTCAAGTCCAGAATCTTGGGGATGGCGAGACTGGGGCCGATGCCCATGATGCGCGGCTCGAGGCCGACGACGGTGCTCCTGACGAACTTTGCGACGACGGGCTGGCCGAGCTTCTCGGCGGTCGAGCGCTTCATCATCAGCACGGCGGCGGCGCCGTCGGTGATCTGGCTCGCGTTGCCGCCGGTCGTGGTGGGGCCCCACTGGGGGAACGCCGAGCGGATCTTGGAGAGGGCCTCGTAGGTGGTGTCGGGCCGCACGCCGTCGTCCCGGTCGACGGTGACGGTGGTGGCCTCCTTGGTCTTGGGGTCGACCCAGCGCGTGGTGACCGGGGAGATCTCGTCGGCGGACCACCCCTCGGCCTGCGCGCGGGCGGCGCGGGCGTGCGACATCTCGGCGTACCGGTCCTGGCTGGCCCGCGGCACGGCGAAGTCGCGCGCCACGTTCTCGCTCGTCCAGCCCATGGGCATCACGTTGTCCTTGGCCACCGGGTGCGACGTGATCATGTCGCTCATCCCCGCCGGCGGCGCGTCCTTGTTGGTCGACATGCTCTCGCACCCGACCGCGATCCCGACCTCGATCGACCCCGTCGCGATCGCCCCCGCCACCGTCTGGATCGACAGCAGGCCCGACGAGCAGAACCGCGACACCACGTTGGACGCCGTCGACACCGGGAACCCCGCCGCGAGCACCGCGCTGCGCGCCCCGAACCCCGGGGCCGGCAGCAGCACGTTGCCTACGCACACGTCGTCGACCTTGGACGGGTCGATCTGGGATTTCGCCTTGAGCGCCTTGAGAACGTGGATGAGCAGTTCATCTGCCGGTGTGTCTTTGAGGCCTCCCTTGCGTGCTTTGGTGAGTGGTGTGCGCGTCGCGCATGTTATTACCTTTTTGTTTGACATCGTCAGTCTACGCAACGGATCGGGATGTGGGAAAAGTGGTATCCGGGGAGCTAGATTATGACATGAAGTGCGTGATGGCATCGAAGATACTCCGCATAGGGATAAGATGGTTTCCGTGTAAACTTACAATGTCATCTGGGTTCTTTTCAAGAATCTTTTTGAGACCTGGTGACTGTGATTGTGTCGAGGTGGCGCTGGAGTTGATGTGTCCAGCGATGTTCTGGAGGCGTTGTTGAGCACTCATTTTCGCGTTTGTATTTTGTTTTTTTGGTTTGGTGCTGCTATGTCTGTCTATGTCCTTCAAGTCAAGGTACGGAGTATATGTTGTGATCTAATAGACGTGAGACGAAGATGGGAGAGGTGGCTTTGTACAGAATGATTGATAATGGCGGAGGTGAGGTAAAGGGGACAAGTAGAAGTAATAAGCTGATCGAATTTTGTGATAGATAATCAAAATGCAAGCTTTTAATTGTACTTTCCGGTACTCAAAGTCGTTCGGATGGATTGTATAAGCGATCTCTGGCCGAAGAGCACCGAGCAGTACGCGTACAGTAGGGATGGATCGATTCTGTCGCCACAAAAGAAAGTACCTACGCTGGTCAGTAGTTACAGTGATAACTTTGTCCTCAGGATCATTTCGAGATGCCGAGGCTCAGTTGAGGCAGATGCGTCCGACATCAACTGCCGTAGTGGCCACTTTGGGCTCCACCAGAACAGTATGCACTTTATGCACTCCGTCGTCCCCCGTGCTGTATCCGCCCTTATCGCCCCGGTCGGTGGGAATGAGAGATGAGAGCCCTTGGAGAGCTCCCATCTTGCCCTAGGTAAGATGCCGAGATAATCTCATTTGCGTAGTAGTCTCTATGTGCGTCGAGGAGGCGTTACTAACTACTCGTTCTGCTCCCAAGGCCCCCAGCCTCGCCAGCCCCACCTCCACACAACCTCGAAGCTCCCCCCCTCCACGCACTCATGGTAGGCGTAGTCTACCGCAGACCCCTTGTGAAGACAACAGTCCAGACAGCAGATGAAACGTCGATCCCGTTCTCTGTAGCTTCGCAACTGCTGCTCATACTTGTAGTAGAATCAGATTGTCCTGATTGCTATTATTCACTCCATGCTTGCACAGCTTTTTCCCTTTCGTGTATACTCTCAGGACGCATTCAGGTGGCAGAGTCTTCACCCCGGACAGTAACGAGCGACCTGTGCGTGGCCCCGGACCGTACCCCGTAACCCCCCGTTATCCCTCGTCTCTGAAACCACCCGCCTCCTGCTCCTGGAAGACAGAAAAACCTCAAGGTTCTCGGGGCTCGCGTCCAGACTCTTACGTCCGCAACGATAAACAACTATAGTTACAGGGCTAAGGTTACCCTCTTACCTCGGATTTTTGTCTTGTGTAGGGGCAACATCGGATCAGAGAACACACACTAGGGAGAGTTCAGCACCCAGCACAATAATCCCTGGGGTAATCAGAGCCCAGAAAACTCTCACCCCCTCTGGCCCACCCCGGCAGCTGTAGGCGGTATCCAAGTACCTAGCGTCGACCGAGGCTTCACGAAGTCTGGCAACTTCGACACAACAACGGCAGTCATCGTTTCGAAAAAGTTTATACTGCACTATACCTACCTCCTTGCTCGTCCTGGACACATTTGCGCCCTGTATTCCAGCAAGGTCGACGTCCCAACAAACCACCCTCACTCTGTTGTCCATTGAGCTTTTATTTTCAACCTCGACGTGCTCGCTTGTTTCTTTCTGAGATTCAAATCAAATACACCGTGACCTCGACCTCTAAAGGAGACATCAGGATATCTGTCTACCTACCCTGGGCATCTCTTAACATTGGACCTATCTACCTATAGTTAGATTGTGACTGTTGACGACAGCACATCACATTCAACTTTTGACTTGTATATATACACAACACAACCACCCAAAATGGCCACAATAGCAGCCGCGTCGACCACGGCGGCGGCAAGCCTTCTTCTATATGCCAACCATTCTCTCGGCATCACCAAGGACATCCAACAGTACCGACTGGACCAATCCTTCAGCAAACGGTTCCCAGAATTCCTAGGCAAACTAGGACCGCAATCACCCCATCTCTATCGCATGTTGGAACTGGCCGACCCCAACGCCGATGCGCTCTACTTTGAAGGACGGACATGGAACTACCGGGCCGTGAAAGCCCAGGTGGACGAACTCGCCCTGGGCTTACACACGTCTCTGGGCGTCAAGAACGGAGACATCGTGGCCGTGTTCATGGCCAATTCGCCCGAGATGTTATTCACAGTCTACGCACTCACGCGACTCGGCGCGGCCCCGGCTCTGATCAACAATGCCCTTCGAGACGAGACGCTCCTTCACTGCGTGCGTCTGCCCAACGCGAAGCTTATCCTGACGACTCCCGATCTCGCCATCCACGCAGCCACGGCGGCACGCTCGCTGGGCTCCGGCTCCGGTACCGTTGATATCAAGACGGTACGACTAAACCTTGGCTCGTTCCGACCCAGCCCCGTCCCCAGCGAAGACGTGCTTGACTTTCCCTTTCCCGACCCAGCGGCCCAGGGACAGCTCCCACCAACACCACCAAAGACGCTCGCCAGCTTGGGCTGCTTGATATACACGTCGGGCACGACGGGCAAACCAAAAGCGTGCAGCATCAAAAACGCCCTGCTCTGCGTCGTGAGCTGCACGACGTCGGTCGACCACGCCAACCCCAAGAAATACCTCCGCGGTCTGCGCACGTACTCGTGCATGCCGCTGTTCCACGGCACGACCTTCTTCACGGGCCTGTGCTACAGCGTGGGCCAGTCCGGGTGCTTCTGCATCGGGCGGCGGTTCAGCGCGCGCAACTTCTTCAAGGAGGTGTCGGAAAGCAGGGCCACGCGCATCCTGTACGTCGGCGAGCTGATGCGCTTCATCCTCGCGACGGCGCCCGGCGAGTACGACCGCCGCCACTCGGTGCTCGTGGCCGCCGGCAACGGCCTGCAGCGGGACGTGTGGGTGGCGTTCCAGCGGCGGTTCGACGTGCCCGAGGTGCGCGAGTTCTACCGCAGCACCGAAGGGATGGTCAAGTTCGACAACGTGCACCGCCGCGGCCGCCCGGGGGCGGGCAGGGTGGGGTACATGGGGGTGCTGCGCAAGCGCGTCTTCGACAAGGGCGCGCAGCACATCATCAAGTTCGACTACGACTCGGAGATGCCGGTGCGCGACGGCAAGACGGGCTGGTGCGTCGTCGCCGACCGCGGCGAGCCCGGCGAGGCCATCGCCCGCGTCCGCGACATGTCGACCTACATCGACTACCACGGCAACCCGGAGGCGACCGAGAAGAAGCTGCTGCGCGACGTCTTCGAGAAGGGCGACGTGTGGCAGCGCAGCGGCGACCTGCTGATGCAGGAGCGCGACAACTGGGTCCGGTTCGTCGACCGCATAGGCGACACCTACCGCTGGATGGGCGAGAACGTGTCGGCCGGGGAGGTGCGTGGCTTCATCTCCGAACTCGACCGCGTCAAGGACGCCGTCGTCGTCGGGAGGAGGCTGGACGGCTACGACGGACAGGCCGGCACCGCGTTGATCGTGCTGGACACGCAGGGCGAGAAGGGCAGCGGCAGCGGCGGCGAGCAGGCGTTCATGGCCGGTCTGTTCAAGGCCCTGAGGGCGAAGGGCGTGCCGAGGTACGCCGTCCCGCGGCTCGTCATGGTCCGCGAGGAACTGGTCGACGTCGGCGACACGTTCAAGCACGCGAAGAACGTCGTCAAGAACATCGAGTGGGGCGTCGACGGGGGAGGGAGGCAGTATTTCCTGGATTTGGACAACGAGACCTTCAAGCCCCTTGATTCGACGGCCTGGAAGAGGATCGAACAGGGCAAGGCGAAGTTGTAGAAAACCAAAGGGAAACGAGGGAAACAGAGAAAGGGATCGCGCTCGCAAGAAGAGGATGAATCAAGGCACTGCGTTACATTAAACCACACTGCATTACACACTATTCTATGCATACATATACACACATATAGTATTCTGTATAGCTCTTTAAGGGATACCGTGGAGAATGTGTTACTCGGTAGCAGGTACTCTGCGGTCTCGGGCTCAACAGGATCAAGGTCAATTCCACATCGAGCACGCATCTCACGAGGTACAGATACGTGCCTACGTGCCTACGTACCTACTACCTATACCTACTCATCTAGTGTCTGAAGAATGTAGGATCAATCGGACGAAAAGAATGGGAATCAGGAAGAATCAGGAATCAGGAATCAGGAATCAGGAATCAGGAATCAGGAATCAGGAATCAGGAATCAGGAATCAGGAATCAGGAATCAGGAATCAGGAATC